GGGTGGCTCGGGTTTAACGTGAGTATCAATCCCCTCCTCCCCTCCACCGACATCATCTCCCCGTCCTACGCAGATCGATACTAACAAGAAACAGGGGGGGTCCACTCTCAACGCCAGCATGCGCGCCCTAATGGCAATTTTTAACACCAACACAGCAGCCTGCATGGGCGTCCTGGGCTGGGTCCTCGTCGACATGCTCCGCAACAGAGGCAAATTCTCCGTCGTGGGCGCCTGCGAAGGCGCCATCGCCGGCCTGGTAGGCATCACGCCCGCTGCAGGCTGCGTATCGATATGGCTCGCAGTGGTGATCGGGTTCATAACAGGGATAGTATGTTCACTACTGCAGAACGTCAACGACTGGCTGCACATCGACGAGGGCATGGACGTGTTCAAGCTTCACGGGATCGGCGGCATTGTCGGCGCCTTCCTGACGGGTTTGTTCGCTACAGAGTCGATCTCGTCGCTGGACGGTGCTACGGTCGCCTCGGGCGCTATTGATGGTAATGGTATCCAGGTGGGGTATCAGGTGGTGGAGATATGCGCGATCTCGGCTTACTCGTTTGCGGTGTCGTGTGTGCTGTTGCTTGTGTTAAAGTATATCCCCGGGATGAAGCTGCGGGTGGATGAGCAGGGGGAGATGGTGGGGCTGGATCGGGCGCAGTTTATCAATGAGCAGATTGGGGATTGGACGTTGGTGGATGGGTTGGCGATGTCGTCGATACTGGTGGGGGTTCAGCAGGCGCCGGGGTCTTCGTCTGAGGGGGGTGGGGAGGTTAGGAAGGCGGATACATGATCCTTATAGATCCTTCGTGTTCAGTCGTGAGTAGTGAGCGTAGTATCAATCTTATCTCTGTCAATATGTAGATTTCCATTATTGATCTATCTATACATACACATACTTACCCGTAGACATCAACGCGGACATAGACGTAGACATGACAAGACACAGATGTACGGGGTATATGTCTTGAAGAGATATGGATGTGTCTTAATTATCCGTACTTATTCCCTCCACATTGAACCCTGCATAACAGACCCTGTCAGCAATGCAGCATGAGTCAGTCCCACCTACAATTAAATGAACATGTTACCCTAGACCCACTTGAAATTTGACATTGTAGCTTGCAAGCTTGCCTGTATTCATTAATATATAATAGGAATGTAGTCCGTATACGTATTCATCTCGTGTATGTGGCACGATCAGCAGGTCTGGCATTGTGCTGGTCTCCTTACTATCAGCTGCGGGCGAGACGGGCCTCGAGCCATGCCACTTACCCAGGCTATCATAAGTGAGTACTTTATAAAACCTGTCATTGAACCGTCAGTTGCTCCGTGCTGATTATTGACAGCTTAGAAAAGAGAAAGATCACCACGTGTGTCAAACATTGACAAGAAAAGGGCCACCTCATTTCAAAAACCCCATAGCGCAAATGAACAGGGTAATATCGACCAAACCCAGAAAAGTAAGGCGGGAGACGGTGATGACGCATGCATCATAACCAACTCGGCCCATGATTGGATCCTCAGGCACGGCCGGACGGGGAGTGGCTGGAAACCCTGGAAACCCTGGGTCGAGCTTACGTCAATGCGACATTCCTCGTCCGGTGTGGGATTGGTGGGGACAAAGTCAATTGGTTTGAGATTTCATTAATCTATCCGGGATAATTGCGATGGGTCGGTGGGTTTGGTTAATTTTAGATTTTGCCTTGATTTCTCGGAGGGTTGGACGTGGACATGGACATGGACATGAGACATTGTACGTCGGATATGATCACGCGGACTTATACCTATATATGGTCATGTATATCAGGAATGTATGGGGTGATGTTAGTATACAATGAGGTGACTGTTTAATGTAACTACATGAAACTAGATAAGGCCAACTTCAGCAAGGAAAGTATAAAAAATCAAATCAAAAAGAAGGGAAAAAAAAGAAAAAACGTTACAGCCAGAGGGCAGACTAACTGTATCCGGCTAGCGTGCCCCGGGCGATCGGCAGTCGCGTCCTCAGGCCTATCTTTTCCTCTCTCTCTCTCTCTCTCTCTTATCGCCTCTTTTCTCTTCTTCTCTCCTCCCTTCCCTTACCCACCATTCCTCCTCTCCCCTCTCCCCTCCCCTCCCCCTCCTCCGCCATTCCACACGTCGACTCCCTCCTCGACTCTCGTCGTTGATTCCTTCTTATCTTGCTCCATTCGAGCAAGGGCCATTCGTTTATTACCCTCTTGATCCCCACCCCCCTAATAATAATTATCGACCCCCTCCCCGCCTCCTTGCGATACGCCACGGGATCAACACAATAAAAGCTTCACCTCTCGAATCGTCCACTCTATTCGCTTGCCAGACCATCTGTTCACTCTCGAATTATACGTCCAGGCCATGCTGATCGGAATCAACGCGTGATCTGCCGCGAATATTAACCGTCAACCCAATGGGCAAATGTACGGGTTCTTCCCCCATCTGGTCCACGAGTCTCACCCCGCTGACCCGCACCCAGGGAACTATGGTGTCGTCCTGGACGCAGGCTCGTCTGTAAGTATCGCGACTCTTGTCCCGGTTTCGAAGCTCATCACCATCAGGGGACCCGAGCGCACATATATCGATGGCTGAACAACTCGACGGCGCGCAAAGCCGCCGATGACGACGACTTGAGGTCACTCCCGGAGATCAAGACCAAGTCGTCCTGGACGATGAAGACCCATCCTGGTAGGTGTCGGAAACGCTACACGTCTTGTACGCCGCTCATATCGTCCAGGAATATCATCCTTTGCCAGCAGACCGGAAGAGGTCGGCCCCGAACACCTCGCCGACCTCCTCGACCATGCCCGTCAGATCGTCCCGCGCGAATCCCACAAAGAGACCCCGGTGTTTCTCCTCGCCACCGCCGGAATGCGATTGTTGCCCGACCGCGAGCGGTCCCTGCTCCTCGACCAGATCTGTTCGTACACTCGCGCCAACTCCGACTTCTGGCTCCCCGATTGCGACGTTCACATTCAGGTCATTCCCGGGGTGACAGAGGGACTGTACGGGTGGGTGGCGTCGAATTATCTGCTCGGGGCATTTGACGCCCCGGAGGCGCACGAGCACGGGAACGGGCACCACACGTACGGCTTCCTCGACATGGGCGGCGCCTCGGCCCAGATCGCCTTCGCGCCTAATGCCACCGAGAGCGCCAAACATGCCAACGATTTGACACTGATGCGGTTACGAAATGTCGATGGCTCGTCTCAGGAGCATCGGGTGTTTGTCACCTCCTGGCTTGAGTTTGGCGTGAACGAGGCCCGGCGCCGCTACATCGAGGGCCTTCAGGAGGCCAGCGCTGTCGACTCTGCGCGGGAGCTTCCCGATCCCTGCCTTCCGGCGGGTTTGCGCACCACGATGGACGGGAAGCCCTGGTCTTCCAACTTGTCCGGGTCCCACCTCGTGGGCACCGGCCGGTTCGACGAATGCCTGCGACAGACCTACCCGTTGCTCGACAAGGATGCACCGTGTCTGGACCATCCGTGTTTGCTGCACGGCATCCACGCCCCCGCGATCGACTTCGACGTGAACCACTTCATCGGGATCAGCGAATACTGGCATACGACACACGACGTGTTTGAAATGGGCCACAAGGACAAAGCCTACGATTTCAACACTTACCAGGAACGGGTCCAAGCGTTTTGCTCGCAGGACTGGGCCGCCATCGAGAGTGGGATGCAGCGCCACGAGTGGGGCAAGAAGTTGGACCAGGAAAAGGCGTATCAGATCTGCTTCAAGGCCTCCTGGGTCATCAACGTGCTTCACGACGGCATTGGCTTCCCCCGCGTGGGGTTGGAGGATACGAAAGGCTCCCAGCACAACGGCACCGCGGAGGTGCTGTCGCAAACCAAGAATAAAGGCTACCTGGACCCCTTCCAGCCCGTCAACAAGATCGACTCGACCGAGGTCAGTTGGACGCTGGGCAAGATGGTTCTGTACGCCTCGTCGCAGGTGCCTATGGGTGTGGAAGATTCGCTGCCGGTTGGATTCGGCAGCAACGTGGCCGGGATTCCGGCCGATTTCCAATATCCGAGCGTGGAACTGATGCTCACCCCGGATACCCACGGCGAGAGCTGGCATGATGCTCTGCTCCACGGCCAATCGTCCCGTCGGGTTCCTGGATTTATCCTGTTTCTGCTCATCATTCTTCTGGCGACATTTTTCCTGTGCGGGCGCGGCCGACGTCTTCGGATGTATCACCGATGCAGCAATCTCTTCCGTCGCAGCCCGTCGCACCCGAACCACCCCAAAAAGCGGCGATTCCTTGGCGGCAAACTTCCGTTTTTCAGCGCGCGGCCCCCATCCTACGAGCGTGTACTTGAAGATGGCCCCCAGGAGTTTGACTTGGGCAGTGGCGGGTCGAGTCCCAGCTCGCCCGACGGCCACAACTCCGACGCGGAATCGGGCTTCGCCCCGCCGCGACGCGCCCAGAGCTGGGGCACTAACCACACGCCAAGCTTGAAATTTGGACTGGACAATGCATCGACCGGGACTATTGGCCTCGGCATCTCGGCAGGGTCCGGGACCGCCATGGATCGGGCCGGTCTGGTCGTGCGGACAGAGAGCCGCGACCACTTGGCTCCGGTGGCCCTGGGACCGACCATGAACGGCCGGCGTTCGCGGACCGGCAGTCCCAGCCGAACGCAGCAGCATCGGTCTCCAAGCATGACGCCGCTGTCCCACGATTAATGTCCATCACGTTTATGCATTTTGGAGTTGGTAATGGGTCAGTGGACGGGCCGATGGCGTTTCCTTTTCTTCTTGATATAATAATGAAGTTCGCTCCAGCGAACTAGGATTAGCTTAATGATTGATGTACTATAGAAGTCAGCTAGACTGACATGATCTTCTTCATTCCTCCTTATCCGTAGGATTCATACAAAGTACTCCGTAGTGGAATGTAGGTATACCGAAAACTAGGTCGATCGTCATATCAGTCACGTGATGCGTCACTCACCGCCCGGCAAATCCTGAAGCGGGAAGCTTGCTTTGCTGCAGCGCAGATATCTTCACGACAACGCCTCACATTCCCATTACTCGATACTTCCCGGTTTCTTCCTTCCTTTCTCTCTCTTGTTTTATTTATTTTGCATGATACCCATAGACGCAGAAGCAAACCACCCACCATGCGATTGACTGTCGAGCTCATCCAAAACTCGCTGTCCTACATCAACCCGCTCAAGGACCGCGAGCTGGACCTCCGAGGTGCGTGATAATACAATCCGCCGCCCTGAAAAGAACAGATACTACACGGAAGAGCTGGATTGATATTGGTGTTTTTGGATCTTGGTGGTTGTAGGGCATAAGATTCCTGCGATTGAGAACTTGGGTATTGCCAAGGTTGGTTTCTTCCTTTCTATTTCCATCCGGAGAGATCGAATGCACGGTTTGGAAATAGGGAAAGAAAGAAACTGACAACCTTGGTATTATAGGAACAAGATGCGATAGATTTCACAGATAACGACCTCTCCTCGCTCGGAAACTTCCCGTTCTTTCCCCGCCTGCACACGCTTCTCCTCGCGCGCAACCGCATCAAACACATTCAATCTTCGCTGCCGGCTTCGCTACCGCATTTGACGACGCTTGTGCTGACGGCGAATAATTTGACCGAGTTGGCGGATCTTGATCCGCTGAGTGGGCTGCCTAAGTTGACGCATTTGGTCTTGCTGGAGAACCCGATTACCAAGAAAGAGGTATTTCCTCTCCCCTCTCCCCGGTTTCCTTTCACTGCCGAGAATAAGGACAGCAATTACATTGCCCGCATCGTCCCCCGTGTTTAAACCAAAAGCTACGCTAACGCGGAACGTGTACAGCACTACCGCTCCTGGATCATCTGGCGCATCCCCTCCATCCGCTTCCTCGACTACCAAAAAGTGAAAGACGCAGAGCGCGCCCAAGCGCGCGAACTCTTCGGCGAGTCCCCCTCTCAGCCAACAACCCTCGCTTCCAAAATCATGGGCATCAAGTCGCGGACGTTCGACGTGCCCTCGTCTGCTGCGCCGGGGGCGGACGCAACGCAGGGCGACAAGGCGGTGCGGGTCAAGTTGACGGATAAGGAGCGGCGTCGGGTGGAGCGCATGATCCGCGAGGCGAAGAGTTTGGCGGAGATTTCGCGCCTCGAGAAGGAGCTTAATGAGGGCCGTATACCGGGGGGGCCTGGTGGGGGTGTGGGGTATGATGATGATGATGAGGATGAGGATCGGATGGAGACGTGATATTAACCTTCTTCCTCCGCATTCTTTATTTTAGGTCCTTTTGTTTGTTTGAAAGGGTTGATGGGCTCGGCGTTGTTTGTTTGATATTCGATGTTTGAGTATCTGGGCTGTTACCCTTTTTCTTTTTACATATGAAAAATATGGCATTATATGGTGAATCAAGGGGTTGATTATCTACTATATTTTCTGATGCTCATGAATAAGGATAATCTTGGCTCTTGATTATCAGCTTATCCGTTTATCAGATTGGATATGTCTATACGTATTGTGTCTTGCCTGTCCAGGATATTGCTAGTTCTGATGGACCAACCCTTTAACCACCTGATATCAAGTATGCAACGAATACCAATAAGTATGAACAGTCAATAGGAAATACCTAGACTTCAATAGATAATATCTAGCATCAACTCCAACGAGCGAGGGGTGTGTCAACGAGCTATACAGGGTTCAATTCCATTCCATCGTGACATACTATACCCTTGCCAGTGACCATTGTCCCTTTTTCTCTACTTAGTTCATTGCGATTCTTTTATCAATTAAAAGCGTTGTTCTCTTTCAGACCAAGGCTACAATATATAGAGTATACACATAATGAGCGAGATAAACATCATTGTTAGTATAGTGCCTCAACATGGCCATCTTGACGTGCCTATCGATACAGGAAGATAGATCCTCGCGGTGCATACTTTGACCGTATCCAGTACAGATATATGTACCCATGAGCGACCGTAGACCATCTCGATGCATTATTCCACGAGATTGATCTGAACTCGTGACATACTTGTGCTGCACGGGCAATCCAGGTCTCGCTTTTATCGATACCATTGATGCCTGTTTCGTAGGCAGTCATGGCCGTACGAACTAGTGGTATGCGCTTTACAGCGTTTACTCTGGGTGTGGCTTGAAGCAGTGCCATCACACGTCTTTTGTAGATGAAATTTTCAAAAAAACCAACGAAGATGCAATATCACCATTTAAGAATCTGTCTAGAACAGTTGGCTGAGTGATTATGTTGTACAATTGGTGCCAGTGTTGGTGATATCTTGACGCCGTTGATGGATGTTAGGATGGAGATGCAACATTAAACGGCGGTTGAGGAATAGAACTAATCATGTGCATGACTGCATCTTTTTATTGAAATAACAACAGCAATTATTAATGATCTGGAAAACAACAACGCGCAGTATAAGCCATACTATAGTGGAATAGTTAACAGGCAGACCGGAGAAGGCATCCGAATTCGATAAGATACCCCCGATAAGATAGATAGAATCATCGACGTCAGCCACCGTCCATGTCCGGTTCGTTCTCCTATCCATATCCGAACTAACCCTCAATTCAATTCAGTCAATTCCTTACATACTCATCCAATTTACAAATCAAAGAGACTACAATACATTCCACCAAAGTGGCCACCAAACGCCTCACCACCCTCTTGTCCCACCTCTCCCACCTCCCCAACAACCCCTCCAATCCAGCACCCCCCAGAACGTCCTCCAAAATGTCCTCCACCAGCAAACCCACCACCGCCGCACCCTGGCGCACCCCCCTCGAATCAAACCTAACAGCCCACTCCACAACCTCCTTCACCCTCTCAACCGCAACGCTCGACCCAAAAACACACCTTCCCACCCCCCGCTCCCGCACCTGCGAACTCCGCGGCTTCTTCCCCACCCCGCCGCTCCACCCCTCCGCGCTGCAGGCCCTCCGCGCGCAAAACGTGCCCCTCAACCCGGCGCTTTACGAGGGCGACCTGCTCTCGCTCACGACGGATGCGCGTATGGAGAAGACGGCGCAATTGCGCGAGTCTGGTGGGGCCGTTGAGGCGGTGTTTTGGGTGAAGGGCGCGATGGTGCAGTGGCGGGTGAGGGGGTGTGCTTTTGCGATTGGGGGTGGGGGGGAGGAGGAGGGTGTTGCGAGGGAGAGGATTATGGGTCGTTTGAGGAGGGTGACGGAGACGACGGGGGATGATAAGGATTGGGATTGGGAGAGGCTGGTGACGGCTTATTTTGCGAATATGTCGCCTGTTATGCGTGGTTCGTATATTCTTCCCCCTGGGTTTTGATTGCGTTGTGTTTTTTGCGTTCCTCCTTGTATTCGATCCTGCGATTGGTTGGTTATTCGTGGCTTATTGCTTACTTCTCGAGCAGGCACATTCACAGCACCACCCCCAGGACAGCCCCGTTCTCAAGTCCCCGCCAACCCAAACTACAAAATGGGCGAGCCACTCGAGGACCTGCGCGATCCAGTAGCGAGGGCTAATTTCCGCGTCGTGGTTATCTTGCCGGACGAGGTAGAGCGGTTGGATCTGTCGGATAATGCGAATGTTACGCGGCGGCAGTGGACGCTGGGCCCTGAGAATGGGGAGTGGGTTGAGGAGGAATTGTGGCCTTGATTTGGCTTGTGTTGGTGTGATGTTTTTTATGGGATTGGTTGGTATATATGGTTTGATTTACTAGATACTGTTTATCGATGAGGTAGATGTGGTGTTAATCTGAGGGCTGCATAATATCATTTATAATTATATATCTCCGTATAATCACATCACCCTTATCGCTTCTTGGCTACAATCAAGACAATCCACCATCAACACACCCACACCTCCACAACACCAAACCCAAGCCCAACCCAAATTCAAATCCAATATGAACCCATTGAACACGTGGAACGATTCGAATACTACCAACCCGGCGGCTACCACCCCGTAGAAATCAACGACCACTACCACAGCCGCTACCGCATCGTCCACAAGCTCGGCCACGGCACATTCTCCACAATATGGCTCGCCCGTGATGAGCAACTTAACAGATATGTGGCGCTCAAGATTCTGAGGGCGGATTCGGGGCCTGTTGAGAATGGTGTTTTGGCTCAGCTGGCGGGGTGGTCGTTGGATGTAGGCGCGACGATGGTGCCGGCTGTTTTGGATACATTCACCATTCAAGGGCCTAATAGTGAACATGCATGTCTGGTGACGATTCCGGCGAGGATGAGTTTAGCAGAGGCCAAGACGGGGTCGTGGATTGGTCTTTTTCGGATTGAGGTGGCGAGGGCGCGCTGGCTGCGCAGCTTGGGATGGTTGAGGTATATGCATGAGCGGGGATTTATGCATGGGGATCTTCATCGGGGGAATATACTTCTCCTCTTCCAGGCACAGTCTGACTTGGATAATCTGTCTACGAGGGAGCTGTATGAACTTTACGGAAAGCCAGATCTTGTGCCCGTCACTCGATATGACGGCCAACCGCCTCCACCAGGCGTCCCCAAACACGGTGTCATCCCTATCTGGCTCGGAGCATCAAGCAAAAAGATCACACTCCCAGAAGCGAGAATCATTCTTACGGATTTCGGCGAGACGTTCTCTCCGGCACGGGAGAAGAGATTCGAGTCCCGTACTCCTCTGCTCATAAGACCTCCTGAGGCTCTATTCGAGCCGACACGGCCGCTAACTTTCTCGTCTGATATTTGGTCGCTTGCGTGTACTATCTGGGATATTGTAGCGCAGCGGTCGCTGTTTGAGGGCTTTCTCACGGATGAGGACGATATGACTTGTCAGCAGATTGCGGCGCTGGGGCCGCTTCCGAGGAAGTGGTGGGAGAGATGGAAGGGTCGTGGAAATTATTTTAATGATGACGGTGAGCCAAATAATCGAGCTACGTCGCAGTATGGGCCTTTGGAAGATTCCTTTGAATTGGATGTTCAGAAAGCGCGGGTTCGAGAGGGGATGTCGCCGTTTGGATCGGGTGAGCGGGATGCTTTCTTTGAGATGATGCGTTCGATGCTTGCTTTTAGGCCGGAAGAGCGCTTGTCTGTGCAGCAGGTGCTTGAGGCTGAGTGGATGGTGAAATGGGCTATTCCGGAGTATGAGAAGATTCGAAGCGAACGGGAAGGCTAGTAGTGGAGTTCCTCCTCCCTGACGGGTGTGTTTTTGTTTGGGCCTTTGGCATTGTCAAGTGGTGATTTGGATTGTAATCTTTATCTATTGGATCTTTTGGGGGAAGGTCATCATAAATTGGAACTTCTCCAGGCGAGGTAGCATCTCTCCAATACATGAAAGCCCGGTGTTGCCGTAGGATAAACTGGGAAATGTACTGAGAAGCAAGTTATTTGCCAACACCGGATCATTGGCATAGTCCTTCGTACCAGTTTGCCATACTGATGTTTGTTAGTTTCAACCCGGAAGATAGCAAAGTCCTGCCGTGGCAGGTCAAGATCACTACACGTGACCGAGACGATACAAAAGTCGCTGCGCCCACACTCAACCGGCCAGTCCGGAAAAGTGGCACTGATTGGGGATTCCTCCCATCTCCTGGGCAGAGCTGAGTTGCTAGCTGACAGCTGGACTGCACGCGATGCGAGTGTCCGTCCATACTCCGACAGCAGCAGGAAAAGATTTCGACTTTCATAGTCCCACACTAACGCCAGATAGTCCGCTGGATCCTCATGGCCGTTGGAGAAGGCAGGAAGACGAAAACGTCACGGCATCTTCCGTCAACTCCATATCTTCTAGAAAATAGCCTCGGGGGAGGACACCGCCAGTTCGTCGGGCAACTTTGGCGGCGCGGACCCGCAATCCCTTAGACAGCGAGCATCCGCTTGACAAAAAGCACTCGAGAAAGAAAGAGATTGTTCCTCGTCAATCAATGGGGCGATGTCATTCTTCCGTAATTGTCGCAGTGGCCATACCACGCAGAGAACAGCTCTTTTTCAGGGTGCGGTTGCGCCCGTGTGTCGGCCAAGAGCTCTGAACCTGGGATATTGAGTGAAAGATGTAATAGTGGATGACGATCGAAGAACGTCGTTCGTGCGGCGCAGGTCGCCGTCAACTAGATGGGGATTTTCGACTTTGCAAGTGCTGACGGGTTAGCCCCCCCCTATCGAGTGGGCAGCTTTCTCACCGTGCACTTTCCTTGGAGGCGTTGGAGAAGCTGATTGACCGGGGGTCTACCTTAGTTTCAGGTGTTGCCCATAGCACCGAGCAATCCCTATTCGAGAAACATGCCAACCTGTGGATTTGTACGACGGGGTCGTTTGCGGGGCTCAGAGGGGTGCTGCCATTGGTGTTGGCATATATGTCGCATCGGCGATCCTAGTCAATCCTAAGCCGCCAGTAATTGCGGCACAGGAGAACGATGGCCCGAAACTCTTTAGTTAGATGGAGTGGTGGCCCTGGAAGACATGCAGGGCGACGAGCAAGGAGAAGATCGAAGTTGGAACTTGGAAGGGATGACACTTGCTTGTCACCTACGGGGATCCACCGTTTTAGAGCCCGGATATCACACTGTGCTGTTCGCCGCCATCGTACGAGTCCTATGGTGCAGTCCGTATTAGACGATATGGGATGGTCCACACTGTGATCAATCTTCTCACACGACCCTCGTGGGATCATCCAGGATCATCTGTTTCATAAATCTCTGTTGTCCATGGGATCACCGATTTAATCAATTCGATCAGACAGCCACGGTACTCCCCGGAGTCATCCCTTCCCCCTTTTCGTGCGTTTTCAACTAACCCGGTCCATGCACTAAAGAGCCGTGCCGCCCAGCCGAACAGGACAGTCGAGTTGAGCGGGCGATATCCAAACAGGGGCAATGGACGAGAAATTGGGGGGAGGGCAAACGACGGCAACGGATCGGCAGATCCACTCTCGCCTGGAGAAGTACCTCCTTAACCTAGTTGGGGATTTCATGCTGGTTTAGTCCATCTCACCAGCTAATAATAATGCGTGCTTTGGACATTAGACTTAATCTAAGTCTCTGACTGTCCGGTCGCAGCAGACAACCGTTACGTGTCATGCCTGTCTAGGGTAAGGATGCCGTTAGAACGTGCAGACCCAGGGTCGCCTTGACCGTGATCCTCTATTGACGGTCCGGAAGTTGGAATCAGTATAGAAAGATGGAATGTGAGATGGGTGTGGAAGACGTATGCAAGATGCAATACCACATTAACCCCCGTGGGAAATTCTCCATCTATCTGAGTCGGATGGAGCCGGTGGTGTCTGACATAAATGAAAGGTTCGGGGTAGTTATGAATTGCCTGCTTAATACTGATAGTCAGTACTCCGTACGGCGTAGATAGTATAGTTCTGTCCAGGTTGATCACGGAATGTCCAGCCTCAAGACCTTCCCTTGTCTGTCCTGAAGTGTTCTCGACCAGGATCATGATCTGAAGCCACATGAATGAAACAATCTCACCGCCAAGATTGATATGCGGGTCTGTTTCCGTCCGTCTAGCTTTCACCATCCTATACTCTATTTTCTGGTTGTGTATCTCACCATAAATATAGAGTAGAAGATGATTTTATAACCAAGTAAAATAGAGTATTAGTATAGAATCAATCATAAGGAGACTACTGGACTGGTTCCATGGTACCTGTCCTGTCATCCAAGACCCATGTGTATTTTTCCGTATTTTCCTGACCCACCTCGGGCTGCGAGTTCGGGCATTCCGTGGAGCCTAACCCTGATCGGTTAGATCCATACATACCCGCTTCCTTCGTGACAATACCCGACATTCAATCTATCTTACTGTCCCTATCCTAGAGTAGTATCACATCCTTACCCCAAGTATCGCGTACCACCTAGTACTTCGTACTGCGTACTAAGGCCGGGTACTCTCACTCCCCCCTCCTCCTCCTCCTCCTCCTCCCGTTGTCCACTCACTCTTTAGGTTTTCTCCTCGCTTCTCTCCACTCGCCATTCTAATCCACTCCTTCTACCTCCTGTTCTTTACATCTCTCTTTCTTTCTTCCTCCTCTCCTACTCTTCCCTTCAGAGTCGTCTATCTCACCCTCAACGGATCCCCAGGATCTTTAGGTCCATCACCTTCCCCCTATCGACATTGTTGATTCGAAGTCCCTTCTCTGGCCGCAGTCTATGGAACTCAACGTCTAGACTGGCATCCACGCTGCCTCGGCTTCTGCCACATTTCGGAAGAGAAGATACTGTCACGACCCATTCCACGACGAGACGATTATCCACTGTACATAACCCGCGACGCCCTGGTCCGTTGGACGTGGTCTGTTGTCGGATCTTCCTCCCCGACCCAAGGAATATTCCCCGACATTCCGACCTCAGAATTGACAGCATCTCGGCCCACCCCCAACATGCCTGTCCCCGTCGACCCCTTGGTCGCATTTACCCACCTCTCCGATAGCCTCCCACTTTGGACCGCACGGTTGTCCGAGCTGAGCGCCCATACGACGGCCAAACATGTCGAGTACTCGGATGCGTTCAACCGACTGACAACCGTCAAGCCACGCCGCCGCAAGAACAGCTCCGTCTGCTCCATCCACACCGAGGATCTACAGACCGACGTCGAGCCCAGTAATCCCCGCAAGCGAAGTGCCGACGACGCACCCTCAATTGATTCAGGTGACCACCCGACCCTGGTGAGCCGCCGACACCGCCTGGTCATCCACTACGATGGCCACACCCAGAAATCGCTGGAGGAGATGGTCCGTGACATTGGATCCGCGCGCAACAGCCTGCGTCGCTCCAAGATGTCGCAGCTGCCCCTGGAGGGCTTCCGCACCGGCATGCTCCGACACAACTCCCGCCCCGGCTCTGCGATACCATCGTTCGGTCAAGAAGACGACAAGGGTGGAGAAGACCAGCTCCTGGCCAACATCCGCAGCGCCCGCTCGCGCCGTGGCCCGCCGCCGCCCAAAGTGTCCGCACCACCCCAAATATCGCCCTTCGACGTGGCCGATAAACAGCTTGAGCTGGCCCACGGCTTCTGCGAGTCAGCCGCATACGCCTTCCTCCGGGCGGGCGACTGTGCCACGGAGCTCCGCGGTGTGGAGGACAAATTCAAGGCTTTGCTTGAATTATCGCTAGCTGAAGTACGACGACTCCAGGCGGAGCAGTCTGAGAAAGACGAAGAGAAGCCAAGCGAGGAGCCCGCTCCTTCCATCACAATTGCCTCCGTCCCAGCCGACAAACCAGACGGGTCAACCGAAGACGCCATCGAAGTCGACGACGGGACAGAGTCCGTCGAGTCGCTGGACCTGACAGCGTTCCGGTCTACACGACGGATGATGCGTGGCTAGTGGATCATCGTACATAAACTGCCAAATTCTGCACAGATTGATATTTTGGCAGATTCTCTCTGATTTAGCGTATCCTTTGTTAGCGATGATACCTGGACCAACTCTCCTTTCCATTAACTTTTTTTTATTCCACTCTTGGTCATTACATCTACGGGCTTTGGAGTCCCTATCTTTCGTTTCGATCTTATTGGCTGTAATCGCCGGTCTAGTTTTCATTCATTTTCATCGGTCAGCTGTTGCTCGATCGCAGAGCATGGCGTTGGGGGAGTTTTATGATACATGATATTCTACTTTGTTTTTTTGTCTAAACATAAATATATTTTCAATGGACGATGATGATCCTACTCTACTTACTCCACTTACTCTACTCTACCTTAGCTTGTTCACAAATATAACAGATTGAAATAATAAATAGCAGATTGAGTATCCGTACTATCTATATTCAATCCGACTCGGGGAATAAAAAGAAAAAGAAAAGACACCGCAGACAGAAAGAATTGTACAACACCACATAAAGAAGTAAGAAAGGTTACATAGTAAATGACATTGTCAATATCAAGTCCCCCCCAAATCGATGAGTTGTCAAACCAGGATCCTGCTGTGCTTGAACCAGCGTAGCGAATCGTAGCCAAGAAAGACACTGACACACCAAACGACCACGGACCGTGTGTGGGACAACCAAACAATCAGACCAGACCAGAGTGACAGGCAGACAGTGGACAGCGGACGGGCGGGAAGATCACCCAACCAAGTAAGATAAAATAGAATAAAATAAACACAACCAAGCCAAGCCAAGCCAAGCCAAGCCAGCCTGGCTGTCTGTCTGTCGTCGGACAGTATCTTTTTTTCTTATGTCTATTGTCATGTGGTTTGGATAACTAACTAACTGACTAGTTAGTATAAAACAAGCGAGGCAGTATGTATAGTATGGTATGTATGTATGATATGGTATGGTAAAATACAGCAGTGGATAAAAACCAAAGCGATAAACAAACAAACAAACACCATATACGAAAACGAGAGAAAAAATAAAACAGCCGGGAACCAGTTCCTGTTGGATGAGTGGTGGGTCTGTGAGCGGAGACTGAGAGAGCTATTAGGTATGATTGGGGGTGTTGAGTGTTGTTGGCGTCGGGGGGAAGCGCTTCCGGGGCGTGATCGGTGGGTTTTGCCTGTTTGGGGTTTGTTTTCTTTCACCTGTGGTTATGTTTTATTACGTCCGGTGCTGGTATTGATTAGAAGTGTGGATTTTGTTTGTTTGGTTCTTGGTTGGAGGGTTAATGTTCTTTGATCTTTATATTGTATGCCATGTATATAGGTGCCTAGGCAGTATATTAAATGTGTGGCATTGATTTACGGGATCATGATGGTTATTAGTATTACCCACCTTACAAATAGACTCTCTTACCTAGATAGTATCATGGTCAAGTAGATCCTATCTCTTTTGCGAAGGTGCAGAGTACGGATCCATATACTAACTATATGCTACACCGTACTCCGTATCAAGACGAAGTATCAAACTAGCCCAGAGACTGCATAAGAGCCATCCCAGTCTTCCAAGTTTCAATCCTTCATCATATTGACGTACTCTGGGTACGTAACCTGCCTATCTACCTTTGAACTCAAGACTAAACCATCCAGAATAGACGGACCATGCAGCAGTACAAAGTCAACAACTCGGCTTATTTCGGTAGCTGGTACTTCGGTATATAACTATCTGATTGATACTGATTGATACCATCAGAGCATCGTAATTGCAAGGCTCACCACGGGCGGACGGGCCCACATAATAATGAGATATATCATTCTGTCCACTGTCAGTCTGAGATTCGTCTACTCCGTGTTCCATGCCTGCTTATTCCGTACTTACTTGCATACATGCATTCCTGCATGCTGTATGCATGTTAATACTCCTTCCTTTCTATCTCTTTCTAAGGCGAGAAAATCAATCCTTGTTTTGGTGCTCTCTCGCGCTTTCAATGTCAGTGGTAGATAGATGGATGTCGAAACCAGGGACGGACGGAGAAAAGATACTCAATCCCTGGAAGGCTGTGTTTGAAGTATCATATCGTAGTTATTGTATGCTCGATTGGTCATTACGGATGGAAGGGTTGGATACTCGATCAACTTAGTCTCTGTACAGATCGGTATTCTCGACCATCGGAGAGATTGGATGCCGTGTTGTGTATCGCTCGTAGAGGATCGACGAATCTGGTTCAAATTATTCATGAATGGAGGACAGAAGGTCTAGCACATCTCAATTGGCTCCTCATCCTTTAGATTATATATATGGCTTTCTATCCGCTACACAGTTGTTGATGTGAATGGAGAATCCCAAACATCCGCTTTCAAGATTCGAGACGCCAAGTCAGTGATATTCACCAGTTCTCGTGAGATGTCCTTCTTGAAGAAAAAGACGTATCTCAACTATGGTATTTGTTCAACCCTCGTAGCGGATAGTATTGTACACGCGAATCGGGTTGGATTGTCGGCGGTTCCCAGCATACTGTCGCGGTGGAAGTCACCTGAGCGGAGAGAAATGGCAGAAGACTCATGTCTTTTAGAGGTGGAACCCACAGTCGGTTTTAACGAATAACAACCATCTGCTCAGTAATCCTTACCATCGTACTTCATCCATTCTGTGTGTTTTGAGTGATTTCAACGGATTTCATCCGAGCAATCGTTAATGCCAATTCCTGTCGGGGAACGCAAAGAGGCCCAAAGTATCTCTCTGGCATGAGCTGCGACGAAGGAATGGGCAGGTATCTGGAAGTAGACGATGAATCCAGCTAATCCTTGAACGCCCCAAGTATTGGACCGCGCCTGTCAGAGCTACATGCATCAAGTCCTGTGAAGGAGAATACATACAATTTCCGCCATCAAAGGTCCCCAGATCTCTCAATTTCTTTGTCCAAGATTCGTCTTTCTTCCAGAGATGAGTTCAATTACCCTCACCAAGTGAAGTGCTGGCGCGTGCTAAGGCGCAGCATCTCGCCGGAGTGCATCCGGACCGAAGGAGAGACCATTTGGAAGCCCCATATGTTCGACCGCCACCTGTTGTTTTCGAGGAGATGGCCTTTTTGTCAAGCGGGGAAGCTCTGTTGAGATATCCGTAGCTCAATGCCTATATGTCATTCGTCGATTCCTTAAAGGCGATGTACCTGTGCCCGAAGTATATGGCTGGCGCACCGACGGAGATGTCAAATACATTTTCATGGAGTATTAACGTGAGCTATATGCATGAAGCAGGACCGTTCACTACCGTCCGCGACTTTCATGACTGGTTTACATTTCTTTGCCGAAGACCGATGCCAGATCCGTACTCCGTTCCAGTGGAACCATTCCGCTATGACCTTCCGGACGACTGTGCAATCAAGTTCACCCATGGCGATCTCCATCCCAGTAACATCATTGTCACCCCGTCCGCCCCTCACCATACCCTGGCGATTGTCGACTGGGAGCAGTCTGGTCTGCTGCCCGAGTACTGGGAATCTTGCAAGGCGCGATATGCCTATTTTAGAACCGAGGATTGGTCGACGACCTATCTGCCCATGATCTTGGATCACTTTGCTAGTACTTGGGATTCATGGGACTACTACATGTCGTCGATGGGACCTGAAGTCATTACTTACGCACTGTTAGACATTTTTCCTCGCAGCCGCCACTGATTAGTACTTAATTACAGAAACTTCCATCACTCGTGAGATATTCACTAGACCGGTTAACACAAATTGGTATGTTGCCTCGCATCTCTGGATATGTTCACAGCAGTCTCGGGGCGCTCTCCACAACCAAGTCAGCACTACTCAGGACCAGGCCCTCGGCGATAAGTTTCTCGACATAGTCTCTCATCCAGTTCTGGCAGTTCAATGCCTATAACACTTATCAGTATACACGTCTAATTACTCTAACAGCAAGGCCAGCTTACCAATGAATCAAAAGGATTGGCACTAGGTCCCGGAGGCGACACAATCGTCGCAACCGACTCCAGCCGATCACGAGCAATCGTATCAGTAGACTGCTGTCCGTTTCCAACAGTATCTCTGATGTACCGGGCATTGACCTGTGCAAGTGTAATGACCTGGTACTTCCGATCCTCGAACTCAAAGTCGTAGTTTCGCTTGAATTCGAGGAAGAAGCCCGTGGCGGGGTTTCCGGTTACGTGGATTACCTTGCCCCTCTTGCCTGTATCTGCGTCGCCGGTAGGGATGAAGATAGCTTGGTGGGCTGGTTTGGGGCCGTTGGAGAATATAGCTAGGTAGATGGTGCGAGACATCGTGTTTGTATTGTATATTGTTTTGTGGAGTGAAATAGGGAGGAGGGGAGGTTGGAGTGGGATGTTGGTAGATGTTGGAATACCAATAGAGAATGCTAGCGGGCGAGAATCTCATTTTATGTCATGTCCTTTCTAGATCGGATACCTTGGGTCATGTTATATATAGCTCATTACACTACCCACTGGTAAGGGTTATATCAAACAAAGTTTGTAACAGCGCATCTACGTACCCGTAACCGGGCATCATCCGCGCGCATGTGGAGGAACATAGTGGAGCGTCTATAGAAATCGAAGAGTCGGGATATTTACGGAAGGATAAAAAATACTAGCAGGTGATAATATTGTTGTACGTCTTTCCTTCCTGTTTATGGTGGATATTTTGAACTTCCGGATTGGAAATCATGTTTCATGTTAAACGGATACTGAACATCATTACACCATATCCTATTGAATAACTACCGGCAAGAGTAATATCCAACTCCGAGTATCACTGCATACGCCGATCCTTCGTCATTCCAGTACATACAATGTCATCTGAAAATCAAGCAAACAAGCAAGCGGATATCGGTAACATGACTATCCATACATCATCCAGCAAAAAGTCTAACTAACCCTAGCAGGGTGGCCTGCCACGCCACGAAATACCTGTCTAGCTATGATACACACTGAATCTTTAATAAGAAAAAGTAAGAAGAAGAGGAAGGAGAAGAAGAAGAAGAAGAAGAAGAAGAAGAAGAAGGTCGTCTCAAGGATTGACCGCCCTCCCACGCTGGCAATTTAAGGCGCAGGGGCCGCCGCGACGGGGGCCGCGACGGGGGCCGGCGACGAGCCTGACCCCGCATACATGAAGAAGAAGAACCCGCCTGCGAGGACCGCGGCGATGATGAGCTTCGACTTGCCCGAGTTGTTGGCCAACTGCAGGCGCAGGTCGGAGACGAACGAGTTGATGCCGGCCGCTCCGAGCTTGTAGTAGGCCAATCCGACGAGGGCGATGCCGTAACCGAGGAACTGCTGGCTCGTGACGGGGTCGCCGAAGATGACGATGGAGGCGACCACGAGCAGGATGTCTTTCAGGATACCGGCCATGGTCAGGACCACTGCGGAGGTTTTGCCGATCTATGTCATATTAGCAAAACTGGGGAGGGGGGCATGATGCGGGGATGAAGAGCGTACCAGCAACACGACGGAAACGTTGAGAAGGAAGGCAACGAGGGCGTTGGCGATGAGGGTCGAGATGCCAAGAGTGTAGATGTCGGTCATGGTCATGCGGGGGATTTCAGTGAAGAGCGTCACAACGCCGTTGAAGAAGGCGCAGGCGGGCGCATAGTAGTAGAGCGAGACCAGCGCGTCCATCTTGAATTCGGCGGAGCTGAGGAGACGCTGGACCATCACGAGACGCAGCGCCTCGAAGATGATGCCGCCAATCTGGACTGCACGAAGTTAGTCGTGAACCGACCCACTCCGAATGAATAGGACGTACCGAGGAATCCGAACATGTCGAACTTGATCTCGCCGAACGAGGCGATCATGATACCGACGACAATGAGAGCGACATTGCCCAGGACCTTGAAGTTGACCGGCGCCATGCCGAAGGACCAAGTCGCCACCAGGGTGACCACCACGTTGGTGGCCTGAAAACCAGTCAGTCTGTGACGTACAGCCAATTTCCGAATTTTGAGGGCTTACCTTGAGCATCTGGATGAACGACACACTCAGGTAGAGATAGGCAAGGTTACCGCAGATCAGACTCAAGCTGAACATGATACCGATCGGCAGGATGGCCCTCCTGTAGTCTTGAGATTAGCATTTCGCATTCGTATGCAAGGGCTGTATTCCACTCACGCGTAGGTCCGCGGAGTCATCGGGACCTTGTGTCGCGAGTCCAGGATATGGGTGAAACGGGCCAGAATCTGGGTCATGGCCGTTGAAAAGGCCATGTGCCATGTCGTCAGGAAGAGGGCTATTATTATTATCAGTATGGGGTTCTGGGCGATTCTGCGACGGATCGAAGACGAGCGGAGGGAGACTCACGGAAGTCTGCGGATATGCCAGTTAGCGATCAAATTCCTGCGACAGGGGGTTACGGATTGAAATCCGGGCAATACTCACTGAAGTTGGCGGCCGAAAGAACCCATTTGTTAAACAGAATGACACTGCCACTCAACGTAATCCACAGACTAGACTCTGTCAGTCTTGTATTTCGTCCAGGGGGGACTGAGGGAAGCGCACCCAATGTAGACCGCGGGATGAATGTTCAAGTCCTTCGACTCGGAGTTGGCGGCATTTCCGCTTTCTAATTTCCGTTCGTCTTGCGACGTGCGATCGTTTGCCATGATGACGGGTGAGGAGGAAGATGTGACGGGAAAGACTGTGAGGGCGGGTGGGATGGAGGACGGGGGAAGGGATGGGTAGAGAGTGAGGTTGAAGAAAGGAAGAAAACGGGAAGAAAGAGAGGGGGAAAAAGAAAAGGGAAAAAAAAAAAAAAAGATAGGGCGATAAGAGGCGGCCAGAGATCCCGTGGTCGGCGTGATCAAGGGCCTTTCTTACACGTAAACCACCAGCCATCGGGTCCAATGGGGTGGAACAATCCCCTGGGCGATCGTCCACTCCCGCCCCACGGTGGATCCTCGACCCCTATTTCGATTTCCAGAATGAAACCCAATTCAACTCTGGGTGTGGTAGAGCGTGTTAGAGCCTTAGTGGAAACGAGAAAAAAATGACAGACTATGTGGGGATGTCGAATTACCTTTTAATTGCATGGCATGGCTCTTATGCACGCGCTATATCCGACCAGCCCTAGGACTACATGCGACTCGCACTGGTGGACAGTTGATGAAGAAAAAAAAAAGGTTCTTGCTGCTAAGTTTTTCTGGCGTTGATTGATGGAACATGATGTAATCTACTGCCTGGACTGGAAAGTCTGATGTAGGTTTCCGAGTATGTCGTAGGTATATGTTTCGACTTTGCGACACGGTCAATAGTATAAACGTAGATCCTCTGCAGGATGTGTTGACTTCGCATCAACCTCCGACCTATGGAGATACGTGAGGTATTCAGAAAAGCAATGGTACTACAGCCGGCTGACTGTATGTTTTGCGTGTTGACTGGCACAAGGTGAGGTTGGCAATCGTCACTAGTCATCCATGACGCCATCTCAGCGACTTCTTCGCAAAGATAGATGATAAGTAGGGATAAAGAAAACCGTCTACCTTGATAGGACCTGCTAGGGACCAGAGAGGGTAGCGAAAGGCATCGACAATGCCGATTATGAAACATAGGAGGTGATTAGCTGGCTCAATCGCCTAGAGTCTACCCTTGAAAGCCTGTAGCTGTGATCTATTGCATGATTCTTGGATGTGTCAAGTCGAACAGAGGAAGTGGTGGGGATAAGTGTTTTGGCAACCCCACGTACCTGTCTCACCAGGCCGGACCCAAGGTCGGCATATTAATCAATTTCCCCGTATATGAACGGGTTCAAGAACCTCCCCCGTATACGTACTGCGGTGACCACCGGAGTAGACGTGTCGAACTCTATGAGGACGCGTTCATCAAGCCAGTCTCTATCGTCAATTGTACCCCGAACTGGCTCGTTGACACCTGGAGAACAATTCAATCAAGTTACTGCCAGTTAGATTCACAATTCTCAAACAACATTGTACGTAGTGGCAGCACACAGCGGAGGTCTCCGGTCAGCACCGATCGACACCATCCCCCCCGCACCGCTCATCTTCCGCCGATGCGGGAGAACGCCGCCCGAAGCTACTCGGAAATTTGGACCGCCCCAGGCTGGTCTACTGCTCGGAAGTATTTTGCCCGTCGGCTGTCGCGGGGGTTGTCCGTACGGTGGATTGGAGGCTAGGGGATTTCCGAGAGCCGGTGCAGCATGTTGTGAAACGCGCACGGACGCGTGGTTCCGGAATTCTTGTGCTGTGAAGCGCGTTAGGTAATGGGGAGCGAGTTATCCTTTTTTCGTTGGTTTATATAAGGTCGTTCGTGTGAGGTCACGGTAAGACACACTTTTGTGGCATGGTTCGTGAGGGATCGTCTGACGATTGTGCGATCGTAGGTCTTGGTCACGGTTGCACGCCTGTCGTGACTGACTAGGGTACAGTGACATCTGGCGAGGTCTGGCCTCGATAGAGGATATACAGTACCGGATGGGAATCAACCCCAGAGTCATAACGGGTCATTGTTCTTGGCGGATGAAGACCATTAACCATGCCATGCGATGTTCTGCAAAGGCCTAGAACAATGAAGGTATCAACCTCGTGACTCTGTCTGGGGCAATGCGAGATACAGCAGCCTGGGCAGTTAAGTCAACTATCAGTCGGCTGGATGGGCTTCCCGTCGTTACGTGTGTTGCACGAAGATACGACAACTCGAAATGCATTTAGACTTTTTGGTAACTCAGATGCGCTCGGCAAGGATCGGTGCCAGCATATTACGACTCGGTGTCACTCGGGAATATGCGATATGCATATCGACTTACCACAGGAGTAATTATTCCAGGAACGCCTCCATCCCCTGCAACATGACCCCATCCCAATCGGATTCCGAGGATGAACGTGTTGGAACCTGATGGAGGTCTGACAGGACATGAGTGATCACCGCAACCATCTTAATGAGAAGGTTTGGCGTACGATTGGGCCCAAATCGCCTTTTGCTGACAAGTATGCGGCATAGATAACAGGCTGGTCAGCCGTTTGCCTGTGGATATCTCGTATAGCTAGGCAGAAATGATGCCCCATTGTCCCCATAAAAACGTTTTGCGGCGAATTCCCCCACATTGAGGGGAGAACCCTGTTGCAATCCTAGCCTCATTATGCGGTTTAGCTAAGAGGAGAGCGTTTCCACAACCGACTTATTCTGATCCGACCTGCGTCTCAGTGGACCATCGCGACACAGCCTTTGGTGAAACACACGCTCTTGCAGTATTCTGGCCATGAAAATGATGGACATCTACCAGAGGGACCGAGACGAGAGATAGCGTATACCAGCCTTTCAAGCAATAGACAGAAAAGGAATATAGCGATGTTCAATCCATTTCGCCACCTCTTGCAAGAAGACTTGCCCACTCTTGGGGGCTCAGAAATATGCTCAGATACCGACATGCAGCATATATGCAAACCCGTGCGTTTCAAAACCGGATTGACTTTTCGACCCGAGGAGTCATCAATCCGTAACTTGGACGTTGGTATTGGAATTGATCACACCTAAACTGCTAAAATTATCGGATGTCGAAGGTGAATCATTGACCTCCATCAGAGAATCGCAGGCGCGTTGACAGATTCAACGAATAGACAGACGTCATGAGGCACCTTTTCCTTGCCTACCTAGTCTTGTTCCGTCGCACGTCCGTGAGCGGTCCAAGTTTAGGCTTGTCTGAGCAGAACGCCGTAGACTTCCTTATTCGTGCTCACGATGACGAAGTGGGGTCATTGATATCTACCGGTATAGTACTCACTGCATATATACAGTTGTGTAGGAAGGGCGAGTCCTTCGATGACGCTGGTACCTCATCTTTCTTGCACGTCTACCCCTCTAGGTATTGGGCACGCATCCTGTCAGCCTTGGGATACGTTCCAGGCTATACAGGGTTTCTCTATCAATCATGTCACCGTAAGTGTTTCCTGCGGTGGCGTATGCCTCATATGGCCCGCTGACGATATTCCAAGTGACGGAGCAGCCTCTAAGCGGCCTCCAAAGCTACGATCGGCCTGCAACGAGTGCCACGCAGCCAAGGTGATTAGCATGGCCCTTCCTTTTCCTCTAGTAGAAACAAACTCATTGAACTTTGGTAGGTCCGCTGCTCTGGTGAGAAATCAGGCTGCCAACGCTGCGCGAACCTGAATCTAGGATGCATCTTTGCCATTTCAAGGATAGGAAAAGTCCCAGGGAAACGAAGCAAGGCAAATAGGGCAGCAGCAGCAGCAGCAGCGGCGGCGGCGGCGGCGGCGGCGGCGGCGTCTTCATCAACTTCAACCCTAGCTTCGAATTCGACGGGTTCCATAAGTAGTCCCACGACTTCTTTGACGTCACCAGAGATCACCGTAAATGAATTCCATCCATCACATGCTAGGAGGTATTCGGAAAGCCATGCGACTGATGTGGCAATCAATGTGGTGAATTATGGTGCCCCCGAAACAAATATGGACTCAAGAGCAATCCGAATGCCAGCCCATGTCTGTTCTGTCGACCAGCCATTACATTCGGAAGGCTACAGTCGACCAGAGTCCTTGATTATGTCCGACGGCTTACATGGATCTTATCCTGGAATCACAGAGCCAGCTTTGAATGACATAGACATGGCGCTCGCTCAAATGAGCGACAACTGTTGGAACGCAAAGATAGCCACACCCACCTGTGGCATGTTGTCTCCCGCCTTAACGAGTCCTGTGAACGAAGGATATTGGGCGCACGGTTGTCAGAGGAACTACACCGTGAAGACCGAAGGGGAAGAGCTCAACAACACCGACGGTATAGGAGGGTATATAGCCGACACTTCCGGAATTCCAGTGGCCCAAGCATCTACGCCTCCTGTCCCACAGCTGATGACACCCCCGGAGCTGTTTCTTGACGAGATTTCATACCCAATGGGTGTGATGGATCCATTGACGCCAGGAAGTATTTGCACCTTGTACCTCCACCTCATCCAAAGCATCGAGAGAACGATTCAGATCGGGCAACAGAGCAAGAGTGGGCATACGGTTGATTCGGTGCTGGCAGCCAACCAACGGTTTCTGACGACGCTGCTGCAAATCACAGCGAATCCCAATTTCGGGCAGGTATACGATGATCACTTGCTATTCTTCGTCGCCTTCAACAAAATCCTCGATCTGTTCAGCTTTGGCTACCGAGATTTCATAATGCGACTAGACGCGCACGAATCCGTGGGCTTCTCAGATCGATTGATACGTTTCGGAGTTTTCGAGATCGATTTCGTCGAACAAAAGATCATTTGCCGTAGTATCTTAATGCGAGAGTTGAAACGCGCCAGCACGTGTTTGTCGAGGATGGTGGATGCCTTGGGTAAAGTAGATCCACGGTGCGGGATGGGAAGGCATGAGAGCCTCTGCAGGGAGATGGACTTGCGCCTTGAGCAGTTGATGTGTGCCCTGGAGGAAACATTGGCGAGATGACCGGACCACCACCCACAAGTTTCTTTGTACATGAGAGAGATCATGAGAAGGATGGTACATATGTCGTACATATGGTTGTTGTTTTGGACCGGGCAATTCACAGCAGGAAGTTTGGGCTTCATCCGGCCGGATTAACAAGCCATTGGCCCCGTGCCAAACCTTCTCGACTGGTTGAGGGGTAACCGCCTGAACTGATGTTCATAATGCCAACCAGACTGGCGAGCTGCTTGTCACGGTTCGTGTTTGAGAAAGTTTCAGGGAGGTTGAGGCTTTCTGATATCTGATACTGGAATGCAACCATGGTCTATGCGCTTAAGGTTTGGTTAATAGGGATGATTGGGGTGAGTTTTAGCATTAATAATCGATGTTTTGGATTTCCTTTCATTGAATTCATTCCTTTCTCTTGTTTTGTTTTATAGTTGTAGAGTCTGGAAGTGTAATGGACCAACACCTGCAAGAGTAAAGATGATGCGTGGTTGAGAAAACAACGTCCTGTCAAATAGTGGGTGGGGTACACGTGATGTCATGCGCCATGTCCCCCGTGCAGCCAGTCATTTCCGCAAGATCATGATTACCATTGACCCCAGAAAATCTTGTAGATTGCTGTCTACTTCGGTTATTGGGGCTCAAAAGCCGTCTGCCCCGCAATGCCGCCTCGGAGGACGCATACAAAGTCGCGGAATGGATGTGTGCAGTGCAAGAAAAGAAGAGTCAAGGTGGGTCCAGTTTCTCCTTGCTTCCTGCGTCATTAGTTTCCCTCACCCACAATTACCAGACCACACCATTTGCATTCCCTGGATTTTCTTAATCTGACCATAGATATTGCAAGTGTGACGAGCAAGGGCCTCCATGCTCCAATTGCATCTCCCGTGAGCTGCTTTGCACATATGTGGATGCCCCAAGGACTAGCAATGTAAATGGGCCGTCAGCAGGACCAACCCCTCTACAGCTAGAGAGCACTTCGCGGACGGCCGATCTTGCAGACAATAGGTCTAACAGTTTATTCCAAGCCGTGAACTTGAGAGCGCTGGAATTAATGCACCAATTCTCAACCGAGACGTACCGGAGTCTCTGCAGTGGCCCCGCGGATGATCATTTCTGGAGGAGAACCATGCCGCGTAGGGCGTTGGACTGTGATTTCCTAATGTGTGGAATCCTTGCCGTCGCTTCTTTACATATAGCTTCGTTACGCGAACCACCAGAGGCGCTCTCATATATCGACACGGCACTCGAGTACCACACGCAAGCCTTTGCCCCATTCAGGCGAGCAATAGACAACCTCACGCCATCGAACTGTGACGTGGTCTTTGCCTACTCGGTGATTCTGATTGTCATTGGTATTGCCCTACCGCAGATGACCATGGAGCGAGAGACAAAATCCAGCATGACGGAGAACATCATCGTGGTCTCAGAGCTGTTGCGAGGCCCTAGTAACATCGTCCGGATTAGTCGGCCTTGGTTGAAAGAGAAACTGGACTCAAAGAGCGGGTTCTGGGACATTGAAACCTCTGAGCTTGACCCAGAGACCAACACTGCTTTGGATGAACTAACGTCTTTGGGTCGTGAGATGGCGTCCACCATGTCTGTGGAGCACCAGCATATCTTCCAAGGGGCCATCGATGTTCTTCGGAACTGCTTCTCGAGATACAGCGCCGCAAAGGATTCTACGCCCGTAGTTGCGTGGCTGGCCGAAGTAGACAAAGAATTTTTTTGTACCTTGAGACGCCGGGAGCCGCTTGCGTTGCTCATTCTTATGCATTGGGCTGTTTTACTAGGGGAGCTTGATGGGAAAATGTGGTGGGCGAAGAATTCGGCGCCCGCACTGGTTTCTGAAATTCTTGAAGCTTTGCGATCTAGTGGAATTCAGTGGAAAGGGCCATGGTTGTGGCCAAAAAAACGGTTGGGACTTTGACCCTCCACTACAAATGATTTAGCCAGCAGTATTTGAGGAGATGTTCCAATCGCACTGTAAGATACGAGAGTATGTAAGATCAGCTTTGAATCATAGTGACATTAGCTTCCGTTGGATCATACTGGCATAAACTTTCTTAGGTAACTTGGATGTTCACCAAATGTCATGCTTATGACAGAATGATCTAAAAAGAAATTGTATTCAGTTTCTACTTTTCTTCTATTGATCCCTATCTAACATTCTCTTCAGCTGAATCTTCCTTCAATATAACTATCCAAGGTAATTTGCTCTACCATCTCTCTTCTGATATCTGCTCTCCCTGATCTCTCTGCTCTCCCTGATCTCTCTGATCTCTCTGATCTCCCTGATCTCTCTGATCTCCTTGATCTCCCTGATCTCTTTGATCTTCCTAATCTCTCCGGCCTCTTCGATCTCTCCAGTCTCTCCATCCCTCTGTCTCTCTGTTTTTCTGTCTCTTTCCCCTCTCTCGCCTCGCTCTCTCTTGCTTCTGTCTTATCTCTCTGCACCCTCTCTGCCTCTTTTGTGTCTGCCTGGTGTTGCGTGTTTCTTCGTCTTCCTGCCTGCGCCTCGTTTGTCCTGCCTGTGTCTTTGTGGTCCTTCTCGTGCCTCTGGCTTGCGTCTCTGCGGTCCTGCTTGTGCCCTTGCAATCCTGCGTGTGTCTCTGCCGTCCTGCTCGTGTCTTTGTGGTCTCGCCTGCGCCTCCGTCGCCTCCCTGGTCTCTCCCCTGTCGACCTTGCTCATTTTCGGAAAATATGGCCAAAATAATCAATCAAGAAGAGATCAGCGCTGTTCTTGAGGCTGCTGTCGCGCAGCGTAACTCGCAGTACCACCAGGCTATTTCTTTGACAGTCAGGTGGGAAGCTGATGACACGCAAGCATGGAGGGACGCCATATTCTTCAAGAAGATGATTGAGAAGTTTCAGTTTCCCCCACCCGAAGAACTGATCCTCCCAAGAGGTGACCGCCGGCCTGGTCTTATACTCCAATCAAAAATCGCAGACGTCTTCAGGCGGGCCAAAGCCACCAACGGTCGCTGTGTTGTACTCCTCCATTACGCTGGCCATGGTCAACTGGATGATAGCGACAATCTGGTATTAGTCGAATCGGGATCAGGAGGAAAAACCGTGGACTCAGGACGGTATTTCCATGGGCTTGCTGATAATGATGCATACTTGTTAGATGACTGCAGTAATGTTGATGTATGCTACTTCCTTGACTGCCGCTATGCACATGCTGCCAAGCGAGGCCCAGCACTTGCTCCCCGCGTGGTTGAGATTATCGCTGCCACTGATGAGCTCGGGCCATTCGCCAACCAACCTCCTGGGAGAACGTTTACAGCGAAGGTTTCGGGTGAAGTGGTATTTCGTGAAAGACAAGGCCATCAATTTGTCGAGATTGCCGAGCTCGTCCAGACCCTCCGGGCAAACGCCGAGACCAGGCGCCAGCAGGACACCTCCCCCGAAGTCGCTAAGAAGCCCACACACCACATCAGATTGGGCTGTCGGTCGATCTGCCTGCCCTTCAATGGATTGAGATCTATTGACCCTGCAACCATACCGCCGTCCCTCCGTGCCGTATTCAGTATCCACATGGCCGAAAACATGAAGGACAACGAAATTGCGGACTTGCTAAGATGGATCCAAACATTACCTCCTTCAGTCTCTCTGAGCCTCGATGGCGTCTACAAGACATCCTCAACATTGCTGATCTTTGAATCGGCATACCATGTCTTCTCAAAGCTGGATGGTCTCCCCGGTGTTTCACTAATTCCCGAGGCCACTGGGACAAATCGTCTGTATGACTTGAAATTCAGAAGCCTCCCTGCCACCGCTCCTGAGCCGAAAAAAGAGAACATTCCATTCCAGTATGAATAGGGTAGATAGATAGCCCATGAACATGTTTATCATTTATGTTTAGAGGCTTGTCATTAAGGTGAATCTCAAGCCATGCATCATCCAATCCAACCGTAAGAAGCTCTATTACCTGCCTGGCTGGTTGCGTATGCGCAGTCTTCCTCATTCCTTGAGAAATTTGCTTGGCATGGCTATCTTGTTAAACAATATTTATCTGTTTTTTACATTCTTGTTCTGATCCACCTTTGTGGATTACCCCCCCTGTCTTTGTTATTGAAGAACGGATACCCTTGTCTTATGATAAATTAACTAGAAAGATACTCGATGACCAAAGGAGAACCCTATAGAAAGATGGTCAAGAAGCTTGACTACACGTATAGGAAGTAAGACCCCGCTTGGGAAAGATATAGTTTTTGAAACGTACATCTTAGGAATGGTCCTGGTAGGGCAAGTACTTGGTATATAAGAGGATACTGAGCAAGAAAGCCCAATGTATTTGACCCCTTGGTCTAGTGGCAAGCAGCATACCTGAAGTGCGGTATAGCTTGTTGATTTGTTTCTTGTATTACGGAGCATTCGAATATATAATGGACGGTTCTTCTACCTGCCAGATAGAGAAGACTACCGAGCAGTCAATGGATTGCTTGGTTTTGGTACTTTCGAATGCTACCCAAGTTATCCTGAAGCTAACAACCCACAATTATAGGTGCTTGCTTGAGTAATAGCTTGGGAATCGTTGTAATAAACAGGGTGCATGCGAAGTCGAAGGAGGATAAAATCGTGTGAAAAATCAAGATTGTTGTGATTCTTGTTGTTCTTAACCATGTGAACTACCTCATATAGAAGGGAAACAGTGTTTTGCTAATGTGTTCCTTCCTACTCTCTTTCCTTAACTGATCACTGTTCGAGAATTCTAGGTGTCACCTGCGTTTTGTGGAATGGTTGAGACCAGTCAGCTGACTTGCAGTGCTTGCAAAGCTTTTCCCACAACATTCGTATGTTGACTTTTCTTCCAATCTTGCAACCTCTTCCACAGCTTTGAGATCATCAATATCATCAATGTTTCGACCTTTTTCATCGGCCCCTCCACACGTTCCACTCCAATACGATTACTCTTTCCTACTTTTGCTCTTGGCATCCCTCTGATCTCTCTTCCCTTGTCTCTCTTACCTACTCTGGTCTCTCTGCCCCCGCTTGTCTGAGTATAGTGTCACTATCAAGGCTCAAAAGCCTCATAATATCTTTTATAACCAGGTGGCAATTACTCTTTCATTCATTCCAACGCCATCTCTTCAAAAATATAGTTGAAAACCTTCATTTTCCGCTATTCGAAGAACTAGTCCTTCCCAGAAGTGACAGTCGGTCTGGTCCAGTGCTCGAGATAAAAAGATACAGACATCTCAAACCGGGTCAAAGCCATTAATGGCCGGTGTATTGTCCTGATACACTATGCTAGTCATGGCTGACTATATGATAGAAATGGTCAGGTGTTGGTCAAAATAAGACCAAGAGGAAATACTATTGACTCCAGACACCATATCCATGGGCTTGCGGCTATTGTTAAATGACCGCACCAATGTTGATATATGCCAGTTCATTGACTATTGATATACGAAGCAGCCAAAAACGGGCACTAAAATATAGTCCAAAAGCTGCTAGACATACATTGGGCACGTTGTGGGAGCTTACGGCACTCGCCCTCTGCGTGGTTGAGATTGCCTCCGCCGCGGATGAATTAGGGCTATTCGCATACCAACCCCCTGGACGAACGGTTACGGCTAAGATTTTGTTACATAGCGCCTGCTCTGCCGGAACAATATCTGCATGTATTTAGTACTTAGCGGAATCAGTCAAATAGAGAATTGAGTCTTCCTTCTCTCCCTTATACCCCTTTCTGCGTACCGTAGTAAAGGCCCCGTCGAGGAAGCCTACAGATTTCGAGTGAAGTAGTATGTCATGAAAGACAGGGCCATTAATTTGTTGAGATTACCGAATCTCCCAGATCTTCTGTGCAGATGTTGACGCAAGGTGTCAGCGGAGTATTGCCATCTACTTCGAGCGGCCTTGCATTCATGATATTCTTCGATATTCATGTAGGGTCCTTTTACTTGATTAAAGTTTACCAACCCATGAAACAAAGGTTATAAGACGCCGTTTGAATGTTGTTCCATCAATGGGCTATCAAAGAGTCATGAACCTATAACTGAGTAGGCAAGGAGCATACCTGGGCCTATTGTAGAAACCTAATCCGGGAGGGAGTGTATAGGAGAGGGATAAAGTCGCCGGTAATCATGCGCTACTTGAAGGTAATATCAGAAGATGAGAATTATATCTATAGATTTCGGACATGCAGAAAATAGAGCATAGCGTACGGTCCCTGGTGCAGAGCCTAGACAGGAATGTACTAATCCTGAAACCGCAGATAAGTCGCCTGCACCGGCGCAACCACACCGTCGTAAAATTGCTGCCGAAACTGAGAGAAAATAAAATTCTTGTAGAGATCCCGCCCTGGAAACGTGAACTTAACACAACGTTCCGCTGCATCTCCATAGGAGTCTCCCGCAATAAGGCGTACCTCTTCCAGCTTGCTCACCACATCCTGGTAGTAATCAAGCTGCAAGGCTGCCGTCAGGCTCTCACTGGTCTGCCGGATATTTGCAAATGGCCTGTTGATGCAGAGCTCGATGAGAAGAACTCCAAGTGCGAAGACAGTTCTGTTAGGGATGAGATAGCTGAAGTCATCCGCGACTGGCTGCTCCGGACTTGTTGGCGGTAAAAATCTATACGACGCACATGGGTATCGAGAGAAAATTTCCCCGTCACCTTTTTTTCTCTCGAGAAAAATGTTCGTTTGCTCTTCGTCCCAGCGGTCACCGAGCCAGGGACTGCCACTCAGGTGCAAGACTGACCAGGCGGCGGAGGCGGCCATGCCGTACCTCTGTTCTGCGGACAGTGGAACATAAGGGGCTTGTCGCCGAGCTGGCTGCTCGTGAGATAAAAGTAGAGACTTGAGAGGAACTGCTTTGATGATTTCTGGCAAATCAGGTTGGTTGTGGTCGAAGGAGAATTGTCGACCTTGGTCCTCGTCTGAGTCTTTAAGGAAGCCTTCGAGTGTCCATAGATTGAATGCTGTGTCTGATATATGACAGAGACTGGTTATTTCGGTACTCGCTGTGGCTGACACAGCAGTCGACGCCGATGACAAAACCGACGGAGTAGGTGGCGGTGATGGTGTCCGGGACAGTGAAGGGAATCTGAAGTGCGGAATCTTGGATCGGAGAGAAGATGGGGAAGAAGCTCTAACAGAAGTGGGCGGTGGAATCTGTAAATTAGGAACCGAGCTGGATATCTTGCTGGGGGAATGTGGTGTAACATGAAGCTTTCGCCATATATCAAGCAGCTGGGGCGTTTGCGAGTGTGTTCCGTACGATAGAGCGATTTTGAAAGATTTAGCTTCACTAGATTCGATTGTCTCCCAGTCAAGATCGATGGCAGCTTGGTGAGGTGGTGAACAGGCACAACCAAATCCACGTTCCAGTGCTCGGTGAAGCGAGCTCAAGCACTGACGGATTGAATTGCAACGCTCAATATTGAAGCGGCGTTTGAGCTTTTGGACTGTGCCACTGTCATCTTCTGCAGGCATTTCGGGTTTCTCAACAGCCCTCCTTAAGTCATCATTCCAACGCCTTAGGTCGTCGATCACTTTTTTGCGCTTTCTAATGCTAAAGCTATGTTTCACTCGATGCCATTCCCATTGAGTCCTATTCGGCTAATCATTCAGTCGCAGGTTAGCTCGGCTTTGATCGTTAGCAACAGCACTTTATACCTTTTCATTGAAATCGACGTCTAGGCCCTTCAAAAGTCTAGCAGTAACATCGTCCATACGCTGAACGATAGTAATCAGTTCGCGAGAGATACTCGGGAACTTGGTATTGAAGCATTTGTGCAGGTCTTCCCTCGATGGCTGATCATCAAGTCCAAGGTTGCAAAGAGTCGTCTGCAGTTGTCGATTTTGCAAGGTCAGGTCGGTCTGAAAAGTCTCTATTGAGGTGCGGTAACGGTGAAAAGTCTCGAAGGGCTCCGCATACTTCTCAAGAACCCAAATCGCGATTGGTATACCTCCCAAAGCAAGACCAGCAATTTCGGCCATATCTGTGGTGCAACCACCTTGCGAGTCATCGTCAGCTACGTTTTTTTGTAGCGTGGGTTATCTCACTCATTTACAGTACCGAAAGGTTACCTACTCCAATAGTAATGAATAAAATTTAACTGAGCTTCCCTACAAAGCATCAGTGTAGTTTGCCACCTATAAATGCACAGATCAGTTATAAAATCTGAGCGATCATTGACGTCGCAGAGCCTGTGGTTGAGCGAGGGGCTCAATGTGCCAGGATGCGATCTGATCCCGCCGGCGTCAATGCGGGGGTTGGTGACCAGGGAATCTCATGCAACACGTGGCAGGGTCTGGTTTGGATTAGGTGGTAGGTAGCTAGGTCACTACTGTAGTGTAGGCGAATGCAGCAATAGAACCACACATGGGTCCCATTGGCTCAGAGATCCCTGTGCGATAGCAACGTTTCTCATCCTTTGCCCCCCACTTTTCCGACATAACGAAGTGGTGCCATTTCATGGTAGAAACCACGGGTTTGTGCACTTCGCGAAGGCCAGACCTTCAAATCTCTTTCCGGAAAGCAATATTGAGGCTTCGGTACCCGGAACTTTCTTTCGCTCACCGTCATGACGGCTCCCTCAACTGACGCGCCTGGTTCATCTCTTTCGGAGTTATACATAGAGTGCATACAGTCATTCGCAGAATTCCTTGTTGTCCTCGACGAAAAGGACTGCCGTGTGATCTGTCTTGAGCAGGTTCATCTTCCCGAGATACTAGAAGAGTACGGAAGGGTCAAGGTTTGGGGCGATCAGACTAAGGCAGAACTACCAGCAAGAGCTCGTGGGTCTTTGGACGACACCCTACGGCACGATGATAAGCTCAGAGATTTGGTGCAGGCCATTCTCATGCGACTCAAAGCACTCCTCAGTCAAGGTAAACCGTATAGGTTGGGCACTTGAAACTTTAATCTAACCTTGCTTTTAGCCACATGTATCGCTAGAAGAAAGCGTGATCTTGTCCTTGGATCAGACCGTGACTCGATTAGCAGTGTTAGCGCCGACTCGGAGTCTGATTTGAGCGAAGATGGCGAACACCACCACTATAGGGTGCCAAAGATTCGTCTGCTGGTCCAGCAGATACTGGGGCAGATCCGATCGCTATACGACCTGTCTGCTTTGCTGCGGCGCCCGAAGATTGCAGACAAATATATCAGCTCTATCAACTCAAGATCACATATAGCCACACTCAACAACCCTGACCACGTGCCACTAAGTGTCGCGTTCGGCAGACTTGACGAAACCCATGTGGCGGAGAAGGTGCTACAATGGCGCGGCTTGACTAGGGGCGTGCAGGGTATCGATTTTGAGGTTGAGAACGTTGCTCCGATGGGACAAGAGTTGACGGGGTATGGCGTTGAAGACATTCTGTGGTTTTGCCAACGACTTGCAGCAGCGAACACAAGACGACGTGAACAATTTCAATACTGGGCTGATCATCCATATGACCCCAGCCAAGAGACTATCAATGCAGCTCGACTGGCCAACCCACGTCTGGCCCAGTATCACACCAAAAAAGTGGAAGAAAAACACGAACCAAAAAACCAAGCGCCGACCTTTCAGCCTTCCATTCCTGGTTTCCAGCAGAAAGGTCCCAGGTCAGCTGTGTCGAAACAAAGTTTTTCTACTGCTCCTGTCTCAGACATTCACGACACAAAGACCAACGTACGGCCGCGGACCGTCTATGCGCCCACAGCCGTCGGTCAAGGGCGTTACAATTCTGTACCAAATCCCCCCGTCAAGGAAAATAAAACCACTTTTTCATGTCCGTACTGTGGGACGACTCTTGAGTCTAGCAAGATGAAGGACAGGCAGTCATGGAAGTGAGTCATCCCTCGAGTGCTGCAGCAGTCCAATCATGCTTACCAGATACTCTATAGACGCCATGTATTTCGCGACCTCCGTCCCTACATCTGCACATTCGAAGAGTGCCAGAACGGTGGGAAGCTGTACGTCAGCCGGCACGACTGGATCTATCACGAGCTTCAAATTCACCGGCGCAAATATGTCTGCAAAGTATGCCAGATGACGTGTTTCAACAGGAAGGAAATGTCAACTCATATTCGAGAACACTATGATGAATCAATCTCACCAAGTCAGTTAGGCGTCATTCTAGATCTCTGCAATCACCAGGTGGATATCTCAGACCCCGAGAAAGACCCATGTCTTGTCTGTGGAGAAGAGCTCCCATTGTCGGCATTGCAGAAACATCTTGCCGCTCATATGGAGGACATCGCCCTCTTCGTATTACCCAATACTAATGAAGAGGAGGATTGTGGAGATTCGAAGGCCTCGGTGCGGGGGGTGAATGCGAGTTCTCAAGACAAAACCAGTGATACAGAGTCGGAGGCAAGCGATCCTGGATATTTTGCCTCCGAAGAATATCGGCAAATTCCGACTGATTTCTCGAAGCTTCTCCCCAGCGAAGAAGTGGGATATAGTTCAAAGTTTATGTCGTGGAGAACAACAGACGAGGACCAAGCATCGGCACCGGTCGAAGCAATGTTGGAGACGAACAAGACGGTTCTTGGCGAGAATCATCCTGAAACGCTGACCAGTATGGTCAAGCTGGCATGGATCTACGTTAGTCAAGGCCGGTGGAAAGAGGCTGAGCAGCTCCAGGTGCAGGTGATAGATAAGCACAAGATTATACTCGGCCCTGAACATCCTAACACGCTATCTACTATGGCCGACCTAGTATCAATCTACATTAACCAGAGCCGATGGGAAGAGGCCCAGGAGCTTTCAGTACAGGTGATAGAGATGCGCAAGACTATAATCGGCGCTGAACATCCTGACACGCTATCTGCTATGACCGACCTAGCATTAACCTATATCAACCAGAGCCGGTGGGCAGAGGCCCAGGAGCTTGTGATACACGTGACAGATATACGCAAAACTATACTCGGCGCTGATCATTCGGAAACGCTGTTAAGCATGGCTGATCTCGCGTTGACATACCGGAACCAAGGCCAGTGGGAGAAGGCGGAGCAGCTCCAGGTGCAGGTGTTGAAGAAATATCAGAGGAAGCGCGACATGGACCATTCTAACCCGCTAACTAGAAGGGCCTTTACCTGGAAATAGTCAGGTCACGATGTTGAAGCCATCAACTTGCTACGAGATTGCTTAATTCAAGAGAAACGAAAGCTTGAGGAAAACCCTCCGATCACGGCATCCGATTCTGAGACACCGCTGAAATGGGAGATAGAGGCTGACCATGAATCCTCAAACAAGTTAGATACCTAAATATATAGCAATCTCTGCTCTATATGTTAACTTACTCAAATGAGATCCCATTATAGGTTGGCTTGGTGCGACTAATGGAAGTAGATCCACCCCAAACACGAAACCCTCAAACACATGAGTGGCCATCGCTGCTAATAGACTAAGAACAAACGGAAGATAAATCCCCTAGCGAGTCATTTTGATAAGAGAATTACAAAGGTTTGTAGACCCTTTTGTCACATGAGGGTTTGTTTCTTTAAGTGATGGACCCGATTTCGGCCCTTGCTGTACCCGCAAGACAACAAAAGCAACGACAGAGTCGCTGAACCAGACACAGACGAAGACCTACCAATCTTGCCTTATCTAGCCTCCCGGGTGACTCCTTCGTCGAGACAGCAATCGGTTCTTGAGATTGTGATGAAGTCCCTTTTCCATATTCAGTGTCCCTATGACCGACAATATGAAGGACGCTAAGATCACGAACTTGATAAAGCAAATACAAAAATTGCCACCGCCTGTTGTGTTTATAAGATGTCATCAAGGTAAATGATTTTCAAATCGGCGTACCATGTTTTCTCGAAGTTGAATGGCCCCCTTGAGGTTTCACTGATTTATGGAAACACTGAAGAACTCGTCTACGTGACTCGGAGTACTGGAACCCCCACGGCCGCTTCTCTTGGGAATAAAAAGCAAAATAGAAGGAGAACCTTCCATTCTCGTATGATCAGGGCCAGATAGCTCATGAGATTGTTTTGTTGGAGGCTTGCATTTTCTGGCTCTCAGGTCACCCATCATCTAATCCAACCGCAAGGAACTCTACCACAATCACAATCTGGCTGATTGTGTATGCTTAATTTTCTTTATTACCAGTGAGTTTGTTCGGTGCAGCTCTCTGTTTCGAATCATATCTAACCTTTCTCCGAAATACTTCTGCGGATTTTCGCCCCGTCTGTGTTATTGAAGTTGATAGTCCTTATCTGTCGCACGGAATAAAAGGCTAAGAAGGCCAAGAGTGTCATGATCTTTGGTAGCCGAGTGGTCAATATTATCTTGGGATTGATTACAGAGGCAAGGATATGGAAAGACTAGGATAATGTACAAATGTAAAGCCTTCCGTGAGACATCCCGAATCATAAAACCACGAGTTTACTATCATGGTTGTTGCGCAAAACGCTCCTAGTATGTATAAAGGTGGTATAGCAACATCACTCATCTCCGCACAGCTCGCGATCCTGTCATAAACGCTCAGGACGCATCGACGACGTGATCTGTCCAAATTGTCGACATCCCTGCTGCCACATCTCCCAAAACGGTGAAACCTCAGGAATAGCATCAGCCAGCTTTCTCAAACCCTCAATCCCACGACGTGCGTGCCCGGCCGGCACATCGCTCTCCGGCTGATTTAAAGAGCTATTAAAAACCTCCAACGACATGGGTCCCTGATACCCCGTCGCAATCACAGCAGCAGCCACCAACTGAACCGGCATATACCCACCACGAGACTCTTCAAAGGGATACAGCCTGTGAGCCCTCGACCACGGCATCAAAGCCGGGACATTCGCATCCGTCGGCCGCCGAAAAGTCACAGGATCCACCCTCTCCGCATCAGCAACCTGAAAGAAGAAAATACGGTCTCCAGGCACGGTAGCGACCAGCGCCGCCATAGACGCGCACAGCACGTCAATCGACTCCCCCAGCGTCGGATAGACACGACCATGACCAGCGGGGTTGTACGGGTCCGCGAACTCCACAGCCAGTATGTTGAACGCGTCTAGCACGAGCCCTACGTTTGACCGATTCGCCATGCGCACTGCTTCCCAGGTAGATGCCCATGTGTTTCTCGTCGCCCAGGATAACCCTTCGTATCCGATCCGCAGTGGACGCCCGCCGTCGGTGTCTGAGAATGCTTTCGCCATGTCGCCTAGTTCTGCGAGATCCCGCGCTACCGTCTTCAGATCGGACGTCACGCCGGGGTCTTTCCGGATGCTGGCGCATAGGAAGACGAGGTCTGTGTCGAAGGCCCGCATGAAGGGGAATCGCTGCGCGACGAGGTCCAGCGCAGCCCGCCGCTCAGCCGCGTCTTTGATGCCTTCAATATTGCGCGCCGGCTGTGTACACGCGATGCGCATCCCGAGCGACTTCACTAATGTGCCGAGTTTCCGTGCGACGGCGAGGTTCTCCGCCGTGGCGTCCCAGAGCTGGGCCCCCGGGAGCCCGTGCTCCTCTAGGTAGGAAGCCCAACATTCATCGAAGAGGTCGATCTGCTTGTATCCTGCTTTGGCGGCTTCCTCGAGACGAGGCTGTAGTTTGTGGTGTTTGGAATTGCCTAGGGAGAATGTGGCGATACCTGGTTCATTTGGGATGGTCGTCGGGGGCCATGGGGTTGGCATGGTGTTTAGCTGTAGCAATTGCTGGACCGAAAATTGTATACATGTGAGCTGTTTTATGGCGTGGGAGACACGCCTGCTTTTATGCGTTGGTTGTGGACACCGTTGTTATAGATGTTGTTCTAGACGAGGCGGAGAAACGCTCTTCCCATCATGAAGCTATAGGCTATCCGTGGGCTTCCGCGAGAACGGTCATCCAGATTGCGGGGAGTGGATGGCGGGCGAGTGTATATCCGGTGGACTGACAGGGTATGTCTTCCACTTTAAAATCCAACGGCGGATGAACGCTATAGGAATCTCTATGATATGTCCATAATAACATAATACATGAAATGATAATGATGTGGTGGTGAATATATGCGGAGCAGAAATGCGGTCCCACACGCCACTCCCTGCCTCAGGCATAAACCAGCCGATAAGGCACTGATAAGGCTCAACAACAATTCTGCCCCTCAAGTAAACACCATCATCAACAAACTCACCAACCATTCATCCACTCAATCAATTCCACCAAGCCATCAATTCCACCATGGCAAACACCCAGGAGAAGGAATCCCCCGAGGCACTGGTCTCCAAGTTCGAGATCACCCGGCTCCTCAACCAAGGTAACTACACCTACATATCCCCTCCACCAACCCCGCCCTCCAGCTAATAAAGCCATAAAACAGACCAAAACGGCCGACGCATCACCCTCCTCGGCACAATCAACAATCAACAAGGCATCCTAACAGCCGAGCGCGCCGCCTTCGCGACCGAATCCCCCGCTGCGTTGCAAGCCTTCCATGCAGCCATCACGCGCGTCACCAACCTAGGCGATAATGACATCTACCGCTGGTACATGGCGTCCTCATGCGGCTCTCCAGCAGGAGAAGCAACAGAAGCAGCACCATCCGACCTCAAACTCAACCTAATCTGGCCCTGCACAGAACAACACATCCGCAAATACTCCTCCCAAGTCCTCCGCGTCGTGACCGAAACGCCCTCCATCTACAGCACGCACGTGCGTCCCTACATGCAAGCCAAGCGCGAGGAGGGCCGGCTGAACTGGGTGTTCAATATCCTGGAGGGCCGCACGGAGCAGGAGGACGTCATACTGCGGGACGGGGAAGGCGAAGACGCGTTCCTCGTGTTGCCGGATTTGAACTGGGATCGGAAGACGATGGGGTCGCTGCATTTGTTGGGGCTGGTGCAGAGGAGGGATATTTGGAGTTTGCGCGATTTGAAGAAGAGGCATTTGCCTTGGTTGAGGGTTTTGAGGAAGCGCTTGTTGGAGGGGACTGTGCGGGCTTTTCCGGAATTGGAGGTCGATCAGTTGAAGCTTTATGTGCATTGTATGCCCCCCCCCCCCCCTTCTTTTTCCTTGGCTGTGAGGTGGTAAGTACTAACACAATTACAGACCAACCAACCTACTATCACTTCCACATCCACATCGTGAACGTCATGCTCGAAGCAGGCTCCACCCAAGCAACGGGCAAAGCCTTCGGTTTGGAGAATCTTATGTCCCAGCTGGAGACGATGGAAGGGGATGACGACGCCGGTCTGGCTGATGTTGACTTGACTTATTTCCTGGGTGAGGCGAGCGAGTTGTGGACGGATGTGTTTGGGCCGATAAAGGCGGGGAAACTTGAGTAATTGGGGCTTTCTATCTGGTTTGCGAGATAGCTTGCTTGGTTACTTGCTAGATAGCTATATTAGATGAGTAGAGGATAGGGTGGTGGGTAGATTTATGAGATGTCTGCTTATGGTGAATGATTGATGATGATGATGGTAGGGTGGGTATTCAATGAGATATGAGAGATTCAATTAACATTGCTATGAAACAATGGTACCTACCTACCTTACCCGAAACACATAGAAATGACATTCCAAAATCACAGATACTATACTACAACTCCAAACAATATGGAACCAGAGTAAAACAATCCACAACCAGGTGGATATATGAACTATATAGTATCTGACGTATAAACACATAAACAATCAACCCTATCTCCAAACGCCACCCATACCGACATCAAGACCAAGCTAGAACTGCTCCTCGTCTTCGGGGATGGGCTGTTTCTCCGCGTCTTGGTTGTTACCTTTGGGAGGCCATTCCGGGGCTGGGTAGCTGAGGAGACGGCAGACGTCCTGTAGCATCATTAGTATTAGTGAATTGCATGTGATGATTGAGGGGAGAAGAAGAAGGAAAAGGAAAAAGAGAGGGAAATAAGAACGTACCCTCCGACGACGACGAAAGTTATTATACAAATCCCTCCACACCTGCCGATCCTGACAGCCACTCTCCTGCGCCGTCCCAGGACTGATCTTACACTTCGGCAGCATCTCGACCAGCAATTTCTGCGGCCACATGATCCACGGCTTCGGCAGCGGCGCATCCGAAAAGTGCACGATCTTCGCCTCAGCGAGCACCCGCTCCGGATCCCAATCCTCATACTCGTTGCCCAGGAAGTTCCGGTGGTCGTCGCGGCGGAACTCGCTCGTCACGAGCCCGTACTGCCGGTGCGGCAGCACCAGCGCCGAGTCCGCGTACCGGTCGTTGAGAAGAGTCACGTCGTACTGGGTGGTTTCGCTGACGCCGACTTGGCCGTAGATGGCTGCGCCCGCGTTGTCCACTAGCGCAGTGTATTCGCGGTAGGAGGGCTCGATGACGACGACGAGCGCGGAGAGCTGTTTGGTGTCTGGGAGGGCCCAGTACGCGCGTGGCATTGCTACTTTCGCGGAGGGGAGGAAGAAGAGCTCGTCCATGTTGTTGAGGACGGTTGCGTCGGTGTCGATGTGGATGACGCGGTCGAATTCGGTTTCGCCGAAGGCGAGAAGCTTCGTGATGCTTTTGTCCCATGGTTCGTCGGATCCTTTTAACAGGGATTAGCTTTGCCGGTAGAGTTTTCCGAGGTGGAAAGTAAAATGGAAAGGGAAAATATACCTCCAGCCGCACGCATCATTGACGCATCAACAGGCACCAACTGCACCCCGTACCTCTCAGCCGCCGTCTCCAACAACGACTCGTCCCTGCCGCGATCAGTCTCCATGAAGACATCCCACTGCTCCGGATAGAACAGCACGCGCCGCGCCCGACTCCCCAGCCGATCCAGCGCCTCGAACACCATCAGCGCATTGCAGATATAGGCGCTAGACGTCGCGTACACCGTGTAGCCATACCGGGACCAGTCGACGATGTTGTAGTCGACGTGCGATTGGCGGGGCGTGACCTGGTAAGGCGGGGGATCGGACTTGGGCCAGAAGAGGTAGAGGAGGATGAGGGCGAAGACGACCCAGGTGCGGACGTGGCGGAGTTGGCGCTTTAGGATGGCGAGGAGCGGCTCGTCGGGAATGTCGAAGAAGTCGTCTTCGGAGGCGTTGGAATCTTTGCGACTCAGGGTTGGGCGGATGGTTGGCGCCATTTTTGCTGTTCTTTTTGTCGTTCTATTCTCTAATTTGCTTGTCCGTCTTACTGGATGGTGAGAGGGTACCATCCATCACGGTTGGGGTCGATTTCGGCTGAATTGGATGGATGGCTTGTTGGGATGCGGTGTTTGAGATGATCGGTCTGGTCTGGCTTGTGATGGATGAGTGGCGATCTGGCTGTTTGTTTGGTTTGATCGGGCTATCAATAGCAACCAGCCACATTTGATAGTGGATCCACATTCATTTCCACTTATGTTGCTCGAAAGTCTATACACAGGAATTCCACGTTTCTGCTCAGGACCGCTACCAAATTACAGTGGTTTTTGATTTACCAAATATTGTAGTTGCTCGATTGATGCAGACCATCCATAATATACTCCAACAACCACCTCGCCAACATTAAATGGCACATTACTTCAAACATTAACCTCCAGCGTATATAACAACACAACGTGCAGTGGTTTATCGGGTATCAAGAAGTGTAACATAGACCTCATCCATACTACGGCCGCGACCGCAGAGCGCAACCGGCTAGACGTCCACCAAGTGCAGACAATCGATCAGAAATGGATCTTGTCTTTGTAGATAGGGGGAATGCCCTTGTCCATATCCCAGTGGATCTTGTTCTTTTCGTCCAGCCACGAGTCCTCATCCGTGATGGGGATCACCTTGCTGCTGTGCTGGATCTCCTGTCGGCTGATGCCGAGCTCGTCGCGGGGGATCCACAACAGGGGTGGCTGTGAGGAAATGGCGGGGTGGAAGTATGCGTTCCGCTCGACCTCGGGCGCGTAGCTAGTCGTATCGTGCGCGTTGGGCACCAAACGACGCATCTGGGTGTAGCCGCTGAACCTGTGTGGGTGGAGCCAGCGGACGAGGAAGTTACCTTGAGGGACCTCGGAGGAACCGGTCAGGCCCTTCTCGGCGGAGTCAACGCTGGCGATGTTGCTCACGCGACCTTTTTCGCCATTTTCGCCGGCTCCATTCGCAGCAGAACCCTCCGGCTGAGGGTCTGACGCCCGGTGCATGTCGGCCTTTTCACTGGCCAGGAGCGCCTCTTCCTCGGCTTCGAGGTTCTTGGGAAGGTAGTTGATCAGGGGCTCCATCGCGTTGTTGAGCGAGACGTGGTAGATGATGATGAACACCAGGAAGATGATCATCAGGATCAGGGGCCCCACGGCGACAGAATTTCCGGCTGCGCCAATCGCGAAGAGACCGATCAGACAGCCCATCAGCAGGTAGCAGCCGACGGTGATGTGCTGCAACGCACGCACGTACGCCTTGCCCTGGGTGTCAATGTCGGCGTTGGACACGTAGAGCATGTTATAGCGGTAGGCGAAGTAGAACAGGTAGAGGCCGATTGCGCCAAACGCAATGACCAGCGGGGCAATGCACGAATAAGTGATCGCTGCGATCGAGTTAGCATGTTTGGTAGTCACCAGGCTCAAGGGGAACACGTACCAACAACGGCCAACAGAGTGAAAACGGGATACACGGTGCCCCAGCCCAGACCAGCGAGGGTCGACCAGCGGGTGTAGATCTTGCGCGGGGTGTTGTCCAAGAACATGCCCAGGATCTTGCCGACAATGAGTCCGCCGATCTGTAAGAGAGCACCGGAGCTGAAGGACAGGCCCTGCAAGATGATGTACGAGATGTAGAAGTTGGAGGCAGTGGGGATGTTGTTAGCGAGGAGACTGGCGGCGCTCGCAGGGTTTTCGATGATCTTGGTCGCCACACTGGATGCCGACGATGCAATGGTCACGACCAGGAAAACCTGAACGACCTGGAAAGCGAAGTAGAAGTTCTGGGTGGTCAATTCCACCTCCGCGAGACTGGGCGCACCGCCGATCTTAGCCATCAGACGGAGGATGATCGGCAGCATGGCCATCAGGACCGACATCAAGACCGAAGGCAGCAGCGAGTTGATGACACTGCGCAGCCAGCCGGGCGCATTGTAGATAAAGTTCAGCCACGGCAGCATGTTGGTCAAGGCGTTGAGATTGGAGATGGCACCAACAAAGGCGGTGGGAATCGCCCAGAAGATAACGAGAGCAAAGACGAACGCAACACTCAGCGTGTAGCGCATGATGCGCTCCCACCATTTGATGCGCAGGTTCTGCCAGATCACCTGGGTGGGATCCAGGCCGATGTACCTCGGGGCCATATGCAGGGGCAGGTTGTGTGCGACTACGCATGTCAGCAACGGGTCGTGAATCTAGATGGGTTCTCAAAGATGGGAGCATACCGGATTGATAAGCGGCCTGGGCGTCAGCCTGGTAGTAAAACTCCACGAACACGGACGAGACGAGCTTCGCATCGCCGGCTCGGTGCTTGGCCTGGAGTTCTTCAATCTCCGGGCTGAGGCGCTCGATCTCGGATCGCGCCCAGTTGATGGTATCAACCTTCTTACCGATGATCATCTTGAGACGGTGGGTGGGTCGGTCGGAGGCTTTCACCCAACGGCTGGCGACGGAGCCGGACTCATCATCGGGTTCTCCGCCCATGGTCTCCAGGGCAATCGGATCGTCGTCGGCGTGGCCTTGTTTCTTGAGGGCCTTGCGGCGGGCAGCATTCGCCATGACGATGAGCTTGGTCTCGGCCGCCTCGAGCTTCATGGCGGCGTCGTCGCGTTCCTTGACCTTGTCTTGCAACTCCTCCGTGTCGGTGGTCAGCCACACATTCTTGACCTTCTCGACGCCGAACATCCTGCGGATCCGGTCGCAGTCCAGGTAGTCCTCGGTGACTGCAGTGAAGAGCACCGTGCGGGACGACAGCCGGCTGGCATACGCCGGCGACAGGGAATAGGCCTGGCGCAGGTTGATGTAGAAGATGTTCTCGCGGGTAATGGTGTAGAAGATGAAACCTAGAGCACGGCGGTTAGACTCGACTTCCGGGCCTACGGTCTAACATTCAGAGGACCTACCGACGAAGATCCAGGCGATGAAAGTATGGGCAAAATAGCGCGCATAGCCCTCTTGTTTAATGTTGGACATGCTGAGGATATCCAGCTGCCTCTTACCAGCGCCGCCCGTGCCGTTCACCGGTAGCAGGACCGGGAAGGTCAGACAGGTGCCGACGAAGCAGATCATGGAGACGAGCTTGAGAAAGCGCAGCATAAGATAGGCGTCCATGGAATGGTGCTGCAAGACATATTCATCGGGAATCTTGTACATATCCCGCAGCCAATTGAGGACCCCGGTCGAGGACGGGGGAGTGCGCTCCTCGGGTCGCAAGACGCCGAGGTAGGTTCGGGGCATGTACATGCGGCGCTCACTGCGGCGCAGGATGATAAAGAGCACGACCATGATCAGGGCGACCGCCAAGGTCGGGACAATGGTGGTGACGAGGCCGAAGCCGGAGTTCGAGGTATCTTTGGGATCCTCGTCCGCACGGCGGGCCATCTGATGAAGGCCGGAGAGGCCAACATCACGGAGGTTCATGATGACCGAGGGCCTTATGACCCTTGGTGTGTCGAGATTGAGCTTCGATGTCTGTTGGGATGAAAGCCGACCGTGGTGACCACGTCAGAGAGTCACACAGGTAGCGAAAGAAGAGTATAAGGACGAGAGAAAGACAAGAAAGAGAGAAAGAGAAAAGAGAGGCGGGAGGTCGGAGGAGAAAAGAACGAAAGAAAGAATTAGTATGGTTTAACAAGCGACCCAAAAGATGAACGAAAGAATGCAGGGAAGTGTAAAAAGTAAAAACCCAGAGATAAAAATCTCAAATTACGAGAAACAAAGGAGAAGAGACACTAGAGGTACCTAGCTAAGGCAGAGAGGGGCGATCCAGATCGGGTCTTGTTTACGTTCTTAATTTTGTCTCAAGCTTTAACTTTACTTTCTTCGGTCTTCATCGCCAGTTAAGACAGTAAGACAATCAGACGGTAAAACACACATGCCAATTCGCCCCTCTCAATCCATGGACAGAACCAAATTGACTGACTCGATCGATAGGGATGGGAGGGTCATCCAGCTGTTCCCCACCCAAGAGGCGAAAAATAAAAGAGACAAGAAAAAGAATCTGTAACCCCATTTGATCTGGTGGGAGAGATCGGTGGGCCATGGGCGGTTCCGTGGGTGACGACAGTTCAGCCACGACCTTGTCTATCATTGGCAAATGCACCCTGAATCCTTGAATCTCGGACCCGAATTGAATTGGGCCCTGGGGGGAGGAAAGTTTCTTTCCCATCGTGACAAGTCAGTCTGTCCACCTCATCCTCATCTGGAGCTCAGCCGGGCGCTTGCATTCCCTGACCACTTTCGCTGCCCTCTTCAATCCTATTATCATTTATTCAATCTCGTTCAATCTCGTCTTATTGTTTTGTCGTATTCTGTCTTGTCTATTGTTTATTTACTGTCTCATACCAAGGGATAGAATATAGAACACCCCAATGAGAATGACGTCAATCAAACAACAGTGAACCCCAAATTTCATTTCCTAAATGCCTCTACTTCCAGGGGAGGCTGGAGCAAGGGACATCGCTAGTCACCGAAGAGGAAATGGATTTCCGTTGATCAGATCCAAACTATTCCCAGTTGATGCGACCGGGTCCACAGGACAAGTCCCACGATCCCCCAGTCCTCTGAGCATGATCCTCTCCAGCCACCGTCTATGGATTTGTTTGCGTGTTGGATGATTTCCAAATACATCTCTCTCCCGACCCATATCTCTACATCGGAAGGACGGTGGATGTCGCCACAATTGTCTTGTCTTGTTCATGGGACGGTGGTATTTGCAGCCCGTGTCTCCACCACGGCGGCACCGATCGTCTGAATGCAGATCTTGGACACGACGACGATCGGCATCTCCGTGAGGATAGGTTGGAGGTAGTAGGCAGACAAAATCATTTCTGATGGAGTTTCATCCGGGAATGTTCTCCGATCATCACTACTTACTTACAGAATCTACCCGAACCACGGCTGACAATAACATCGCAAGCAAGTGTTTCATCCACATCTATGTGTGCGGAAAGTATGCCCTAAAATCAACCATCCCCCCTGTATCCTCCCAAAGAACAGCCAATTCCACCCATGGACAACTAACCAATAGTTGATAAAACAGACTTTCCTACCCATCTGGTAGGAACCAGTCCTAAACTAACAAACCCTCGCCAAGCCATAGATCATCTCCCACAATCTTATTATCGTTAGTTTGGTTTAGTTTGGCATCTCACGTTACTGTAATCCAGTCCGTCCATCGTCCGAGCCGGAACCACAAAAGAGAGGAAGGAAAAAAAAAACTCAGTCCATAGCCCCTATCAAGCCACACTCGATAGTTCCACAGCGCTGGTTCTACATATTATTTACATTCATGGATGGCGTCATTCCGATCCAGCTGGGCAGATTCCGCACGATGTGGTGCATTCTTGTGTGACTGATTTGTCTGTCTATCGTCATCGCAATCATCATCTTAATTGTACCCAACCGCTGTTTGCCTGATTGGGTGGTCTTGGTTAGAGGTTTTGTGGCTGGGTAAAAACTTATGACACCTACGTAGTAAGTATATTAACAAGTGAGGAATAACGTATTAGGATAAGTAGGTAAAGGATATTGCGCCACTTTTCATGCGATCAGTACACTATATTAGTACACTCAACACTACCGTAAGAACTGAATGCCGTCATCATTCGCTCTTTAGGTATAGAACTGCAGATTAACCCTATCATTATTATAGTACTCCGTATATTCATGTCTAGTTAAGGTCCCCAGCGTGGTCTCCTAGAATGAATTGGGAAATGGAAGAAAGAAAAAAAGAGGGTATATATATTTCATCCACACCAACCTCAACCTCCCGAGTACCTATGATAACTAAACCACCCACCTACATATACACCTACATATACATATACATATACATACAAAAGAGTACGTCAATTACCCCACACAAGCATGCTCCCCCCCAAACCACACCAAATGATATATATATATATAGAAACGAATTAAATAAACAACAAATAAACAAAAACAACCGCCAAGCACGATGTCATGTCTCGACCTGTCACAGCCTAGACTGTCGGTGAGTGCAGGGATTTGCTTTTGCCACTACGTGCTATCGATGAAACACCTAAGTACGGAGTACTCCATAAAGGTATGTATGTATGATGTATGTATGCTGTGTGGCTGGGAGGTTCTGACAGGGACACGGGGCGGGGCGCTACTATCATTGTAAGATAATATAATATATGACGGAGGGCGGGGGCGGGGGATGGAGGATGGAGTTGGTATATATTGGACAAATTCTGACGTAGGATTTGCTAAGTGGGGTTGTTTTTTGGATTGGGGTTGGTTATTTTTGCTATTTGCTTGGTAAGGTAAGGTAGCTGTCTAGTTCTAAGAGTGGTGCTTATAGTGGAATTGATGAACTGCAATGGCAGTAAGAATGATAATAATGATTTTGTTGATAGGTTTAACACAACCTGATAAGGGATTGACTCTTGTATGTGCCCTCTATTTATCTTAAAATGTGAAGGAAAAAAAAATTACTAAGCGACTGCCTGCAAGTCGCTAAAATATCAATTGCAAAATCTATATACAAATCCAAATACATTCAAAACGCTCAACACAAGCCAGAAGGGTAGGTAGGGTATCAAACATCATCGGGGTCATCCGGCCCCGAAGACGCACACAACTCGCTCTCGAACGCGTCAATCCCGCGAATCGGCGGCGTCAGAGCCAGAAAGCTAAACAGGATCTCGTTGAAATGGAACTGCAAATCCGGACGAAGCTGCTTGTGCACCTTCAGCAGCTCGCCCGTGGACCACCCGCGCTCGGGGTCCTTGAGGTCTGCCTCGTAGGACTCTTCCAGCAGCAGCCAGATGAAGGTCTCGCAGGCGGGCGTGCGGTCGAGGCCGTGCGACTTGGCCGCCTTCTGGATGTGGTCGAGGAAGCGCGCCGTTTTGCCCGGGTGGTCTTGGAAGTCCCACAGCGCGGCCGTGATGTAGATTAGGGCGGCAGTGCGCATCACCTCCTGGGTGGGCACGCCCTGGACGACGTAGACGCGGGAGTCGAGCGGGACTTGGGATGGGTGGGGTCCGCTGGAGAGGAGCGGGAAGAGCGGGCTGTCCATGCCGAATGCGGCCCGCCGCTGCGGGACGGATGTGAGGTATGCGTCTGAGCTTTGGGCGGACATTAGTTGTTCGGCGCCGCGGAGGAATGTGCCCAGCCATTGCTGGCCTTCGGGGCTGATGGATGATTCCAATGGCATAAGGAGGTACCGGACGAAGTGGAGGATGACTTCGTGGATTTTGCTGGATCCCCCGCGGGACCGCAGCATTTGGACGGCTTGATCCTCGTAGCCTCTTGAAACTTGGCGGTCGCCGAAGCGCTCTTCCTGTAATGCTAAACCCGACAGGGTCATTCCTAGGTGGTCTGCGTCCATTGGTAGAGACCCGCTCATGACTTTGTCGATGCCCGTTACCACTTGTCGGGGGTGGTTGTGGACGTGATCGCCGTCCTCCAATTGGTGGAGTTGCGACCTCCACCGGGAACAGTAAGACAGGATGACTGCTTGAAACGCTAACGGATGGCACATGGCCGACCGAAAGATCTGGTCCTTGATGTATTTGTTCTGACCCGACCAGTACGTCAGCCGGTTTGTCCAGTAGTCGACTAAAACGGCGTTCTCCGGCGACGACTCCATTGGCAGACTGCGAAAAGGATCTTTTCTTGATGCATCGAGCATCGTGAGAGGCGATGCAAGGTTGAGATTCTTGGATGGGTGCGACGGGGGTGAGAGGGACGAAGGTCCAGATGAAGCCTAGAAGCCATTTTGGTCAGATTCGCAATGGATGCGCAACGTACCCCTCACTGGAGGACAACTTACTAGAGATTCATCATCGAGATCCGCTTGGACTTGCTCGGGCCCGACGTCCTCGCTGTCTACCGCATCCAGACCGAATTTCTTCTGCTGCCATGGCAGACATCGTAAAGGCCGAATGGGATGTTCAGCCTCCGCGCCGTGTTTGCAATGCTTGCGCTGCTTTCGTTTCTCTTGGACGTGGTGACGCATCACATGCGCCCGCTTCTCTCGGGAGGACGAGTTGGAATCGACAAAGTAGAACATTTGACTCTTCACCGGTTTGAGCCCCGGCCCTACCAGACGTCCCTGTTTCTTAAGGGTGATGGTACCCTCAGGATCATGGTCGGAACGTCTGGATTGAGAGCGCCCGTCGCTTCTGCCCTGTCCAATGCCTTGGACCGGAGCGGGTTCGTCCAGAGCGGGGGCGCGCAAAGCATGTCGGTATTTACTTTGCGGTGAAGCAGTACCATGACGGAATTCGGCATGAGTGACATCAGCGGACGGTTGGCTATCCCCCGGCATTGCGAGATACCTCTGGCGGAAAAAGAAAATTGTAATAAAAAAAATAAACAAAAACAACCAGACACGACACGGGGAGAAGAAGATGGGCTATTCGTGAGGATGCGACAGACTTTCACGGGCTAGCTTGCGCTCGTCAAAGCTGCCTACCAAGCATCTCTGGGGAGCAGCAGAACAGGGGCGCAACAAGATCAAATTTCCCTTTTCGTAGTCATTGCATCGCACAAAGGCGGCGTGGCTGACAAGGAACACAAAATGATACTATATAAGAAGGGGGAGGAGAGGGGGAAGACCGGGGAGGAGGTCACCAAGTCATCCTCGTGTCTGTCAGTGGTAATAATAGGAGAAAGGATTTGTGAGATAGTTAACTTCCGGGGCTTATCAATTTTGAAGAGGGGTTTCTAGGGCCGGGTCTAACTCAGTCGTTAGTCTTTGTTAGTGGTTGAGTTAGCCAGAATGGAGGAAACACGACGAGCCCCATTGAGCAGGGAGTTTTGGACTTGGGGGGAGGACGGTAGTTGCGACAAGAAAGTTGGCCCGAGTCCACGGTCAGTCGGTCGATTACTCTGTCTGTCCTAGACTCCCCCAGTTGGTGGAGAGCGCCGGGATTGAGATCCATCCACAGCCGCTCTGCTTGTCTTCTTCGGCTGCGTCCGTCAACCTCGGTTGTGATTGGGTGGCAGGAGCTTTGGCCTTGTACATTTGGCAGGTTGATTGGTCGCGGAGGGCAGAAATGTGCCCCTACTGGAAAATGGTCGCTGGGAAAAGGATTGAGGTGAACCGGTTGGCTGGTGCTGTCTGCATGTTCAGATGTGGATTCGAGCCGAGGACCTTTATCCGTATCGAGCAAGCGTCGCTATACTGGTATTGGGCTGGAAGTCCGTGGCTGTTTGCTTATTATTGTCGTGGCAATCATGTAGACACGTCTATCTTGAGATACGAGTCGGGGATACAGAAAAGGAGAATTCTCGTGTTGAATATTATATACTCCCTAGTAGATATTGCACTTGCGACAATAGATGATTCTCTCGAGTAATCAAGGGAAAAGAAAAGAAAACGAGACTAGTTATAGTTGGGACATGCATGTGATTTGCCTGGTTGTGTGACGCCCAGACCCCTATATTGAGTGTGAGATGCTCAGGCCACGATTCACAGGGGTGGACTATTTCCTTATATTGGTTAGTACCGTCAGAGCTGACACTAGTGGTTAATTCGATATTGTTTGAGGCAATATACAAAGTACGGAGTACACACTACACACTACACACTACACACTACACACTACACAGTAAGCAGTATATATAAGGATTGAGCTATATATGACTCGAGACTTGGAATAAACACTAAGTCATTGGCAAAAGTTTACTTGATTAACATAACTATATTCTGCAGTGTATTCCTACTAAGATACTAACCCGAAGCATCTATGTTAGTCAAAAATGAGTAAGAGGACAAATCGCCCACGATGTTAATGCCGTGTCACCCGTTACTCGATGCTAATGACAGCTTCGTGTGCTTCATGACTGATCTATTGTATCTTGTAACTGGGTAATGATTTCTTGCAAGAGAAGAAGTCGTATTTATATCGATTGGAGTACATATTCCACACATACTCCGTACTCCGCACCCCGTAGTTATCTGATTCAGATCTATCTTGGTATCCCCACAGTAAATAAACAGCAAATTTCAAGTCAGTTTCTTCAGTGTCTGTTCAACCTTGGCAGCGATGAGGTAAGCATCCCGAATAGGAAACAAAAACCACTTAACGCGTCGGTCCGCATTATCCTTTCCCCGACGCGTCGGGCGCGCACACACGCGTCCCACCGAAAGAAGAAAAGTCCCGCTTTGAAGGGCGGAGGAAAACGAAAAGCAGGATAGATCTCCAAACAGACCATTTTCCCAACTTCATGTGCGATTGTGGCCTACGAATTGACCACTCTACACTCTACCTTGCGTGATTACCCCCACCGTCCGTACAAACACCCCAATTGCAACAACTGGTTGATCGACCTGACCTCCCCCCTGGCCACTGCTTGGCCGCCAATTGATCGCCATGTCCTCCTTGTTTGACGCTGTCATCCAGTCCGAATTGGGCTCGACGGCCGGCTCTCGCAACATTCCTTCGGATAATTTCCCCAGTTCTCGACCGCAGCCCCCCTCCGAGAGCAATGGCCCCATGAGCGACGCCCATGGGGGCTTCCCTGACGACCAGGTCGTGGGTGCAAATGGCTCGTCCGTCAACCGTCTCCAAAACCCCTACGTCCCGGGCCCGCCGCCCGTCGTCGATGTGGTCGGCGAGAAGGTACAGCAGGCCTTTGAGGAGTTGCTGGAAACTTACATGGAGGAGCCGTCGTCATCAGCACCCCCGCCGTCGTCGGAGATGCTGAGCGACAAATACTATCTCGCGCAAATCCATGGCATGAGGAAATTTGACCTCTCCACGTTGTATGTGGACTTTAGGCACCTGGCCTCGTTGGATAATCCCATTCTGGCGGATGCGATCGCCAACCAATACTTCCGGTTTCAGCCGTTCCTGACGAATGCCCTGCACAACCTCATGGAGAAATACGAGCCGGAGTATTACGCGACACATCGTCAAGCGGAGAGTGCATCTTCGCAGGCCGGCACTTCGATGGCCGCCGCCGACTCTCGCGCGAGTATGTCGGATATGCCGGAGTTGGCGAAATCCATGCGGGAGAAGACCCGTCACCAGCAGACCGACAGACTTTTCTCCGTCGCCTTTTACAACCTCCCCCTCGTTTCGAGACTCCGCCAGCTGCGCACCTCGCAGATCGGAAAGCTGCTCTCGGTTTCGGGCACTGTGACGCGGACATCAGAAGTCCGGCCGGAACTGGCGCTGGGAACATTCATTTGCGAAACTTGCAAGACTGTGGTCAAGGATGTCGAGCAGACTTTCAAATATACGGAGCCGGCGCAATGCCCGAACCGAACCTGCGGGAATCGTTATGGATGGAGACTCGATATCAACAAGAGCACTTTCGTTGACTGGCAAAAGGTGAAATTGCAGGAGTCGTCGCACGAAATTCCCACGGGCAGTATGCCGCGTACAATGGATGTGATCCTTCGTGGCGAGATGGTGGACCGTGCCAGAGCCGGTGAGCGATGTATCTTCACCGGTACCCTCATTGTGGTTCCCGATGTGAGTCAGCTCGGACTCCCGGGTGTACGGCCTGAGGCTGTTCGCGACACAGGGTCGTCCCGTCTTGGGGAAGCAGGTGGTGGTGGAGTTTCGGGACTGAAAGCCCTGGGTGCCAGAGATCTGACCTACCGGTTGGCCTTCCTCTCTTGTATGGTCACGCCCGACACAACCACCCCGGGCCAGCAATCGAACCAGCAGTTGAATGGGCAGTCGAACAACATTCTGGCCTCCTTGAACCAGCAGGAGGCCGAGTCGACTGATGACAAGGCCCAAGAGGCTCTTCTCCACAGCCTGACGCCCTATGAAGTCGACGATCTAAAGAAGTTGGTTCATTCCGACTACATCTACTCTCGTCTGGTGGATTCCATTGCCCCCATGATTTATGGACATCGTCAGATCAAAAAGGGTTTGCTTCTGCAGCTGATTGGCGGTGTGGGCAAGTCGACCGAGCAAGAGAGTATGCAACTGCGTGGTGACCTTAACATCTGTATCGTTGGTGACCCGTCGACAAGCAAGAGTCAGTTTTTGAAGTAAGCTGCCCTCTTCCTCACTGGCAATGTTCGCCACTAACGACAATTGTGCTAGATATATTTGCTCGTTACATCCCCGTGCCGTCTACACCAGTGGCAAGGCTTCCTCCGCAGCCGGTTTAACTGCTTCCGTTGTCAAGGATGCCGAGACTGGCGAGTTTACCATTGAGGCTGGTGCGCTCATGTTGGCTGTATGTTGCTATCCTTCCATGCACTTTAGTTCCCCGTCCAAGAAACTAACTTTGATGTCCAGAACGGGGGTGGTATTTGCGCTATTGACGAGTTCGACAAAATGGATATCGGCGACCAAGTCGCTATCCACGAAGCTATGGAACAGCAAACCATCTCTATCGCCAAAGCCGGTATCCACACCACCCTTAACGCCCGCGCATCTATCCTTGCCGCTGCCAACCCTATCGGTGGTCGGTACAACCCGAAGGTGCCGTTGCGCGCGAACCTTAACTTCAGTGCACCCATTATGAGTCGTTTCGATTTGTTCTTCATCATCCGAGACGAGCCGAACGAGGGCGTGGACCGCAACCTGGCCAACCATATCGTCAACGTCCACATGAACCGTGACGAGGCAGTGGAGCCAGAGTTCAGCACTGAACAAATCCAGCGATACATCCGTTTTGCCCGGACTTTCCGACCTGTCTTTACCGACGCAGCCAAGGCCGTGCTGGTCGAAAAGTACAAGGAACTCCGCTCGAATGATGCGCAGGGCGGCATTGGCCGCTCGTCCTACCGGATTACCGTCCGTCAGCTCGAATCGCTGATTCGTCTTTCCGAAGCAGTGGCCAAGGCCAACTGCGTAGAAGAGATCGCCCCTCATTTCGTGCACGAAGCGTACGATCTCCTCCGGCAGAGTATCGTCACCGTTGAGAAGGATGACGTCGAGGTCGACGACGAGGAGGAGACTGCCGGCCAAAGGAACGGCGAAGAGGATCAAGAGATGGCCGATCGTGACCGCGAAGGCGACAGCCCCATGCGCGACGATGGCGAAGCAGCTCAAACGCAGCAACGCCCAAGGACCAAGGTCTCCTTCGACCATTACATGAAGATCTTGAACCTCGTCGTGCGTCGCGTCCACGAGGACGAAGCCGCAGCAGGCGAAGGCGTTGAGCAGGAAGACCTTATTGTGTGGTATCTCGAACAGATTGAGTCCGAGCTGAACAACGAGGAAGATCTGCAGAAGGAGCGCGATCTGGCGATGAAGGTGCTGAAACGCATGGTCAAGGTTTGTCTTCCCCTGAAACAGGCACCCACGTGTCTGTCTACCCTCTGACGTTCCCAACTAATATGCTTTACCCCCAGGATAATATCCTCATGCCGATTAGAGGCGAAGGGCTGGTCGACTCGGCCGAGGACGAACAATCAACGCGGACAGTCTACGTCTTGCACCCCAACTGCACCCCCGATGATATATTTGAAGATCGCCAACGGGGAAACCGGAGAAACCAATAAGCGTGCAGAATGGTATGGCATGGCATGGTGCAAGTGATGAGTGATGAACGTGTTTGCTATTTTTTGTCTAGGTTTATGGGGTAGATCTGTTGATATCTGTTTAGTCTTAGAATAATCGGTCTGGCGCTTCTGGGATTCCGGATTTGAACCACTCAATGAAATGTGAAATGAATTGAGATTTGATACTGATTACTTTATTACTTCTTGGGGATATCTGAGAAAAGGCGACAAGGCTTCGTTTATCCGTCATGGGGTAGTCTCTGTATCTCACTCCTCGTAAATATTCCCACGCATCTCTTCCCAACTATCTTCCTTTGAGCTAATCTCATCTCGTGCCCTTGACGACTTCACCTTTCCACCTTGAACCCCTCCTTAGATCCGGTCGTATTCCTACCGCTCTCTCTTGCAAAGCCTTCCTCTCCTTATAGACATCTATACTTATGTCCTTCCGCTATCAGGTCTTTTATCATCTCTTCCGTCCCATCGCCACTACACGATCCTTCATATCGGGCCACGCATGCCTCTAATGAGACTTGACTTCATCTTCCATCTTCCATTTTTACTCTACTCGAAAGATTATGCTTATTGAATGGCATCCTTGTCCGTCTCTTGCTTCATTATATCTTTCTTCACCAATTACTTGGTTCCTCCCATCTCTCCCATATTTTCTTTCGCTCCCATCTTTCTTATCTTTCATTCTCTCTATTCCGACTCTCACTGTGTGCTTCTTTACCTCCATCTGATGACTACCCCCAAACATCAATATCGCCTCACTTAGACCTCACGAAATCCTCACTTCTCCTCTTCGGCATACACATTTCATTCCCCCTTCTTCATCCTCTTTCCTGTCTTGGATCTTTCCTTCTTACATCCATCGTCTTACTTCCCATTTGGATATCTTCTTCGTACATCGATCTTCCCAGATATCTTCTTTTTGGGCCTCTCGTTGCTACATCCCACTTCCTATCTTCCCTACATCCTCATTCCTATCTTACCTTTTGACCTTTTCTTACATTCATTTTGCTATCTTCCCTTTCCACTTTTCCTTCTTACATCCATCTTCATATCTTCCACACCGAGTCTCCATCGATCCCTATCTCACATTACATCCTTTTCCTCTTGACGGCACACCAAGGCCAACCCCGGTCCAGCATGGATCACAGTAGTGAGCCTACCACTGAGACTGCCATGGATCTCAATAAGGAGCCTACTACTGAGCCTAGCATGGATCTCAACAGTGAATCTAGCACTGAGCCTGCCATGGATTTCGATAACGAACCTAGCAACCTGCCCACCATGGATAACGACAGTGAACCTGGCGCTGAATTCGCCATGAATCAGAGCAGTCAACATAGCATCTTGACTGATATGGATCTCAACGGTGAATCAAGCACTGAGGCTGATATGGATCTGGAAAAGGAACCCAGCGCTGAGCCTAGCGTGGACCACAACAATGACCCTAGCACCTTGGCTAGCATAGACCTCAATGGCGGACTTTGCACTGATTCTAAAATGGATCTAATTAAGGAACCTAACACCGAGCCAAGCATAGATCTCAATAAGGACCCCAACATTGAGGCTAGCGTGGATTACAACAGTGAATCTAGCACCTTGAATGGTATGGACCTCATTGATGAATCTAGCACTGAGCCTGCCATGGATGACAGCAACGGACTTAGCACTGAGCCTAGTATGGAGACATGCAACAAACCTACCACCTCGTCCAACAGGGAAGCAGACAAGGAGCCCAACAGCACGACTGAAACAGGGCCCGAGCTGCTTGATATCAAGGACAAGTTTCTGAAACCGCATGCTGCGCCTTCAATCGATAGGAGAGCCAAGCTGGCAGCTGCTCAAAACCAGCTGGCCCAGAACAATAAGCCGATTCCCGCGAAAACAACCCAGATTACCGAGACAGTCAATAACCCTGGCTTTGAGAATACGCCAAGGATGGAAAGCAGTGTGACGACCCCAGAAACAGCGCCATCACCTCAAGCAGTCAAACACGATGAAATGGCAACCACACCAACCATGGAATGTAACGAAATGGCTCCGATGGCAGCCATGTCAAGTCAAGGATGTGGAGCATCTGTCCCATCTGCTGACGAACCCTCGATCACTGAAACTACGCAGCCATCATGTCCGAATGGTGATTATTCTGTTCTTCCTGACCGTACTGAGTTCCCTACTGGCGGAAGCAAATTTCCCACTGCTGGTGATGAGGACGACGATTTATTCGTTCCAACTGATGACATCACAATGAACGATATTGGAGCATTGCAAACCTTCACATATGGCCAACCCTCAGTGATGAATGAGACGGTCAATGAAAATCAAGAATACCCGCCGAAGCCTGCATCAGCCCAGGTCAACAGAGAGCCCGCTGTTTTTCCAGGTGACACCGCTGCCAACGATGATACTCACTGTGAGGACCCTGAGTGGCCAGAAACATTGCTCAATTCTGTCAACGATCAAGACTCATCAGAGTATGTATTTCCCCTTCCATGATTCCTGAACTTATGCTGAGCTTCTGAGATTTGAAAAAACGAAAGCATGGTTTGAAGGCCTTTCGAATCCCACTATGGAAGACAGATTTTGCTATGAGGCGGCGAAAGCGGATGATGATGCTCGCCAAAAAAGGCTTGCAAATAGAAAGGCCCTTGAAGAGCAGCGACTGGTTGACGACGAAGAACTTCCTTTCAACGAGTATGGACTTGGTAACACATCTCGAGGCCAATTGCCAGATACAGAGGATACCGGGCACACGAAAGTCATTAGTACAAAACCCACAACGGCTAGGCGCAAAAGAACCAACAGAATTTCTGAAAGTGAAAAACGCCGAAGCATGCAGGTCGGACTTGATGCCATCTTGGGGCCGGTATTGAACAAGGAAAAGCCCCTAAAACGCAGAAACGCCGGTTCAACCCAGCCAGGTCCCAGCAAAAAGACTAAGAAAAATAAGGGAATAGCTATACGACAGTTTCTTGGGTCCGACTTATTCGAGGACGCACGGGCTAACTCTTTGCTCCCAGGGATTCCAGCATCTAGTACCAAAGACAAAGCCAAGGCTCTTCTTGAATTGATTGCTAATGTCCCGACCGAGGACCGGAAAGAGGCAGTGTCCGACAAGCGGAAGGTATTGGAAGCAACTCGGAAATTTACAAAATCAGCCAGAAGTGATGGGAAAGGAGGCTGGAGGATTCAAGGCTTAAATACAAGTCTTTATCATCATCAGGTTGGAAGCCCCATTGGTTTACTTTGGAGCAAACTAAACAAAATAGCTCTTGGGGGCAGGTTTTATGGTAAGCACCGGCCATCCAAGTTTCTGTATAACTCAACTAACAACTGTAGCGTGACCGAGAAAACTCTACCCATGCTCCATTCGGAGGACTGATGTGCGACTTCATGGGGTTTGGAAAAACGATACAGGCTTTAGGTGAGATATATCAACCAACTAAGATGGTGCAGGGATGTATCTAATCCCAATTTAGCGAATATTATTGATGGCCAACCTTGCGAGCCCAATGATCCCTTGAGAACAACTTTGATCGTTGTCCCATCGCACCTCATGCAGCATTGGTATAACTCTCTAATGATCAGTGTTCTGGAACTGTAATAGCTAATGTTAGCAGGAAAAACCAAATACTCAAACATTGTGACATGGGAGCCATGGGCAAGGTTCTGGTGTACTGCGCTCATTCAAGGATGGAAACGCTCGACCTTATCAAAGACATCCAAAACTTTTCTGTCGTGTAAGCATACGTCCCTGATTTGTTTTGCAAATAGCTTATATTATTCCAACAACAGAATCACAACGTATGATGAGGTCAGACGATCGTATCCTCGTTGCATAAAACCCGAAGCACTCGAAGACGAAGATACAATCAGAGAATGGTGGAGTGAAGCTTACGAAAAGAACACTGGCCCTTTGCATCTGATAAAATTCTTAAGAATCATCCTTGATGGTCTGTGTGACTTCAAACTCCACCCTTCTTGAAAGCCAAAGCTAAATTATGTCTTCAGAGGGACATGTCATCAAGAATCATGCTGCACGGATCTCCATTGCTGTACGTGCCCTAACCGGCAAATTTAAATGGATCTTAAGCGGGACTCCTATACACAAGCAAGTATTAACTTATTCGCTTATATTCTGTTTATACGGGACAAGTGAAAAAAAAAAAAAAAAAATACCTCAATAGTATGAAAAACCAACTGATGGGGGTTCTATAGTCATATCAATGAATTCTACCCGCATTTCGATTTCCTTGGTGTCCCCCAACTTGGAGACTTCGGCAAATTCGTTAAACAATACTGCAGGGCAAGTGCGGTTAGTACCAACGTTTGACATGGATCTAATATTCTATAATAGGACGATGAGGCAGAGCAACGTCTTGTAAACATTCTCCGATCTTTTATGATCAAACGAACTCACCAGAGCAAGCTTTTCTCGCTCCCGGTCATCAAGCTTCCCGATCTCGATGAGGAGGTTGTTGTGGTTACCTTCTGCGAAGCCGAGCGCGCTATCTACGAAAGAATTGTCGATTGGTTTATAAAGAACATGGATGGTCAGAATATCAAAATCCCGCATTCAAATGAATTGACCGTCTAACATGGAATGTACTGCAGATCACGCCGAGGCGGAAGACAGTAAACTGATCCAATCTCGGTGCTTCTTGACCATGGTTTTGGTTTTACGTATGTTCTGCAGTCACATACTGAATACTCAGAAGATAGTCAAGAGATTGCTATCTGGGCCCTTTCTGCAAGAGCTCAGAATAAAACTTTTAAGTGATGAAAACACAGTGGGTCAAGACACGTCAAGGATAATAATCAAGTGGCTTCTAGCCATGAGAAAAGACACGGGATTGCGCGCCTCACAGCAGGAACCTCAACCACCCTCCGAAGATGCCGGTCAGTTAGCGGAAAAAATTCAAGGGGATTCAATGAAGCTTGTTGGACAGTTCCGCCAGCTCATGTGCGAGCTTCACGAGCAAGAAAACTGGGTGGAACGTCTGGAAAGGACTTCCTGCGCCACTTGCGGATTACAGCCGGTAAATACAGTCATTACAGACTGCATGCACTTATACTGCGAGGAATGCTACTATCTTATCAACAATACAAAAGCTTCTACTGAAGGGCGTCCGTGTGCCAAGTGCAACTCGAATATCAAAGAAGCTGCACAGTGTTGCTTCAGTGAGGATATGGCGCTGGACAATCCCTCGTTGTCCCAAGTTATGCCATCGACCAGCAAGAAGCAGCCACGCGAGAACAAAAGAAAAGCGAAGAGGAATTCTAAAAACACCCTGAGAAAGATCGTTACACCTAGGACAGAAGAGAGTGATGAGCCCCAAGGTGAAGACGAAGACACTGATTGGATCATGGCTTCCAACGGAGATATGCCTGGGGCAAAGCTGAGCAAAATACTCGAGATTATCCGTGGTTGGATTGAAAATAATCCAGGCGTCAAAATTGTCGTCTTCACTCAGTTCCTCGATTTTGTCCAGATCCTAGTGGCCTCGTTACGCCGCGAGAACATCCCAAGTGTCTGTGTGAGTGATCTTCCCGTCTAAAGAGATGTATAGGTAGGTAAACAATAATCTTACATGATCGGCAGTTGACTGGAAAGATGCGACCCGAGTACCGCGAAGAAAGCATGAATAAATTCTCTGAAGACTCCAGCATCAGGGTTATGATCGCCAGCCTCAAGGCCGGAGGCATTGGGCTTGACATGACTGCCGCCCACAAGTGCATCCTTGTGAATTTGTGGTGGAACGAGGCTATCCAATATCAGGTATGATGACCGACCTCTTAACAACGGTCCATTCGAGATACTAATTCTGGTTTCGTTCACTTTTCTACTATAGGCGTTTTGCCGTCTCTGGAGAATCGGCCAGAGTAAACCCGTGATGTGTATCAAGATGATCGTGGAAGATACAATCGATGACTACCTGTTGAAGCTTCAGTTGAAGAAGACTGCCGGGATCAACAGCACAATGGATTCCAAAGTCTTAGAGAATCGTGCCACTGTCAAATCGTTGCTCGAGATGTTCGGGGCCACGGTCGAGGAGAATGAGAATGGAGCTTTCATTGTGACTCGCAATCGGAAGTCGCGAAAAGATGCAAAATGATGATGCATCAATCTAATTACATTTGTCGTTGGAATTGCGAAATTGGGCCAATCGCCAAACATGAGGTGCATATTTCTCGGATTGGATTCTCAGCACCACGTCTCTGCCGTTTCACTTCTTGCTTTCCTCCTTTTTTTGCAGTTACTATACCCCTATCTTCTTGATGCCCAGCTATCTTATGCTTCAACTGTCTACTACTTTTCCTTACACCACAAGAGATATACAAGCAAGGTGGTACTTTTTTTATGATGGTGATTGGGGCCAGTCTTTTCTTCACCAGTGAAACCCCATCGATCTTATCTATATGCATTTCCAAATTTCTTATTACTCTTCTAGGATAAGAGAATACAATAGTGCATGCAATTCTCATCAAATTCACTAGCTAAATTCCATACTCGTAAAGAAGATATGATAGTAGAAAGACATGACATACCGGAGGTAGACAGGAACTCTTAATCGACTAGACATCTCCCGCGTACTTGATCTGACCGATAGTCCAGCTTTATTCCCCACCTCAATAGATAGAATAGATAGTCCTGGTACATAAATCTTGACTATATTAGCGATGGTGCCTAAATATGTCTATAAGAAACCCTCTTCCACTAATGTGAAGAGACTCTGCGATTTCAGATCAACCGAGTACAGACTGATTAGTACGATATAAGATTATCACTAAGTAGAGTTGTCCTAGAGTTATTGATAATAATGACCTCAAAAAAAAATTCCAAAATATCACAGAAGTTTTAATGATATAACCAAGAGAACAATGTAGTCATCTAGTCTATAATTTTTAGACAACGGGTTGAGTGAAGACCAATACTTGAATAACACTTAAATATAGTGATTGGCAATCTACGGGAGAGTGTTTCGGATATTGAAGCATCCTCATGTCATGAAACGACTTTTTCAAACAACGCCTGAACAGTGAAATGCCCTGTTCCGCTCACTTGAAGTACTTTAAGTCCTAATCGCTTCGAGGGAACAGTATATCATGACCCAGAATCCATTCCCACAGATCCACTATCAGTATGGTTAATCGGTATATCATCTTTTCTTTGAACTAAGGAGTCCTGCTACACTGCCTGTGTATAGACACTTGAGTACCATTTGTCATATTATCCATTCGTACCTCACATCCTGAGAGTATTAGCACAAGCAACAACCCAGTCGAGAAAATGTTTCACTGTTCCTGGATATTCTGCTGGGATATCAATCATATCAAGCCTAATCAAATACCGATTCAGTATTTTGGTGCAGTAGCCGATATGTCTACGTACACTCGGCTCCCGAGAAAAGATCAAACGACGCCTAGCATAGTTCTTGCAGACAACTTGGACAGGCGAGAGCCTTGAACTTAAACATCTCTTGACGTCGTGTCGATCAACGAGTACATATGTCTCTTTAGACGCTCTCCAAACCCGTCAACAGATACTCAGCTTCGGACCGGTAACAGAAAAGGACCTAGCATCATGCCGTCTGACGAGACTCGACCTTGAAAGTCTATGAGGCTTTACTATCTACGCCGACTGATCTTTTACGAAAGTTATGCTACTTCAGTCAACATCGCACAAAAGCCGGCAAGCTTAGGGCCCACCTTTATAACTTTGCATTCAGAAGGGCGGAATCAGACAACCCTCTGATTAGCAAAGAGTTGCTGGAGATTGTAATACAGAAGTCGGACGCTACAATCGACCATTACGAAAACCCCGACTGGTACAGCCGAGATAGAGGTCTGAGGAACACAAAGTGCCGGGTACAGGACCTGAGCACCGAGATGGCAATCTTGAACAAGATTTCCAAATAAGTGTTGGTGGCCGATACCATTCCGAGGACTAGGCTCATGGCTGCTCTACTCCAACCGTGTCATAATGGCTGAGCAGTTGCTATTAGGCTATGAGTGTCTGGGATGTGAGCCGGGGCTCACATCCCGCACTAATCACTTGGATATTGGATCAAGGAGTCTAATCTTCTAAGCCACCCACTAACCACCGCCTCCATCAAACCGAGAAGTGTGGTTAAAATTGGCATCAAACCCCTGACTTCCATCATTTTTAAATTCGCAATCCACGAGCCCCCAGCCTGACCCATGGGAGGCTTCTCTCAAATCCTCAAAATGCATGCGGAAGTTACTCACGACATCGAAGACAGCTACCCGAGAAAACTCCAGAAAGCCGATGAAAGTGTCTCTCACTCATCAGTCGATGTGAGTACTGCTTAGAACCCTCCAGCCTCGAGCCTAAGCTACGATCATTGTCTCCTTGAAACATCCTTGTACAGAGACAGACAACATCAACTCACTCACAACTACAACGCCCATCTGGGAGCGACGACAGCGATGGATAGATATAAGTACTCAAAGCAGCTTCAGACTGTCTTTTGGAATAAATCCCCATATGAAGCTGCTATCCGGTCTTCTGATGCTTGGCTCCCCAAGGAGAATGGTGACAAGGCCAAAGGACTAAAAAGAAATATGGGACATAGGTGCATCCGACTTTTACACGAAATGTACATCATCCTCCATGACGAGATACGAGAAGACTTCTACACTGGGGGTCCGATACTACATTATCGATCTAGACAAATCAATATCAGCGTCAAAGCCGCGTGTCCCAAGTGGAGACAGAGAACAGAAACATCCCACGGAATCCTTGACACATGGGATACCGATGTGTCTGTGTAAATTTCTGGTTTCTACTCAAAATGTCAATCCTCTAGCATCACTTCCACTGATCACGTTCGCCTGCCGTTGGAACCGCTCGTCTTTCTATAGGCGGTATTCAAAGAGAATGGCCACATCTTGATCACGAAAGTCATGCTGCTTGAGCCTTTGCGTCGTCTGCCATGGGGATTGTTAGTTATCAGGAGTAGTGAAAATTCTCTGGAATGCGACGGTGCTTAAATTTTGCCTTGCTCCGTTTAACTGCTCTGCGTTCTGTTCACGTCTTTTACTGTGAGGACGTGCCTTTATTGCGAAGCATGAGGGGATACTGTGATGCGCACTGGTGCTGATCTTTCCTTCGATTCCCTCCAGGAGCATGAGTCAGGACATACATGTACTCAAGGCAGCCGATGGCCCGGATGCCGAGAGGAAAGACAAGTTTCACGGTCAGGAGTTCATCAAAATGGCATTGGTGGGGTTTATCGATTCGGTGCTGACGTTGACGATATTGTCCTGAGCGCTGATGGGGGTTTTCAACTGGATCAGGATTGAAGAGAAGGGGAATTAGCACTCGGCTACATGAGATACCATGGAATCCTTGGGCTTTGTATTCATATTGAGCTCTAAATCGGTGCGAGAGATGGTTTGGATCTCTATCTGCGCTTCGAATGCTTAGATGTACCCAACATTGACAGAAGTTCATGATTGATTTCAGACACAGAGAACATGATATAAGCATCAGTCCAGCACTCCATGCCTCCATCTCAAACAGTCAATAGCACTGTCCCTCAATTAAGTTACAAACAAGATAGCAAGCCTCAAGTCCCATCAAGATACAAAGCGCAGTGTAGTAGATAGACAGCAACAAGCTTAAAAGAGCCTCACAACCTTAGACCTGTCCAGAATTCCCACCCGCACTCCAAGGATAAACCCGACGTAGACCCCCGCGCGAACGGTGATAATCCCCCGGAACAGCCGTCGAGCTCAGCATCTCCTGTCTGATATCGACTGGGTTGGCACCGTCCGCGATACCACCACCGTCCTCTATGCCAGGAGTAACATCCCCCCTTTCCCTTCCCGCTCTACCCCCGAAAGCAATGATCGTAGAACTTGAACCAGGAGAACGATTCCAACTCGGCTCCCCACCGACGAATCCCCTTACACTGGTACTGATATCAGCATTGGTACTCGTATCACTGCCACTCTCCACAAAGCCATACTCATACCCCGGCCGCTGACCCAGATACCCGTGTGGGTGGTAGGTGTAGTACTGGTGTGGGCGGTGCCTTCTCGTTATTGTCATTCGTCTGCTTGGTGGGCTTGTGAATGGGGTGGTTGCTGAGCCGCGGGGGTAGATGTCGTCTTCGGCGTCGTCGGCTTCGTCATCGGCTTGGCTTTCTTGGTCTTCGTTTTCTCCTTCTCTTTGATGGTGTTGGTGGTGGTGGTGGTGGTGGTGGTGGTGGCGGCGGTGGTCTCCTTCGGTGAGGCTGGTTAGGGTGCTTTGCTGAGAGGGGAGTGTCTCACCTGTGTTGCTGTCTTCTCCTTCATCGTCTTCATTTTCGTTTTCGGTGTTTTCTTTGTCTTCGTCTGTTTGGGAGGAGACATAGGGGTGGATGTAGTGGCTGTTATTGTTGTTACTGGTGGTGTTGTGGCCAGTGGGTGCAGAGCTGTACATAGAGCTGTGTAGGGGTGTAGAGTGATGTATGATGTTGGTCTCGTCGACGTCCATTGTGTCGGGGTCTTCGTAGATTGCGAATTGGGTGATTGCGGAGGGGGGTGGTCTTGACGGTCGAGCTGGCATCCGACCTGGAGTTAGGACTGGGGGCGGAGGTGTAGCTGTCGCTGTGCTGGTAGCTGTAGCTGGAGGTAGAGATGTGATCGTAGTGCGAATCGGTAAGTTCGACAAAGCATCAGAATCGACATCCATCATCGTATCTCCATCTCCATCCACGCCTGCGTCAGATCCAGTCCCGGAACGAGCACCCTGCCCACGTTCCTGGTCTCCAGTAGAGCCCATATACCCAACAGCACCGTGTTGTGCAATAAAAGTAGAAGCACTACCTTCTAAACCTACCCCTAACTCCGAAGGAGAAAGCCGAGGCCTCTTAGGAGGCAGCGAAAGCCAAAATCCTGCGTCGTTGCTGCCGTTGTCATTCTCTTTCTTCCGGCTGAGAGTGGTGTATTCATCTTCGACGAACTGGGCATATTTGCGGACGAGAGGCGATTTGGGGGGTGCGTTGTTAAGAAGGGGGGTTGTTTCTGAGTCTGCTTTGGCTTCTGTTTCTGCGTCTGGTGGGTTCTGAGCTTGGGGCTTTTTGCGCTGTGATGGTTTAGTCTTTATCTTTTTGGCTGGTATGTGTAGACTGAGAGATAGGGGATGTCTTCGGGATGGGCTACATGGGATGGGTAGAACGGAGAGACAGGAGATGTCTCTCAGATGGAGTTCAAATAGACAAAAAAAAGAGAGAAAGAGACTCACATATCTATCCACATCAAGACACAACTCAAAGTCCACGGCATCCATCATGTAAGCTAATCGTATGGGATAGAATAAACACCAATAAGGATAAGAAAGAATGACAGTAAGTAAATCAGCCAAGTATAGCACACGAGATTGACCAGCAGCCTCAGTCAACTAGAGGGACAGCTGGTCCAAATTTATAAGCAAGAGTAGAACTGCTGCGTAGTACTCGGGAGAGTGGCTATCACTGTAGGTTGAGTGATTAGAATGGATGCGAAAGAGGACAGTGGTTGATGGGGTGGGATTTGGAAGCTGGATGGTTCTGGCTTGGTTTGGTTAGAGGGTGATTTGCTTGCTTGAGTGGAAAGCTTTGTAGTTATTGATTCATCAGAGGTTTTGAGGTTAGTGTATGGTGTGTAGTAAGATGGAAGGAGTTGGCAATCTGAGAGTAAAGTATTGAGTGCAATATGTGTCATGCGTGGATGATAGTGAATGTTTATGACACTAGACTCTGATGAAGCAACGTTGACCTACAAGTGGAAATCCTGCTATGTCCACTAGACAGATAGCACAATCATGAAAGTAATATCACAGCGTAACGTGGACGCAAGTCATACTACATCTACCTAGAGAAATCCTCAAGTAATGATTCGATTGATTGAAACTATCCAGCCACTAGTACAGAGTGTTCCTAGATATTATCTGCAGTATATCACCTAGAGTACCGTTGAGATGTCAAGATTCCAATCTCCATTACTTGTCTTTTCTGCCTTTGACAATCTCACCGTTGCATGGACACGGAAGGGACGATACAGAGTCGGACAGACGGACACGAACAATGTCGCAGTGGACACATTGGACGCGTTCTATCTGCCATCTACAGTCTCCTCTTCCCTGTCCCGACACACTGTCGCCTTACCGGAACTGTCCCGGACCCACCATCCCTCCCCGCATGTCAGCGCCACCGAACATCTCAAGCAGGTGTCGGGAGGAGGGAGGAGGCCCCTGGGGACCGGGGGTGCCATCGAACGGTCCCTGGCCACCGTGGCCCATGCCCATCAGGCCTTCCACATTGGGTGGCATGGGTGGGAACCCACCCGGAAGAGGGCCATTCATGTAAGCCGGGGGTGGCATCATGCCCGGGGGCGGGGGGAACCCCGGGGTTCCCGCACCGGCTGCGCCGCGCGGGAAGGGCTGGCGCTCGTTGAGCGGGGGCACACCGCCCGGCATCGGCATCATGTTGGCGATGTAGTTTGGGTTGACCCCCCGCGTCGGAGTGGGGATTCCCGGGGGAGGGCCCAAGGGACCCGGTCCGACACCCTGTTGCGGCGGCGGCATCTGGGGTCCCGCCCATCCGGGGGGCGGCATATGTTCAAACCCGGGCGGCCGCTGGATGCCCATGGCAGGCAGACCTTGACCTTGCGGGGCACGAGATCCACCAGGTGTCATCGGCAAGTGATTGCCTTGAGGGAACGGGATGTCATCAAAGTAGCCCATGGGGGGCGGCGGTCCATTAGCCGGACGGCGTCGAAGCGGCTCCGCCTCCGGTCGCGAGAGCTCGGCAATCGCGGGGTCATCCATGAAGCTGGGTCCCTTGTGCGCCGTCGGGATACCCGGTGGGTGCGGCATGACATCAGCCATGTTCAACAGCCCGGGGGGCGGTCCAGCGGTGGGCGGGGGACCCTGTGCACCGTGACTCGGGGGCCCACCGGGGCTGACGCGGACTTGCTGCATTAACCGCAAGAGATGTTCCCGAGATTGAGGATCTTTGGCCGAAAGATCCGGAGGGAAGAGTGCGTCCTTCAGGGCGGGATCCGGACCCCGCATCGGACCGTCTTGTCGCGGCATGTAGTCGGTCCGGTTCATTTGGTCCCGCGATGGAGACGGAATGGCGGCGTAAGCAGGCTCGGCCGCGACCACTGGAGAGGGTCGGGTGACCTGTGCGTAGTCATTGTGAGGCGTCGCGTTGCGGGATTTGGGCCCGCCTCCACCCAGCCCGCCTCCACCCAGCATTGCCAGGATACGCTGGAAGCCTTCCTGATCCGCGTCCTTAGGGGATTCGTTGACCGGAGACGCCCGGTGTCCCAGCGGGGAAGCGCTCTCTTCCATCGCCGGGCTTCCAGGAGGGGGGCTGAACAACCCAGCAAAGCGAGATGACTTGCCTTTGGGCAGTGCATACGCCGCGGCCGCAGCCGCAGCCGCAGCCGGAACGGGGCCTAGGGCTGGGGCCGGGGCACTGACAGGAGCGGGAGCGGGAGCAGGAGCAGGAGCAGGAGCGGGGGCAGGAGCAGGGGCCATCTCCTTCGTCATAGCCTCTGCGGGCGACGGTGCGGGTGGTTCTTGGGGTTTCCCCTCACTGAGCAATCCGAAGAAGCGCTCCATGGTTGCATCGCCGTGGAACGGCATGCCGCTGCTACTGAAGATCTCCCCGTCCGTGGGCCGTTTCTCCGGCTTCTGCACTGGGGCATTGAGGGGTTCGGCCGCGGACGGTTTCTTCTCCTCAGTATGCACCTGGGCAGATCCGGCCCGCATTTTCTCCTTCCAGCGTTCAAAGTCTTCCTGGGTATGCGCCCGGCGGGGCTCGTCCTTTTCATTTGCCGTCAGCCACTCGGGTTCCTGCTCAAACTTGGCACCGCGAGTCCAATCGCGGTCTGCACCATGCCTGTCGCCCCGGCGCCATTCCCGATGTCGCACCGAGGGCTTCTCCTCGTCCGCGTCAGGACCCTCCTGCTGGTGATGGTGGTGGTTGTTCTTGTCATCGCGGAACCAACTGCCTTCATGTCTAGCCCGTGGGGGCTGGCCGTCTCGACGAGGCAAGAATCGGGGATCCTTCTCTCCGCGCTGGTCATGGTCGCGATGGATATCACGGCCTTCCCACCGATCGAACTCCCCGTTGCGTCTCGGTTTCCGCTCCGGCTCGTCGTGGCCGAAGGTGCGACGGGACCGAGCGTTATTCCAATCTTCTCGCTCCACCCGGCGGCCATTCAGGGTCACCGGTTTCCCGTCGCGGCGATCAAAATCTCGGTCCTCGGCGTTCCTCTCCCTGAGGAACTTGTCTCGAATGTTGAAGCGATCGGTTCTCGATTCGTCGGGATCAAAAACGCGAGACGGACTCTCCGTCGGATCGACCAGCCCCTTACCGGAGATGCGGGAGGCCGAGGCAAACGAGGTCTTGGGTGGTCCCAGGATGATTTCCTCTATCAAACGCACCGCTGATTAGTGAGAGCTCGACCCGATCGTTCAGATCTGCAACAGACACGGTGTCGATTTTACCTGAAGTGGAGCCACGGGGGGTATGACGAGTCTCAAACAGACTCGGTCGTCGAGGAGTGGTATCATTCGGAGACGTCGGATCTCGAGTTACGGTGGACGTTTTTCGTTGCGTTGTCGGGTCGGGCATTGGACTAAAAGTGACAAGCCATCAGCGTCAGAACCGAGCGGGAGACTAAGCCACAAAGCTATTGGCGCAGCAGAACTGATTCCCTACCCCATCCAATCTTCTACCGGCGGTAAGCCAGCCGGTTTGGTAGCCAAGGGCGACGAGCGCAGATGAAGCAACTCATCGATCTGGTATCGTCGCGACATGATTATCTCGGGGGCGACTGTGCAGATGAATCAGGTAGAATCGGTGTAGGTTGAATTCGGGGGAGTCGGGTCACGGAAATCTCATTGGTTGTTTTGGCGGATCCAAGCTCGAAGGGTAGGTTTGGAGAACGGTAAGAAGCTTATCAGGGGGGAGTAGAGTTGGAGAAGGAAGGAAAGAGGAAAGGAAGAAGCCGATCGGCCGAGTTGTTTTGGAGTAGTAGTGAGCTGGCGAGAGGGGAGGGGGGAGTTCAAAGAGGTGAGAAAGCGATGCAGAATAGCAAAGCCCGGCCACACCGGCCCGTGGCAAGCCAAGCGGAGATTCGCTCGATGGGGTCCAGGACTCAATTTTAGGAGAGAGGATGGAAGGAATCGAGAGGGTGATGAGGGGCACGGTGAATCAGTGCAAATTTAGGTTCCAGGGATTTGATCCAAGTAGGATAGGGTAATTGTGATGGAAAGAAGATCAGATGCAGTTGGCGGACTCGAGAAGAGGGGAAGTAAGAGAGGAGAGAGAGCAGGGGATGGAAGGAGATGGAGAGATGAATGGAGGAGAGGGCGAGAGGAAGAGGTGTGAAGGAGAAAGAGGGAGAGAGGTTAGGTTAGGTAGGTCAGTTAGGTCCGTTGGAGTTTGTTCAGTGTGTAATGCCCGTAATGCCAGGCCGAAACTCCACTGCCCAATCAGGCGAACCCGCCATCCACTATTCTTCTCCTATAAAGGTATTGACTTGTCATTTTGGATTTAGAAGATCATTATAGGATGGTGGAGAGCAGTGATAATTATATTATGGTCATTGTAATGGAATATGGAGGAAACAAAGAGTTGACTCTATTGACCAAGCTTCCCTATCTACAACAACCGCGTCACCACCCCCCAAACACAAGTACATCAAAGCCCTTCAAGACCAACCGCTGAAAGAATCACACTCGGTATGGTAAATCTCTAGCCAACAAGGTTCTCAACCACCTGCACCGCAGATCCACCACTCCATTTCGCAACCCGATCTTCGCCCGAGGTGGGACGCAAGGAGTCGGCCATCGCCTTGAAAGTCGGCGTCTCCTTCGCAGGACCAGTCAGGATCTGACCCTGGACCCAGCCGATGATGCCGGCCCGGGTGATCAAGGTCGTGCTCCCGCCCACCTGGGTCGCCCGGTAGATGATGTGCAGGATCTTTCGTCGGGCGGCGAACCCGGTGCCGGGTGACTCGTAGAACGCCAGGATGCGCTCGAAGACGTTCGCGCGACGGTAGATCTCCATGTCCTAGAACAGTCATCAGTGATGGGTTCATACGGGGGTATGACGATGGTTGTGGGGTAGGTAACATACCGCTTCAGTGCGAAGACCCTTCAACAAAAGGTCCAACAGCCAGTTCGTCTCTTCGAAATAGCCATCGTCCAATTCCGGCTCGTGGAGCAAGATCCGGTCGATCCAGTACGAGGGGATCTTCTCCGGCTCCCATGTCGGGGCTTTCTGGAGAAACTGGTTGACCTTTCCGTAGAGCTTGTGCATGGGGTCCGCGAGAACCGCCAGACAGTGGGCGGCACACGCCCCCACAATCCAGGGCACAGGCGACTCCAGTCCGAGTTGCTTCACGGTTTCAACCAACTCACCGCTGAGGAGGAAGGCCGATCTCCACTCGTTATACTTGGATTCCTGATTACTTTGTCAGTTGATTTCTCCGGACGTGCGGGGTGGAAGAGCATACCCTGAGCTTGGTCATGAACCGCGAAACATTGGCAAGAGCCTGTCGTCTGATCTCTTCATATTCAGAGCAGAGACACAGCATCAAATCGCCGACACGACCTTGCTCGATAGAGTCTTCGAGATCCTCTCTATCCCACTTTTGTAACTCATTGTGCGTCTTCCCTTCCGTAGGCAAGGCGCCAAAGACCTCCTCGAGATCTACCCGCGGGGTCTGGTTCGAAGCGGAAGCGGGCTGGGCGGTTGCAGGCGCACTCTTCGCATCATCGGCGTCCTCCTCAGTTCCCTTGAGTGCTTTCTTGAGGGTAGACTTGACTTTCTTATCCTGGGTGGCATCAACCAAGTTGTCTCGAGCGGCTTTCAGCACCTTCGCATCCTCTCCCGCCTGTCTCAGCTTCCCAAGTACTCGAGCGACCCACGCACTCACTGCAGACTCCATCTTCGCATTTCCCGCTTTGACAACAAAAGGCCACTGCTCGGTGATAGCCGACACAAGAGGACTCACGGGTTTCGATGCATCCTGATGCAGATTCCCCAGTAAATCCTGGTAGTGAACGGGCTTCTTGGCCACCCGGCAAGCGCAGTTGTCAAAGAACGCGATCTGGTGTTGCAGGGTCTCGGGATTAGAGGTCTCAAAGCTAGTCAAGATCGCGGGAAATGAGGAAGGGGCCTGCAGGACCGAATTCTCCACCAGAACAGAACGGAGAAGGGCGTCAATATCTTTCAAAGAGTCCCTCGAGGCAGCCTCGGCTAGGACTTTAAGAATAGACGTGAACGCGGAGTATTGAATAGATGCTGCTGTTATTAGCTTCGTTTCGACCACAGTGTATATGCATCCACTCACCAGGAGACTGCCACCAACGCATGGACGCAGACTGCTGGGCAATCTTGAGGATACTCTGCAACTGGCCGAGCAGCATTTCGGAATCGTCTTCTGACAGCTTAGGCTCGTCAAGGCGTTTCAAAATATCAACCAAAAAGAGCGAAGCATCGAACCCTTCTTCAAATGCAGAGTCAGGCACAACTTCATAGAAGCAACAGAGCAGTTCCGCAACAGCCTCCTGCTGCTGCAGGTCCTCCTTCGCCGTTCGCTTATACAGCGTGGCAACGTCCTTAACCGCCGGACACCGATTAGAAAACTCTACAAGCAATTTGTTCGCAGCCTGCGTCCAGAACGATTGACTGATCCCGTGGTCGGCATTGAAGATATCCAAAACCTTGCGCAGCTTCTTGAACGCAATGGTCAGGATCCTCACCGCAAACAGGGTAATAATTTCGGTATTCAAGTTCAAACAGCGAGTCAGGGTCTTCTGCGTGAGTGGGCGGGGCAGGATGCTCTCAATGACCACTGACACCGGAGGAGGCATGGCGGGGATCTTTTCCTTCCACCCACAGTTACTCGGGACGGGCAAGCTGACAGTCGAGAAGAGGAGCGCGGACTCCGCTAGCCAGGAGGGTGTGGGCTTCGGGTCAGAGACGAACATGACCTTTTTCGAGAAAAAGTCCGCCACAAGCTCCGGTGCCGCCTTGAAGATGGTAACGAGGAGCTCGATCTGAAGACTATCGGTATCTGGACGTAGGACTTGGGCGACGTGTGACAAGATACCGTTGCGCACAGGTACATTGTCCCTATACCTATCGACATAGACCGCCGAGTCGAGCCCCAGCTCGATCGATGTATCGTCCTCCGTCGGGAGAGTCTCGGGGTCACTGGTATTCGGATACCAGCCAGTCTCTGGGAGCAAGACGCCGAGACTCGAGTCCTTGCAGACATTCATAAGCAGTCTGTGCACCTCATTTACGATGGAGATACCGGTCGGATTTGGCTCCTCGGATTCCCGGTCATAACCGTAAAGCGTCACAAGTCGCTCCATATTCCATCGGTTGAAAAATCGTGTCCGCGTATTACGAGAGAGCGACGAATCTTGGACGATGTCTCTTTCAATCATGGCGATGATATCTCTCACAATATCCCGGGGGTCCTTCCGGACAAATTCGAGGAACGCTCTGATCACCTTGGTCTGTTCAATGATGTCGGCCTTGGCGCTCGCATGCTGAAACCTCAGATTGGCAAGCACGTAGCGTTGCGCATTGCGCCGCAGCGTAGACTTTCGGCTGTCATCATCATTCTCTTCCAGCTGGGCTTTGTTCGGCGTCAAGAAAACCTCAATCCGCTTGAAAGTGATGTACCGCGAAGAGTAGACCAAACGCGCCACAGCGCCGCCATCAAAGCTGACAATCTCAGTAAGAAGACGCAGACACGGCGAAATCAAATGCTCCTTCGACTTCGTAGCCGTGAGCCCACGGTTAAACAGTCGAAGCTGGTCCTTGTGCAGCAGATGCTTGCACAGCGCCAAGCCGAATTCTCGGAACTCCAACCGGCTGGAAATCGACTTGATGAAAAGCGCCAGAACAGACGGGACGGTCGTCAAAAGACCCTCGTTGTTGCTGGTGTCCGCAAAGCTCCAGGTCTGGATCAGATCCGGGAAGCAGATGGGATCCTCAGCATAGTTGGAGATCTGCGAATCAGTGTAGCCCTTGAGCACGCGGAATTTTTTGGCCTTTTCGTCTTCATCTTCCGTCGCGCCAATCTCATTGAGAAATTCCTTGAATTTTTTGAGACCTGTGGGAATGTGTAAACGTCGTTGAACGACCGCGCAGATTGTAGCGTTATGCTAGTACTCACCTTGCTTGGACTCCGCAACGTTCTGCGAAAAAACCAGAAGCGTGCGCAGTTGCGTATGCGACGTAATGGAGGCGCCGCTGTCGGGCCCTTGGGGGGTATCCAACTTCCGCCTCTTGCTCCGCGGCGACTGGTTGTCAAAATGAGGCATCTTGGTTTGACGGCGATGCTTCGAATTCAACTTGGAGAATTGTCTGAAAGATGAAGGTGAAGCTTGCCATGCGCCGAGTTACCGGCAGAGTTTTGCGGGCGCTGATTGGGCAGTGGTCTGTGACTTCCGCAGTGAATGCCAAGACCGCTTTTATTCATCGGCCAAATCTTCCTTGTATGAGATTGATGGGATTATGTTTAAGAGATACGATGGTTACTTTGAATGTAGTGTTTTATAGAGAATGAGGGCAAGGAGAGATAAAATGATATACTAATTCTATGATTGTTCTTGATACGCCTATAAATTACAGAAAATCCATACCAACTACAACGGCATCCCACATTAGGTATTCCCGCACCCGAAACCAAATACGGGCAATAAGGAGACAAGAAACACAGATCAACCCCATGTTCCTCCACCTCCGCCTCGTCCTTGGCGTCGTTGCGCAGACAGACGCCAGTCATCTTCGTTCGCGAAGCGGTTATGCAATGGCTGGATCCGCTCGGCCTTCTTGCGCTTGGAAAGACGGTCGGTGGGCGCCACTTTGAAGAAGGTAGGAGCGGCCTCGACCAGCCACTTCGGCTCGATCGACGTGGTGCAGTGCATGTATTCCTTCGTCGTGAGGACCAAGGTGTGGTAGATGACATGTTCGGACGGCTTGCCGAATAATGCCGAGCTGGGATGCATGTAGACGGGTGTGCCTTCGACCAGCGTCTTGTATCCTTCCTGGGGGTCCTTGCGCGCTGCGTTTCTGAAGAATCCGGTACACAGCGCTTGGCGCACTTTGGTGCTGTTCCTTCCGCACGAGACGATGCGGTGGTGGTAGCGCTCCATGATACCGAGGAGTTGCTGGCGAACGTCTTGGGCGCGGCGGATCTGGCGCGCCTGGATGAAGTTCTCGAAACACCAGGCGTTGTTGAACTTGGAGTTCTTCCATCCGTTGTAGACGTTGAGCATGGTCAGGTGGTCACCGTGGGGGTCGTGGAATTTCGCCTTCTTCTGGTCTGCCTGCTGTTGCTTCTCCTTGGGACGATAGAACACAGACTGGATGGAAAGCATGGCAACGATACTCAGCATCTCCTCCGAGCAGCCCATGTCCACCGAAGCGATGAGAACCTTGGCAAGAGCCGGCTCCATGGGGAAATCAGCCATCTTGCGACCCAGGCGCGTCAGCAGGCCTTCATCGTCGAGCGCAGATAACGCATACAGTTCCTCCAGGGCAGTAAGCATCGTGTTCGTCGGGGGCGGGTCCATGAAGTCAAAGTGAAGAAGGTCGTTGATCCCCATGGCCTTGAGCATGAGAATGGTGTGGGACAGATTCTGGCGCTGGATTTCGGGGATCGTGGTCGGCAGCATTTCGGATTGGTAGGCTGCCTCTGTATACAGGCGGAAACACTTTCCGGGTCCAGTTCTCCCTGCACGACCAGCTCGTTGCTTGGCCTGTGCCTGGGAGATGGGAGTCACAATCAGGGAGTCCATGCCCAATTTGGGATCGTAGGCGTTTTGTTTCACGAAACCAGGATCAATGACATAATAGATGTTGTCGATTGTAATTGAGGTCTCGGCGATATTGGTGGCGATGACGACTTTCCTCCCGCCAGGCGGAGCTGGATCGAAAATCCTACTCTGCATCTCGCTCGGGAGAGCAGAGTAGACAGGAAGGATAATCAGGTCCGGAACAGTGGAGCCTAATGCCTTCATCCGCTCATAGAGAATCTCGCAGGCTGTATCGATTTCCTCCTGCCCTGTCAAGAAAAGAAGCATGTCGCCTGCAGGTTCTGTCAGATGGATCTGCATGACTGTGATGAGAGCCGCATCCAGGTAATCCGACTCTGGCTCCTTGGAGTACATGATTTCGACAGGGAAGGTTCGTCCAGGAATGGAGAAGATGGGGCACCCGTTGAAATACTCGGAGAACTTTTCGGCATCCAGAGTGGCAGACGTGACGATGAGTCGCAAATCCGGTCTCCGTTTGATAGTCTTCTTCAATAGCCCAAAAAGGACATCGGTAGCGATGGTCCGTTCGTGGGCCTCGTCAAGCATAATCACCGAGTACCTTTTCAGGTCTGGGTCGAGAAGAACTTCACGTTGAAGCATGCCGTCAGTCATGTACTTGATCTTCGTATCGGGGCTTGTGCAATCTTCGAAACGGATTGTGTATCCTACTTCGGCGCCGAGCTCGCAGCCAACTTCTTCGGCCACACGCTTGGCGACAGACATTGCTGCGACACGTCGAGGCTGTGTACACCCGATGATGCCATTGTTTCCATATCCTCCCTCGGCCAGGAATTGGGTCAGCTGGGTGGTTTTACCCGACCCAGTATCTCCGACAACAATCAGCAACTGGTTCTCGCGCACGGCATCGAGGAGCGCCTTGCGGAACTTGTATACTGGCAAGCTCTCGCGCTGCTGCTTGATGGACATCGTGGTCCGCTTTCCGAACGACTGGTTCTTGCCCATCGTGACTCGCTTCCACTCGGGCACTGCCTCGTCGGGCTTAGATTGCTGTGTATTGCGCAGTTCAGAGGCGAACTTCCGGTCCTCGGGTGCGACCATGGGGTCATGCCATTGCGCATTGAGATCGACCTCCGCCGCTCGCTCAGCAGCCTTGTCCTGGGCCTCTTGCTGCCTCAAGTCCCTTCGCTCCTTGGCCAAACTCGTACCGGACATCGCCGATCTGTTCATAGAGCCGTCTGGTGCCTTGACGACACGGATGGGAGACAGCTCCAGAGACATCTTGGTTTGGCCCGCTAAGAACGGCGGTTCTTCGTCTCGGACCTCGATATCGATATCTTCTTCCTCCTCAAATGTACCTTCGCCGGTCAAGGTGGCGTGGTATTCTTCATCAATGTCGGGATAGTCAGCCGCAGAGACGGCGCCAGACGCGATCAGCTGTTTGATCTCCCATCTCTCAGGCGAGGTCATGCGCTTCCGGTTTTTCATAGGCCTCCCGTCCGACTCCTCGACGATGGGAACATCCGAGCTTAAATTTCCATACCGCTCCTTTGCCGAAGAGCCATCAAGGCTTTCCATGTTTGCGCCCGAAGCAAGACGCTTCTGAGGAACCATATCGAGACCCGTCACCTGGTCAACCTCCTTCATGGACAGCCCAATACGCGTCCCCTGTATGCTGACAACCTTGACCTTGACGGGCTGTCCTCGCGAGACGAGATCAGATGGATGGTTCACCCGGGCGCCTTCTTGCATCGCCGACACGTGCACCAGTCCGTCCACCTTGCCCTTCACCCCCGGTAGGTTAACAAAGGCGCCAAAATCCTTCACGCCCGTAACACGTCCATCGTAAATTTTATGAAGTATGGGTTGATCATCCAACTCAACAGGCGGCGGTTTCCGGAAGTAATCGTCGTCTTCGCCTCGGTCTCGTCGTCGTCGTCGCTCGCCATGGCCGTTTCGGTCCCTGCCACTACCCGCCTTCACCGAGCGACCGAACTCATCCACCTCGTCATCTCTCCGGCTCCGATAGCGCGGGCTGTGAGATCTCGATCGGGAGCGGTACTTTCCACGGTGGCTGCGTCCACGGCTCTGGCTCTCGTACTCGGGGCTCCTGCTCCGCTTCCTGCTATCTCGTTCCTCCCTGGTCGTCGTCGTCGCGCGACCATTATCCCCCTTAGCCTTCCCCGCAAGACCTTCCAGCATCGCAAACGTATCATCCATCGCGTCAACCTTGTCGTTGGCGTCGTCGTTGGGCTCACTCCGTAGGTAATCCGATTCCTCCCAGCGTTGCTCCTTATCCGGGACAGCAAGACCCTTAAAGACGCGCGCCTTCTTCTCCAGCGCACCGAGCACATCCATATCATCATTTCCATCCCCAGTGTCGTTCGTCGTCTCAACCTTCCTCGACCTGTACTTGGGGTGCATCGTAAGCACCAGGCGATCGATACTCTCCATCAAGCTCTCCGGAAACTCCGCTCCCATATCCTCCAGCGTCTTCTTGAATTCCGCGAACGAGCCGCATTTCAAATGTTGGTCGATCACGAATTCGGCCAGCGTCTTGTCGTTGACGCCCAAGTGGTTCTGGAGTTCGCTCGTGATTCGCGATACCAGCGAAAAGAGCTCCAGCTCCTGGAGGTCGTCCATGGTGGACGGGTGTGTTGATGATGGAGTTATAAGGAGAAAATCATGAAATAGGGGTATATTATGCGACAACACCACTCGTCTGCGAGAAGCGTGCGCAAATCGTGCTATCGCAAAAGTTGCCTGTGGTCGAATCGCGGTTCTGTCGTCGGGAAAGCTCACTTTACAGGCGCGGAAAATCGTTGTGGCGTGTTCGGGCACTCGCCACTCCGATAAGATAAGCCACAGCTCACCATCTACAGAGACAGGTCCAGTATAGAAGAGAACAGCATATACAAAACTGAATTGAAGTAATCTATCTTTGTGTGTAGAAATTGGTCTGTTTTGGCTTGCATGTGTCTAGAAAAATCTTGATGACAAAATATGCGCCCTTCTAGGATCATTAAGGCACAAATGATACCAGTAGGCAAAAGTATATATTTGTGGTTTATGGTCAAGTTGAGCTTTATATCTATCATAGCACTCTAATATACAATTATGTTACATACAAATGGTTTTATACAATAGCATGGTCTCAAGACCCGCAACGAGCCAATCCATGCATAGCCAACAGAACCGACAATATCTGAAGCATTCCTTGAACCTTTTCGAGATGAGATTTGAATCGACAGTCAGAGACGACAGCGGGATCGCATTACTCCGTCTCCATATATAATCGCGTCAACTGAGCGCCTCACTGAGTATGAGACGCCTGAGAATGGTGATGTGCAAGAGAGCCTTGGCTGGCGAAGAGATCCACAGAAGCGTGCTCGCCTTCACCATCAAAATCCTCTTCGTCGAGGATTCGTCTCTGCTCTGCGATTTGCTTCTGCAGCGCGATCTGCCGGCGAAGCGATGCGTCCTTTCGGAGCTTCTTGTTCGCGGAAAACTCCGTCAGAGCCCGCACCATTCTCTCTTCCGCTAGCTCCTTGACATGGGAGGCGAGGGTGCGATCGGTGAAAACGCCTCCAAACCGGAAACTGAGCCACAGGTATAGAATGATGGACCTGTGCAAGACTTCCAGACCGTGCAGATATTCCTTGCTACCGGATACGGGTTCCTCAAGGATCTCCAGGTTGACTTCAGGGATGTCCAATAGACGACCCCCAGTATGTCGGGCCACGCATTCGGCGAACGCGATGCCAACCTGACGGGACAGCGAGTCACGCGTGTCCATAGGAGACGCCATGAGGACCATCTGGTCTTCGATCTGTAAGCCTTTCACGGCGTCAATTACCTCGGTGTTTTCGAGCTGCCCATCGGCGTCGCACATGAAGAACAATGGGTGCACTTGGGATATGTCGATCAGGCGTTTGATGATGTATTCCAACGGCACGCCACGGGGGAAGTAGGCTCCGAATTTCTCGAAAACCTGTTCAGGAGGGATGATCCCGGCGGACATGATAGGAGCCGGCTCAACACCCATCGCCTGGTGGATGTAGGGGAGATCAACCTCCTCCATGGATGTCACCCAGCCAACATTTTCCTCTTCATCCTCGGCAGATGATTTTTTGTTTTGATGATTCGCAGATCGATACCGACCCGCTCGTCCCGCGATTTGTTTAATTTCGGGGATAGAAAGTCTGACAAGACCACCCGGGATTCTTTTCACCAGAGTCTCGAAGATGATACGCTTGCAGCTCCTGCGGGGGAAAAAAAAAAGTATTAGTATGTTGGTCACCAAATAAACTCTGTGATGCACTCACAAATTTAGACCCATGCCGATAGCATCACTGGCAACGAGGAAGTCGTAGTCGTTATTGGGGTCGTTGAAGAGATTGGCTTGCTGGGTTCGAATCTCAGCAGGCAAGCCCCCGTACACGATTGCCGCTCGTTTCCCCGTGACCTTTTCGATGTCGCCTTTCAATGCATGAATACCAACACGGGAGAACGACACCAGACAATCCCCCTTCCGGAGATTGTTGAGATCGCCACACAGACTGCGCTGCGCGACCTTGAGGGGGTTCAGGCGTTCATATCGATGGATCTCCAACTTGTCGCCCGTGAGCGCAGCCAGTTCCCGGATCAAAGGCACAGCCCTTGCTTCTCCGCAGAGATGGAGTTCCTGAACACGCGCACCCAGGACAGCCTTGGTCCAGGCCCATCCACGTTTGCGATCCGCAATCATTTGGATCTCGTCGATGACGCCAACCTCGAACGTGCGCCCCAGATTGACCATCTCAACCGTGTTGCTTACAATGAGCGGCGCCGTGCCCTCCGGAATCTTGACATCGTCGCCCGTGACCAAGCTGCAGGAGACTCCGCCGTCTTTGAATCGATGGTATACCTCCTGTGCCAAGAGCCTCAGTGGCCCCGCATAAAATCCATTGCCACTAGCCTTCAGTCGTTGCAATGCATGGTAAGTTTTCCCCGAGTTTGTCGGGCCAACATGCAGATGAATCGTGCGCTGGATCGAGCGAGCTTGCGGGTACCACTCCGCCGGATATCGTAAATCGGCCACTTTCTTCTGTTCGTCCAGATTGGGCGCCGAGTACCGGGACGTGATCTCGTTCGAGTACCTCAGGTACTCGATTTCATCCCGAAGGCCAATACCCCTCCCTCGTGCGTAGGCCTTTCGAAGGCTCAACTTCAGTTTTCCGAGGGGCGACTGGCTCAAGTTGCCTGCTCGGTCATCGAGCTGGCACGCATTCATCACATTTCGAGAAAACCTCTCCCATTCCTCGACCCCGGGATCGGAAGCCTTTATTTTCTTTTTCTTGATCTCGTTAAGGATGTTGGTGACCGTGGTTTGGAAGTCGGCCGACGCATCTTTCTTGTTTTTGGGACTCAGTGACAACGACGGCTTTCGGGCCTAAAACGTCCAGGTGTCAGTATTCGCGGATAATTCAAAGGTACCCTAAATCAAGGCAACCTTACCGTAGATTTCTTCTCTGAAACATCACTTTCCGAGTCCTTCTTGTGTTTCCTTTTTGATCTTTCGAGGATGGGCGACGTGGAAAAGCTTCGTCGCACGGGTCGAACCAGTGGCTGCCAAGTGCAGAAGAGGCAACTAGTGCCTCTCCTGGACCATGACTGCATTTCTTGTCCCCAAATAGCAGTGTGAACTAATAGCGAAAGCGAGAACGTAATATGTCGGCATGCGTTGTGTCGCGGCGATCACCAGTGACGCGAGTTGGAGTAGCCGAGAAATTCAACGAACTTTGCAGGATGCATGCGCCGGGGCCGGTCAAGCGCAGGGGGGATAGTACATTAGTTTTCCCAAGTGTAAAATCAAGATATCATGGCCGTCAAAACAAACTCCAATATGTCGGCAGAAGAAAGAATGATCGATAAACAAGGTGAATGAAATAGATGATAAATGATCGAATAAATTGCCGCCACCGAGAGCGGAATCCGATCCACCGCCGCCGTCGCCGGTGGATTTATTGGATAGTGGGGACCGAGTTGCTTGATACGTTTCATCAACTCCAACTTCATTATTACTCCCCCTCCCTCCTCCTTAATTCTTCTCCTTTTTGTCTACTCAACTTTCGAATATATTGTCGCCGTTATCCTGTTGGGGACCCTTTCTTTCCTCCCTACGACCGCCGAATCGTCGTTCCATCGGTCTCCACAACTAGTGACCTCATCCCCTCCATGCCCAGTTGAGGCTGCCGGCCAGCCACCATGCCCTCAATAATCCAGCTCCAGCGCGATGGTAGGTTGTCGCAGCCGGATATATGCTAAACACTGGAGCTAGAGACTTGAAGCTGACGGTCATCGGGCAACTCTAGTCATTTTGAATACGATTCGCCATACCGGAGGCAACGAGGTGGGATCGCGAGCCCCTCCTTTTACTTTCTCGGAATGTCACGCACTGACGACGTTTGCCCACAGTGGAAAGTCTTGGTCTTGGATGAATCGAGTCGGAAACTAGTCTACAACACTGCCAACGATGATGATATTCTCAATCTCAATGTCACCAGTAAGCCTGCTCTGTCGGTTTGCCGAGGTAGTCCCATCAGACAGCGGGCTAAATGATCTTGTCGCAAGATGTCGAGCAGATTGAGGATCGGCGCCCTGCCAACCAGAACATGGACGCACTGTATCTCCTGTCACCGCAGCCACATATAGTGGACTGCCTGATGGCGGACTTTGAGGCCAAGAGATACCGGAAGGCGTGGCTGGTGTTTACTTCTTGTACGTCACCCCCTCTCATAGTGATCGCAGTCTGGTTCCTAATGTCGGGGTGCAGACCTCGATCCGAAACAGCGGGCCCGGATTCAGAATTCTCAGATCGCGAGCGAGCAGGTTGCGTGCCTTCGAGTCATTAGTGTCGATTACTTCCCTCGGGAGTCGCATTTGATCACCTTCCGAGATCCGTGGAGCTTCCCGGTTCTCTTCCACCCGGGATGTAACCATCTGATCCGCGCGCATTTGGCGGATCTAGCGCAGAAGGTATGTTGATCTGACGGCTCTCCTTAATGTCGGTCGAGACGGGCTTACTGACTTTACGAGGCGGTGTCTCTCTGTGCGAGCCTAGGCGAGTACCCATTAATTCGATACTACCGACCGCGGACGCCCACCCACGAAGCGAGCATCCTATGCTCCCACCTGGCTGCCTTTATTCAGAATGAACTCGACGCATTTGCCCAGTCTCAGCCGGAATTTCCGCCCCCTTCACCCCGTCCACGGGGAGTGCTGTTCGTCGTGGATCGGTCCATGGATCTCGTCGCGCCGCTCATTCACGAGTTTACATACCAGTCCATGGTGCACGACTTGCTACCCGTCAAAGATGGCGACAAGGTGACGTACAAGCTTACGCTCAACGAAGGCACCGCGCACGAACAAGTCAAGGATATGTCGATCACCGAGGAGGACAAGGTGTGGGTGAACTATCGACACCAGCACATGAAAGACGTGCTGGGTAACCTGGGCAAAGATTTCGAGAAGTTCCGGGCTGCCAATCCCCAGTTCGCCGAAGAGTGAGTTCATCTCCGGAGGTGTTAAGAGTATCGCTGACTTGCATAGGAATGGCAACTCCAACGTGGACACCATCAAGGAGATGCTCGGTGGCCTGACGGAATTCCAGGAAGGAAGAGACTCCTACACACTGCACCTTGATATGGCGGGAGAGTGCATGCGATTCTTTGAGAAGCATAAGCTTCTTGAAGTGAGTGCCGTGGAGCAGAGCTTGTCCACCGGGCTCGACGAGAACTTCAAAAAGGCCAAGGGGCTGGCTTCGCAGCTTGTCCAGCTCATGGACGACGAGGCAATCCAATCCTCAGATCGGCTGAGACTGCTGTTGCTCTACATCATGTACCGAGGGGGTATCTTGCCGGGCGATATCCGGAAACTCATGGCACACGCGCAACTTTCGCCGCAGGACGGAGAAGTGATCTACAACCTCGATCTGCTGGGTGCGCGAGTGGAGAAGCCCGCCAAGGACGAACGGCCGCCTGTGCCACCACTGTTCGTGAGGAAAGCCCCACCTCCTGCTGAAGCGGACGAGGCCAGTCTGTCCCGATACGAGCTCAACCTCCGTCTCATGCTCGAGGAGCACATCCGGGGCACCTTGGACATGACCACCTTCCCATTCACGCGCCCATGCGCCGACATGGAAGGGATGGGATCTCAGGACAACTCCGCACAGGCATCCCTCCGCAGCGCCAAGCCGACATGGGCACGCACCCGGTCCGCCGCCGAGCAGCCCCGGCAGCGCATCATCGTCTTCATGGCCGGCGGAGCGACGTACGGAGAATCGCGGGTCTGCGAAGAGATCTCGCATCAATTCGGCAAGGAAGTTTTCCTCGCCACGTCCCACATGCTCAGCCCCGGGTTGTTCCTACGACAGCTGGGCGATCTCAGCGCCGACCGACGCCGCCTAGACATCCCCGCCGAGCGTCCCAAACCCACAGCACCAGCTCACCTATTCGAGCGCCCCGCTCCGCCGCCGCCGCAGCCGCAGCAAAAGAAGCCCATCCCTACCAAGCTGAACCCGCCTGCGCCTCCCAGCGCCCTCATGGCCAACATGACTCTCGGGCCAGACGGACAGCCGATGCCCAACGGCCCCGGAGCAGGCGGGCCAGCCGCGGCTCCGGCCCCTCCCTCCAGCTCCAGTTCGAAACCGCACAAGGAGAAGAAGGAAAAGAAGCACCGTTTCTTCCGGTATTGAGTGCCTTACCTCTTGTGCAAACGACGGACAATAGTAATCTGGAGAACGTACATCCCACGGCTATCGCCGCCTGCCATGCATTTGCCGCTCCTGGTGTTCGATTTCGGCCATGCTGTGCTAGTATATGCTGCGATTTGTCGATACGCTGTGGCGCTTTAATACTCTGCAATGGTTGCTTCTAAATCACGGTGGTACATGCTCCACTCAATTTGTATTTAGCTAGTTAATGGACTGTATGTGTGTAAATGCGAGGCATCAGATCTTTCAGAAGTAGGAGCACAATAAAACAATACGATATGGGGTATTTAGTAGAAAACAAGAAAAGCCCAAACCCAAACACCCAGCCCATGCGACAACTTCATTCAATTACGCCATCCCAACGAGGATATTGCTCAAGCACCCCCACCAAGATACCTCTGCACATCATCGTTCTGATAAAACATATCACGCAAGCGATCCCCTCTCTTCCTGGAATCCGCACTCTCCTTACGCACCTGCTTCGCATTCAACTTATTCACCTTAGCCGGCTTCTTCGCCGCAGCAGCAGAAGACACACTCGGCACGGACGCGCCCAACCCAACGGTATCCACCTTCAACCGACCCTTCAGCGGCTCCCGGATGCCCTCTCGGCCAGGCGCGCCCAGTCCGCGCCGACTATCGGGGTCCCAACCGTACGCGGAGAGGTAGCGCAGGCCGTGGCGGGAGCGGTCTAGATGGGAGGGAGGGTGCGAGTGGGTGAGGCAGACTTGGTGCGCGAGGGATGCTTCGTGGGGGTGGTACTCTTTTCGCCCTTCTTCGGCATGTTTGTCGGAGGTGGGCGCTGGGGATGGTGAGGGGTCGGTCTCTAGTGGGAGGTGGCAGACTTCGCAGCGGGGTGGTGGCGGAGTGCTGGTGTCTCTGGGGGGAGAGGACGGGGCGGACTGGGTGGTGGACGTGGGTGTGGGTGTTGGTTTCGATTCGGATAAGATGGAGGACCCTTGCGCTTTGTCTTTGTCTTTCCCTAGCACGATGGAGAGGTAGGTATTGGCGATGCTGGGCCCTGGCGCGGTTGATGGGGGCGGAGCAGACGATGTACGGTCGGTGGTGTTGAGCTCCGAGGAGCGCACGAAAGGGACGCGCTTTCGACGGATACCGGCGCCGAAGACGCGCTGGTCTTCCAGGGGGAGGAAGTATTCGTCGTCTTCCTCTGTTTGCATTGTGGGGGGTGTTGTCAAGGAGGATAGACAGAGGATGATCTTGGTAGACGGAGTGAGAGTGAGCTAAGAATAAGTTGCAGTGGCGGGAGATCGGCCGCTAAACTCACCTCCAGCTCTTCCTTCTCTTCCGTCTCTCTCTCTCTCTTCCTTTCTTTCTCCCACACCACTTCCACCCACCACGATGCCTATTCCCTTGATCACGCAGGGAATCCGAGACGGCATCTCGTCCATCCCCTATGCTGCACACATCCTCCAAGTCGCGCCCTGGGTGCTTATCCTGGCTGCACTCAAGTATTATTTTGGAGGAGCCCGCAATGGCTCCGAGCGGGTGATGCACTCCAAGGTGGTGATGGTGACAGTATGTTTTCTTCTTTGCAATATCTGACTTCAATATACTAATGGACGAAAGGGCGGCACATCAGGTATAGGCGCCAGCGTCGTCTACGAACTCGCCTCGCGTGGTGCTCAAGTCATCATCCTCACACAACACTCCCCCTCGGACATCTTCCTAGTCGACTACATCGAAGACGTACGCAGGTCAACCGGCAACCATCTCGTTTTCGCAGAACAGGTCGACCTGTCCTCACTACACTCCATTCGCACCTTCGCCACGAAGTGGATCGACAACGTCCCCGCCCGCCGACTGGACATGCTCATCCTGTGCGCCAACACCGCCTCCCCATCCTCCTCCCTGCTGTCCACCTCCCCCCGCCGAGTCACTCAAGACGGCCTCGACGAAGAATGGCAGGTCAACTACCTTTCCAACTTCCACCTCCTCAGTATCCTCTCCCCGGCGCTCCGAGCCCAGCCCGCCCACCGCGACGTGCGCGTCATCTTCACCACCTGCGCCAGCTACATGGGCGCACGTCTGGACCTCAAACAAGCCGACACGGCCCCCGTCCCAGCAACCCACAACCTCCCGACCCAGTCCAAGCCCAAACCTAAATCAAAATCCTCCTCAAACCAGCAAACCCCCCCGCCAAAGAAAAAACCCAGCAGCCTCTTCGGCGTCTCCAAACTCTCTCTCATGGTCTTCGCCCACACCTTCCAGAAACACCTCAACGCAGTCAAGCGCCCCGACGGCCAACCACCATGCACGCGCGTCCTCGTCGTCGACCCGGGCTTCAGCCGCACCCCCGGCATGCGCCGCTGGCTCACCGGCGGATCCCTCTGGGGGTTGCTCTTCTACTTAATTACCTGGCCCGTATGGTGGCTGATCCTGAAGTCGCCGCAGCAAGGCGCCCAGAGCATCCTCTACGCGGCGATGGAAGCCCGCTACGGCCGCGGCGAAGGCGGCTGGATGATCAAGGAGTGTTGCGAGGTGGGATACGCCCGGCATGAGATTACGGATGAGGCGGTCGCGAAGCGTCTGTGGGAGTTTAGCGAGAAGCAGATCGAGACGGTCGAGACGGAGACTGCTATCAAGAGAGCGTTGGCTACGAAGGAGAAGCAGGCGCAGGCGGAGGCGGAGGCTCAGGCGGCGACGCCCTCGGCGGGCACTAAGGACGCAACGCCGGGATCGCGTCGAAGCCGCAAGGGGCAGAACCCGACTTCGACTTCGGCTTCGGCATCGGCTTCGGATTCGACATCAGCTCCGGCTTCAGCTTCAACTTCCAGCGCGCGTAAATAGTCTAACCCTATCTCGAAAGGGTTGTGTACATGTGTTCCGATATCCATGTATCATCCGCCTCCTGTTTAATAAGTACTCAGAATAGACATGATATAACACGTCGTTAATTAGATAGATAGACAATATTGCACATTCAACATAACTTGTTTCATATGAGTTACAATACATGATGACCTGTTACTTCTCACGTCACCCCATTCCTGATCTAAATTAAATAACATGATAGCTGTTTCAAACTAACCAGGCCGTAACGTCGCACGTCAGGTACAAATTGGCCCTACCTCCCTTTCTACCCCGTATTCTACCCAGTCAATGAGCAATACCACCCGAATCCCACACACCTCAAACAATACGCCAAAACCCCTTTACCTCAACAGACATATTCACTTCACAGCTTCCCCTCCCTAGCCACTCCACCTACAGCGGAGGGGGCACCCAATTTCAAAACCCTCGCCGCATTCCCCCCAAAGAACGCCGCCTTCACATCCTCCCTCAGCTTGAGATCCTTATTCGCGGACTTGACACACTTATCCCAGCCCAGCTGGGGGAAGTTCGTCCCGAACATGACCTTCTTCTTCCCGGTCGTGTTGGCGAATTGGATCAACTCCTAGATGATACGTATTAACCTAGGGTCGGCTCGGTAGGGATGGTCGCTGGGTGGTTAGTATGCTTGGTTTTACTTACCGGGGGATAGTACTTGGGCAAGTATGCGGATGTGTCGATGTACACGTTAGGATGCTTCCACGCTACGCCTATCATTTCTTGCGTCCAGGGGAAGCCGATGTGCCCGCAGATGATGGAGAGGGAGGGGAACTTGAGGGCGATTTCGTCGATGTACTAGGAACGTAAGTATTTGATAGCACATTTTGATCTCGACGAGAGGATGGAAGAAGAGGGGTTGAGGGGGAGTACCGGGACAGGTCGGCCGACTTCACTGGGGCAAAGAGGCCCGGTGTGTCCGACTTGGGTGAGCTAGATGAAGCCGTACATATCAGTGGATATTCTCCCGAGAAAAGCGATATCCTCCTAGAGTGACCTACGAACGGAACATCAAGCTCAATGCACTTGACGTAGAGCGGCCAGCTGTCCCATCATTAGCCGACAACACAATACAACTACACCCACCTGTAAATATAGGCAGGCAGTAAGGAAATCAGGATAAACATACTAATGCCTATCCGTCGGCGCCAGATTCCACAACCAAGGCACAACCCTGACGCCCCTAAAGCCCTCCACCCTAACATACTTCTCCACCTCCCTCACATACCCCACGGGGTCCAGCAAGTCGACCCCCGCAATACCGATAAAGCGGTCCGGGAACGCGCGCGTGAACTCCGCTACGTCCTCGTTCGAGAACACCGCCTGCCCGGGGCGATACCACGCGCAGAGGCAGATTTGGGAGACGCCTGCGGCGTCCATGAGGGCGACGAGCTCGGCGGGCGTGCGCCGCTTGGAGAGGAGGGTTGTGTCTGCGTGGGATTGCTCGAAGAGGCGGCGGACCTCCGGGACGCCTTGCTGTGTTTGTGGTCAGCTTGTCTACTTGGGTTTTTGGAAGCTGATGTTTGATACTTGGGGATGGGTAGGAGGAGACGCACGTCTAGAGGGAGGATGGGGTTCGCCCATACGTCGATTATGGGGTATGTTGACATCTTGGGTTCTGTTTCGTTAGTGCTGGGATCAGTAGTGGGATGGTTGCAGCAAGAAGGTTGAAGTGAGGTTGAACTGATATATTGAGAGTTGATGGTTGGTTCAGTAAGTAATGACTACTCCCACGCTCCATTCCCGACGTGAATCCCTCGGCTGTATATCTATCATTATATGATCAACTAGTTAGTTAGCTAACTAACTATATTCGGTTATGAGTAAGCGCATGCATGTGCATGTGCATGTGTTGTTGAACCGATGGGATATACGATACAAGACTAAATCGGCTCGCACTTGTTCACCTAATACAATACTATACTATAAAATAGCAGAGTTCATGTATCCGTAGATCGTGGTAGCTGCTTATATATCCACCCCGCTAATGACTGGACGGCGGAAAGCTCTCCACACACATTATTCGTCAATGCTTTTTGGACAGGACAGGATAAGACAGAGCTTATATCCTTTTAGGTTTCTGCAAGAAGATCTCTACGATACTGATTTAGACAGGGTCACCTGGTCATGGGCTATCCGGTGGGCCGACGTATAGCTGGCTCTATATTGCCCCGTCTTTACTCGGGTTTTCAGAGCTGATTACTATTAGCTACCTAGTGGGGAATATATAATAAGAATTTATGAGCACTATTTCACTGGTGGAAACATTTGTATTGTATACTAGGTATACTTCTACCCAAGTATATGACTACATGCCTCCTGACTCGTAGTTTACTGCGGATGATAACCACGTACGCTACTCAAATTGAAACCAGACAGCAATCGCTCTATTCTATTAATACTCTGCTCTGCTGTGAAATTCATAAAACAAAAGAAAAGAAAATACTAGAAAACATTTACTTCTTCAGCTGAGCCAGCAGCTCGGCGGGCGGCTGTTGCCGGTAGCCTTGCGGGTTGTTACGGGTCCACAGCCAGAGGTCCTCGCAGGCCTGCTCGAGGGTGCGCTCGGCCTTCCAGCCCAGCTCGGTGTTGGCGCGCGTGGGGTTGGCCGTCAGGTTGAGGACGTCACCGGCGCGGCGGGGGGCCACCTCGTAGGGCAGGTCGCGGCCGACGGCGGTGGAGAAGGCCTTGATCATCTCGTAGACGGTGCTGCCCTTGCCGGTACCCAGGTTCCAGGCGCGGACACCGGGGTTGTTGTTGCGGAGGTAGTTGAGGGCCTTCAGGTGGCCGTTGGACAGGTCCAGGATGTGGATGTAGTCACGGATGGCGGTGCCGTCGTGAGAGGCGTAGTCTATACCATTAGTTTGTTTTCCTCATTCTAGGAGGTGGGAAGGCATACCATCACCGAACACGAGGAGCTTGTCGCGCTTGCCAGTGGCGACCTGAGCCAGCAGGGGCAGCAGGTTGTAGGGCACACCCTGGGGGTCCTCGCCCATGATGCCGCTGGGGTGGGCACCGGCGGGGTTGAAGTAGCGGAGCAGGGCACCGTTCCACTTCTGGGCCTCGGCGGTGTTACCGGCCTTGGTGGCGTTGTTGCGCTGGGCGTTGATGACGTCGGTGATGGCGGTCTCGACGGCGAACTTGGTGTTGCCGTAGGGGTTGGTGGGGCCCAGGGGGCAGTTCTCGGGGATGGGGATCATGTCGGGGAAGCGGGTGGCATCGCCGTAGACAGTGGCGGAGCTGGAGAAGACGATGTTGTAGACGTTGTTGCGGACCATGGCGCGGAGGAGGTTGATGGTGCCGTAGACGTTGACCTCGTAGTAGTCGAGGGGCTTCTCACCGGACTCACCGACGGCCTATGATGATCAGAATTGGAGTGCGAGAGAGGAGGTGGGGAGAGAGAGAGAGAGATACCTTCAGAGCAGCAAAGTGGATGACGGAGTCAATGTCGGGGTGGGCCTGGAAGACCTTGTCAAAGGCCGTGGGGTCGGTGACATCGAGCTGGGCGAACTCGGCCTTCTTGCCGGAGATGAGCTCGATGCGACGGAGGGCCTCATCGGAGGAGTTGAAGAGGTTGTCGGCGACGACGACCTTGTAGCCGGCCTCGAGGAGGGCGAGGGTGGTGAAGGAGCCGATGTAGCCGGTGCCACTGGAAGAGTTAGTTTGTCAATTCATTATTTATATAGTATGAGACATACCCGGTGACAAGGACAGATCCAGCAGACATGGTGGATTGAATGGGGGAAGAGAGAGTAGGTGGTGAGAAGAGGATGTAGGTGGAGGATGGAGGGGTATGGAGAAGAAGAAGAGAAGAAGAGGGGAAGAGGGAGGAGGAGATTCTAATACAAAGAATACTATGGAGTATGAGAATATTAGCCGGGTTTCAGGGGTGCCTGAGGTGCCGCAAAAGGAGATACGGGACTGGTGGGGGAGGGGCATACCGTATTATTACACCTCGATTCTCTAGAATACCTACTACGTAGTACGTAGCAGATAATCTCAAGATACTATCGACCACATTATCTAGTCCTTAATTCTAGAGACAGTAACCCCTGACATTCTCTAACACAGGGGAAATTAACCTCAGCTCATCTAACTCCAGTCAGTTAGATGTCCACGTAACGATAACACCACCGAGCGATGATCGCCATCAAATTAATGACCGATTAATTACGCTCCACCCGGAAGATTAAATGCGTACGTATCAGGATACTCTGATATGCGACAGGGCGATCTGTGCCTGAGGCAGGGACCAGGGTGTTCCTGAGGCCGGATGCGGCATCACACTGGGAACGTCTCATGCTCTATAGAGGGACATCTGATGGAATTAGATAGAACGAGAAAGGCCAGTTCGACGATTGAAGAGCTCCCCACTTAGAACTCAAATAATAAAGAATCAGGTAATACCAATCCAACAGCGGGTCCAGGTCCCCACTCCGGTCGTCGACCTGTTCTGCTGTCGTTCCAACTTCCCAAGCTACTCGATCCAAGGGTCCGAGAAAAACCCACCGAATAATGCCCTTGTTTGGAACTCTGGACACGGACAGCCTTGTTCTGGACTGGACTGTCTTAGTTCGGTCTGGATCGGGATATACACACAGTAGATTCAGGCTTCGTGGCCTTTTGAAAGCTCTCTTTCTCTGCTTGGATTTACGGCCATGTTGTATACGATTCAATTATGTTATTTTTCTTCTTAAGAAATCGCAATCCAATCAATTAAGCTAAGCGGACAATGTACAACTTTAACAGTCAGAAAAATATGAATGATGGGAATGATGTGATGAGACCGAGGGTCGTCTCGACGACTGCGCAGGCTGTGAGAATGGTGAGATAGGTGATAACAGGAGTTGATTCTTGTGGTGTTGTTTCAGCTGCGCTGTAGCATGTAATGCGTGGTCGTCTGTCCGTGGTCTGCCCTCCGTGGGAACCGCTGTTAAATAAGGACGGTTGTGTTTTTTTTTTTTCGTCTTCTTCATTTTCCCCCGTTCTTTATCTTATTCGAGTTTGACTCTCGTCACTCGTCCATTCATGCGGATACTGGAAGCCCCATAAAAGACAACTGTCCATCCCCGGTGGGACAGCATCCCGAAGGCAAGCGTCGGGACATTTCCCCACGGACTGGGATACCCCGTCAACCATTCCATCGTGTAGGAGCACCGTCAACCTATCCCAGGAGCTCGACATCCAGACCAATAGCCCGCATGAACAGGTTGACATTGCCGAGTCGCTGACTGGCCATGTCGGCCGGTAGCGTCTTGCTATACGTCACCGTCTCCATTACCCGGTCCCTAGACGTAGTCAGTAAACTATTCAAACTAATCAACGGGACGAGATACTTACTTCACCGAGATGACCAATCGCTGCTGCTGCTCAGGGCTGGCGCCAATCCCCACCGCCGCCAAGAATTGCCACACGTACATATCATCCCCGGCGTTGATGGATTGCGGGAACAGATCCGGGAAGATCGGTTCCAGCGTGTCGAACAGCACGTTGAACTTCTCCACCCACTGCTGCCAGTCCCGTTCCGTGGCTTGGCCCGCTTCCTTGACGATCTCCGCCCGACTGAGCAGCATCGTCAGGATCCCCAGCCCGATGCGCGTCTTGGCCACCAGCTCCACGTGCGTCTGCGCAATCATCAGACCCAGCAGTCCGATGATGATGTTGAAGGGCGCCTCGTTCACGTAGCCCAACAGGCTGGGCATGACCGCCTGCGAGAACAGCTCGATGGCTTCCCGCACCGCAAGCGACAGCTGCGTCTCGCCTGGCATCAGCTGTGCCCGCCGCACCACGTCCAAGGTGTCAAGGTTGACGACGATCATCGTCAGGATCGTCACCCGCTGCTCCTGGTCGATCTGTCGGAAGATGCGCGGGATCGCCTTCTTGCCCTTGGGGCACGAGAGGAAGGCGATGAACGGGTGCGGGTGGTTCGTGTTGGGCACGATCGGTTCCATGACCTTGAGCTTCTGCCAGAGCTTCTGGTTGAGGGCTCGCACCCTCTGCCGCCACTCCATGTGCTCCTGGATCGCCTCCGGGTCGCTCTCATCCGGCGGTGGGGGCATAGTGCGCTCCATGTCCTCCAACTCCATCAGGGCGCTGTAGACCCCTTCAATGTTGGTGAGGATGGATTTGCGGTCGCTGAGGCTCAGGTCTGCATGGGCCTTCTTGGTCGTCTTGGCTCCCTCGGAGCTGTCTGGCCGCTTGATGTTCAGCATGGGCTTGGGGGCCTTGGCGTTGCCGAATGAGATCTTGCCCAGACTCCCTTCGATGATCAGTTGCTTGTTCTTGGGCTTCTGCTTGGCTGCCTCCACTGCGCGCTGCACCTGTTGCTGCATCCGTTGCATGTGGTTGTCGGCGCTGTTGCCGTGCCGTCGAGACCCGTGGCCACCCAAGCGGTTGCCGGTCTGCAGGAGGTAGGTTTGCGCAAAGTGGCCCAGCGGCTGGTGGGGGTGCTGCCGCGGCGCCCCGCGGATCTGACTGTAGACCTGGTAGTAAAAGTCCTCGGACAAGACCGCCTCGGAATCAATATCGGCGACATTTCCCGCCGCGGCGACGAGCTGCTGCAGCTGGATCCGCGTGATGAAGTTCTTGTCCTGCGGGGTCATCAGCCCGTTGCCCTTGGACAACAGGAAAATCTTGTGGTTGCGCTTGGCCCGCCGGGCGTCCTCCATGAGGTACGCAATGCGCTGTTCCTCATTCAGATGCATCAGCTGCTGGGGGTTGGTAACCATCGGCATCTGGTTCGCCTGCGCCCGCGGTCCCTGGGGAATCACGGGCGGTTGCTGCTGCTGTTGCTGTTGTTGTTGCTGCTGCTGCTGCTGCTGCTGCTGCGGATAGGGGCGCTGTGCCCGTGGGGGCATGGCTTGCCGTGGCGGGGGAGTCATCGCCTGTGGGGGAAGATGGGCATTCTGCAAGAGATGCAGTGGGATGTTAGGCGCATGCCCCGGCATGGGAAAATGCTCCGGCACCATTGGCGGTGGCGGCGGAAGCAACTGTGACGGCGGGACCCCTTTGGCCAGCTGGGCCTGCACGAACTCGGGGGGCAGGTGCGGGAAGCCTTCCGGTAGCGGGGGCTGCAGGGGTTGCTGGAAATGGGACAGATCGGGCATCGGCTGCGGAAGAGAGACGGGCGGCTGGCTCAAACCAGGCGGAGGAGCAGACGGATGCTGCCGCATCTGTGCTTCCACTTCTTCCAGGCTCATCATCTTCTTGGCTAGCGATGGGCCCTGGAACGAAGGCTCGGCCCTTTTGTGCGCGCTCCACACACTGGACTTGGCCTGGAGATCAGGGATATACCCCGGGTCCTCGTACTTCTCGTACCCCGACCGCTTGGGCTTCTGGGCTGCCGCCGCCTCCGCCGCTGCGAGAGTAGCAGCCGCCTCTGCCGCCGGGGCCATGACCAGTCCCGGGGGCTTCTGTAGACCGTAGCGAATCTGTTCTTCCCCGATCACATCTGCCACCTGAGCGGTCTTGCCGAAGAAATCGAAGTCTCTCCCGACGCCGCTCGTGTCACCTCCGCCACCGAACGTGTCGTCGTTGAACTCATCCTGGCCCTCATCCAGCTGATCGCCCAGACCATCATAGGTGTCCTCAAAATTGATTCTACGTTTGACAAAAACTGTTAGCCCCGAAGTTGCTGTCTTATGGACCGTCCCCGAGTCCGGGCATGGTGCCTCCTGGAGACTTACACATCATCGTCGTCGGCCTGAAGACCCGCAGCTTGGGCGCGAGCGACTTCGGCAAACGGGTCAGGAGCGTCGAATATACCTCTCTGATCACCCGGAGGGGCTCGATCCCTCGGGAGAGTGGTATCGAAGCCGAAGAAAGACATCTTCGACCGAGGGGGGGGATGTAGGATGAGAGGGGGGAGGGAGGGTAGAATTATCGCAGCATTTCCTGGTAGTGCGGGATGGAAGTTGAGGCCGGCTCTGATATCACCCACTAACAGATTCGCTGGCCTGGGCGGGGCCCGATTGGGCTTAGCGCATATATATGCCTGAGGCAGGAGTCTTGGCGGGAAGCTCATTGATTACATAATATCCTGGCCATTAGCTTCATGAAAACAGTTACTATATACTTTTGTACTCCGTACTTCGTAGTATATGATTGTCGCTGTTTCACTCAACCTACAATGTCAAATGTAGACAGGTCACTTGGAACCTGTCACCTTTAGAAGAAACCTTTCCAATCTGCTTGCTGACACCCTATGACTGGTCATACTGGATGACAACACAGTCTCAATTATAGTAACACAAGTACGGATACACAGCCAACAATCCCCCGGAGTATTTACCAGTTGTCAGTGCTTTGGTGACTCCAACAGAATTGATCAAGTGACCAAGAGAAATGATCACAACAGTGTTTGCCGATGGTCAAATCCTCCCATGGGAATGGCCTCCTCGATCAAGACGTTGTCCTGCAGGAGGCGGGATGATCGGTAGTTATGATACTAACTACGCCACCAGATAAATTAGCACCCGGATCGTCGTTTTGAAAACGGTCAATTTGTCCAAACAACGTGCAGCTAAAGGATCGTTGGGTATCTCGTTTCGACCGAATCAATCTGGATCAATCTGATAGTGTCAAACGGTAGATCGGCAACCCCTTGACCCTGGAACAGCAAATCTAGTCTGCCTGCCCTCACGTGCCCGCGGTGGCTGAAACAAGGCTCTGATCTGGGTCAATTATGCACGGATGAGGAAAACATACCTGGGTCGCATAACCGCCTACATACCGACCGACACCGACGTGATGATTAGGTAGTCCTTTCTTTCATCGGCTCACCCCTCTTTTCCCATCCCTGCTGCTCTGGAATTGTTGTTAGTTTTGATACTTGCTTCCGCCATTCCATCGCTGCAACCGGTCCATCATCCTGCCTGGTTTGTTTGCTGCATCCTGGTTTGGACAACTCAAAACACTCGCTCCCCGTCATCACTTGCCAACTCCACCTTCGAGACATACAGATCACCGTTGATCCCCGACGGACTCGCCGGACAACTCCTGGAGAAGAACCGAGTTGGAGCTGGTTGCGTTTCGCAGATCTCTTCCTTATAACGGTTTAGACCCCGCTGCGATATCCATCCCCCCTGGCGGTGGTCTCCCCTCGCCATCGAGACAACATCGACCTTTATACACTTTTTGGTCGCTCTTTGGTCTAACGGCCTGGAGAAGATAACTTCCCCGTTGCCCAACATGTCGTCAGGGCCGAGATATGTGCGGTACCTCATACTCGCCGCGTTGGTAGGTCACCCCGGAGTTCGTGGTTCTTTCACAGCACCAATACTGACTCCGTTTCAAGACAATATGCACCTTCTTCGTTTTCTCCCGAAATGCCATCCCTATCCCTGAGAATATCGGCTCGAAAATAGACACCTACAAGGGTGCCATTTCCGGGTACACATCCTCCCACTCCGACAACGCCTCGCCCGAGCAACCGGTCACCCATGCGCCCAGCAGCAGCGTCAGCGCTCCCGTTGCGGCCCGCGTGAATGCGACCTTTGTGACACTGGCACGCAACCACGACGTGTGGGACATGGCCAGATCCATCCGACAGGTGGAGGATCGCTTCAACCGGAACTACCACTACGACTGGGTATTCCTGAACGACAAGCCGTTTGATGAGACCTTCAAGAAGATCACCACGGCACTCGTCTCGGGAACCACCTACTACGGCCTCATTCCGGAAGAGCACTGGTCCTACCCGGAGTGGATTGACCAAGAGAAGGCCAAGAAGGTGCGCGAGGATATGGGTCAGAAGAAGATCATCTACGGGGATTCGGAGAGCTACCGGCACATGTGCCGTTACGAGTCGGGCTTCTTTTTCCGCCACCCGCTCATGATGAACTACGAGTACTATTGGCGCGTCGAGCCTAGCATTGAGCTCCTGTGCGACATTCCTTTTGACCCGTTCCGATTCATGAAGGAGAACAACAAGATGTACAGCTTCGTGCTGAGTCTGTACGAGTACTACGACACCATCCCCACCCTCTGGGACAGCGTCAAGAAGTTCATGGGTGCTTATCCGGGCCACGTCGCCGAAGGGAACTCTATGGAATTCTTGAGTGACGACGGAGGAAAGACCTTCAACAAGTGCCACTTTGTAAGTTTCCTTACCCACTTCATTATTTCCTTTCTTCCTTTTGACCTCCCCGCTAATAACCCGTGCAGTGGTCCAACTTCGAGGTCGGCAGTCTGGACTGGCTGCGGTCTGACTCGTATATCGACTACTTCAGCTCTCTGGACCGGGACGGCGGTTTCTTCTACGAGCGCTGGGGCGACGCCCCCGTCCACTCGATCGCCGCCGGCATTCTGCTGCCCAAGGAGCAAATCCACTTTTTCAACGACATTGCCTACTACCACATTCCGTTCACCCACTGTCCGGCCAGTGAGCAGCTGAGGCTGGACCTGAAGTGCCACTGCAACCCCAACGACAACTTTGACTGGAAGGGCTATTCCTGTACGTGCACCTCCTTTGCCCTACTATCTCTCACAAAATTAATGATCTCCAGGCACCGCCCGATACTTCGACATCAACGACCTGGAACCGCCAGAGGGCTACCCCGAATCGAATTGACTGGCGGTGGCGGGGATCATCCTCCTCGCCATCACCATCGTCGGCAGCGTGATCATTACAGTCAGCGGCAGGACCCGCGCGCGAGTCATCCGTAGCGGACAGCATGTGTACGAACAAATTGCAGCGAAGAAAGTGGGATTGTTCAAAGGGTAACAGCACTGGCAGCTTGTTTTTGCATTGTCTAGGTGGAGAGGTGTCTTCTGTAGGCTCGGCGTTTTGATTTCTTTTTTTCTCTGTCTTCTTTTTCCCTACCTACTATTTTTGTTGTTTATTTTAATTTCTATCACTTGTTTTATCTTATCTTCTCTTCGCCATTGTGTTTTTACCTTTCTATTTTATTTCCATTTGAGCATGCATTGCTGTTGGGGGTATGGAGGATATACAAAAAAGTGGAGGATGCCGCATGCCCCGTCAATCTTCTACAAGGATGGGATTTATTGTTTAGGAAATCAACCATGGACGATTGCCTTGATATCGTACTGTACATAAGCTTTGTAGTAAAAAAAAAAAATGATACAAAAACACCGTCGCATCCTAACGCATCTATCTGCCCAGAGTGTTGCAGTTACGGTTACTCCTTCTTGGGCTTCTTGGTACCGTACTTGGAGCGGCTTGTCAGACGGTTGGAAACACCACCCTACAACCTGTTAGTAACGGACACCCTTCAAACAGCATATCTCCACAGAAAAAAAAGAAGGAAGGGAAAAGACTAACCAGATCCAAAGCACCTCTCACCAAAGTATACTTCACACCAGGACAATCCTGCGCACGACCGCCACGAACCATGACAACACTATGCTGCTGGACATTATGGCCTGGACAAGTAATTAGCCCAATCCCTCATCGTATCCTCCCCATCCATCTCAAAGATCCAACAGGAGCGTCGGGGAGAAGACAAACCTTGCCCAGGAATATAACAAGTGACAACCTTCCCACTACTCAACCGCACCCTCGCCGTCTTCCTCTCACCCGAATTAGGCTTCTTGGGCTTCGTAACGCCCGTCTTCAAACACACGCCCTTCATCTGGGGCCGCAGCTTGAGGGCGGGCGAGCGCGCGCGGCGCGCCTTCTGCGATGTGCGGCAGCCGCGGCGGACTTGGTTGTATGTTGTTTGGAGGAGGGGGGAGGTGGAGAATTGTCGGGAAGACGAGAGGGCGGCGAGGGCGGACGGCGTGCGGAGGGTGGGTTGGAACGGGGTGAGGAGGGTCTTTCTTGGGAGGGATGCCGTCAGTTTGGCGGTGGCCGTTCTTGTTGTTGGTTGGGAGACGAGGCTCCGCAGGGTGCGGAGGGCGAGAGAGGGGAGCATTTTGGTGGTGGGAGGTTATGTCGCTTTGGTCGAGTAGAGGGAGTATCGGGGGGAGAGTTGAGGATGCGGTGATAATTTGCGATATGCGGTCATGTGATCGTTCTGCGGGAGTGGTGGGTTTGGGGCGCCGGAGGAGCTGCTGGCGGGAGTGAGTGAGTGAGTGGACGCCTCAGCTTGACTGCCTTCTTGGTTTATCTAGCTTGCTTCCATACTCACTTACCTATCTACCATCTCCATTCTATTGCTTGGATTTCTTTCTCTCTCTATATCTATTGTGAAATCGTCTAGCATCAATCTTGTTACTACCGTCAACACAATCCACCGCCAACATGGTATGTCACCCATGATGCCATGCTAATCAGCATCATCATCATCATCATCTCCAGACCTCCTCCTTCAAATACACCAGCCCAACAAACCCATTGGAACAACCGCTAACATGAAGTGAAATAAAAGTCCCTCCGCATCGCCCCCCCCTCAACAGCCCCCAACAGCACCTCAAACACCACAACCCGCCAATCCATCCCCATCACCCTCCCGCACCCATCCAAAGGCGCCCCCTCCGCCCCCGGCCTCCCCGACACCCTCCGCGACAACATCACGCAGCAAGCCCCCACCGGACCCCCCTCCGCCCACGCCGACTCCGCAGCAACCACCTCCGCCCACCCGCTCGAAGCCCGCCTCCTCGCCTGGCGCCAGACCCAGCACGCCCTGAAGATGGAGTCCCTGCGTCGCGCCTACGGCATCGCCGAGCCCGTTCGCCGCGGCATGGAGCTGAAGCTGGTCCGTGATGGGACCTTCCGGCCGGCTGTGCTGGGCGGGGCCCGTGGCGGTGGTGGGAGCAGTGTGCATGAGGATATCTTGGTGCTGGGTGGTAGGGATGCGGAGATTGGGTGGGAGGATGTTTTCCAGGGTTCGTCTCTCTTTTGTCCTTTTTCTTTCTCTTTTCTTACTGCTTTCTTGCTCCATATTTTGGATTCTGCTGGTTTGAGTGTGCTAACGATGATGTGTTGCAGGAGACGAATTCAGAGAACCGCCTACCTTCCACGACGAGATGGAGAAGCGACTGCGTATGGACTAGTGGTTGTTTCTTTTCTATCTCTCTTAACTCGCTTGTTCGTCTTTTTCCGTTTATGATACTTGTTACTCCTGTTAGGTCACGAAATTAGTCTTGACACTGGCGTCTCCGTGGTTGCTACTACTACTACTACAACATACACACATACTATTCAGATGCAATCAATAGATTGTGGTTGAACCGGTTATACGTATATCCTTACGGAATAAGAGGGTCTTCTTACGGGATGAGGATCTCGTTAAGGGAATGAGATATCCCTACTAGACCATATTATACGACGCGGATATGTCTGGATCTCACTGATATCAACAATCAAACGTATACAATATATTGATCATAGTAGGTAGATAGATAGTAGCGCACAGATATGTCAACATGCTCCCTTCATCCCCCCGAGCAACAAAGAAGAAAGCAGGGTATATGTGGAGGTAGTCGGGTAAATCAAATCATGGACTCGACTGATGATTCGATGATGTAGACAGACAGCAATAATCGCAGCTAAAACGGTAGCTGTTCAGTTGGGGTCAGATCAGATGGCAGTCAGATGTCAAAGTCAAAGTCAGATGTAATGTCAAAGCCAATCGAATATCAAACGGAGATAGATGAGATAGATGCCAAGGGCTAAGAGAAGAAAAAGAAAGCAAGAAGAAAAGAAAAGTCCTCAACGCCGTTCCCAAGGGCGGTCAATACATGGGTAGCCTGATATCCTGTATCCAGGCTGATAGCAAACATGACAAAGGGTTGACTCAACAGGCGGGTATGGAAAAACACGAGGCCAAAAAGGAAGAGATAAGAAAAGTGGGGTAGGGTAAAGTGAAGTTAAAGAAATGGGGGGGAAGGAAGAAAATGAAAAGAAAGACAAGAGAGAAGGAAAGAAAAAAGAAAAGGAAGGGACAGGTAGGAAAAAGAAAAGAATCAATGTAACCAAGCCATACGCTGTCAGACGTAGGCTCAGTCCTCGGGTAGTAATGTCCAGACGACCCTGCAGGTCATGAATAAACTGCAGGTGGTGATAGACGGCAGGACCGATTCCAATTTACTGAATCACGCAGCGACATGATGGGCTGCGTTCGCTAGCCTCGCGTTCCCGGGCATATCCAGTAGTCTTGGCGCCTTTGGAGTCTTCCTCGTCGACAATCTCCTGAGGTTTGACTGTCATGTGCACCACGTTGGGGGCATCGTGGTTGAATTTGGAGTCTGCGAGGAGTTAGAAGGGGAATATAGGGGCGACGGGTCCGACACATACCTGATAACGGGGCATTGTCGTCCAAGAGCTTGCCAAACGAGATGAGGCGGATGGCGCTGGGGGAGGACGGCCGGGTCTCCCAATCTAGATCTGGTCAGCTATCGCGATTCGGTGGGGGGGGGGAGCGTTTGCCGCGCATACCTTGTCTCCATCCTCTCCAGATCAACTCTTTCAACGTATAGACGCTCATGGCGAACGGGTCGTCATTCTCGACATTGATGGAGCGTTTGCGCAGGTAGCTGCCGTCAATCCTGAGCGGGTGCCGTGAGCCGGTGATGAGGAGGAGCGTAATCAGCAACGATGGACCCGTATCTTCCACTTCGGTCTCTTTCACCGAGGCATCAGATGCCGGCGACGACGGCTGGACGCCTGAAGTCGCGGACTTGGCCTCGTTCGACTCGATGGGGGCATCTCCGTCAGTTCGTTGGGCGGTGGCGACTGGTGTCTGGGTATCATTGCCAGTCCCGGGAATCGTCCCCGTCGTAGACACTGTATTCTCCTGTGAAACTTGGTCGGGATTGCTGGGGTGTGAATTTGCATTTAATTCGGTTGGAGGGAGAGTTTGTTGTTGTGGTTGCTGTTGTTGTTGTGACTCTTGGGGTTGTAGTAATTGTTGTGGTGGTGGTGGTGGTGGAGGTTGTTGTTGTGATTGTGGCGGCTGGGGTTCTTGCGATACGGCGACGGCTGATACGGGATCATCCTTGGAAGCATCCGACAGCGGTTGGTCGTTGGAAGCCATGTCCAATGCCGCTTTCCTGGCAGAAGGCCACGATTAAGTTTAATGAGGATCGAGTGTGATCAATAAAGTAGTCGTGCAGGGGGACCGAGTGTGGAGACCTTCAAAAGTTCAAGGGAGAGCTCGAGCTGAAAGGAAAGGCGGAAACAAAAAGCCCGGCGAAATGGACCCGACGGGAGAAGGAGCAAGACGTTTGGAGTCGTGGAGTTTGACAGGAGGAGAGGGCGGGGAAGCAAGTAGTTCTTCGAGACTCTGACAGAGCAGTTGTGGCAACTCAGCTACTTTACTAGTTACTAGTTCAAGGATTTTAGTGGAGGAGCAGGAGGCGACCGGAGTGGATGAAGGAGAGGGAGGAAGAGGGAGGCGGATAGGGGGAGAGACCAATGATGATGGATCAGGCATATCGAGAGAACCACGGGAATCTGAAGAATACAATACTTCGTTACTTACAGACGGATCGAGTACGCGACCGGGCAATTCAGGCCGATTCAAGGAAATCTGGAGTTGCGAGAGGCGAAGGGAAGAAAGAGAGAAAAGAGACCAAGGGAAAAGGGGAGAAAGAAGGCGAGTTGACCCCGGTCTGGAACTGGATCGGGCCTTGTTAGCTTGAATGCTGTCTGGATGTGGTCATGTTGATGACATCGCATGATCCCAATCATTCTCTCGTTTCCTTTACAGATCTTCCACACGGTCTTCCTCCCTCGAGCATTTAATCTCTCATCTGCATGCATGATTGATTTGAAGTTCCCTTGCAAGGGATGTCTGTCCGGTCTGGTCGCCTCGTGCGTCCCCGTTGGGCCATGTTACAATCCGATCCATTACAGACTGCAGGAGCTGAAAGATCCGGTCTCCCTTGGCTCATCATCGATCCATTGGAAATGACTCTATTTGGATTGTCTTGCAGCGATCGAGATTGTTCAAGAATGGAATGTTTTGGCCATATCTGTTTGTAAGGACGGCTCATGCGTCTAGACCCTTGAATCCTGTATCTCTAATATATGTTCTACAGAGACTTCGTTTGAGATGGACTGCTATACTTGACTACTAAACCACAATTGTGAAGAATCGAATCAACCACTCGAAGGATGCAAGGCGAAGCAGATGAAGAGGAAGATGGGAAAGAGTCACTATGGCGTAGATGGATATAGATTGATACGATGGACACCTCAAATATCATAGTTGTGTCTGGATAATCCTGACTCATCACATACATCTAACTACCTAGCAGTTATCTCATACTCCCTCCTGGCTTCAAACTTCCTGGAGCTTCATTGACTTTAGACTCGCCTTCTCCACGTGCAGACCTCGTTCCCTCATATACCACCTCTGGAGCCAATTCGTATTCCTATTCAGAGGCTGGGAATCACAGGAATGCCCCATGGTTCTCTCAATCCGCCATACCGAGACCCAACGTCGTGACATCACCCTTCCCAACGGATGTGTTCATCGGATACCTTTCTGCACATTCCAATCCAACAATCCCATTCTATCCAGCCAGAGCTCCCAGAGCTTCCTCCACTCGGGGGGCGACCCACCTCTCTTTTTCCGCGGTCCCCGGGTATGGACGCGAAAAGACCATCGGCTTGTCTTCCCCCCAGCCTCAATCACCCGTGGTCCGCCCCAAAGCTAGATTCGTTCCATACCCCTCATGGTCAGATGCCCGGCAGATTTTGTTGCGAGTATGTCCCCCCGCTCAAAAAGAAAGAGTGAGTGAGTGAGTGGTCGCGACTCGACCCTTCAGAAATGCTTTCTGATGTAATTGAATTCGCGTTGGTCCAAGTCTAGACTGCTCTGTCCGACGAGTCAGATGTTCTCGCTCTGCCAAATAACAGCGAGAAGGAAAAGAAAACAATCTTCGATCGGCGGCCCCCTGCCTTCCTCTCGTGCTCTGAACTTGCATCACTACTACTAGTCTATTTGACTTTTTGATCTGATTTTACTTTCTATTTTTTGGCGGAACCACTGATTGCGGCCCACGCGTCATGCTATTTATCAAGCGTTGCTCGCTCCATCTCCACTGCTGCGTACGTGTCTGAGCATTAGAGATGCTTCGCCGCCTGTCGTCAACGAAAGAGACGGCCCGGGGGCTTAGTCTCAGCAACAAATCGACGGAGCCGAGTCTAGAAGTAAACATCACCGAACCGGCCCTCTTCATCCCCACCTATACCAACAAACCGCCCGTCCTTCGGGGCTCCTGTGTTCTGGAAGTCCGGGAACCGCTGACGGCACGGCGACTGACGGTCACCCTACGGGGGACATCGCGTGTGCAATGGCCTCACGGTAAGAACTGGCCAGCCACCAGGCTATCCGTGTGGGGGCGAGGCTAATCCGGGTTGGGCAACAGGCACTCAAGATACGGAGAAGGTCATCGACTGCACGCTGACCGTATTCGGTCCGGAGGCCGCCAAAACCGGGCCCCAGTCATATGCGGTATGCAGCGAGGAAGAACCGCCAGCCCTGCAACGAAAGGAATCGGGATTCTCCCGGAGAAAGAGCCAAGTGCGCACCGCGCTGATGGAGCTTTACCCGAATTCCAACCACCCCCCAGCAGCAGCGCATCACAACTTTAAACCCGGCACCTACCGGTACAATTTTGAGATGGTCCTCCATTCCCAGCTGCCCCAGACCATCCGACTCCGGGGTAGCCAGGTCCGTTACAGCGTCCACGTCTGTGTGGAGCGCCCGGGCGCCTTGACGCGCAACATCACCCACACCCAACCCATCACCGCCATTCACTGCCCCGCGGAAGACTATGTCGAGGACGCGGAGCCGGTCTACGTCCGACGGTCCTGGTCCAAGTACCTGCGTTGCGAAATTCTCGTCTCGCGACGAGGCGCGCCCCTGGGCCACCGACTTCCGGTGACCCTCTCCTTCGCGGAGTTGGCCCAGGCCAAGTTGCGCGGCATCCGAGTCTATCTGTCGGAAAATGTTCAATACCTGCAAAAAGACGGCCTCCCATCCTGTTTCGGTCCGTACAAGCGGACGCTCGTCTACAAAGCCGTGGATGGCCTGGGTTCCACCGACTTAGCGCTGATGCCGGAAGACGACCAGGTCAAGCATTTGGTGACCGACGAGAAGGAGCCGGATAGTCTTGTAGCGTGCTCCGAGTCCACGGTCCAACAGAGCGGTGCGAAAGCAACAACCCTCGACTTTGACCTGCCGTTGCCCATCTGTCGGATCCACGCCAACAGCGACGAGACGCGGAACATGCATTTTGACACCAAGTACAAGAACGTGCAAGTCAACCACTGGGTTGAGGTGGGCTTTTCTCCCTCGTTCCTCCACTAGATCCAGATACTGATATCTCGTCTAGTTCGTTTTCTTCCTAGCGAAAGATGGGTCTGGGGACGCTAAAACCCAAAAGACCGTCAAGGCTCCACTGACCCTGCGACCTTGCTACGCCCACCAGGCAAATGCTTCTCTCCCGGCCTACTCGGAGAAGACGCTGTGCGACTCGCTGGGGCGGTAAATATCGGCCAGAAGCCGGCTGTCCTGCGAACCATGACGGATCATTGAAATTGGCCAATATGACTTGCTACATGAAATCCCGCATTTTGCGTTCACGACCGTCAGGGGGGAGGGAAGACCACGAGGTGACCAAACTTAGTTCGCGAGCACCTGCGTTTGCATCATTGGAACGGTGCAGCGAGCCTCCACGTTGCAGGCGATCGCGGGCGGGAAGTTGATCCTACCCGAAAATCAGCCCAGTGGTCAACTGTATTCGATTCTCATTCGCTGGTCGCATCATCTGATATCATGTGCGATGCGGTTCCATGGAACTGGGTTAAGGTTGCCGATGCCATGGTTGCGTTGGAGTGGGAGTTGCTGAGTCTTCGATGTTGCCGATTACCGCATGCGGGCATGCGGCCCTGTCGGTGTTTTCTATTCTACCTTTATCTTTCTGCTCGTTCCTGGATTGAATTGCAGAATTATTCTTCTGCTTGTTTTGGGGTATACTTCGCAGTGTGTTTATCTGCGACTGCCATTCAACATGCCTCCTACATTCGCGGGCATGTCGGGGCGCCCGTTGTCCCTGTCAATTTCGACAGTTGCAACCATGGGATTCTTACTCTTCGGATATGATCGTGAGTTGCACTCACAAATGCAATCTTGGAACAGGAACTTTCTGACCGTGATTAGAGGGTGTCATGTCGGGTATCATCTCGGATCCGTCGTTCAACAACATGTTTATAGCTACCAAAGGCGACAACGTCATGCAGGCCACCGTGACCGCCGTGTATGAAGTCGGTACGCCTTTTACGATGTTCCAAGCCTTATTTCAAATTGACTCAAACTGACGGACGGTCGCAGGATGTTTATTCGGGGCGATCTTCGCCCTCATCTTCGGCGAATTGCTGGGCCGTCGATGGATGATCATCTCCGGAGCAGCGGTGATGATCGTCGGTGTGGTCATTCAAGTAACCGCCATTTCGGGGTCCCTTCCTCTCCTGCAGTTCATCTTCGGGCGAGTGATCACCGGCATTGGCAACGGCATGAACACCTCCACGATCCCGACTTACCAAGCCGAATGTTCCAAGACCAGCAACCGCGGTCTGCTCATCTGCATCGAAGGCGGCGTCATTGCCATTGGGACCATGATCGCGTATTGGATTGATTATGGGGCGCATTTTGGACCCCCGGATCTCGCCTGGCGGTTTCCGATCGCGTTCCAGGTCGTGTTTGGTATCTTCATCATCGTAGGCATGTGCTATCTGCCTGAATCGCCGCGGTATCTCATTGCGCATGACCGCGTTGACGAGGGTGAGAAGGTCCTGGCCGCGTTGAAGAATGTTGAGGTCGACGATTCCGAAACGCAGCTGGAGAAGAATTTGGTTCTGGACTCGATCCGCGCGTATGTCCACCCCTTCTCCTCCCTTCGACATGCGTTACTTTCAAGATTTCTTCATGTTTGAGAGAAATGGCGAGCAGGTCAGAAGCAAGAGAAACTAACATTCCCCAGATCCGGCGCTGAAAAAGCCAAATTCCGCGACCTTCTCACAGGCGGCCCATCCCAGCACTTCCGCCGCATGGTAGTCGGCTCATCGGCACAAGTCTTCCAGCAAATCTCCGGCTGCAACGCAGTAATCTACTACCTCCCGGTCCTCCTCGAACAATCTATCGGGCAATCCCACAACTTCGCCCTCCTAATCGGCGGCATCAACATGATCTGCTACGCCATCTTCGCGACCTTTTCCTGGTTCTTCGTCGAAAAGATCGGCCGCCGCAAGCTCTTCCTCGGCGGCAGCTACGGCCAATGCGCATCAATGATCATCGTCTTTGCCTGCCTCATCCCAGGCGACTCGCAAACCGCAAAGGGCGCCGTCTTTGGCCTCTTCCTTTACATGTGCTTCTTCGGCGCCACCTGGCTCCCCCTTCCCTGGCTCTACCCGGCCGAACTCTCCCCGATCAAAACCCGCTCCAAGGCAAACGCCATCTCCACCTGCAACAACTGGCTCTTTAACTTCACCGTCGTCATGATCACACCCGTCATGATCGCGCACATCGGCTGGGGCACCTACCTCTTCTTCGCCGCCTGGAACGCGGTCTTCATCCCCGTCATCTGGTTCTTTTACCCCGAGACGGCAGGCCGCAGTCTCGAAGAGATCGATCTGATCTTCGCCAAGGGCTACATGCATCAAATGAGCTATGTCCGCGCGGCGAAGGAGCTGCCCAGGCTCCAACCTGATGAGATTGAGGAACAGGCGAGGGAACTGGGCGTGCTTGATGAGAATGAGAAGATTGAGGAGCGCATCGCGAGGGATCATCCTAGTGATTCGGCGGAGTTTGGCTCGTTTTTGCCGACGCAGCTTTGATCTACATCATTCTCCCTTTCATCTATTTCATTCATTCTTTTTTTTTTCGTTCTCTCTTTTTTTGATTGGATCTACTTAGGCTCTTCGGTGTTGGTGGTTGGTTTTTTGTGTGTTGTTTTATGCTGCGTGTGCTTGATAGGTTTTATACATACGCACTTGATTTCTAGATAGGATGAAGGTTTTCTTCTTCGTTTGAGTGCTCACTGAGTAGATTTGAGCACGCTCTGAGCGCCCTGATCTGAGTGTTGTCATTAAGCAAGGCCTCGGTTACCTCTGGTGGTAGTGAAGTCACCTATTGGGCACATCAGGAAGAACCTAGCAATTTGCATGCACTCCCTTGGCGCTTTGATCTTTTCTACATAGGTCACCATGTCATCAAGCCACTCTGGCTTGCCCGATGGGGTAACTGCGGCTGAGCTTGGTTCACTACTCGACTATTCTATGCTAGACGATGCAGGTTAACGCAGTTTCTTAGAAAGTGATACTAGCCAAGACTTGGTGCAAGCAGGGGCTCGATCATCAGGAAGGCATCAGACCATAGAGGGAAAGGTCTCCTTTGGAAAGATGTGCAGGTAGATGGTAAATAGGTCACCATTTAGAATAGAGGAAATCGAGTTATCATGCTCTGTATCATTCAATATTGGCGATCAAATGATTTGCCAGCAGGCGCTCATTGATTTAAAAAGGGAAAGGAAAAAAGAGGTTACTTAGTTAGATTATCTCTTATCTGAAGTTCTACCTCGTAGGTGGAGCAGAAGAAAGATGGCCATCAATCCCTGTTATATTGATGATGTCGTCTCTTTGTTGGGACAAAGGGCAATGACGGCGAAAAGCGCGGTGTGTAAAATATCCCACCTTTTGATGATTGCTCTACCGGCATCTGATATAGGTGTACTTTCGCCGTTTTTGGTATCTAACCATTGGCTTTGCTTTGCCAGGTTTTTGATATCATTGTTCAGATTGATCAGATAGAAGAGAGGATTTGTGCATATGGTTTCAGAATTCATCTCTTTGGCCTCGGGAATACTAGTGCATACCGAATGTCCCATCCCTGGACAGTAACCCAAGCTCAGTGCAGATAAGCCCCTGTTGAGCTGTAAACTCCTACTTGACCAATGAGCGCCATGAAATGACACGAGGCTGTCGTCTAACAGCGACGAGGCTTAGCCGGAAAAGCTACGCGAAGATGAAGACATAAGCGCCGAGCTCCATCCACCCTTCCAGTTACACAACGTTATCTAAACTGACAGGCCATGGTGTTCAGGTCATGGAGACCTTCACGAGCCCTCGATACAGTCATTCTCCCCACTCGCTTCACTGGGCAAAGGATTTTGCTATCCGCCAAGTGACTAGCTACCACGGCCAGGATAACCGCCTGAAAATCCCCACCAATGGCTCGATCCTTGATGAATTTTTCAACAGTTGCAACGTGGAATTGTCGCCCCCGCAGCGCCACGAGCTCTTAAAGCGGTTCCTGAGCCGTGCAGGAGCGCGGTCGTTCCCTGAAGCCGCCAAGTTTGGTCCGGAAGATAAGCGAGTGCTTGCGATGGTCGATGATCGATGTGATCCGTGCACACAGTTTACAAACATCCCGGAAAACACCTTCCTGCCCGTGAGACAGTGGGAGTCAGAAGAGTACATGCGTCGCCCACCTGAGGGGCTACATGTTCGGATCGTAGGTGGGGATGCAGAGATGTTGTTCTGCCATCTCAATAAGGATGTAAAGCTGGACATGATTACCACCGTTGACAGGAAGAGTACTGACAAATGTGGACAGCGAAAAGGCGTCGCAGAGCGACGAATTGTGTATGTCTGCCGTTAAATATCGAGCGCACTGAATGATCAGTAGGAATTTGTTGATTTTGATAGATACCTGGTGGACCTGACACCTCTTATGGGAGTGGCCTTGATCTCGAATATCTCGTATATGCAACTCCCACAGGTGCGATCATACTTGTCACGATATGTAGCATTCGACGCCTACATGGGAGTTTCCCAGGTGAATATCACCCCCGCCTGAGTCGGAACGACGAATGATACGTCTGACTTAACGAAAATGCAACAGCAAAGGGGTTTTACACTGGAATTCCACTTGCCGCATTATGCCCTGCGCCCTGATCAACCCGAGCTGCGCGACGCACGCGGACTTCGAAAGAGTCGCTCCTTTCAACTGCCATCATCTGGATCTCACGATCGTATCTACGAAGTCCAGATCTCGTTGGTGGTAATCGGTGTTGATGAGTTCTTCTGGATGGCATACTTCAGCGAAGATTCCTACTTCCGAAAAAATGACCCGATTTCGGAATACCTCCAGGATAAGACCGATGGGCCATCATTTGGCCTGCGGCTGTGCAAGTTCCCCATATGGGATCCAAGATACTATTTTCTTTCGATTTTTTCTATCCGAATGGGCCAGGTGAAGATGGAATGGAGGGTGTTGGTGGAAACGGTAGAAGGACATCTCGATCAGCATGTACAGATCCTTTTGCCCTCCATTGATGATAAAGGCGAGTATTCGCTCGGCTAAGGCTCGCCAGGGCGAAATCGACGAGGATAACCTGGATGGATTCCTCGAGAACGATCCATCACTGCAGAAGACCAAAGATTTTACGTGGACCCTGTGTTCCTTACGGCGCCTGCGAAACTCCCTGGCAAGGCTGATCGCCGCCTGGGTGGCGTTTGACCGAAATAATAGTGTTTACTTTGATTTAAACTCGGACGGAACCCTGGCTGCCAAGTTTCGGGAATGTTTTTTGTCATTGCGGCAATCCACGGCAGAGCTTGGTAGTCTCCAGATGATCTTGGAACAGCGAATTGAAACAATGGAGAAGATGTCCAGTGTTGTATGCTCTTACCCCGATTTTGCTTGTTTTATATCTACCTATATGTCTGTGGAAGTGCCACTGATCTTGTCATCTAGTTGGTAAATGCCTCATCATTGGCAGAGAGCATCACGGCCACTCGGCAAGGCGATAATATCCGGCTGTTAACGTATATCACAATCGTGAGCAAGAAACAGCCCTGAAACACCCCGCTCGTCTTCTCTCTAATGTGATGGATTTAGCTATATCTACCGGTGACACTTGTGACGGTGAGTACACCGACTAAAGTCCTCAAGTCCCTGGAGGCCATTTAAGATGACGAATCAAAAGAAACCAGAGGAGAATACAAGAGAACTGTGGCTGACTTCACTTCCACAGAGTGCCTTCAGCATGAACCAGGTCAGCGATGACATCGCCTGGTGGAAGTACTGGATTATTCTGTTCTGCCTAACAAGCGTTACAGTGGCTGTAGCACTTGGAATTCATCTTACGGTACCTCGGATGAGAAATTTGGACATTCGCAGCATTCTGGAATACACTAGATGAGGCTTAATAGGTTATGTAAACGTCTCCCCAAGAATGTATCGGCTCTATTTGCAAGGAACGCAACTCGAGCATACCGTATGATTGCAAGTGACGCACACGGGCTGAGAACTGTACAGCTTTGGGCCATCATGACACACGCACTATGTCGGTGTTAGATAGTGAACATCCTAAAATCTGCTGACGCATCCAGCGCTATCCAGCCAGGTCGGTATCTAGGGACCTAGGGACCTACCATCCACGAGATAACTGACAGGGATGCAACCAAAAGCAAGGAGATGGCATAGACAAGCTTGGAGGTAGGCGAATAGAAACAGTGCTGGCCATAGGTCAAACTTACACAAAAGTAAAAGAGCGTACAAGCACGTATTCCGGCCTCTTGGATGGGATACTGACACTCAGCACATTTTGAATGTTTGCATTCATTGCAGACTGTCAGATTTGACTTGTTGTATGCTTTGCATGTTCTAACACACTGAAGTTCAGTCCTCAAATTATTGTAAGTAAGGGAAGTGTTTATTCGGGGTGAGACCGAGTTGTATACTGGATTTCCCGTGGGTTGAGACGATAGTGAGCAGGGGAAAGAGGGAAAAGAAAGAGGGAACGGAATAGACAGAAAGGGAGAGCCTAAAATGCGTTAGACCTACACAGAACCAGTCATTTCCTAGTTGCTTGATATCCCGAAGATCATCGCCATCATCCCAAAAATCGTGTGCATGTCCCTGGGGGGCATCAAGGATGTCAAATGACTCTAGAGATGGGGTTTTCATCGTTCTTTCTGTCTTCCTGGGGTTGAAGAGTAGCGAAGAAGTTGAGATATATCTGATCATGGGAGGCATTGCGTTGAGATTGAGCGGGGTAGTTTGGTACACTCGCAGAGTGACCAGCAAGAAAAAGAAAGAAGCCTTCCATTGATAAGATATCCCATTCTGTCAACTACATGAACTAAAATTTGCGCCCGAATAACTAACTTGTTTCGCCCAGCCTCGTGAGGCCGACTTGTGGGGCTGACTCGACGTGCACCGGTGATCTAATGTAGTTTGTGCTGACAGGCGAAGTTTACCCCCTGGTCGAAGTCAAGGTTTCGATAGAGCGTGCGACTGCTGGCCCTCCTGGCTGACACATCAGGCTTCACCTTTCACTACAGTGTCTTCCTTATTATGAGTCTTTGAACCATAGCTATTTCTACTATGTAATGCTCTTGGTGCCTCTTCTGTGAAAAAAACTCTTTTGCTCATCGTCTTGTCAGTGAATAGAGAAGTCATGAGTACAGGAGATCAACAAAAATAAGATAACTAAAAGAAGTGATATAAGAAAAGTAAGTAACAAGAGTACTGTTTGAGAGGGTCCAGTGCTTCCTGGAACACATTGCCTTCAAAAGGAGGGAAATACCTGCCTTTGTAGCTTCGATAGAATATATTGCTTACAGCTGCCCTCAGCATATACACCTAATTTTAGAGTTTGCCACTTAGAACCCAATTGATCTCTACCAACTTCCTGCTCTGCTCACTGAGTGAGCAAGCCCCTGAGTATCCTCATGAAAGCGGTGGCGTCCAGAGGAGGAAAGCTACGGTCAGTCTAGAAAAACAAGTACGTAAAGGAACATATCTATTATATACATTCATGGTCCGATATCCACATCTTAGGTTGAAACAACTACGTTAATACACATATACATACACGTAACTGCAAACATCTCGCAGTAATTAATTTAAATGATTCGAGATCGATCGATTTATTTCTTTACCATAGTGTGGGACGTTTGCGTGGGGTTGTGGTCAGTACGAGATATGTAGATAGGTTGGTAGGTAGGTAGGTAATACCCAGCTGGGTGTCTAACGTTTATAGTAGTAGAATCTGTTCGACAGCTTTCGTATTCTGGCCAATTGGCTGTGTAGTGATTTTCTTACCCTTGGGTTTGATTATGATTATGCTCTGACCATGGTAATATTTGCACCACCATACCGAGGATCTTCGAATTATAAAATCTGGCTATCTACAAGAGCGATCGTTCACCAGAGAAGAAGGTTAAATCCACTCCGAATACTGCTCCACTGACTCATTCACGACCCCATCCGAGCCATGCCTCACGCCCAACAACCGCACCGTGCCGATCTTGCCCCCGAAGTCATCCTCGACCTGGCTCTTCCAGCCCGCGAACAGCTGCTCCAGGCGCTCGATAACGGCGAGGTCATCCCTGATAAGCAGCGCGATGGCGTCGTAGCCGCCCGCGCCGGGAACCACGCCGCCGATGACGCCCTCTACGGCGGAGACGGCGTCGAGTAGCTCGGTCTGGACCTTGGGCTCGACGGGCACGCCGGACTGGGCGGTCATGCTGCGGAGGAGGGAGCGCGAGCGGCCGAGGAGCTGGCGGATGGTGGCGAAGTCGTTGTCGGCGGGGTCTTCCTGGGGCGCGCGGTGCTGCTGGAGGGAGATGACGAGGCGCTCGTTGTTGGCTTGCAGGGCGTCCCAGAGCTGGGTGGCTGTTGCGGGGTGCTGCTGGCGCCATTCGAGGACCTTTTTCACCATTGAGGGGGTTTGGGATCCGCACTCGACGTCGCAGAGGACCATTTGCATGCCTGGGGGTAGCTTCATGCCGAAGTCTTGGCATCCTGTGTCCCACGGGTGGGCGGGGTCCATGTCTTCGACGACGGAGAAGAGCCGGTCTTCGAAGCGTGGGGTGCCGACGTCGCCGATGCTTTGAAGGATGCTGGGGGAGAAGCGGCGGTAGAGGCAGGAGCCGTAGATGGCGGCTGCGACGTCGAAGCCGGAGCCGACTTTGCCTTGGGCGGCGCAGTGGGCGGCTTGTGCGAGGTTGTGGAGCTTCTCGCGCGCGATACCCAGGTCGTCGGGTTGGAGGGTGCGGTGGACGACGAGCGCGGATACGAGGGCTGTGACGAGGGCGGCGGAGGAGCCTAGCCCGGTCTTGTGGGCTTCGTGTAGGGGGACGCCGAAGTTGACGAAGCGGCCGGTGGAGGCCTTGGAGGTGGGGGTTTCCGAGTAGTAGTCGCTGTCTGCCAGGATGGTGATGGACAGGGCGCCGAAGTCCTTGGAGTCGGCGACGTAGCTGATGTAGGTCAGGGCGTAGTTGAGGGAGGTCTCGACGAAGGGGTTGTGTTTCCTGGTGGGGTTGCATCATGTTAGCGGAACGGTCTCGAACCACGAGACGGATGGCTTACCCCTCGTTCTTCTGGGTGACACGGATCCCCCCTCCGTTCTCGCAGCGCTGCACCCCGTACTCCCACGTGGCGCCGTCAAACTGCGGCGAGCGGACGACGATGGTGTCTTCAGCGTCCTGGTCGTCGACAACACTGCCGTCGTCGGCGGGCTGGGTCTCCAGCGTGGCTGCGGTGCCAGACCCAGAGGTTCCCCGCCGGTGGGACCGTCTCCGCTGCTGGACGATGACATGGATTCTCGCATCGAGGGCAAAGACGGTTCCGCTGTAATTGCGGTCCAGGACGAGGTAGCCTCCGGTGAGGAGCACCTTGCCCGGGGCGGACAAGGCGGTGGTGACGGAATTGTGAGCCATGAGGGAGAGGGAAAGTGGGGGTGGATTCGCTGGTCGCTGCAACAGACAGAGTTAGCAATTCCAGTCGAGATGGTTGAGAGTAAAGGGACGGCCCACCTCCACGGGGGTATCAATATCAATTCAATAATGAGGGCACTGGCGTTACGAGGGACAAGATCTCCAGGGGTGATGATCCTCGTGCCCCGCTCGTCGGTGAGCTGGGAGTACGCGGTGAAGGGTGGCAAGGACGGGTCAATTGCGGTTCATCAATGGATCTGCGGGGTGAGACAGTTTAAATTTCTGGGTCCGATGACTAGAAGTATACAACACCGCGACGACGTACGATTGAAAGCGATGAGGGGGATCAGCTCCGGATCGGAGTCTCCATCGTCTACTCCGTATCGGGGATGCATATCAGTTTGTTCTGTTTGTTGATGGGTGTCTGGTATTAGTCATCACTGGCTAGTGAATTATTGATGTGGCTGATCAATAGTGTGGCTGCTGAATTGACTGTGGCTGATGCATCTCCATCTGACGTCATGTCACGAGATGGATCTGAATTTTCTGGTGGTCGAGTCAGTGCGGACGATCCTCGGTCTAATTGACCTTGTATAACTAATACTAGTGCCCCACTATATCATGTGATGTTGACCATGGCGATTCATCCGATCTGTATCTTGTACTGAAGTCTGAGTCTAACATGGATGCTGCAGATGACTAGGGATGCATTACGTGGGGATGACTGTCGAGTGACGGCAGTCCCGCCGGCTATGCATAGATGCATAGATGCAGAAATTGAAACCTGCTTCTAGAAAGAGTGGGAGAACTGAGCCAAAATTAATTGATATCCTAAGATCGGCCAACATACGGTGTACGTGGATGCTAACGGTCTGGATATCCGGTAACTCGTATTGATCGATATGAGTAATACCGACTCGGAAGGGCGGATAGACAGACGGAAAGAAAGGGAGAAAAGGAGATGGAAGGGGGACTGAGGCAGCCAGCCCACGGGGACCGACCGAGCCTACTCCGGTTAGACGGGAAGCGGGGAAGAAAAAGAGCCGGAAGGGAAAGTTTGATCCTGTCAAATGACTGCACTCATTGCAGTGACTCACGCCTAGTTCCCTGGGTCGTGGCTGTTATTTCCTACTTTCTGTTTTTCCATGCTGTTATTTTTACTTGATTTTTTCTTTTTTTTTTCCCTTGGAACCAGAAAAATATATGTGGCGTTGGAGAGAATAGTGCATCTGATAGGTCAAAAGGACACATTGTATGCCTGGTTACTAACAGGTACTTCCAGCGAGGTACCTCCGGGAACCTCTCGGACTTACGAGACACTTCCATGTCCGGTCCGTATTGGGTGTGGTACCGTATGAATTACGGTGTAGGTACCAGGTTTACGCGGCGGCGTTTCCTCATACGGGTTAGTTACGTCCGGAGTAAAAAACCCTCAATGCTCTAAAATCCGATGGATCGGCACTACTTCTGGCCGTGTCACATCCCCCGAGATCCTCATATTATCTTTTTTTCTTTCCTCTCCTCTCATTTCATCTTCATCATAATCATCGCCATCCTCACACGCTTTACCATCACTTCCCCTTACTTCCCCCTATTTACCCCTCCGCTCGCGCGTTCCTTTGGCGATCCTTCGTCAAATGAACCTGTATTCTTTTCATCATTTTGATTGCAAGGTATGGAGTATACGCTCCCCAGATCCCAATTCAATACACAACTAACTCCCCCAGAATTGCCTCTTCTCGAGGAAGAGGTCCCCCGCAAGATAAATGGTTTTCAAGCCGTTTACCCATCTCGCGCGCCAGTCCTTCACCAAAGCCTTCACTCATGGCTACGCTCAGTCGGTAGTCGCCGCGTCCCAATCCTCCTACGCGTCGTCCACCACCCTCAACCACCTCGCCCAGCATCCCGCCGCCAAATTCTCCCGCACCACCCAGCTTCAGAATGTCTTCCAGCCGTCCAGCTCGTCCGGCGCCGGCGCCGGCGCCAAGGCCAGCCAAGGGGGCTCCGGCGGCGGTGATCTGGGCGTTGCCGCCTATTATGCCGCATGGCAGCAGGCCCAGCAGACCGGTGACGATAGCGACTGGAAACAGTTGCAGTCGAGCCGTCGTGTCGGCCGCAAGCTAGACGTCACCGAGGAGGATGCCGACGGCGGCGACGCGGCGGCGGGCGCCGATGCGTCCTCCGAGTACCGGGATCCGCCCCATCTCACCCGCGCCTCCGCCAATGCCGACGTCAGCGCTCAGGTCGAAGAGGCCGTCGCCCGCGAGATCGAAATCCAGGAGGAACAGGCCCGTGTCGAGGAGGCCGAGGCCAAGGATGGTGCCGCCACCGAGGCCTTCCCCGAGTTGCCCGACGAGGTCGCCTCGATCGGGGACGCCACCGTCGAGCAGTCGCGCCGCAGCTCCGACCACATCGTCGACTTGGCGTCGGGGAAACAGTTCGCGGAGATCCCGGGTGCCTTCGCCGCCCTGCTCCGGGACGGCCTGACCCCCACCGTGGGCGCATACAACGCCCTGCTCGAGTCGGCCGTCCAACTGCACGGCGACGCCGCGCAGGCTATCCAGAAGGCGCTCGACGTGTACTCGGACATGCTGCGTCGTCGCGTCGTCCCCGACGAACAGACCTACGAGACGTTGGTTCGGCTCTTCGTCGTCCGCGCCCACGAGACCATCACCGCCAAGGGCTCGCTCGAACAGGACCGCGCCCGTTTCGGGGGTATGGAGAAGCCTGGGGAGTTCATGCTCATGTCCAGCGAGCTCGAGCGCGCCATCGTCGACGAGGACCACTCCCTCGGCATCGCCATCAAGCTCTTCACCACCGCCACCACCCGCCACACCAATTTCGTCTTTTCCCTCGACACCTACCGCCAGCTGATCACCGCCTGTGCCCGCGAGGGCCAGGTCGAGGCCATGGTGCGGGTCTACGCCCACATGGAGTCGAACAAGGTCACCCCGCACGCGTCCATCTTCCCCCCGATGATCGACGCCTTCGCCTCGACCGGGGACTTGCAGAGCGCGGTGGAGTGCTACAACGAGTACAAAGCTCTGGCCATCGCGGACGACAGCGGCACCTTTAGTATCGTCCAGCGCCGGGATGGCGAGGTCTACGCCGCCCTGGTCCAGGCCTACCTGTCGTGTGGCAAAGAGGACGACGCCATGCGATTCGTGGAGCGGATCCGGGGCTCGTTCGATGGGGTGACCGACGACCGCAGCACGCGACAGGAAGCCCTCGAATCCGTCATCGTGCGCGATGGCCTGGTGCGCCACGCCATCCGCGCGGGGCAGTTCGAGCGCGCCCTGGAGCAGGCCCACGCGCGGTTGCGTGACGGGGCCCGCAATCAGGCCATCGCCGCGATCTGCGTCGCCGCGGCGGACGCCGGGGATCTCCACACCGCCTCGCGGGCCTACGAGGGTCTCCCCCACGACGACGGCGCCCTCCGCCGGGCTCCCGCCGTGTCGCTGCTGGCCCTCCACGTCCGACAGGGCCACGTGACTGCCGCCCGCCCGCTGTGGCTCCAGCTCAGCACGGTCGATCAGGCCACCGTGGACCTGGTGCAGCCGACCACCATGTACGCCGTCGCTCTGCTCAAGAGTGGGCAGATCGATCCGGCCTTGCTGGAGACCCGCAATATGTTCGCGCGCATCCGCACCGCCGCCGCCGACCAGCAGCTGCCCCTCCACCCCATCCGCGAGCAGATCAACGAAAGCCTCGATCTCGTCGGCCGCGTCCTCATCCAGACCGCCGCCGTCCTCTCCCCGTCGGCCATCATGACGCTCCTGTGGTCCATGGCGGACAACGGGGGCATGGTGTTCCCGCTCGCGGAGCACGCCGTCGCCAGCCTCGGCCCCGTAGCGATCACCCACCTCGCCCCCGCCGACCTGACCCTCGCCCTCCAGGTGCAGGCCGGCATGCTCGTCCACCCCCGCGCCGCCGCGCGGGACGTGGCCCACCCGATCCGCTTCGCGCACCTGCTCGACGTTGCCCTGGCGTCCGGTCGGCCCCTCGACGCCGTCACCGCCCAGGCCGTCGACCAGGCCGTCGGCCAGCTGTTCCCCAGCCGGCCCGACCTGGTCCAGCGGTGGCACGACCACCGGGGGATGCTGATGTCCCCCGTCAGCCGCAGCCCCTCGTCCTTCCCGTCCGACCGCCACACCCCGGTGTCGGAGCGATCGGCCCTGACCTCCGCGCCGAGCGAGGACGCGTTCGACCCGTACGCGTCCGCCACCGACTTCCGGGGGTCCGCCCTGATCGCCGAGGCACTGGAGAGCGCCAGCGGACGGCTTGAGCCGCATCTGAACCGGAGCCTTGACCGGCTCCGCGACATGCGCCGCGCCGGCCGCCACCCGCGGTACATCACCTACGCCAAGATGATCACCGCCGCAGCCAAGGTGCACCGCCTTGACCTGGCCCACGACATCTTGAACATGGCCCGCCGGGACGTGCCCGCGCTGGCGCAGTACCCCGCGGTCCAGTACGGGTGGGTGTCGATCCTGGACGCGATGGTGGCGGCGTGCCTGACGCTTGGAGACCGCCACCTGGCGGCGAAGTACCACCAGGAACTGCGCACGGTCGGGTCGGCGCCGTCGGCCAACACCTTCGGACTGTACATCACCACGCTCAAGGAGTCGACCAAGACGTTCGACGAGGCGACCGAAGCGCTCAAGATCTTCCACCGCGCGGTGGCAGAGGGCGTGGAGCCGACCTCGTTCCTGTACAACGCACTGATCGGCAAGCTGGGCAAGGCGCGCCGCATCGACGACTGCCTGCTCTACTTCGCCGAGATGCGCGCTCGCGGGGTGCGCCCCACCAGCGTCACCTACGGGACGGTGGTCAACGCCCTCTGCCGCGTCAGCGACGAGCGGTTCGCCGAGGAGATGTTCGAGGAGATGGAGTCGATGCCCAACTACAAGCCGCGCCCCGCGCCGTACAACTCGATGATCCAGTACTTCCTGACGACGAAGCGCGACCGGCGCCGCGTGCTGGCCTACTACGAGCGCATGCGCCGACGCAACATCGCGCCGACGATGCACACGTACAAGCTGCTGATCGACGCGCACGCCTCGCTGGAGCCGGTCGACATGCCCGCGGCGGAGCAGGTGCTGGAGACGATGCGGCAGTCGGGGTCGCACCCGCCCGAGGCGGTGCACTACGCGGCGCTGATCCACGCCCAGGGGTGCGTCACGCACGACCTGGACGCCGCGCTGCGGCTGTTCCGGTCGGTGGTGGCGGACCCGACGGTGCGCGTGCAACCTTGCCTGTACCAGGCTGTGCTGGAGGCGCTCGTGGCCAACAACCAAGTCGGACAGACGGAGGCGATCATCGCAGACATGTCCCGACGGGGTGTCGAATTGACAGCCTACATCGCCAACACTCTGATCCAGGGCTGGGCCGCCGCCGGCGACCTCAACCAGGCGCAAGCCGTGTACAGCCGCATCGGACTGGCAAAGCGCGAGCCTAGCACGTACGAAGCCATGACCCGTGCCTACCTTCAAGCCGACGACCGCGCCGGTGCCGCCCGCACCGTGCAGGAGATGCTCTCGCGGGGTTATCCCAACGCGGTAGCCAGCAAGATTGTGGATTTGGTTGAATCTGTTTAGCCTTCTCCCGTATTTCCCTTTTTTTTTTTTCTTTTCCTTTGTCTTGTTTATGGATTGTTGATTGTCGTGTGGTCGTCTTCAGTCCCCGATTGGACTTTATACCCCCCCTTGTTGGAATCGAATTGTTTTAATTTGTGGGGCTGGACTCCGAAGAGGGTGTCTAGCCTTTGGGGGCACCATGTTCATTTCTTATTGATTGCATCTAGCGGGTTGGCGTTTAAAAGGTTGATTTACTGTTTTATGATGGATGCATGGATGATAGAATCTCTCGACTCTGCATATTTATTAGAATACTACATTACATTTTGTGGATATAGTGGGATATTACCGTAGTAAAACTCAGTATCATATTCGTACAATCATATTGCAATCATAGTAGTGCTGTTATAATCGAGGTAGTAAGGTAGTATTGACTTAGAATCCAATATAGAGAAGTCGGTCCGACTGCCCCGCCTGCGTCATCCACTCACTCACTCCCACATCGGACGATCCACTTCTCTTCTCTTCACCTCCCTCATCTTTCTCCCCTCCTCACCCATGAGACGCCTTCGTCCATTCTCCCCTCCCATCTCACTACCCCGAAGATCAACCATCACAATGGACGCATCTCACGCCGCTCCCAAAGAGGGGTCGCGACCTCCCAAGAAGCTCATCTGTGAGTCACCCACCATTACCTCCTTCTCCTTCTCCTCCACCACTATCTACCATCCTCAATCCAAGATAGATACTAACAGAACATCCCCGAAAAGTCGCCCCAGGCGACATTCCCCCAATCACGGCCCCCTCCCTCCCCAAAGCCGCATCGCACCTCCAACAAGAGAATGACCAACAAGGTCAACCCTCGCAACCCTCCACCCCCGCTGCCCAAGAAATGGTCACCCACCCCGCCCGCGCCCACCAATTCATAATCAACCCCCCGCTCACAATCTCCCAAATGCACCCCACGAACCCCCTCCACCAATTCCACAGCTGGTTCCGCGATCCGCGCCTCTCAGCGGCCTCCGCGCCGGAAACCTGCACGCTGGCCACGGCGGAGTTACCGTCCGGACGGGTGAGTGCGCGCGTGGTGTACCTGAAGGAGTTGGATGAGAGGGGGTGGACGATTTATAGTAATTGGGGGAGTAGGGAGGGGAAGGGGCGGCAGGTTTTTGGATCGGCGTTGGCTTCTTCTGGTTCGAAGACCGGGTCTGGGTCTGGATCTGATAACTTCCCCCCCTCGATTCCGGAGGGTGAGTTCGACGGCGGGAATAGATGGGCGGCGTTGACGTTTTTCTGGGCCGTGCTGGAAAGACAGGTGCGTGTTGAAGGGCTGGTCGAGCCGCTTCCGCGCGCGGAAAGCGAGGTGTATTGGCGGACGCGCGAGCGAGGAAGTCAGATTGGGGCTTGGGCGAGCTACCAGAGTAAGGTGCTTTGGGAGGCTGGCGCGGACGGGCTCCAGGGCCGGAGAGGCAGTCTGGCGCCTGTTGTGGACGGGGCTGGACCGCGGCCGGCGATCCCGCTGGATGTGGGCGACACGGATATCGATGATGGGCGGGCGATGCTGGAACGACGGGTGCGCGAGATGGAGGAGCGGTTTGCGGGCGTGGAGCAGATTCCGTTGCCCCCGTTTTGGGGCGGCGTGAGGGTTGTGCCTGAGTCGGTGGAGTTTTGGCAGGGGAGGAAGAGCCGGTTGCATGATCGGTTTAGATATGTGAGGGTTGGTGGGGGGGATGAGGGAGAGGGGTATAAATGGAGGATTGAGCGGATGTCTCCTTAGACTTAGGATGGGGTATAGAGACTGGGTGTTTTTGGGTATAGATGTTGAAGGAATTCAGGATACATTACTTGCTACTCATGTGTAGAGAAAGGTATACATGATTGTCTATACACGATAGGGTATTAATTGATTCTGACCCTGTTCTGGCAGATGTGGGATCTATATTATAGTCAGTCTATATCATAACTAGCAGGATTGTATTGAGTTGGGTAGAATCATGCATTATACCAAGCACCGAAGTTGAAGTTCGATCTACAGAGCTCAAGTAGATAACAGCTATCGATAAGATAAGATAGATACGAAGTCAGCAACTCCGCCAACCACGCGTTAACTATCCCGAACAAACGCGCCTTTTCTTTCTTCACCTTCCCTCCTCATAATCCTCCTCGGTTCCCACCACCACCAGAAGACTAACAGAGAAGAAATCAAAGAGAAAAGAGGAGTCATTGGGAGAATGTCCCTCAAAGAATCCCCCGACGAGATTACCGGCCAGAGCGCCCTTCCTAGTACGTCTCTTCCTTCCAATCCACTCCCATCGTATATCCGCATAATGAAATGCATACTTGCCACAATCAATGACAAAACCTAATATGATTTAGTCGCACGGATCAAGAAAATCATTCAGCTTGACGACGATATCGTGCAATGCTCGAGTAATGCCACTTTCGTGATTGCCATGGCTACTGTTCGTCTTCCTTTCCCATCCTCTCTCTATCCACACCTACCTCCATCTACAAAGAGAAACTTCCCAAAAAGATAATCCCTGACATGTGATCATAAAATATAGGAACAATTCATCCAACACCTAACAGCACAAGCCCACAACGTCGTCAAGTCCGAGCGCAAGCCCCGCAAAGGCATCCAATACAAAGACCTCGCAACGGCAGTCTCCCGAATCGACAACCTCGAGTTCCTCTCCGACGTCATCCCCAAGACAACCACCTATAAACAATTCAAGGAGAAGCGTGGTCGTGATTCAACCGCCACTGGGCCCAACATCGATATTGAGAAAGGGCAGCGCACGCTAAATGGGGCTGCTGGAGATCGACAGTCTACACTCGATGACGCTGCGCTGGAGGAGGAGCTGGAGGGGCGGGGACAGGAAGAGCAGGATCATGAGGAGAGCAGTCCGCGCGCTCCGGTCGTGATGCATGCTTCTGGGGCGGTTAGTACGTTGGTTGTTGATCGGGGGGTGGAGGGGAGGCAGAAGAAGAGGCAGAGTGGGGGTGGGGATGAGGATGTTGAGATGATGGGTTGATTTTCTTTGTTTTGGGCTTCTTGCTTTACCTATTGTTTATTTGGTGGGTGGAGTTGCTGGAGTTGAAAAGCGAGCACTGTGGTTTTCGTTTTATATAGGAGATCTACTTCTATCCATCTTACCTATTTCAACTTTTGTCTCTCTTGGTTTTCTTTGCCATATTCAGCACCTGCCATTCAGCATACTAAACCTTATACCCACCTCTTTCTAGGCCTACCTTACACTCCTCTATGATCACCCCGTGTACTTACCCAATGTGATTAAAACGCATGTTCATATCTTTCCTTGAAGAAGCGTTGGAGACACTCTTGGGGGAATCTTCACTAGACCACGGACATATCCCCGCCACCTGCCCGGGGTTCAGTGCGAGACTCCCATGATGTCTAAACTGTCGCCGCTGCCAAGACAGGGACACAACTGCGTGAGGGTATGTGGTAACTATGTACCTCTGTTTGAGTGCTAGGGGCTTATGAAGTGAGATATAGATCGCCCAGGTCCTCGCAGATGAAGTCTTTGTTGGCATATTGGTCATGTTTGATATGATTGATATTCCTAGCTAGATATATGTCTATATATATGGCGACATATGATACCAATGCCTATAATGCGTCTAAACGTGAAAGATGGAGGCAGAACATCACATAAGGCCTAGCATATCACCAATTATAGCCAATCGTCAAAGGTATGTAACCAACCAGCAAAGCAAGCAAGACCAGAAGGCTAAGGTACACATGTAATGCATCAGGCTTTACTCTCTACTTATTAGATCTTCATGACAGCAAATCCCATTCAAATCGGCATTTGCCAAACATTAAAGTACGATGTTAGAAAGTATGCAAAAATTGCTAGACATGTGATCACCATGGCAGTCTCACCGGTATGTAAACACCACCCTAATGGTGTTTGGTTTGAATGGATTTGCTTTCAAGAGTACATCAATCGCACGCGCTGAATCATGCAAAGCGCTATGCTATTCAACCCCCTCAAGCCAATCCCCAACATGCACATGCACCTTCTTTGTACTCTGCTGGGCGTCCACGTTTGAATCAGCGTCATCAGGCTCAGGCTCTTCTTCGTCGGTGTCTTCTAGATCTATCCAGGAGTGCTGGTATATGGGCCTTTCGCTGAGTGGGTAACCTGTTGAGCGCAGCCAGCTGAATATCCCACGTGTGGCCGATCCGGAGAGGGATTGTGAGAAGAGGTCAGAGTGTTGATAGTCGTCGAGCGTGGCTGGTGGTGGTGGTTTGTCTTGGGATATTGGCCATGCTGCTCGGTTCTGGGCTCTGTTAGGATTCTTTTCTACCCGGTGGATTAGACTATTATTATCATTATCATCTTTGTTGGTCAACCATTCCCAAGATTCATATTCCAGACCGTGGGAAGCACACCGGGCATGTTTTCGAACCATAAGTTCCGTATCGCAGAGTTCCGTAGTGCCAAACGGCTTCCAGGTCCAGACGGGAGGCCAGTCGTGGCCTTCGGAGCCTGTTAGGAAGAGCAGCCTACACTCGTCATCGCGGGGAATCGATATTGAGTCTCCAGTGCTAGCCCCAACCTTTGCAGTCAAAAACGTCTGCGCTTCCCCAACCCAAGCAGAAGCCGGAAGATCCACCGCTGTCATTCCAGCCTTCACATCGCGCAGGACAGATCTTGCCAGATCTGTGAAGATCGCACCGAGCCAGAGGATGCCGATGCGGTGATGTCGGTTTGTCAATAGGATGGCTAATGCAACTTCTTGGGAAGATTTTGAATCTTCCCTTGAAGAGATTGAATCAATAACGGCAAAAGCCGGATTCAGCCACGCGCTGACAAGATTACACTCGATGTCAGCATTGAAGAACGTGCTGTGTAGGATGGAGCGAAGTCCCCAGACATTGAAACTCAGTGTCATGTACTGGGGGAGTAGCTCGCCGTGTCGGTTAAGAAGGTTTGGAATAGCGTCACCATCATCCTCCTTGATCTCTGGCGGGAGAACGTGTTTAGGAAACGGAAGGTAAGCAGTTCGTCCCCCCAGAGACGGGATATAGATTGCCCCGGCTAGCGCGACAGAGCACTGCGCGTACAGGCGATGATACACACAGAAGCGAAAGAGATATTTGAGAGCCGTTGCTGAGCCAGGTGGGTGTGGGTTCGAGTGTGACTTGAACTCCTTCGTCGTCTGTGTCTGGATCAAGCCCAACCCTGCATCCTTAGCTGACACAGACCACGGTGATAGATAGTCACGACCGTTAGTTAAACGTAGTCGTCGCGTCCCAGCCGAGTGTAGAACACAGAACAGCGCGCCACCAGGTGATTTCTTCCTCGTCTGCATCGTCACCGACATCAACTTCAACCATAGACATTGGTCGTTGCTCACTCGGCGACCCCTCCTGCACCACATATTTCATCCGAAACTCATGATCCGTAGAGCAGCCAAGAACCTCAACCCACCTTGCAGACAAGACATAAGCCCACGCGAGATAAAGCACAACCAGGTAATTCCCCCAATCGTAGCCTTCAAGCCCTTCCACCCCCGGCCAGTTCGCAAACGGGGCGTCTTCTAACAATTCAACGCTTACTTTCCTGTTAACGTTTAGAATAGACTGCTTGGATAAGATCCTCGGCGGGAGGGCACAGCTGTCAGCGGAAGTAGAAGAAGTTCTCCATGTTGATCGACCGTTGACGACTAAATTGCCTGTGTGTTTCTCCTCGCAGGCAAATGAGATTTTCGTGTCTGGTGGAGTGGATAGTTATCACCGCCGAGGAAAGACGGGGTTTGATGCGCGAGAGACTCCAGGTCAATAGCTTGTCGGGGGAGTTGGTGGGTTTGGGGAGTTGTGGGGAGGTAGGAAGCCCATGTGTTGAGGCTGGTTTGGAGGGTTTGGTGAAATGTTTCTTTGCCTGGACGCGCGGCGTCGGCCATGGTTTTTATCTGCGTGATTTAGATGGATGTGGATGTCAGATGTCTGTTGAAAAGGGATGGTGGACTGGTTAAACCAAGAGGAAGTAAGTGCTTGGCTTGTTTTCATCAGCGTGATAAGGTAAAACGATCATCAAGAAGATATTGATGTATTCTTGGAAGTATTTAGCGAATTTGAAGAACATTGACATTGATCTAGTCTAAGGCATTAGCGCAGCACCACCTTATATATATATATTTGGTTATGTTGTGGTTAAATTGTGATAAGGTAGTTTTATTTATCCTGGATTCTTCATACATCAATTGCTAAGTATCTGTCCTCGCGTTTAGTAGCAAGATATACTGGGTACATATTGAACAGATATCTCAATGACTCAGAACTATACGAATATAACTAGGATATGAATATCTCAATCTGTCTGCCATTATTGTACATAACTCGTCCATCCATTATACATGCATACTCATCCATCAATCCAGACATAAACATATTCCACCTGAAAACATATACCCTTGAAGAAGTTGCAAGAAACAATACCAGAAGATCCAACCCAAAAAAGGAGAAAAATACTTAGCAAAAAAAAAAAAAAAAAAAAGAAAGAAAGAAAGAAAAACTAAGCCTGATAAACTTTGAAACCCCCAAACTCCCAATAAGCCTCCTCAAACTCCTCCGGACTATGTGCCACAAACTTCTCACATGTCGCCGGGCAATTATACATCTTGTGGTAGAACTTGGGCAGGGCGCCAAGCTGGCCGCACAGGTCGATGTTAGCCACGATGCGCTGGTTGCGGAAGTGCGCGCCGATGTCGCAGGAGGTGTTGGGGAAGTCGGCGAGCGCGGTGCCCCAGGTTGAGGGGTTGGGTTTGGTGTTGTTGTTCTTTTGGAGGTCGGAGGGGATGGAGGAGCGCGGGAAGAACCATGCGCGGATGCCTGCTTTGCGGAGTTCAAGGGCGTAGATCTTTTGATATCAAACGAATTAGTGAGTTAGTAATATGTTTGAAAGGTATAGGAGAGTATTTGATGGGGACGTACCCCTCCTCCCTTCTGGTTCATTTCCTCCCCGTAGCTGGAAGGCGGCGCCTGCACGCCGCAGCCAGAGTTACTATTCGTGGAGTTGAGACAGGTAGTGAACTGGGCGTGCCCCGTCATCTTCCGCTTGACGTCCATGTCGCAGCCATCCGTAGTGTGCAGGGTAACGGCGTTGCCCTCGGTAGCCTTGTTATTAGTCTCCACGACGTCGATCTCGCCGTTGGTCGGCCAGTTGGCCGGGTCGGTCAGCCACAGCGCGGGCCACGTGCCGCAGCCGTGCGGCGTGTGGATGATGTCAAAGATGAAGAGACCCTCGTTGTAGCTGGCTTTGGACTCTAGGCGGACAGACTGGCGACCCTCGGTGGCGGATGGGTTGGAGGTGTCGACCTTCAATACGACCGAGGAGTCTGTCGCGTGCGTGAGGTTGAGTGTTTGCGCGGCTTGTTGGTCGACGTATCTACTTGAGTCAGTCTATGTTTCTTTCTCTACCGTAAAAATCAATATAGAAGTGGAGAGGACATACTTGACAAAACCATCCGTAGGATCCTTCCCCGAAAAATAATCAAACTTCTCCAAGAAGCTCTCCCCCTCATACGAATCCACCAACCTATAATCCAGCGGCGAGTAATCCGGATACCGATTCTTCTTCGTGCCCTCAACAGCGCCCACAATCACAGCAATAATTACCGCAATGGCAACAAAGCCCACGATGAGCTTCGTGCGCAGCGACCATCCACGCGGGTCATACCAGGCCGCCGACTTCCCACCCCCCTCGTCCTTCGTCCGCGGAGGCACACCAGCGCCCGGAGGCGGGGGCGGACCGGCGGTCTGGTAATCGAGATCTTCTAGTTTGGGGAGATGGGAGGTGGCTCCGCCGTAGCGGGAGAAGTCGTCGCCGGGGACATGGGAGTGGAATTCCTGCGGGCGATATCCGTAGTCCGAGCGGGGGGGTCCTGGTCCGTGATTCATGGTTGTGCGACTCTGTTTTTGGTATGAGATGGAGGGAGCGAAGGAAAGAGAGTTTGTTGTCCAAGGATAGAACCGAAGGATTGGGAGTTGAGAGTAGAGAGTTGTTTAAGCCGAGACGTGGTGGCAGGGATGTCAAGGTCCGATCATGACCCGATTGGGAAGCGGAGGGCACTGCATGCAGTAGGACTGCACGGTGATGGCTGGCTTTGGTTTAGCACGGGAGCGATGACGAGGATCCGCATGGTGAGTTGTACGAGACCCGGTAGATACTCCGTACTAAAGTACTAATTGCATTGCTATGTTGCTGCCTTGAATCATTGCGTCGTGTAGTGACTAGTAAGTCTTGACAGTTGGTTGATCAGCTCTGGCGATCGTCTCGATGGATCATCTGATGGGCGTCTGTTGGACAGTTTGCCTGCCCACCGCCATTATACTAGCTTATTCCAGATGGATGAGAGACAATGGCTGGACCACATCTAGCATGAGTATACTGATGGAGGTTAATGGATGAGGTTATCGAGAGGTATACTAACTACGGAGTATAGGCCACTCTTATCGATGCAAACAGGCAAATCCGCCAAGAGTCCATCCGATCCATCAGGGTCTGGATCGTGCGCAGACCACCAATCACAGACCCCTTATACAACCGGTTTCTATATCAGTTTCCGTGATCGTTTTCGTCTAAGTTAGATATCCCAACAAGAATACAACGTCATGTAAGGTCATATAGTTGATGCAAGTCAATACATAGAGTAGAAAAGAAGTGAAAGAGAAGAAATAAGAAATCAAAGATAAATCCACCAGTGGATATACGCGAGGCCGTAGAGAAGTATAGTAGTATGTACATCCATCAGGAGTAATAGAAGAGCAATTCAATCAACACGCTCAAAACAGGCTTAAACAGGCTCAAGTGGCAGTGATAAAGTACACAAACACAATCCCTAACCCCTCTATACCCACAAATTTTGGACAGGAAAGAAAATAAATAATAAGAAGAATAAAAACTATCGCTGAGAACGCTGGGAACGTTGGGACCGCATAGTGCCCTGTCGTCGGAGATAGGCTTCGTTCTGATCTTTGGCATCTGTACCAGAGGCGATGTTGTCTCCCTGAGACTGCGACGTCTGCCGGTCCAGGGTCGCCGCCTGGCCCAGACTCGACGCCCGCCGGCGCATGCGGCGCTCCGCGTCCACCACCTCTTTCTGGTTCAGGTGCTCGGACGGTAGCAGGATGGCTCGGTCCAGGGAGTAGGGCAGGCCACGGTGCCGGCCGCGGACCTGCATGGCGATGATCACCAGCTTGGAGATCACCTTGAACTGGCCGCAAAAGGAGGTGTTGCTCCCCGGGTAGCCCAGCGACAGGCCGACGGTGCCGTAGGCGGACACGATCTCGAACAGCACCTCCCAGACCTGGAACGAGTACTGGTCCTCGCGCTTGATGCGGTTCCCCTCGACGATCGTGATGATGAACAGCCCGAGGAAGACGTACCACAAGTCAAAACTCAGCTGGCGCCGCAAGTGCGCCCCGATGTAGCTCGGCGCCGTCTGAGTCTCTTCCGCGTCCGGGTCCGCGTCCTCATCGTCCGCCGCCCCCCCGTAGATCCCCAGGCTCTTCTCCTCGTAGACGTTGGTCCGCCGCATGGAGATGGCGATCGGGAAGACAGAGATGTACATCATGATCAGGTAGGAGACCTGCACGGCCGGGTGCAAGTCCGACAGCGACACCACGCTGAACCCCGCGGTCCGCGTGCACGCCGCCTGGAACAGGCCGTCCACGATCTTGATGCCCGTGGACAGCGCCGTGACGGCCACGTCGTTCAAGTCCAGGATGATGAAGAAGATCAGGTCGATCCCGTTCAGGGCCACCAGGATGGCGAAGAGCCACCAGGTGGCGTTGCGTGGGAACAGTAGCGTGAAGCAGCGCCGCGGGTGGTCCAGGAGGAAATGCAGCTCCTCCCACAGGGGGCTGGAGTGCGGGGTAAACTTCCCCATGACCCAGATGATCAACCGCAGCATGCAGGGAAAGCCGGTGTTGCCGATGATGATCAGGAAGGTCATGAGCAGCAGCGGGAAAATGGCCGACTGGAAGGACATCATCGAGTCCGGCGTGATGGAGAACCCTACGTCGTTGAAGGCCGACCCCGACATGAAGATAGCCCACCAGGGCCGTCCCTGGCCGATAAGCTCGACGGCCTGGCCCCAGTGGGTAGTCATGATCCATGGGACCAGGCAGACGATGCCCAGGAGGTGGAAGCACACGTAGTAGGACATTAGGATGACGGCGAGCGTCTTCAACGCCCGGTACTCGATGCCGCCCAGTTCATCCCGTTGTTCCTCGGTCAGGTCGACGAAGTTGGAATTCCGCGCCACCGTGGCGTTCCAGCTCAGGTACGGCTGCGTGGACCGGTCCTTCTCCTGTGTCAGGGAGCGGAAGATCCCGCTGACGGTGGGCCGCCGGGTGGTGGTGCGCGCTACTGGCGACGACGGCTCGTTCCCGTCGTTCCCGTCTGTCGTCTCGCGCACCGTCGGTCGGGTGTCGAGTCGGGGAAAGGTGGAATTCCGCGTCCGGGACCGGATCATCTCCGGTTCGTTGATGGTGATGTGTGGGCCATCCATCGGGCCGACGTCGTCCTCGCCCTCGTCCACCTCCTCCTCCTCCTCCTCATCTGAACCGTCGTCTTGCGTGTCGCGCGGGCTCCGGGTCGACTGGCCGCTCGACGTCCGCTGGATGGGGGGACCCCGGACCGTCTCCTCGAGGGCCTGGGGGACCCCGCCTCGGTCATACTCCCGGGGACTGGGGATTCGCAAGGCGCCCGTGTCCCTCCGCTGATTCTCCAGGAAGGCGATGTGGTGTTCGGGGCTCAGCCGCGCGGGGACGCGCAGGCTGTTCATCCCGAGGCCCATCTTGCGCTGGATGTGACGGTTCGGTTCCTCCGAGGGCGATTCCGGATCGTCGTGCGACCCGGACGCCGAGTCGCTGTCATCCGGGGATTTTAAGGTATGGCCATCGTGGTCGGATTCCCGACTGTCCTCGGGGACGTTCCGCAGCGTGGTGACGGGACGATTCCGCACCCCGGCCTCCTCTCGGTCGTATGTCTGGTTGTCCTTGTCCGCGGTCATGGTGCGCACGCGCGAGCGGGTGTGGCGAAAGGCGCGAGCGTCGCTGACGACATGCTGGAAACGCTTCTCGAACCAGTACAGGCGCACGAAGACGAGGACGGTGTGGATGAAGATGGGGGTGGTCACCATGGAGGTGAAGTACAGGATGACCTGCTGGTAGGTGTGGAGGAGGTTCAAGTCGACGGTGTTCAAGCCGCTCTGGGTGGCGGCGCCGGCGCAAAAGAACAGGGCATCGATGTAGGCGAGGTCGTTGCCGGGATAGATGATGATGGAGGTGATGATGGCCATGGCGATGATGTAGGTGTAATGCAGGAGGATAAAGTTCAGGTGGATATCCCTGATGATCGGAATGCGCGCCTTTGTGTCCTTTCCCCACCGATAGACGGCGGGGAAGAAGTTGTATTTGACCATCTTATTCTTCTTCTGTCTCCTTTATGTTCCTTCTTTTTGATCTTTTTTCTTCACTTCACTTCTCAATTCCTTCTCTCCTTTCCGAGCCCCTTCTCGCTTCCCCTGTTGTCTTCCTTCCTAACTTTGTCTTGTTCTTTTTTTCCCTTTCTCTTGCGTTGTCCAATCGTTGAACAGCTAAAATCGATCAAACCAGGAAGATCCTGGACCGGAAGGCGAGAGTATAAGATCGCAAGTACCGATCGTCCACCACGCGAAAGCTAAACCGTTGGATCAACAACAACCAAACAAATAACCAAGCTGCCCCAACAGGACAGAAAGGTGCAACGGCGGGCACACTTGCACCGAGGTTAGCATGGGATCAACGAAAAGCGACATCTAGACAGGACGGTGGCGGAGGAGGAGAGGAGGAAGCAATAAGGCATGATGAAAGCGGCGGAATGGAATAGAGTTGGTTGAGCGGGGATCGAATTGGTAAAGCGGTGGGTTTTCCAGTCATCAGTAATATAGATGGTGTAATTAGGGGGATGTCGGGTTGAGGTAAAAAATAAAATAGGGAAAAAAAAAAAGAAAAAAGAGAAAAGAAAATTCTGAAGGAGATACAATCGACGCCTGCAGGGTGAAAGTGGATCAGACAAGGGACGATCAGGGGCGATAGAGAGAAGAAGGAAAAGCTGGCTGGCGATATGGAGAGTCAGAATGAAATTAAACCAGAAAACCCACCCAGAAGTTTTCGTATTGGTCAATCGAGAGATAAGAATGTGGCAGCCTGATTGGAGCCTCAGGTGGTGTTTTCATCGGTATGTACAGAACGTGACAGTATTGTAATCTATTCATAATTGATTGCTAGATCCACAAATAGAGCTATACTCCTGTCTGTATACTTCAATCTCTTCAATCAAGGTCTAGATCCTATCAACTATTTCCTATATCCTGTGCTTGAGAAAATGCAAGCTGCATGCACGACAGCCGTATCTCGGCAACCTGCCGATCTCCCTCCCAAGTACCAATCACACGGAGATCGACCATCTAGCAAATCGGCGGTCTACCGCAGACTCGACTGGTCGAGAGATGCTTTGAGAACAAAGGTTGCTAACATCCCACCAAAGAACCAAAAAGACGGTCCGCCAACTGGTCTGGACTCTACGATCAGCAACCTCCATCAAACCAGCTGCATAGACCGCAAGAACCAACCACGGTGCTGATTCCTCCCATCAGCTCGACCCGCATGTGATAGTCCATACAAGATCAGGCTGAAAAGCCAACGGAACACAATCCATGTCACTCCATAAGCAAACAGTAAACCAATCAAAACGGCCACGCAAACCACGACACCGCCAATATCATGCCCACAATCTCCGGCACATACACCCCTAGTCGACGCGGCCGCCACCCCTCCGCATAAGGCAACCTCTCCTCCCCGAATACAGCCTCGATATAAGCCTTTGGCACCTGGTACCGCAGCCCTTGGCCAAACACGCACTGGATCGCCGCCGCCTCGGCGCAAGCCACGATGTGTTCTCGCTTCCCGAACTGCAGCGCCTCGTTCAGCTGCTTCTGCTCGGCGTAGCGCCGTCGGCGGAACCGGCCGATCTGCGCGACGCTGAGTGTTAGCCCGCCGTGGCCGACGCAGGCTGCCTGGAGGTGCTCGTAGAGGGCGGGGTCGCGCGAGATGCAGTCGCCCAGGTGGCGGTCTTGCCGGGTGAGGGAGACGTCGTGTTCGACGGCGTGCGGGCGGCCGATCTGGTCGAGGTGGAGGATGGGGATGCCTTTTTCGTTGGTCTGGTGTGGGTCGCGGAACCCGGTGCGGGAGCTGCCTGGGGGTCCGTGGTGCGGGTCGTCCGAGTGGACTTTGAAGGCGCTGTTGACGAGGATGGCGGTTGTGTCGCGGCCGAGGCCGATGAATTGGATGGCGGATTTGAGCTCGTCGGCGGTGATGCTGCGCCCGTCGCGGGGGATGATGCCGTGGTTGGCGAGGCTGTTGAGGATGGGGCAGGGACTACGGAGGTCGTTGGGTAGGGCGGCGTGGAAGGTTCCTTTGGAGAGGCCGGGAGTCATGTTGATGTTGTATTATCGGGTGTTGTGGATGTTCTGGGGGCGTATAGTAATGTATACACTACACTACGGAGTACACGTAGATACTTATATATGGATATATAGGAGGCATCATATAAGGCAACCAGTCAGTTGTTCTGTTCTGCAGCTGACCGGGTCATACACGCGTGACATGACTCGCAGCCCTGGAATGCGAGTTCACGGTAAAGTGGTTGAGGCTGGAATGGGTGGAGTCTGTATGCAAGTGACATGCAGCCATTCAATAGGACGTCAAACCGACCCCTTCAACCCAGTCATCATCCAGTCTCACCTGATGTCCTCATCTACCTACCTAGATATATAATCTACTATCCTTCAAAATCCATATCTAGTATATAAAATCCTACCACGACGTCATCATCCAAATGGAGTAGGAATCCACCGGCTCCACACCTCGGAGGTTGGAGATCTCCTGCCAAGAAAAAACGTTGAATCCCCCATGTGAGATGGGTCACTTGTACTGTGTACTTTGTTCCATTTTCAACCCTTCCACCTATCCAGTCCAACTGTGACCCCTCATCATCATGCCTTTGTCGGCCGTGGATATCATCAACCATTCCGCCTATGACTCGGTGGATTGGAAGCTGCCCCCGACCACGTCTGGCACCACTCCGGTGGCCCAGAACCGCCGCGGAGGCCCCTTCAATCTGTACTACGAGACCCATGGCAGCGGTCCGATCAAGATGGTCGTACGTTTTCCCCTTCTTTCTCGCGCACCTTCCCCCCCATCAACCAGCTACGTAGGTCGTGATACTCACAAATGTAGTGGATAATGGGCCTCAACGCAGTCGGCAAAGACTGGAAGCGCCAAACCAAATACTTCGGCCACACGCACGGTGACAAGTACACCAGCCTCGTCTTCGACAACCGCGGCGTCGGCCGCACCGACAAGCCCACCACCTACTACTCCACCTCGGAAATGGCCCAAGACGTAGTCGACCTGCTACACACCCTCAACTGGATCGACACCTCCTCGTCCACACCCGCCCGCAGCATCCACGTCGTCGGCGCCAGCATGGGCGGCATGATCGCCCAAGAACTCGCAACGCTCATCCCCTCCCACATCGGCAGCCTCACGCTCTGCTGCACGGCTCCGCGACTCGTGCGCACGGTGCCCTTCATGGAGTACCTGCGCGAGCGCGCAGCGATGTTCATCCCGAAGCACATCGACGTGGAGCTGGAGCGGGTCTCGCACACGCTCTTCGGGGAGGAGTTCCTGTCGCGACCGGACACGGAGAACGAGGACCCGAAGCTGAACTTCCCGACGAATCGCGACCGGTATGCTGCGGGGCAGTTGCGTAAGCGGGCGGATCCGGTCGCGTTTACGACCAAGGGGTTTCTGATGCAGGTTGTCGCGTGCTACTTTCACAGTAAGTCTGCGGCACAACTCAAGGCGATGGGGGATGCGGTTGGGAGGGGGAGGATTGCGGTTGTGCATGGGACGGAGGATCGGATGTTGACGTTTAGGCATGGGGAGATGTTGCGCGAGGCGCTGGGGGAGGAGATTACTTGGGTGGTGTATGAGGGGAGTGGGCATATGTTGCCGTGGGAGAGGGAGAGGGAGTTTAATTTGTTGGTGGAGGAGATGGTGGATCGTGAGGAGAGTAGGGAGTGATGTATACATTTTACCCAAATACTACGCTATTACTTATCATGTACATCTGGAGAGAGGGCTAGTCCTTCAGTACCCAGGTTAGATCATCACGCACAGCAAAGACAGACTTTAATCGTCATGACTCATGACTCTACTCCGTGGGTCCACATCTTATACTTCATCCTATATACTTATCCCACATCCCCCTCCTTCCCCCTCTACAACCCTACTATCTACTCCCCACATACTATCCCAAACTACACCATAAAGACACAAAGATAAAGACCAAAAAATGGCACCCACCCACCGCGTCGCCGCAATCCAATTCGAAGTCAAGCCCGTCGCTCCCGAAGAGAACCACGCCCGCGCCTGCACCCTCATCCGCGAAGCCGCCGCCCAAGGAGCCGAACTAGCCGTATTGCCAGAGTATTCCTCCTCCCATTTCTCCTATCTATACCCTCTCTCTGGATACAACAAACCATAGATATATACTAAACATAAAATAATACTAAAGATTCCACCTCAACGGCTTCGCCCCCACCAACCCCCTCTACGCAACCCAAGCAACCACCTCCCCACACTACCTAAAATCCTACCAAGCCCTAGCCACCGAACTCTCCATCTCCATCGTCCCAGGAACATTCCTCGAGCAACACGCCGACCCAACGCCTCCCTCCACCACCCAACCCCACCCCCCAAACGAAGACAAAAACAAAATCACAAACCACTACTACAACAAAGCCTACTTCATCGGCCCCGACGGCTCCATCCTCGGCTCCTACATCAAGCGCAACCTATGGATCAGCGAGCGCGGGTTCATCTCCCCCCCGCCGGCGTCTCAGGCCGCCGGGCCGGCGCGGTACCCTGTGTTTGATACGCCCATCGGCAGAGTCGGGATGCTGGTTTGTTGGGATTTGGCGTTTCCCGAGGCGTTTAGGGCGCTCATTGCCGCGGGGGCGGAGGTCGTTATTGTTCCTACTTATTGTGAGTATTTCCTTTTCCTTTCCTTTCCTTTCCTTTCCTTTCCTTTCCTTTCCTTTCCCACCCTCTTCTTGATATATCTATATATCTATATAGATATGATATAATGTGATGTGATATGCTGATGAGATGCAAAGGGACAAACAACGACGCCTCCCCCGCCCTGCGCGCCATCAACCCCAGCTGCGAACCGCTCTTCCTGTCCTCGATCCTCACGTCGCGGTGTTACGAAAATACCTGCGGGATCATCTTCGCTAACGTCTCTGGCTCGGCCTCCGACAGTCCTGACAGCAGCAGCAGCAGCGGCAAGTATATCGGCATGTCGCGCGTGGTGATGCCTATTGTGGGGACTGTGAAGACGCTCGATGCGAGGGAGGGGGTGTGCGTTGCGGATATGGATATGGGATTGTTGAAGCTCGCGGAGGAGAATTATTGTATTAGGGGGGATGTTAAGGGGCAGAAGTGGATTTCTTAGGATTTCATTTTCTCTGTTTATATTTAAATGTATAGAGAGGGAGAGATATATATCTGATATGTCTATGGTATATATCTATGGAGTAAACAGACAAGATTGGATATACATGTGAATATCATTCTGACCACACCTAGATAAAGAATCTATTCTAGTCACTAAATCATTAGACGATACAACATGAAGTAAATAATCAGCCCAACATCCGAAACCCGATCGTTCACATAGAAAGAGACCCATCCGACTCTGCAGACCGGTCTAAACATAACGCTCGAGATACTACTACTGAACCTGGCTGACGATCTCGCTGGCCCGAGACAGACTCTCCACCATCTGCTGGCACTCCTTCCGTCGGCGGATCGTGTAGTCGCTCTCCTTGAGCAGGTCGTCTAGCTCGCTGTTGCGGTACATGTTCTCCAGCAGCTCGCGCTGCATTTCGTCTTTGGTGTATCTGTGATTGTTAGCTTTATATTCACTAGCATATATACACCATGTGTGTATGTATGTAGGGACAGACGTACTGCACCAGCGTGTACATGATCGCCTTAGGCACCATGTCGATCATCGTACGCTTGACGATGTTGTAGTACGATGTGATCAAAAGTTCTACTACTGTTAGCACTGAAGTCACCCTGCCTCCCCGGCTCCCATGATGGGGTACATACTGATCACTTCAACTTCCGTGGTCTCGCGCTCGGACATCGACGCCGACGCCTTGAGAGTCGGCGGTGGCGGCTCCATCGCCGCCATCTTCTTCTTATTCTTCGACGCCCAGAAGCTGCCGAAGAATCCAGATCCGCCCTGGTTCTCCGCCGTCACCGCCTCCACTGTCGGGCTGCTGGCGCGCTGGGGGAGAGGTTTTCCGGTCTTCGGGTCAACCTGCGTCGGTTTGCTGCTGGCTTGACGCTCGTGGACAATAGCCATGGCCTGTATAATTAGTACAAAAAGATAAGAAAGAAAAATGAAGGAGGGTGACGTACACGGTGTCCGTTCAAAAAGTCGGGATGTCCAGTATTGACATAGCAAGATTCCATGTTAATCAGATCCCGGACAAGTTTGTTCGTCGGCTCCAGGCACTTCTTGAAGAACGAAATCACCACCGCATGGAACTTCTCCTTCAACATCGGGTACCGTCGGAACAGCTGCTTGTTCAGGAGCTGGCCGAGAATCCGCACCATCTCATCGTACACCAACGAGATACACTTCGTGCTGGGATCCTCCAGCCGCTTGATCTGCTGCTTGACGATGTTCTCGAACGCGGCCGTGCCGACGAACAGCGCCGGCGAGGGACCGGACGAGTTGTACAGGATGACCCGGATATCCATGTCTTTCACGTAGTCGAAGGGGTCGACGGCCTTGATACCGTTCGAGTAGAGTTCGTGGAACACGAAGCTGATCCGCGCGCCACCGGACAACTCGATGCTGGAGAGCTCCTGGTTCTTACCCTCCAACACGGTGCGGTACTCGTCCGTAAACTCGGTGATGATGTTCAGGATGATGTTGGCGCTGTTGCCCAGCATCGAGTCGCCCAGCTGCGACAGTTCGGCCGTGTACTTTTGCAGGGAGGAGGAGATGCGCGCTTTGATGTCGGGCAGGGTTTGTTTGATGTGCATCATCAGGATCTATCACCGTTAGATTCCATCTTTCGCCAATCAATTGACTCCAAAACATACCAAATTCAGCTTGCGAGCTAGGTACGGCGTGCCACAGTACGAAGCCTTGTTGCGGTAAGCCTTGTGGCCCTCGAAAAAGTTCTTCTCGTGTTCCAGCGCATAGGCGATGGGCCGCTTGTTCTCGATATCACGCTGGCCACGGTTGACCACCGGCACATAGCCCAGGCGAAGGGGGATAATCCTGCCCGCAAGAATATCCACCACATCGGTACCATCGTCCATAAGATCGACCTTGGTCAAGACACCGATCGTCCGTTGCCCCTCCGGGTCGACCTCCCGGGCCAGCTTCAGGCCGTCCGAGTTGGCCAGATCCTGATTCGCCGCGGTCACCGCGAGGATGATCGCATTGGGCTTGCCGATGTACTTCAAAACCATGTCGCGGATCTGGCGCTCAATATCCTTGGGCTGGTCACCGACGGGGACCTTGGTCAAGCCGGGCAGATCGACGAGCGTGAGGGTCAGGACATTGGGCGAGTAGATGCGGAGGTTGATGGGGACGGGCGAGATTCCGGCGTTGCGACCGACTTTCTGCTCCGTCTCGCGCACGATCTCCTCGCGGATCTTGTTGAAATCGTGGAACTTCTCGCCGGGGATGTGCAGGAACTCGCCATACTCGTCGATGTTGGCCTCCTTGTCCGTCGTCTCGAGCTTTCCTCCATTCGCCTGTCCGTCGCCACTCGCGGGTTTGTTGATAAGTTGCAGGACGAGGGGTCTCCGGGTGACGATACCCGATCCACGAGGGAGGCTGGTGAACGAGAGAGTGTGATTAGCGATCGCCACCGTAACGGGGGACCGACAGGAAGACCTACAAATCGCGCCCGACAATATTCTCTAAAACCGAACTCTTTCCACTGGACTGCGAGCCGACCACGGCGATCTGGGGCAGATCAATGGGATTTTGAACCTAGGGGAACCAGTGGTGTTAGTTAGGGTCCGCGCAGGAGGGGCTCCCTCGGCGGGCTGGACCAGCTTCCGGGGAGACAGTATAGTACTTACACCGACCGTCGAAAAGACATCTTGCAATTTATTGACGAGCGAAATCAAGCTCGGATCGTTGACGTTGATCCTATTGTCGCGAGGGGAAGGTTAGACAGCTGGTTTGTGTGTGGAGATCGGGGAAGCAGCATGGAGGGACAGGGGGATTGCGCACGAGAAGCCAGATGTCGGACTTGCCATGACAGGCACCAGTCGTCGAGACGATCACCCCGGGGTTTTAAAAAGGGTATTAAAAGATAAAACAAGAATCGAAAAGTAAGAGGAAGAAGTACTGAGGAGAAAGGTGAAGACTTGAATGGTATGTCAAGGAGTTATTCTCGAGAAGAGTTATTGTTTGCGGAGGAATGCAGCAGCCGTGACTGATGGGGGAGAGAGAAAGAGGAAAGGATGTTGGTCAGTGGTGGAAAAGTGGAGCCTCAGGAGGGATTAAGGCGGGATGACCAGGAGAAGGGTCCAGATTACTCGTTTCAAGGTCTTTCAGGGTAGGGATTGCACTTGAATATCTTCATGTATATTTATGGATATCCTGAAATATATCGGTTTATATATAGATCTTATATTTTTATATTTCATTTCTCACACAATATCTACCCTACTACGGCCGACATAATGATGAAGCCTAAACGCGTCATGGGTTAGCCACCCAAACATAAACGGGTGCCTGACTGGGTCAACCGGACGAGCCATCAACACAATAATACGGCTAATTGGTCAAATCATCTCAAATCAAAACTTAACTACATCAGGTGGGAATTTGCTATGCTACAGCTCAACAGACATTAAAACACCAGCACGTCCGTCTTTACTCATCCGACACCGAGGCAAATCGCTCCGTCATCGACTGGAGGATCTTCTCGTACTATACCAGCGTTAGCAATGGATTCAACCCGGCTGTAAAGAAAGAAAAAAAAGACATACCTTGGCAGTCACCTCGGTGTGGTTCTCCGGAACCTCGAACTTCATGCTGCGCAACGACGACTGGATGTCCGAAGTCGACTCGCGCACCTTGGTCCAGTTCTGGCCCTGCGCAATCGCCTTCTGGGCCTCGTCGTGGTAGCCCATGAACGCCTTCATCATGTACTCGGTCTTCCACAGCGGGCAGAACTGGTCGTAGTCACTGTACCCGTTCTGCTGCAAAAAGTCGTCCTTCAGCAGGGCCGCCACGTCCAGGGTGATCTTGTCCGAGTCGCCCAGCGCCGTCTTTCCGACCAGTTGCACCACCTGGTCGAGATCCTCGGACTTGGTCAGCAGCTCGCGGATCTGCTCGCGCAGGCGCGGGAACTCCGGGTGGTGCTTCTCGTAGTACCGGTCCAGCACCGTCGTGTATTTACTGTAGGACATGGAGGTGTTGATCGACGGGAAGTGCTTCCGCTGCGCCAGCTTCTTGTCCAAGCCCCAGAACACCTGGACGATACCTAGCGTACTGGTGGTGACGGGGTCCGAGAAATCGCCACCCGGCGGGCTGACGGCTCCGACGATGCTGACGCTGCCCGTGCGCTCCGGGCTACCCAGAGCCGTGCTCTTACCCGCACGCTCGTAGAAGGAGGCCAGCTTGGCGCCCAGGTAGGCGGGGAAGCCCTGGTCAGCCGGCATCTCTCCCAGACGACCCGAGATCTCACGCAGGGCCTCGGCCCAGCGCGAGCTGGAGTCGGCCATCATCGCCACGTCCTTGCCCTGGTCGCGGAAGTACTCGGCGATTGTGATACCGGTGTAGATGGACGCTTCCCGCGCGGCGACGGGCATGTTGGAGGTGTTGGCGATCAGACAGGTGCGCTTCATGATGGGTTCCTTGCGGCCGCCGACGTCGATGGAGAGCTCGGGGAAATCCATCAACACTTCGGCCATCTCGTTGCCGCGCTCGCCACATCCCACGTAGACGATGATGTCGCTGTTGGAGAATTTGGACACACTCTGCGAGATGACGGTCTTGCCGCAGCCAAACGCTCCGGGGATGCAGACGGTTCCGCCCTGCACACTGGGGAACAGCGAGTCCAGCACGCGCTGGCCGACGACGAAGGGGGCATCGGCGGACAGCTTGTCGTTGACGGGTCGGGGCACACGGACGGGCCAGGTGTGCATCATGCCGTGCTCCGACTTCTGGCCGTTGAACTCGATCTCCAGGAGCTTCTCCTCGACGGTGTAGCTACCGGCCTCGGCGATCCGCGTGATGGTGCCTCTCGCACGGGGCGGGAGGAGGATCTTGTGGTCGTCTACCAAGCTGTTCTCGAACACGGTGCCCCAGACGTCACCGCCCGTGATATGGTCCCCGACCTTGTATTGACCCGGCTTGTAATCCCATTTCTTCTTGCGATCCAGCGCATTCACAGCAATACCACGGGGGATGTAGATGCCTTTCGACTGGTCGGCGATCGCCTTCAGGGGTCGTTGGATACCGTCGTAGATCGTTTCCATCAAACCGGGACCCAGCTCGACCGACAGGGGTTTGCCCGTTCTCGTGACCGGATCGCCGACCGTCAAACCGGCTGGGAGAGAGATTAGATCTTGACTGGTAGGGTTCACTGGAGTAGAACAGAACCGTACCTGTTTCTTCGTAGACCTGGATGGTAGCCTTATCACCCTCGATCCGGATGACTTCTCCGACCAGCTGATCATAACCAACACGGCACTACAGACCATCAGCGAAATGCAAAAGATGACAAAACAGAACCACGGCGAATGACGGAAGCAGAACGACAAGGTGCAGATCAAGCAAGCTACGGCTTAATCGATCCGAATAGGAGAGCTGCGAGTACGTACCAACTCGTACATGGCACAGCCGATCATGTGTTCGGCCACGACGACGGGGCCGGAGACGGAGAAGACAGAGCCATGCTCGACCTCGGAATCCTTGGCGGACGGGGCCATCTTAACCGGGTATGTAGATGGCGTAGATGTAGAGGGGGGAGGCAAGGAGGAGGGGAGATGATTCAGATTGTGGTGGTGGAGGTTGTCCGTGCTATCGGTAGCAGTAGTAGTAGAAGTGGTGGTGGTGGTGCAGCTGCGGTCACTGCGGGAGGTGGTCGAGGTGGGCGAAACGGGAAGCGGTGGCAGCTCCTCCGCGGGCGGTGATGACGGTCTCGATCCCACTTCAACAACACAGTCTGTTTCCTCTACCACGGCTTGACTGGCGATCAAATCCAGTAAGGACGGCCGTGTCTTGAGTCGACGAAGACCTAAACCTAACATACGCACCTGATGGTTGAGGATGATGTATATGTGTAGGTGTAGGTGTACATCGGTGGGTTGGAGAGGGGGAAGTCTCCTGTCAATCGTACCACTAGAGGAGCGATAATTACCCCGTATGGAGTAGGTATTTAGTCCTGGTCACCTAATACTATAGTTCGTTACTCTTTTGATTTAGAGCAAATGCAGCCAATCTTTTCATAGGAGAATCAATAAGGAATAACCCAAATGAATCGAAAATAAGAAAGCCAATTTGGATCCCCTTCTCTGGACTATCTATCGATATGTATTGTCAGACACATGCCCTCTACCTAATACCAAGCGCGCTACTATATAAAGCGTCTTGGCCTGTCTGATCACCCATATTCTTTCCATGTCAGCTAGTTAGGAAAGGAATGAGAGTACATGGGACTTCTTTGATATTCTCGACTGTAGGTTTAAAGACATCAATCTTCCTCCCACACCAAAGACATCTGACAACAAGAGCTCACATCTCATCAACAAAACAAATCCCCCAGGCTTCAAATGATAGAACAATACCATGGCATAGTGACAGTCGTGGTGAGAGGAGGCTGCGTGACAGTAATAACAGGTGGGGTTTCAGTAATCGTATCTGTCGCAACCTCCGTGACTCTGACAGTTATGGATTCGGTGACTGTGGTAGGAGACGAGATATCCCCTCCTGCGCAGTCGAGATGGAGAACGTGGTTGCGACGGGGATTTGCTTCATCAATATAGAAAAATTCCAGGTCTCCTGCTGAGACTTCCCTGATGTCGTTCAGTTTGGCTGCAGAACTTCCGAGATCGCAGGTTGCCGTTGCGCCTTTGTCGATTGAGCCATCGTCTCTCAAGCATAGGTAGTACGGGTCGCCGAGTTCGAAGTCGGAGGGGCCCGCCCGGCTGGATAGAGGTCCAGCCAGGGTTGGGGCGAGATAGATGCTTAGCCCTAATAGGAGGGTTTTCTGCAACATCGTGAACGATATGGGGGATTTAGATTAGAGGAAGAAAAAGGAGCTGTGGACGTTGAGCAGGTGAGGGAGAGAGAATGGTTCTCTTAGCAATGGATGGGAGAATATGGCCTTTTTATACCTTGGGATCAGTCTTGCTAATTGCGGCCTCTTATCTTCCAGAATAAGTGGTATACTCCTGCCTACAGATCGCTGCATTTGGGTTGCATAGATGTCCGACAGGACGAACGATAGTATTCTCCTACTATGGCTTTCCCGAAAGCGCAAAAGCCATTGTATCTCCGTGACTCTCGGCCGAAGAATTTGATACAGAAATAGGTGCTCTGTCGAAGACACACCGCGACGTTACCGTGGTTTGCACTTTCATCTCTGGCTTTGTCAATGCCATTTGACAGATGGGTCCTCTCTACCCGGGCAGCACATTCCGATACATGTTGTATCTTAGTCTTGATGCCACACTTGGGACCAATGGGACTACAATGAATGGACGCTTGCGGCATATTGAGTTACTTAAATTTATTACTTCTGGGACAATATCAAGTGCTGCAGTATGGGGGTAGGTCATGGGCAGTCTCTATGGGTTAGGTGACAGTAACATCGACACATTGAATCCCTCAGACGCTTACAGTAGAGGTATGTAGCAACAAAATGGGTCAAGCATGCAGCATACCGTGTTTCCGGCAATTATGTAGCAATGGCCTTGTTCCTTGATATCCCCACCACCTCTCGAAGCTTTATGTTCTTTATGCTTTTTTTTTTTTCTTTTTCTTGCCATGTTCTTACAACAAAATATTGGATTAGGGCTGAACATATTACTGGCAGAAGTCCCGTTTTGTACGTCGCCATGTTAGGGTTCGGAGTCATATGCCCGGATGCGTGGGATTGATGCCCTAGCACTATATATTAGTCACGCTGAAAGTAGACATCCAATATCATTCCAGACAATGTCTCCTAGCGCAGATTAACAGTGTTTTACTAACAGATTGGGGCCCCTGTATTGTGTAAGGATAAGAGTGGCTCCATGAATCCCTTCCATCCGCAAACCGCAATGGCAACCATGGAGGTGCAGCTCTGGTGTTGATAGCATGGTTGACGATATGTAGTTACTATGTAATAAAATGGAAAACAGCAGCAGCATATTATATATCAAAGATTTCAGACCCATATGCCGATAATTTGGGATGGTGCACAGGCGGCAGATGAAGATTGCCGCTTTCGGGGTCGGGAGACATGGCTTGAGCCTACTGACGGACACACCAATGTGATAGCAGATGGATTGTAACAGTAGGTTAGAAGTATTTTCTTCCTGACCAGATTCTCCATCTGTTACTAGTTTCTACAGATTAGTATAGTATGAACAAGAGATGCATCGCAATGCAAACCAAAATAATGATTACAAGTAGCACCATCGTAACGAGAGTTCACAATATGGACAGTGACATTTTCCCCAACTCCCTTCAAACTAATTACATTCTTATACACACCCACATGGCCTAATAGAACCCTGAAACTCCCGAATCGAAATCACGTGTCCAAAATGATATCCAAGATCACACCCAAACCATATCCGAACGGCCTCGGCTTATCCTCTTCCTCCCCGTCAATCCGACGTGCAGGTCTCATCCGATACATGGAGATCGGATCAAGATCGGAATTGGGATCAGGACCAGGATGCGAGGAATGGGTTTGACTAAGTCGTCGTTTATTTCTAGATCACGGTTAGTATGTTTGTTTGCGGTCAAAGTAAAGATTGCATATCAAGAAAATCAGCGGAAAAAAAGAAAGAAAAAGGCCAACATACTCCGCATCCCTTGCAGCTGCAATCGTTGGAGCAAGAACAGCTCTGGGGACCATTGCAGGTGCAGGTGTTACCGCAGTTGCAGCCCATTGTCAAGTATATGTATGCTTCTGGTGGTTTGACTCTTAAACGAGAATCCTGGTGTGGTGGATAGGTTGGTAATAGACTATATGATATAATATGACTTGATCGTGGCAAGAAGGTCCTCACGGGATACCATGGATGGGATGTCATTCTATATAGGGATTCTGGGTGGGGGGGAATGGATGTACGCATCATGATGAGGTCAGCGGTTGCAGGGTGGTGTTACTCTGGGGGGTGGTAGCACCTCTTGTCTAGATTTGTCTGATGGTCATTCTTTCTGGATGGCTGCTTTGGGATTAGGGACTGTTTTACTTGATTTATTCGATTTTATTTTAAGCTCCTTTTCGCTGATGATTTCTTGCAGTGGTGGTGTATACTACCCCAGATTTTAGAGCGGAGTATTCCGGAGTAGCACCTACAGGAGATAACTGGGAATGTGGGTTGTTTCAACTTCGTTTTCTGTTACTACGTTACCTTATTACAGTAGTAGATTGAAACTCCAAATTTTCTTCCCAAACCCAACAGGAGGTAATATGGTAATCATGATGGTGGGAATCTAGAACCACTAAATCAGTCAGGATGGACAACGGTCATAAGGCACCAAGGTTCAAATCGATACCTAATCCCCATACCTACCTTACCCTACTATACCCTCATTCTACCCTAGTATCTACCTGGTAAGATGCAGCTGATGTGTCGAGAAAGGAAATGCTGAGCGCCAAACCCGGCTGGCTAAAGTTCTCGCCCACTTCCTGCACCAGTTGGGATCTCCCCTTGAATACCCGCTATGGTACCTCGTTGTTTGGTGTTAAGAAGTGACGGGCACTATCTTATCCTTGCGTTTAGATTGGATGGATGCTGCTTCCCTTACGTAGGGGACCCCCCGTCAGCTGCGTCGGGAGACAGGGGGGAATCCCTATCTTATTCCAGCTGTTCTTGTTTGGGATGCAGATGATGTGGCGGTGGTGGGAGTGCTATACAGCTTGGGCTCTCTTTCTTTGTTCTTGATTTACAGCATGGAATTTATTGTCGTTGCTTTTATTATCGAGAATATCAATATTCATATAAGATAATATAAAAAAATATTTAATGATTTGATTCACTGTAAAAATACACATATAGAGACCTATTGATATATTCAGATCTGGATAGTAAAGTATATATAGTATTAATAATTCAAGGTTGAGATGTAAAGCGTGTATCAGTCCGAGGAGATGATGTGATGGGAGTGTTATTTACCTGTTGATACAGTCTCAGCAACTTGGAAATCATTAGCAAGTCATGTACATGGCTGAACAAGCAGAAAGAATGAACTCTACTTAAATTACTCCATACTAGTGATGGTGATTGACCGTTTGTTTGTCTGCCACACCAGACCAGACCAAACCAACCCAAACCAAACCTCATCCAACCAACCTCATCCTCTTCCTTATTACGACTCTGCTTCAACTCCCCTCCACCTCCCCTCTTTCTCCAGCCTCAATATTTTTTCTTTATCCTCATTCTGTTCGTTACCCTTTCATACTGAGATCTTTTCCCTCCAATCGTTTCCCTCCGATCTCCCCTCGGCGCCTTCCTTCGAGCCCCCTCCCATAATCTCCAACCCCGACTCCGATAACGACCCGCCAGTTTTGCATCCTGCATCTTTCCTCCCCTCAACGAACTACAGCAAAAAGGGATACCCCACCCTATAGATTCATCAACTGCATCGATTCCATCCGATCGTCATATTTGTTTGGCATATTGGTTGATACCGTTCACGAGTCACGAGCTCCACCCCGACGGCTGAGCTTCGGCGAGTATCAAGAGACCCGCCGCCGATAGAGGTCTGCTCACCTGGTTTCTCTCGAGAGCCAGGCGAAGGGGCAGATCTACAAGTATTCGATCTGGCAAACAATCGACCGCCCTACACGCCCTCCCCCGCCGCACCCGACCACCCCAACCTTCCTTCCCCCCACGAACCGCCCTCGTCCCGCCCGAGGCGTTCCGCAGCCGACAACATCTCATCGTCAACCCGCCGCGAGCCCCTCGTCGGTGGTCATCAGGATACATCGAGCGCTGCGGGGAGGATCCTTCCGTCTACTCGTCGACGTCGCCGTCGGAGCTCTTCATCCACCGAGGAGACAGAAGCCCAATTAGACCATCGACCGCCGATCGAGGCCGGTGCCTCCGACCAGACCACGAACCACCCCCGTGGTCCTTACGAGGTCCACTTGCCATCCACAAAGCGCAGGCGCCTGGCAAATATGCGGCCCGATGGAGTTGCAACCACGAAAGGCTCCACGGCGTCTCCGTCCCACAAGGCCGGCTTGCTCCACGCCCGGAACGGCCAAGGAGCTCAATTCGCCAACGGCGAGGCGCAAACGAACGGGTCCCAGAAGCTCTCAATGCGCCCGCCATCATACTTCGGTCATGACCGGGAGGAAGTCACACGCATTTTGATACAGAGCCTGTTCGAGCTGGGATACGAGTCGGCGGCGGATGTGTTAAGCAAAGAGAGCGGCTATGAGCTGGAGAGTCCGGCTGTGGCGACGTTCCGAAATGCGGTCCTAGAGGGACGATGGGCCGAGGCACAGACGATCCTGATCCAGTCTTTTTACCCGGATGGAAATGGGCGAACACCGGGCGTGGGCAAGCAGGCGTCGAGTAAAGAGAGGCTGGTGTTGGTGGAGACCGCCGAGTTGAATGAGATGCTCTTCTACCTGCGGCAGCAGAAGTTCCTCGAATTGTTGGAAGCTCGCGACCTCGGAGCGGCGTTGACGGTTCTTCGCCATGAGTTGACCCCTCTCAACTACGATATTGGACGTCTCCATGCCCTGTCCAGGTGGGTTCTCGCAGGAGCGAAGTGCTTATAAAGCTCGGTGTACTGACCGTTGGACTAGTCTTCTCATGTGCCCTCCGGAGCACCTCCACAACCAAGCGGGTTGGAATGGGCCCATCAGCTCGTCTCGCGAGCGGTTGTTGGCCGAATTGTCCAGTAAGTCGAGTGTCTGGACGGCGTGGGAGGTTTTTACATCCTAACCATGCCATAGAATCGATATCGCCTTCCGTGATGATCCCGGACCATCGTCTCGCTTTATTGCTCGACCGAGTCAAGCAGGATCAGATCAACAACTGCCTGTATCACAACACTGCTTCTCCACCGTCACTCTATTCAGATCACATGTGTGACCGGGCCGACTTTCCACTCCGCACAGCCCTCGAACTGAGCCAGCACTCCGACGAGGTGTGGTATTGCCAGTTTTCGCACGATGGCACAAAGCTAGTCACGGCAGGCCGCGACCACAGTGTGATAATCTACGACGCAACCACCTTCGCCGTCCTCCATAAACTCGTGGAACATGAGGCGGGCGTAGCCCATGCCAGTTGGAGCCCGGACGACACCAAGCTCATCACTTGCTCTCAGGATAAGAAGGCTCGGGTATGGAATGTAGAGGTATGTCCCATCTGCGGTCCCATTCTTCCGGGGGGTTCATGCTAACGATCCACCCCTAGACTGGCAATTGCATCTTGACCATCGATCACCATCGGCAACCAGTGACCGCCGCGGCGTGGGCTGCGGATGGCGAGACCTTCGTCACGGCGTCTCTGGACCTAAACCTACAAATGTGTCACTGGAGTATGCGTGGGCAGGTCATCCATATGTGGCCCGGTGGTTTCCGTGTACAGGACTGTGCCATCACTCCCGATGGGCGACGACTGATCGCAGCGGACGTGGAAGAGAAGATCCACGTCTACAACTTCCATACGCACGAAGAGGAATATTGCCTGGCCCTGAAAAGCAAGCCGACGTCTATTGCCATCAGCCAAGATTCGCGCCACATGCTGGTGAATCTGTCCGAGGGTCAAATACAACTGATCGACATCGACACGACGGATGTCATTCGACGGTTTCAAGGGCAGAAACAAGGTTCTTTTGTCATCCGAAGTACCTTTGGAGGCGCTGCAGAGAACTTTGTTGTTAGTGGGAGCGAAGGTATGCTATCTCCTCATCTGCTGGTTTGCGCTCTGCTGATAATCTACTAGATTCCCGCATCTACGTCTGGCACAAGGAAAACAAGACTTTAGTAGAGACGCTCGACGGGCACATCTCTGGCTGTGTCAATGCGATATCATGGAATCCCACCAACCCCGGCATGTTTGCCTCTGCGGGAGATGATTACTTGGTTAGAATGTAAGCGGCCTTCTTCCTTGACATCTGTGACTCTTACTGACGATTATTGCAGCTGGACGCGAGAACGAGATGCGCATCCCAATACGATGGCGGCAAAACACCGAACGGCAGCGACACCTGGTGGATTTGCACGCACCAGTGCTCTCCGCTCGACATCCAGCTTTCAATAAAACAGAAAAAAACCACAAAAAAGAAGATGAAGATAAAGAAAATAGCATATCCCCGTCTACAGCAGGCCTGTCTGTTCGGCTCTCATCTCTTGAGTGATTTTGTATCCATCCATCCATGTTAGGAGTGACATAACCTTTTGGACTCGAGGGACAGCGCTTCTTCTATATCTTTCTTTCTTTATTTTTTCCACGCCATCTGCTTCTCCTGATTGCATTGCATATATGCATATTTCTGGGCCGTCGGTGAATCCATTCGATAAAGGAACTAGGCGCCACTCTTATCATCTATCATCTATCTTTTCTTATTTATTCTTTCTTTTTTCGTCATTTTGGTATTGTAGATTGATGAGATGTCTTGCATTTAATATACCGAGCATTTCACTTTTCCTTTCTCTTTGCCTTGGTTTGCGTGTGGGCATATCCATGCTTTTACGGTTTTGTCATACACAACTTGCAATTATCTCTCTCTCTCTCTTTGCTCTTTAACTGGATTCACCCTTCCATAACTTCAACACAATGGCCAAATTTCACATAATGGTGGGAAGAGGAAGAATCCAGAACAATCCTACGAAACGGCATCTATATTGTCACCCTCGCCCACCTTTTCTATATCTTCATTCCATTATTCATTACTTCCTTCCATTGAGCGCATCTCGTCATGTATCGTTTTCTTCGGGTCTGGTTTAGTATCAGTTTTTTGCTGTTGTTGCGGGCTGCGTTGTCTTGGTCCCCACCGTATGTTTTTGTTATGATACTTATTGGATAACTAACTAATCCAAATGGCCTTTTTTGGTCTGCTTAGTGATTGTCATTATATTTTTGGAAATACTGGGTAGGAGTTAGGGAGTTAGAAAATATATAGTACCTAGGTGGTGTAGTATATTCCGTAGGTGAGGTAGCAGGACGACCATTGATCAACCTGGGTAATGACACAGGAAGATGCTCCTCATTACTGAGACAAGGGCGTTTGTTATGGGAATTAGACGGGTATGTACTAGATTCTACCGTTGCAGTAATCGAATGACGAATAATCAGTTGAAAAAATAAATTGATTGATCGATTGATAGAAATAAAAAAGCCAGTTTATTCCCAAAAAAAAAAACAACAACATAACATCCAGCGAATACAGATAGACAGACAGGTTGATAATGATAAAATGATACAGACAGACAGACCCCGAGACACGTCGAACTCCATGATAAATAATACTGCTTCTTCATGATTTTCTGTTTTTTGTCCTTTTTTGGTTTGGTTCTCTTTTGCTTTCGTGATGGGTGTTAGATGGATGGATGGATGGATGGATGGATGGATATGTGTTTTGATATGGTGGTGGGCGTACCAATTTGGGTATTTTCCCTTTTCCTCCACGCTGGTTTGGCCTCCCATGCTTGATCTGGGTGTCTTTGCTCCTGGCACGGCCACGGCCCTTTTTTCTGTGGGTAGGAGCGTATTTAGGGGTATCGTCCGTGGGGTAAAGGCGCGAGTGGGCCGTGGATGGATCGTGAGTTTTGTGGTTGAATTATGAGAGGAGGTCGGCAACTGTAGTAGTGGTCAGTATATTTGTGGGGTTCGGGTATTTGATAGAGATAGAACATACCATTCATCGGCATCTCGTCAATCTGCGTCGAGTAGTACAGTTCAATATCACGCAGAATGCGTACGTCGTCGCTAGTGACAAAGTTGATGGCGACACCCTTGCGGCCGAAACGACCGCTTCGGCCGATACGGTGGATGTAGTTCTCACGGTTGGTGGGGAGATCGTAGTTGATGACGAGCGAGACCTGCTGGACGTCGATACCGCGGGCCCAAACATCCGTAGAGATGAGCACACGCGAGTTACCCTGGCGGAAATCCTGCATGATGCTGTCGCGCTCCTTCTGCGGCATCTCGCCGTGCATGCTGGAGACGGTGAAGTTGGCCTCGCGCATCTTGTCCGTCAGCCAGTCGACCTTGCGGCGAGTGTTGCAGAAGATGACCGCCTGCGTGATGGTCAGGGTGTCGTAGAGATCGCACAGCGTATCGAACTTCCACTCTTCCTTCTCAACGGCAATGAAGTACTGCTTGATGCCCTCGAGGGTCAGCTCGTCACGCTTGACCAGCACGCGCACGGGATCCGTCATGAACTTCGTCGTCATGTCGAGGACGTCGTAGGGGAGTGTCGCGGAGACGACCACCACCTGCGTCGCCGGCGGAAGGTACCGGTAGACGTCGTAGATCTGTTCGCGGAACCCGCGGTTCAGGAGCTCGTCGGCCTCATCGAGGACCAGCATCTTGATATGCCGCGTGCGCAGGTGGCGCCGTCGGATCATGTCTGCCACTCGCCCGGGCGTACCGGACACGACGTGCTGGCCGTAGTCGAGCTTCCGGATATCCTCGCCAATGTTTGTTCCTCCGATACAGGCGTGGCACTGCACGTTCATGTAATCGCCGAGGGCCATGATGACCGACTGAATTTGGGTCGCCAGTTCGCGGGTCGGGGAAAGGACGAGCGCTGCAAGAAGTGAGTATGACGTCTCCCCCCCCATCACCTCCTTTCAAGCTCTGTACAACGTACCTTGGCTTTCGCGCACCACCGTATCGATAACCTGCAGGATACTGATCGCAAAGGTTGCGGTTTTACCGGTACCGGACTGCGCCTGCGCAATCGTATCGCGACCTTTACAGATCTGCACAATTGCACGCGACTGCACCGCGGAGGGGGACTCATAACCATATGCGTAGACACCACGGAGTAGGCTCTCCTTCAAGTGCATATCCTCGAAGGTCGGAGCCACCGTCACCTCCTTGGAGGTGTTAAACTCCATCTTGTCTGAATTTGCGCCGTCAGCGTTCTGTGCATGAGACTTGACGTCAGGATCCTCAGCCCTTACCATCAGCGCGTCTATCGATTCCGTCCGCCATATTGAATGCACCGGATCCAAATTAGCTCGGTGATAAAGAAAGAAAGTACAATTCCCGTCAGGCTTGGTTTGATAGAGTGGGGACCGAGAGCTGGGCGAGGCGAACGGTCGAGTCTCGATCGCGACTTTTCGCGGCCACCGCCCGCAGTCACGTGATGATATATCGCCGCAAAGCTCTCGAGATTCCGCCGACCAACGTTGCCTCCGTGCAAGATCCACCCCCATTCGCAAACAAGCGCCCACGATGATTCTTGAAGACCAGCGTTTTATCCACGAGGACCTCGAACGCCTGGAGCAGGCGATTGCTGATCGTGTCGTTGAGGAGCCCCGAAACGTGAGTTACCCAGTCTTGTTTTTGTCTACGCACGTAGCTAACGGGCGCTGCGCTCAATTAGATCCGCGAGCGCTTGTCTCGTGACCATGAAATCTCTCAGTTCTTAAATCGGATAGAGGAGCAGTCGAAGAGGCTACTCGAAATCTACAAAGATGCGGACGGCGCACGCGAGAAGGAGCTCCAGGCGATTTCTACGGGTGACCAGTTTGAGGAGTTCTACAAGCAGCTGGATGAGATCAAAGACTTTCACAGACGCTACCCGAACGAGCCGGTCGAGAATCTCGAGCGAGCGTACAAGCGGCGCCAACCGGGCGAGGGCGAGCCGGTCGGGATGGAAATCGACAATATGTTCACCGGTGAAGAGGGCTTCGGACAGTTCCTGGATCTTACGGCCTTGCACGAAGAGTATCTGAACCTCCCTGGTGTCAAACGGCTGTCGTACATTCAATATCTCGACGTTTTCGATGTGTTCACGCCGCCAACCTTGCAGATGAAACCGGCCCAGAAGATCTCGGATAAGTACTTCAAATACGTCGGTGAGCTTGCCGAATACCTCGAGAGTTTTGTCAAGAAGGCACGGCCGTTGCAGGATCTTCGAAAGCTCTTTGCAGGCCTTGATGATGAATTCGAGAAGTTGTGGGCCGCGAACGAAGTTCCTGGGTGGACAGAAGAGAAACAGAATGGCGCCCAGGGCCCGAAGACCGAGGGTTCTGGAGAAGGTATCTGGTGTGCGGACTGCGAGCGCGAGTTCAAGAACGAGAATGTCTATCGGAATCACCTGACAGGGAAGAAACACATCCGGGCTGCCGAGGCGCGCAAAGCTGCTGGTGATTCGGGTGACAAACCTGCCACGGTAGCCGGTGCTGCCTCTGCGACTCATCGCTTGAAGGAACGTGCAGTTGCCGAGCGCGAGCATCGCGTCCGATCTCTAGCCAAGGTGGTTGATCCCGAGCGTCAAGCCACGCGGGTCAATGTCGAACGTAGGGCCGGTATGACCGAACGCGAGCGTCAGATGGAACTCGAGGCGTTACTTGCGGACTCTGAGAACCCCGGCGGCGAAGGACGCGGGAATGATATGTCGGACGACGAGGGTGATGAGCGGATCTACAACCCTCTGAAACTGCCACTTGCATGGGACGGAAAGCCCATCCCCTACTGGCTTTACAAACTGCACGGCTTGGGCGTTGAGTACCCCTGTGAGATCTGCGGAAACTACGTCTATATGGGTCGCCGTGCCTTTGACAAGCACTTTTCGGAGGCATTACATCTCTTTGGCCTCAAGTGTCTCGGCGTCACATCCAACACGAACCTGTTCCGCGAGATCACTCGGATCGACGACGCCATCCGGCTGTGGGAGAAACTTGAGCAGGAGCGCAAGAAGGACCGCGAGCACCATGACAACGTGGTGCAAATGGAGGATGCCGAGGGCAACGTGATGCCTGAGAGGATTTATCTGGAGTATGTGAACCCTTGGAATCCAACATGTCGACTTCATGCTAACAACCAACAGTCTCCAAAAGCAAGGCATTCTCTAGTAAGAGGCTGCTCGGATACTTTTCATTGTTTCCAACCTTACTTTGTTCATTTTTGATTATTTTTAAAAGCCTGGAGTTTGGCGGGCGTCTTTGTTGGGTCATATGGGCTGTTGGTTGGAGACCTCTACATCACCCACGCACGGACAGGTAGACCTTGCGTTATATGTATTGTATTCAAAGATAATACCATTACCATCATCCACACGAAGGAGCTTGTCTTATCTGTAGAGAAATCACTGTGCTGCTTAGCACTTAATTATCTTAGCTTTGCACAACGACCCGTGCCATTTAGATCGGGGCCGTGTCACGTGCTTTCGCGATCCATGGACACGCGCTCGCGTGGCTTCTCTTTGCCCACATTGGAGCTCCCACGTCGACTCAAGTGAATTTGATAATCCGATCTGAATTGCAGCTTCTATGGGGCCTCTAATGGCTCATAGCCGATCTATATGGGCTTCAGATTCACCCTTCTGTGCGATCTGCTCTCATCCTTAGAGAACAATAGATTCGTCAAGGCCTCGACCGAGGCTACACGGAACGACCCCGATGCCCGCGTCGTGACACGTTGGTTCGCCCAACATGGCAAGCGTCTGCGTGACAAGGACACGGACCAATTAGCCGTTCTGTCATGCATGTTTCCGGAGAAACGGACAGACAGGGTATACGGGCTACAAGACTTGTCGCTGGCGAGAGTCATAGGCCGATGTCTACTTCTTGGTTCGTCTCGACGGGAAGAGCTTGAGCAATGGCGTCAGTCTGGAGGAGTTGATTTGGGACAGTGCGTTGAGAATGTTATGCGCCAGGCCGAGAATCATATCATTCCGGGACAGGAGATCACTGTGGAAGATATCGATGAGGCGCTGAATAGGATCGCCTCCCGCTGTAGATTCTCGGGCCCTAGTGTGCGCAGGAGACAGCGCGGTGCCGTTGATGTTGAAGAGGCGTTGTCTCCTATGTATCGACGATTGGGTAGTAGGGATGCGAAATGGCTGACGCGCATGATTCTCAAGAGCTTTGCTCCTGTTATTCTGCCACTGCCACTGACGCTAAGGGGTCTGCACTTTCTGCTCCCTCATCTACTTATGTTCCAGGATTCGTTTGAAGCGGCATTGAGCACACTGGCTTCCCAGCCAATGTGCAATTTCCCACCACACCCAGACCCGGGACTGGCTAGAAGCCTAAGGCTGATAGCCCTGCAGCACTTGACTCCACGAATGGGGGTCAAAATTGGGAGACCGGAGTACTATAAAGCTCGAAGTATCAAGCATTGCTGCCAAATGATTGGGCAGCGTCGGATCAGCATGGAGCGAAAATACGATGGCGAATACTGTCAGATCCATATTGATCTAAGCACACATCCAAGCATCCAGATATTCTCGAAAAGTGGGAAGGACTCAACAGTGGATAGGTCTGGGATCCATGACGTCCTCAAGGAGGCCCTGAGGATTGGATCTTCTGAATGCAAGTTCTCCAGCCGGTGTATTCTCGAAGGCGAACTACTTGTGTGGAGTGACAAGAATGATAAAATCATGGATTTTCACAAATTGCGCAAGTTTATATCTCGGTCCGGCACTTTTATAGGGACCGAAAACGATTCACCGTAAGCATATCTTGAAGCCTTCACTCGCTACATAGTTCTGACCCTACTAGACCACAACCAGACGAGCACCTGATGATAGTTTTCTTTGACATTCTTCTCCTGGATGACAATGTATGTCTTAGAAAGCCGCACCGGGACAGGCGATTGCTTCTCAAAGAAGTGATACAGATCATACACGGTCGTGCCGGCATATCGGACCAACAAGTCCTAGACTTTTCCCATCCTGGCAGCCGATCCAATCTAGAAAGCATCTTCGCAAAAGGAGTTAGCAATAAGTGGGAAGGCTTTGTTCTCAAAGGATGTGAAGACCCATATTTTACTATAATGTCTAGCACTAATCACGCCCCGTCTGGACGCTGGATCAAACTGAAGAAAGATTATATACCCGGGTTGGGTGACACCGTGGACCTAGCTTTAGTCGGAGGGGCTTACGATGCTCACGAAGCCGCTGCGTTAGACAGTGCCAACAAAGTACTATGGACGCGCTTCTTTATCGGGTGTCTTACGAACAAGGACGCCGTGTTGCAATGGAACGCCGTGCCTAAGTTTCGCATTGTGGATACGATCAACCGCCATTGCATGAGCATACAAAACATGCACCTCCTCAACCAGCTTGGAGAGTATAGTGCCTGCAGTCCGGAAAGCGGGCACGGTTTTAATATAGAGTCCGGGCATGGTACACTTCCCAGCATGGACAGCGTTTTCAGGAAACCTTTTGTCGTGGAAATGCTGGGCAGTGGGTTTGAGAAACCCTCAGGTGCAAGGTATTTCGCATTAAGGTTTCCCAGGATACTCAAAGTCCACTCCGACAGGACTTTTGAAGACGCTGCTTCGTTTGGAGAGTTGCAGGTATTGGCTGAGCGCGCTCGATCGCTCGTCCTTGAGGACATGGCGCAAGACGAGTCTGAGTGGTCAAAGCGCTTGAAATTGGGAAATGGCTCTACGCAATATATAACGAATAGATCGCAGAGCACAAGCTCGTCGCAGTCGTCCCATGCAGTGTCTTTTCGCGTGGGCCAACACTCCAACACAGGCATTGCTCACCCTTCTCCCGATAACCACAAGAGACCATCGCAAAGCACGAGAGAAACGCACGTTCAGACAGGAAACATCCCAATCTATGTCGATGGAAATGTCTCACCTGACACATCATTTGTCGATACAGAATCACAAGGACATCTACTCAAGAGCAATGTCAACCTCACCCAGAGAGACTGGAGCCGAAGAAAAGAGTCCGTGTCTGCTGGCAGTCCTGGGGCAAAGACCAAAGACCACGAAGCCGAAGTATCCAGGGCTATACCAAGCACACCAAAACTTACACATGCCCCCAGCCCATCGTCGCCATTGAAACCAATGCAAGAGCCCAGCCAAAGTCGGCAGACAAAAAAGCCACCCACAGCACAAACCCTTCCAAAGAAGCAGACCAAACCCATCAAGTCACCTCTAACTACTATCCCCATCCTATACACACCCCAAGACCCAACCAACAAAATCCTCCCACCCAACAACCACCACCACTTCCCAAACCTAACATCCAACCCATCCGTCTTTTTCCAAAACCTCGAATCCGCCCAAATCCCAGCACCCCATCCCACTCCTACCTCACCCCCAAACCAACCATCCACCGGTATCCTCCTCACAAACCCATGCCCCCAAAACCCCCTAGGACCCACCCTTTTCACCCTCATCAAAGCGCTCTCCCATAAAGTCCGCACCGCACCCCCCGCCTACCCCCGCAGCGGCAAGATCTTCGTCCTCGCCCCGGACTTCCTCGCTTTCAGCACCGGCCCCGCAGACGCTCGTTTTTGTCTGCGTTCTACGTGGGAGAATATCGGACGGGAGTTCTTCTATGCTTGTGTTTCTTGGAGCACGGGTGCGGGGAAGAATCATTCGTGTTTGCTGGCTGCTGGGGGAGTAGGGAGTGAGGTCCCGCCGACTCCGGTGGTGAATGGGGGGCTTTTACGACGGGTGGAGAGCACTGAGTGTGAGGGGTCCTGCTGTGCGGGGTTGTTCAAGGTGTCTGTTGGGTTTGATCGGCGGGCGTTGGGGTGTCTTGGAGATGGGTGTTTTTCTTGAGATAATGGTGGTGGTGGTGGTGGTTAGGTAACCCTGGTTGGTTGATGGAAGGCTTGTTGGCGCTTTGTTGCGATATTATGTACCCCGGTGGTTACACCACGAGTCTGGTTATACCGTGGTATATCCATGTATAGAATAATAATGAACTGAATGGTGATTATATGATGTATACTCATCCTGTCCTCGCATGATCCCTCCCTTCCCATAGGAACAGACAGAACGCCTCGCTATCGACAACAACAAAGAAAGAAATCAAAACAACAAACGAACAGGATACGCATATAGCCCGAGTATACAGTAAGTATGTAGCTTACTCCTCGCCCTCCCTCCGTGCCCTCACATCCCTCATCAACGCCTTCGCCTCCTCAACCTCCACCCCATCCTGACATAACTCCCCAGCAAGCTGGTCCGCGCGCTCAAGGTCCCCATTCCGCAGCGACCACCGCGCAAGCCACAGCCTCGCCTTAGATGTCGTAGCCGTGACGCCCGTCCCATGCCAGGAGTCGCCTTCGGCGTCGTCGGAGACGCGGCGTCTGCGGCGTGGCTTTTCGCTCCCATCTTCATCTTCATCGTCGTCGTCGGATGACGAGTTCGCGTCGTCTTCTTCGACTGTTGCGCCGGATTCTTGCTGCAGGGTGAGCTCCATATACGCAGCGGCTTCCTCTTCGCTACCGGTGCGCTCGTAGAGCGTCGCGATCTGGTGCAGGGTTTCTGGGTCGAGGATCTTGTGGGGCGGTCCGGAGGCGTTGTCGTCGTCGGCGGAGTATGACCCCGCGACGAGAGCGCGTTTCAGTGCTTTGATACTCTGGTCGAGGCGGTTCATCTTCGCGTAGCAGGATCCGACGGCTTGCCACATTTTGGGGTCGTAGGGTCGGAGTGCGGCGGCGCGTTGGTAGTAGAAGAGTGCGTAGAAGGACATGTCGAGGACTTCGTAGGCTTGGCCGAGGCCGTACCAGGCGCGGTAGTCTTTGCGGTTGACGTCTACTGCGCGGCGGTACGATTCGATGGCGGCGTGTGTGTTCTTCATTTCGATGTACTCGTGGCCCATTAGTGTCCATGCGGACAGGAAGTTGCGGTCGAGGGTCAGTGCGCGTCGGAAGTACATGACTGCTTTCTCGTGCTCGGATTTCAGGGAGTAGTAGTTGCCTACGACGCAGCAGGTCTCGGGGCGGAATTTGTCGGTTGCGGTTGCGACTTGCGCGACGAAGGCGAGTCGGGGCCGCCAGCCCATTACGTAGAGGATGTTTGAGTAGTGGTCGAGACTGTCGAGGCGGTGGGGGGAGGATGTCATAATTTCCGTGAAGATGTCGCAGGCATCTTCGAAGTCTGTTGCAGGTTAGGTTTGTAGGAGGATATGTGGCGGGGGAGTGGATGAGGACGTACCCTTAGAGTGGTAGTAGAGGAGGGCCCGCTGGGTTTTGAGGAATGCGCTGGTGGGAAAGATGGCCTCGAGCTCCGACAAGGTCTGGTAAGTCTCATCCGTTGCTTGGTACAGCTCTTGACTGCAGTGCACGTGGAATATGAGCGATATGAGGTTCTGGGGTAGATGTTCGACGACATGCTTCAACTGTGTTGGGTGTTAGACCTGTTCTGCGGTCCTGCCGCGCGCTTCATGTTCGGAAACACCTACATCTTCCACACTGGCCAGTAGATCGTTCAGCTCCTGCCACGCGCCCCAATTGAACGGGTTCAGGTGGACGCTGCGGATCAGCCACCGTTTTGCCTCGTCTTCGTTCCGTCCCTTGAGCAGGATCACTCCGTAGAGGTACTCGAGCCAACCCTGGTTGTGTTCCTCCAAGCCTTTCTCCTGTCGGTCCACGAACCATCCTTCCAAGCCCCGAGCTAGGTCCGGTAACTCCCGGTTGACCGTCGTGCCACTATCAGCTGGCCCTAGGACCATTTCCGTCTCCTCGTCTTTCCGCTTCTCCCCGGCCAGGTACTTGGCGTATAGGGCGAGAAAGAGTGACCGCTGGCTGATTATGGGGTATGGATTCCGAAGGGTATTGCCATCTTTAACACCAGCGTACGAAGCGGCCTTGTGCTTGCCCTTCTGCGGTGTCAACGGTTGTCGCGTTCGCGGGTTGGGGGAGCTCGTGGAGAGCGGAACGGGGGAGATGGTGGGGGGCAGGAACACTGCGGCGCAGCGGTCGTACTCGCGCGTGTCGAAGTAGGACTTGGCCAAGAGGTACTTGTGCAACTCTTGGTACTCGAGTTTCGCTTCGAGCGGATCTTGTGTCTGGAGGTAGGGATTCGGAGGATTTGTAGAGTTCAGAGGACTATCGTTGACGTCCATTGGGGATTCGGGGTCGGTGTCATATTGGTCAATTGGGAGGAGGGAGTCTAGCATTTCGGCCGCCCTGGATATAGTGCGTCAGTCGTCGCTTGCCTTCCCAAAGCTTCTGCATAGTCGGCGTACCATTTGGCGGATTGGTAGAGACAGCGCTCGGAGCATTTGATGGCCGCTTCCTCAAGCCGATGCTTGAGTTCTTGGATGTTTTCCTCAGTGAGTGCGGAAGCCATAATTCAAGTGTTTGAAGTTTATGACAGAGGCTTCTGCAGATGTATTGATTCCACTAAAGCTCTCAATCTTTTGTCGCTAGTAGTGGGTATGCAACCCCAGCATCATTCCGTCGCGAAACGCGACAAATGCGAACTCGCAGGTGGGTCGGGGAAAGGGTACTAGTGGTTTACCGACACGTCTCCGCCTAAATGACAGCCAGCTCAAAGGAAGAGAGATGAACCGAGAGAATCAACGAGGAGGAGGAGAGAAACGAAGAAGAAACGAAGTCATAAATGACCGGGATGGACTCAATGATTGCGGATTTCCCGATTGGGACGGGCCAGACAAACCAGACAAACACGACCGCGGGGCTTTCCCGCCAATCACCAGCCTCAGGCACGCATCTCCTTTTGATCCCCCACTCTGGAGTCTCGACTTCTTCGCCTCCCCTCAATTGCTCCTTTTCCTGTCCACTCCCCTCCTGGTCAATTCACCACCGACGTACAGAATGGCTACCACCGATCGCAAGGCCTTCGAGGCCGTGTTTCCTTCCCTCGCTGAGGATCTGCTGGCTCACGCCCGCAAGTATAACCTGCCCGGCAATGCCATGGAGTGGTTCGAGAAGGTGTGTCCTCTTCCTTCTAGAGAGACGTATCCAGGAGGATCATACTGACGGCTGCTTGATGTGATAGTCACTCAATGTCAACACCCCCGGTGGCAAGCTCAACCGTGGGCTCTCCGTGCCCGATACCGGCCTGGCCCTGCTGAAGAAGCCCCTGACCGAGGAGCAGTTCACCCACCTCAGCATGCTGGGCTGGCTGACGGAACTGCTGCAGGCCTTCTTCCTGGTCAGCGACGACATCATGGACGGCTCGATCACGCGCCGTGGACAGCCCTGCTGGTTCCGCCAGCCCGGCGTGGGTTTGATCGCCATCAACGACGCATTCATGCTCGAGTCCGGCATCTACGTGATCCTCAAGAAGCACTTCCGATCGCACCCCGCTTACGTCGACCTCATCGAGCTCTTCCACGAGACCACCTGGCAGACGGAGCTGGGCCAGCTGTGCGATTTGATCACGGCCCCCGAGGACCAGGTCAACCTCGACAACTTCTCCATGGAGAAGTACATGTTCATCGTCACCTATAAGACCGCCTACTATAGCTTCTACCTGCCCGTGGCCCTGGCCCTGCTCTACCTGGAGCTGGCCAGCCCCGAGAACCTCAAGCAGGCCCACGACATCCTCATCCCGCTGGGCCAATACTTCCAGGTCCAGGACGACTACCTGGACGCCTACGGCGACCCGGCCTTCATCGGCAAGATCGGCACCGACATCCAGGACAACAAGTGCTCATGGCTCGTCAACCAGGCCCTGCAGCGCTGCTCGCCCGAGCAGCGGCAGGTGCTCGACACGGCCTACGGCCGTAAGGATGCCGACCTCGAGGCCAAGGTCAAGGCCCTGTACCGCGAGCTGGATCTGGAGCGCGTCTACCAGGAGTACGAGGAGTCGACCGTCGGCGACCTGCGGAGCAAGATCGCCGCCATCGACGAGACCCAGGGTCTGAAGAAGGAGGTCTTCGAATCCTTCCTGAGCAAGATCTACAAGCGCTCCAAATAGATTCCTTCTCCTTCATCAAGACTCTGTCTCGGATTCCGATACCCCTTCCAGCCCTCCTTATCCCGCTCCCCATACATACCCCTTCATATAAATTGATCTGAATGAAACGAGTCGATAGATAATAGTATATATATAATATAGAGTTAGACAGCGTCTCAAAACAAGGGGAGCTCTCCACTGTTCTGCCGATCCCGTTCCCTTTTTTTTCTTTCCAGAAAATGAAGCGAACAAACACGTTCACCTCCTAAATCCAAGCCTTACTCATTGCCCTTCCAGTTCCGAGGCGGAGGATCAGTGGAGACAAAGAAACGACCTTGTCACAAACTCCCCACACCCTGGCTCCCCCACCAAAGGTACATGCATGTTTATGTGTCTACACGTACTTTGATTATTAAGAACGACCGTGAACTTCCTCTTCGGGATCCCACGGCTTTAGCAAAAGCGCTCAGAGGTCTGCCCAGTGAGTATCTTACATAGATGACCGCTTCTTGAACACTCGGTATCTGCTTGATTGCAGTCACATGTACCTAGTGAGCCACTTACCCCATCTAGTTACTTGATGCGGGTAGTTTTACGACTACAGAGAAGTGGAGAGGTGCTCTAACAGACGCACCTCACCTGTATTCTTTCTGTCACCGCCGGTGCAAGTGAAAACTAACGCTCACAGGTAAGTCTGTCGACTATGTCCCAGTGCCCAGTGGCATTGTGGCCGTCCTGTTGTCGCTGTAATCCACGTGATCGATCTGTAATCACGCCTCACTCGATTTCGCCCGTCCGAATCCCACTACAGACATCATAGCTATTCAGGACACATTCATTCGCATTGAATTTGAACTCGTTACTCACCATCAGTCATTACTGCTGCAGGGACAGCATTATCTTCGGCATTGGACTTTCCCTGACTCACCACGAACATCCATGTTTCAAGGCCGTTATCTGATCTGACCAGCGCGTCGGCGTGCTCTTCTCCATTCGGGCTTTGGCGTCAAGATTCCACACTTGTATCCGGAAGGCATGATGCAACCTGATCTGTCACCTAAATTGATGTGCTCGGTATGCTCCGAGACATTTCACAGGGTTGAGCATCTGAAACGCCACACTCTCAGTCGTAAGGGGCACTGTCACCTACGTCAGGAGGGATGCTGATTCCATTCAGATACTGACAATAAGCCCCATGTTTGCCAATATTGCGGCTCCCACTACAAGAGGAGGTGAGTCATTCTTCGAGTCCTCATTTCACACTTCAGGACCTGAGATGGTCCAGTGACGCGTTGCGGCGCCATTGGCAAACCTGCGCAGGGCGAATCGCCGCCGGCGATGAAATCCCGCGACGCACTCCCTCGGGCAAGCGGAAACAGGTGTGTGACTCGTGTACCTCTCGCAAGCGAGCATGTTCGACTGGACAACCGTGCTCTGAATGCGCGACTCGAGGAGCAGAGTGTACGTATCGCGGTGTGCAAAGAGCAAGGCATGAAGAGACCTCCTGCACTGAGCCAGCACAAGCTCATCCTCTTGAATTGGAAAGTGGCCTTGAATCGAGAATGCATTATGAGCATGCCGGAAATGAAGAGCGCAACCATCGCTGCACTTCTCTTTCGCGGTATCATCGTCTAGACTTTCTCATCAATTTCACCAGAGCCACGGGCCTAAACGAGGCCTACAATTATAAGAAAAGCAGCAGGTTATCCCCAATGGCCGACACAGATGCCAATAATATGACTGTTCTAGATGTTTCATATGGCGAAACCGCTGCATCAAACCCTTTCACCTCCTATCTTGATGATTTGGAGACCGCTCTGTTCAGAGATGTCGACACGTCAACTGCGATTCAAGAAGAGATAATCAGCGAAAAGATAGCTCAGCTGTGGAATACACTACAATCGAAGCCGAACAGTTCCACTCATGATAAGACCCATACATCAGTACACGAGTGGCTCTCCTTCTTTTCAGCGGCACATCTCAACCGCTACCTGTCCCTATTCTGGGATCGGTGGCATCAACATTGTCCTATACTCCACCAGGCGACCTTTGATTTGAAAAACTGCTCTCCTAGTCTTTTTGCTACAATGGCATTGCTAGGGGCCTGCATGTCGCCCTTGATATTGGACCAACACGCAGCGAGGGACATGCTCGATACAGTGGAAGAACTACTATTCTCACATTCGCTTTTTTCTGAGTCGTCGATTTATGGGTTGAAGGATCAAGACCAGTTTCCCAGTCGTGAGCAATTACAACTACTCCAGGCTGCGTGTTTCATGTGTCTTTTGCAAAAATGGGAAGGTAGCGCAGAAGCCAAATTACGAATACAGCGCCAACGCTTCACCACGTTTGTTGCGGTAGATATTGAATTCCATCATCCCCAATGCATCGAGCTGACTTCGAACAGGTGGTACGAGCGATAGGACTGTCCAAGGCGAGACATTCTCATGGACCTAAGAGCTTCAAAGTTGATGTAATTGGTTGGAAATCGTATATCATGGAAGAGGAACTCATCCGGTATCATGCGCCACTGTGCTTTCCAATGAGGCTGACGCATGCTGACACCATTTTAGAACGTTCAACCATGTGTTTCTGCTCGACTCCGCATTTGTGATCTTTCATAACTCCGTACCGCGAATGGTCCTACAGGAGATGATGATCGATTTAACATGTGCGGAGGACATCTTCCAGGCTGGCTCACTAGAAGAGTTCTCAAACGCGATAAAACTGCACGGACCGCAATTTGGCCGTCCTCTGCTCACAGAGTGTGTTCGCAATCTCTGTGCAGAAACCCCGGATCCAGCGGTTATGGCGACACTTCATATTGAGAGCCCCTTGAATCTATTTACGATTGCGACTGGTGGGTGACTTATATGGTCCTACAAGGTTCTTGGTCTAACGTTTTACCTCAGCTACGCACGGGCTCATATTTCACCAACTACGGGCTTTTGTTCCCCAGTCCCTGGCGACTGGCCACCTCAGAACAGCACTCGACCGCTGGGAAGTCGCATGGGAGAGTAGCGTCGAGAAAACGGCGAAAGATGACTTCAAATTGAGCGAAGAGGTACCATTTTTTCTACGGGCAAGAGAATTTGCAACATTAGCGCGGGCCTATATTGAAAAGTCGCATCTACCTCCAGAAGAATGGAAGCAGGTGGTCAAGAACCTCCCAGGAAATACTCGCTTGGAACTGCGCGAAGGCCTGGCTACCTTTGACCAGACTAGCATGGACCAAGTGGCAGGGATGATAAGGGCAGTGGAAGTACTAAGCCTTGGAGACTCTCATTAGATCGGGGAAATATTTTCAAAGACAAGCCTTTTCTAATGCTTCGACAACGCGACGAAGAGAATTCTTCATTGCCACGTCGTTCCCTTGCGTATCGCCTACATCGAGATCGATGAACAGCTTTGCATCAAACCCATGTCCTTGATCTCGTACACGTTCGAAATTAACATGAATGCCAAGAGAAGACATCTTCTCAGCAACATAAGCGCTTTGCTCAAATCCAACCAGCACATCAGCATCACCGTGCACGAGAACCGTCGGAGGAAATTCCTTTCTCAACCCAAAGGATACCGGGAACAGCGGGCGAAACTCCTCTGGTATTACAGAAACCCCCTTGTCGACAATTTGCTCCGCTAGTCCTGGCACCCGCGTGAGGACATCGGGATACCGAGCGCCCTCATGCAGAGCTCGGATCCATCTATGCCTCTTATCTGTTACAGGCCTTGTAGGAAAGGGACACCCGTCAATCGCACGACCATCTCTGGTCGCTTCGTTGATCTCCTGCAATGCTGTGGACAGATCTCCAACGGGGGCTACCAGAGCCTGGCCAGATTTGATGTATCTCTCGCCTGCAGGATCAAGCATTCCATACACGGAAAGAAGCGCCAGTGGTCTGGGGCAGCTTGGGTGGGCTGCTGTGGCGAGTGCAAGGTATCCGCCGGCACTGGATCCGGCGATGATGAGTCGGTCGCTGATGTTTCGGCGCACCCAACTGACAGCGTCAAGCGTGTCGGAGAGAATATCCAGACCCGTTGATTCGGGCAAGAGGCGGTAGGATGGGGTAGCATAGATCCAGCCTCGGGCGTGGCAGGCGTTGATCAACCAGTGTGGTGGGAAAGTGGTTTTCTCTCCTAAAATCTGGTTGTATATGAGTCAGTCTCTCGCGAGAGATCGAGAAGTTCAGAAGATGTACCAGGAACTCCCCATGAAAATGAAGCAGCACAATTCCATCTTGCGGGGCACTTGGCGGCTTCGAGACATCGATCGAAAGGGATAAGCCGTCAACGACCTTGAAAATGTGGGTTGAAACTTGGGCGTTCGGCATCTTGACGTGCTCATGTACACACTTCGTGCGTTTTTTGCGTCAAAGGCTTATGGGATGGTGGTGTTGAATCTGTAGTGGACAAGTATAGAAGTATAGAGAGTGGGCTTGGGGGTGAATTCCGCGGTAGATCATCCCGGTAAATAATCAGCGCCCAAACTGGGGAACGGAAGCTCAGTCTTCAAACCCTCTTCGAGCTCCAGATTACCGGAACTCGTGGGTGAATCCCGTTATGAAGGTCTTGGGTAATACAGCAGCAAATTATAATAAGACGGCCCACCGCTGCTAGCACCTACTGCGATCGACGAACAGCGGATATCAACACCACGTCTCTACAACCTCATCTTGATTAAAACGAAGATGGCTATTCATCTCTACGACCTTTCGCCACTGGCCCACGCGCCATTGACTCTTGCGTGCACAATAGTCTTCCTACCGTTTTTCAGTTATGTGGTCTACATGCGATATTTCCACAGCTTGAGCAACTACCCCGGACCCCTTCTCGCCACCCTGACCAACACGTACAAGGCCTATTATGTCTACAACCTGACTCTCCACGAGAAACTGCTTGGATTGCACATGAGATATGGTCCTGTCGTTCGCATAGGGCCGAATCACCTCCATACCTGGGAAGGAGAGGCCATCGCACCGATCTACAGGGGAGGCCGGAATATGGGCAAGACCGAGTTCTATAATGCATTTACGGCGTTCAATCCGAATCTTTTTGGTGGGACGAATGAAGATGTACGTTCTTTGACTCCAACACTCTGGAAGTTCGATATGAGCTGATGAGGGGTTGCCCGTGTAGATACATTCCCTCCGCCGGAGACAACTCTCGCATGGCTTTTCGCAGGCTTCGATTACGAAGCTTGAGCCTCTCATTGAGGGCCAGTTGAAGATACTTATCAACAAGCTGCAGATGTGCGCAAAGACCGGTGAAATACTCGATCTGAAACAGGCGTTATCTCTATATGTCCTTGATATTCTTGGCGAGGTAGCATTCAGCAAGCCATTTGACGCTCAAGCAAAAGGACATGCTGAGGAACTTCATGCGATAAACGACCATTTACTCCTATCTGGCGTTATTGGTGAATTGCCCTTGCAAGATTTCTGGAAGATGCTCTCTAGAATTTCGCCCTTGCCCTGGATGCGTCGACTAATGAAGAGCCGAAACAACCTCAAGCGAGTCTGTGGCGAGTGCGTGAGATTCAAGATCAACAATCCATCTGATAGACCAGATCTTCTGAGGAGCCTTGTAGAGGCTGTTGATCCACAGAGCGGGTCTAGGCTCACAGAGCAGGAAATTAATTCAGAGGCGTTTGCCGTTCTGTAAGTGTCTTTCCAGACAAAAAATATATAAAAAAAAAGGTGGCTAACCAGCTAGCTCCTAGGGTAGCAGGATCACATTCCACATCGGGAACACTCACACTTCTCTTCTGGCATCTTGTCCAGAACCCTGAGATTATGAAACTTATGTACGAAGAAATCCACACCGTACTAGGCCCTCTGCGCGAAGACCAAATCGCATACCCAATAACAGGCCTAGAAGCCTCTCTTCGCTATACTATGGCCTGCGTCCGCGAGAACTTCAGGCTCAACCCAGTCTTTACAATGCCGCTCTGGCGGCGTGTGGGATATCCTACCGGCGTCGATATTGGCGAGCACCACATCCCCCATGATGTAAGTTCCTCTCGACCTATCCCCGAAGCCTCCTATCTAAACAACAAACTTCTCGCAGACAAGCATCTGCATCTCAAACTATGTCCTCCACCACAACCCTTCCATCTGGGGCCATGATCACAACACCTACAACCCCACCCGCTGGCTTGACGAGAAATATCACAGGGAGAACAGCCGTTTCCTGATCCCCTTTAGTATCGGGCATAGAATGTGCATTGGGAAGAATCTGGCAATGACTAACATTCTCAAGACTGTTACTACATTGCTGAGTTTATTCGAGATCGAGGCTGTGGTCGGAAAGGAAGGTGTTGCGGTCAGGAGCTCGGGGATTGGCGAGATGGAGGGCGACTTTCCGGTCAGGGTGCGGATTAGGAGGGCTTCATTGCGCTAGGATATATATATTGAGAGGGAGAGAGAGAGAGAGAGAGAGAGAGGGGAGGGAGGTGAAGGAGGGAAGTTAAAGTGTGTATGCGCCTTAGGCTGCTCGGTCATATATTGAACATCCGTTGTTCGTCTTGTCGCGTGCACACCGTTATTTATTACAGAATACTCTCGGCTTTGCTCATTACGGTAGGGCTATAGAAAAACAAGAATGTGGCATTGATAAGCAACGCGTAGCATCTATCTAAATACTAATCAACGCACCGACCGGTGAGTTCTATATTAGCCTAGATAACCGCATGCGAACCCCTCCTCCTGTATGGTTTTACTCACCAACATGGCAGGCATGCATTATCCCCAAGGTATCAGGTCAGACTATAGCTTATTCAACATAGGTTTCAAAGGAGTGGGAGGCTGGGAGTGAAGGGCTTGGGATATGATTTCGGTCGCTTGGAGCACCTCTTCATCCTGGAAGCGCCACCCCACGATTTGGATGCTGCCTGGCGCACCGTGGGCCACCAGTGGATCAACTTGATAAGTAGCTGAATTAGCAGGTGTCATGACTGAGGAAGAGGAAAGCTGATATAATATGGCAAAGACCTACAATCTTCCGCGGGTTGGTTATCCAGCTCTTTGTCCGCCTTTAAATATGGCACGACACTGGCCGGGAACTGATCTTCGTAGTTAGTGGCTATTCTCAAAATAAAAGCAAGCGGAGTGAGAGATTAAAAAAATAAAAAAAAAAAAAAACAGACGTACGTCCAACAGGTTCCAGATCAATGTCCACGCCGGTGGGCCATACTTCCCATGAGGCACGCTGGTGCTCCGAGACCCGGGGCAGATGAGAACGTCGAGGTCATTTCCCCACCAGACCTGCGCCCATTCCTCCCGAATATCCTCCTTGGTGGCATTGACTGCCCAAACCTCAGACAGATCGGGGACATGTCCCTCCGGGAACGTCTGAGCGATTGTCTCCTCGAGCGCAGGATGCAGATCCTCATTAGCGTCACGCAGAGGCTTGATGGGCGCCTGCTCAGTGTCGAGTGCGAACGAGCGACATGCGGTCATGACTGCGTTTGCAAGAGACGGAGCGTCCGAGATCATGATCAACTCGTGCCCCGCGTCGCGGAGTTTCGCGGTCGCCGAGGCCAGGATCCGGGAGACGGGTGGGTGGACGGGGAAGCTGGGGTCGTCGGACCAGACACCAATTCTGAGCTTGGGCTTGGAGGGCAGCTCGCGCCAGGGGAGCGCGTATGCCGTCGAGTCGCGGCGCCACGGCTGCGCCTGGAGCACGCTTTTGCAGAACAGGGACAGATCGCGCGCAGAGTGGGCGAGCGGGCCGAGCGAGCAGACGATGGACGGCCAGCCTTTTGGGAATAGTTCTTGTTGCTTGGCGTAGGGCAGTCGGTCTGAGGAGAGCTTCATGCCGAAGACCCCGTTGCAGAGCGACGGGGCGCGGATGGATCCGCCGATGTCACTACCCAGCCCGAGGATGGATCCTCGGAAGCTGACCAGGGCGCCTTCTCCTGAGCTGCTTCCGCCTGGGCCCAGAGAGAGGTTGTGAGGGTTCATGGTCTGGCCGAAGACCTGGCTGTACCCTTCCATAATCTAAATACTCACTGTCAGGGGGGAAACAGAAACATGGCTTGAATGGTGGACTTACGAATAGTCCTTGTGGCACCGTTGTTTTGCAGTAAAGGACAGCGCCACCCTCGAGGAGTATATCGATGACAAAGGAATTCTCATCAGCCTTCGGTTTTGTGAGATATGAGACATATCCCAAAGTCGCGAATTGCTCTTTGATCATGAACATGTCCTAAAGTATGTACATGGTGAGCATATCTACCAAGCTTAGCTATGTTACTGGGAAGTCGCACCTTGATGCTGATGGGAAGCCCATGGAAAGGTCCCATTGGCTTGCCGTTGCGCTCCAAATAGTCATCGAGAAAACGCGCTCGCGCGAGGGCCTCGTCGAAGAATATCTCCGTCAGGCAGTTAGTCTAATGTCACCAGAAACCGTGTCAGCTTTCTAACATTGGGATATCTAGGTCACAAACGCAAAAAGGGGGTCAATTACCAGCTGCTGAGCCACGGCTGCCCGCTTGCAAAACGCAGTTGTCACGGCCTGTGAGGAGACCTTCCCCGTTGCCAGTCGCTCGAGAAGGAACGTTGCGTCGTGAACTTCGGTGATCTCGCGCTGCTCCTTAGTAAGAATGTCGGTTTCCTCCAGCAATTGAAAGGCACTGACGGACGCGGTGGGAGAGACTTTGTCGGCAACGCGCTTCGGTATCTTCCATTGGGAAGGGATCGATGCTTCTCGCTGGGCTCTCTTCTCATCAATAAGCACTTGCCACTCCTGCGAGACCATGGTGTAGATAATGTGAATTATGATTGAAAATGCAAATTTGCTTATCTAGGGTTTTCTTGACGGAGGCGAAATATTGGACCATATTTATATCTTGCCTCCCAGCTCTGCTTTGAACATGTTAGCAAAAGCCTACTACACCTTGGCTCGCAAGGTCTGATATTCTCGGTCTAGCTTCTACCTAGTTTGTGGTTATACAGAAAAGACCCTTGGGACGAAGCCATCCTGTTTGAGGTAAGTATTTGGGCCACATGCAACACCGATCCTGAGCTAATCTGCGAGTTCTCCAAAACTTTTCAGACAATTACGCGAACTGGCGGCTGTCCCGGCCGATCGAAATGAGAGGAACTGCAGGGAGTTACTGCTGCATCTGGAGCTGGAGTTTGGGGGTGAATCCCGATGTGGGCAACTGCCGCGGAAATCGATTCGATCGGCCGGATTTGCGTCTCCAAGCGCTGGGCGAGCCGAGTGAGTTCCCATCATGGATCTTGGCATGGTGGTCGCGCTCCGGAGTAGCGGATATACAGCTTGTGATCATACGCCAATGAAGCAACCGTGATGTTGTAGAATCACAATCCAGTATTCAGAAAGATGATGTGAAGCTATGGTTAGGATAATAGGGGTTACCAATATAAGATCATTCACGAAACGCAAAAGTGTCATGGTGTCTTATAGCCGAATGGTAATTTCTTCGAACACAAACTGTATGACCCTTTTTTACAATTAGCTCTGCAGGCTCAGGGTAGACTCGACGTATAATAAAATCAGCTGGCTTAGACCTGAGTGTCCCTAGCTGTTGGTAAACAACAGCACATCAGAGTGAAAAGGCACAACATAATAGCGGAATCAAGATAAAAAGCAGACCACAACTTCTTCGGTGCGTCTGAGTAGTCACTCTCAAGAGCCTCAATAATAAAAGACGCTCTCTTCCACAGATTCATCGTGATAATCTCTGCAATCTCCATCATGCTGGCCATGATCATAGTCACCCTCCAAGCCCTCTTCATCACTGTAAACCGCCTCTTCAAGACCGCCATACGGTTCACCATCATAATCATACGAAGCACACGAATCCGTTTCATCGCTCAAATCCTCCTCGTCATCACCGTCGGTGGCCTCATCAGCATTCTCAGTATTTCCGGCTTCAACAGACACCCTACTCTCGTCTGTCTCACCGGCTGTGCATGTTAGCCCGTACCTACAGATGCCATCAAACTAGCTGGTCTTCGTACAGCCTTGGTCTTGGGACTCGTGACGCTCGAACGTCTGCCCATCTGGGGCGGTATACCGGTCGTAGCCTTTCCCGTCGTTGTAGTACTTGCTGCCATTGGGGTTGGAGTAGTAGTATGATCCATCACTAGTAATCAGGATAAGCTTGAAGCTCAATAAGACATGGTGTTATAGTAGGGAGCACAACCTATTAGAGTAGTGGTATCCGAGTTTTCTCTCTTCTCCATTGGAGCCAGAGCTTGGACCGTAGTCACGGGAGCAGTAGTGATTGCCCTACATGGAGTGGCCATTGATATATGGTTGAATGGAAGCAAATCGAGGTTGTTCTTACCTGGCTATTGACTCCAGATCCAGTGTAGGTGAACCCTCTGTCGGTTGGTCCTCCGTTCGCGGACGTGGTTCCACTGCAGTTGCAGTCTTTGGAGTCACACATGTTGGGAGATTGGCGAAGGGAATTCAAGGGAGATGTTTGAGGGGGGAGGGGTGGTGTAAGTATCAAGCAAGACGGAGGAATATAGAAGAAGAAAGAAATGAAAGGCGAGCGAGTGTTCAGTTTAAGCTCGCGGGAGGCTCTTGTGACTGCCTCAGGACATTCACTTCCTCAACAGGAAGTGATAAAGATTACTTACTTACCTGGGTAATCACACCCTCGGTGACGTTTACTTCCTACATCTCTCTATCACTGGGTACGTGTCTTTGGTTCTTTACCAACATAGGCTCCATACCCTTGTTTGATTGCAGACCTGTCTGAGATTGGGATACAGGGCCTTTTTCCAGTAGCCCCGGTATGATTTTCAACAGACACACTATCTACCTCATCTGTGTTAATGGGTTCATGGTAACCTCGTAAGTCCATGAGACTGAATTCTCCCAGGGCTTATATATTCTTCCTCACTTTATTATCCGTCACTAAAGGTGGTCTGAGGACATGTGTAATACTGGAATACGTCCTCAATTTCAATCTCCTTGATCCGAGGTCAACCTCGTCATGATTCAGAAGAATGGAATACAGACGTCTATAGAGCCTTGTCTGCCTGGTGATATAGAGGTTCATCAAACCACTACGATTCAAAACGTTGAAAAGGATGTGTTCAAAAGACAAACACAAGGAAACATGATGGCTTCTGCCGTCTACTTACATGGTCAATAGACCCTGGAAGACAACCGTTTAGGTTATATATTCATGGCTTCAACAAAACCTACTCCATATTAATACTGCCCAAAGCGGGATGCGATCATTATTATACAAACTTATAAAATCCTGCCGTTCGTATGGTTTCCAGCCATCTTGAGTGAGTATCTTGACTTTCCATCAAGTGAGAATGAGGAACTATATGTCGAACAATACAAGAAGATCCGTTGGTGCCTGGGGGCGGATGATTGGCAGCCTTACCGGTGGATCGGCCTGAGGAACCCAACGAGGTTATGCCCCCCGACGATCTCCCCTCACGCCGATTTTAGAGCGAACTTCAACTTCTTCTTTCTCTCTCATTGCGCCCCTGTACATCACCAAAAGGCCATGACCTCTCAGTCCCTCGACTCAAAATCAAGCTTCCCTTGAAACGCCGCCCATCTGATCCATCCCCCTCCATGTCCCCATCCGGTTACTTCCAACATCTCCGACGATGTTGAGAGGACTGCTGGTCCTCCTATTCGTCTCGATAGGGGTCTACGCAGACCATGCCCCCTACGATCGATCACCCGCCTTCGAGAACGGCACTTTAGGCCCGTGGCCGACCGAAGCATACCGGTCCGCCCCGGTCATCGGTCCAGCTCTCAACCAGCTGCAATACGACCCCCGGTGTCGCGATGGACGGTCGATTTTGTTGGCCCCGCGGGGCTCCAGTGTCCGGAGCCCAGGTCCCATGATCCTTGATCAGGATGGGCATCTCGCGTGGACGAGGAATTATGGGCTCACGGGGAAGAATACCTACAATGTGAATGTCTATCCCTTCCGGGATCAGGCGTATCTGACATTCTGGGTGGGCGATGACCGCAGTGGGAAGGGGGAATACTATTTGGTGGGTGTCCAGTCTGGGTTGTTCGCCTGAACTTCGTTACCTGAGGGGATTATGAACACGAAAAGGGGGATCTTGGCTAATCCACAACAGCTCAATTCCTCCTACCTCGAAGAATACAGAGTCCGCGGCGCCAACAACCTCACCGCGGATCGAAACGAGTTTCAAATCACCCCCGACGGAACCGCCATTCTCACGGTTGTCGATATACATGAGCTGCCTGAATTTGGCTGGATCCGCGACGGGACCTTCCACGAGGTCGAAGTCGCTACTGGATCTCCACGCTTCCAATGGCGCGCATCGGAGCACGTCGAACCGGTCGGTCCTCGCAACGACCAGACGTCCACAGAAAGTCCGCTGGATCCCTTCCACGTAAGTAGCGTCGATAAGGACACCAAGGGAAACTACCTCGTCTCCCTGCAGTCGGCCAACAGCCTCGTTTATGTCGACGGGCGCACAGGGAAGATTATCTGGACTCTTGGAGGAGGACAGGATGTCAACGACTTTGAGGATCTGTCGGAAGGCGCAGCGACAAGCTTCTTCGCTCAGAGTCACGCCCACTTTGTGGATACCAGCTCTGGCAGTTCCATCGCTCTTTTCGATAACCACGTGGACGGCAGTGCGTCCTCGAGCAGCAGGGCGCTCTACCTCGACATCGACCAGGAGAAAATGACGGTTCGGCTTCGCAAAGAGTACCATCCAAGCAAGCCCGGTCCGGTGACTCTCTCGGGAGGTTCTGTCCAGCTCCTCGAAGAGTACGACCGCGTTCTCGTCAGCTACGGCGCCGGCGCCGGCCCAGCTGGATGGACCGAACACGATGTCTCGACAGGCGAAGTGCTCTGCAACGTACACTTTGCACCCGCATTCACCTCCAGCGGTGCAGACGCCAGTATAGAAGCGCCATCGATTGCCCTGGACCGCGTCCTCCGTCACCACTGGACCGGCTATCCACTGACACGGCCCGACCTCGCACTCTCCGGCCCGGAAGCGACCGTCAGCTGGAATGGCGCGACAGAGGTAACCACATGGGTAGTCCAAGGATGGAATGCCAACAATGAGACCACCGCGCGGGCCGTCAACGGCGCGACCCTCGACGCCGGCGACAAGGAGCTCGGCTTTGTCACCGCAGTTCCCAAAACAGGCTTCGAGACCATCATCCCCATACCATTCTCCAACACCACATACCCACCCCCCGAGGAACAGCTCTACCGCTTCCGCTACCTCCGCGTCCTCGGCATCAACGCCACAGGCCACACCCTAGGCTCCACAAAACTCGTCCACTGGGACCCCCAATCCCCAGAAACCACCTTGACCCCCGGCGGAGAGCTCACCTACGCCGAGCTCGCCGAAAAGGGCGGCCGGGACCAAATCCCCACTGACCCGTCCTCATCCTCAATGAAAGCGCTCGAACGATTCGCCTTCTTCGCACTGGGTTTTCTAACCGCCTGCATCTCCGTCATCTTCATCTGGCTCCTCCTCACCCGGCGCTTCGTGCCGCTCCTCGCCTTCGCCATCTCCTTCTGCGTCGAGAGGATCTACAACCGCGCGTGCGGTGGCTGGGCCGTCGTCGACGGGTACAACGACGACGAGGACCTCACCGATGAGGAGAGTCCCGCTGACGACGCGACGCAGTTCGAGCTGCTGGGGAATCCGCGCTTGGCGTCGCTGGGCAGTTTCCGGCCGGGCGAGTTCGGGCGAGACTATTATGACAATGATGATGATAGCGATAGCGACGATGATATTGTTTGATGGGCTGAAACTAAGCCTAGAGACATTATGTGGTGGATGTAATGCTTAATTGGGCTGTATATTAGTACATATATCATTTGGTAGATACATGGATAGACGGGGATAGTGCATGATAGATAGTTGGGTGTGTATATATACTAGGGATGACTCCCGTTAATGGATAATTCTAATGGACTACTTGATCTGGGGAAGAATTGGGAGTAAATGAGTTGATCCACTAGTCCGTTTGATGCACAAAGAGTGCATGTTCAAGACTAAGGTAGCATATAACCGGCATTGAACGAAAGTAGTAGCTAGCTAATCCCAACCAGCAAGCCGGACATAACATCACCGCGTCGTCGGGCAGGCAGACGAACAGATAGACATGCCAAACAAGCGACATCGCCATCCCACCTGCCTTACAACCTCAAAAGAAAGAGGCCAATCAAGCAGAAGACGCAACCTCCAACCTCTTAAATCCACCCTGCACGGCAACCTCCTCCTGCAACTCCACCATCCGCTTCTGATCACCCGTCGGATCAGCCGAGTCCCCATCCAGCGTCCAAGACAAATACTGATTAGTATAATTCGGCTGGAACGTCTCATCCAAAATGCCCAGTCTCTTGCCGTAAGCAGTAACCTTCGTCCAGTCGCGGTTCACGTTCTTCAGATCGCGGCTGAAGTACGCGAATGAGCGCTCAAAGATCTTCCTGTTTACGGGGGTGCCCATAGCAGGTTTGACGTCGACGTACGCTTCGTACGCGGCAGCAGGCTCGGCGAGGACGTAGTCTGTAGCGCGCTTGACGGCGCGCATGAAAGCGCGCACCTGCGTCTCGTTGCGCGCGAGGAAGGCGTCGTTTGCGATGTACAGGATCGAGCAGAAGCAGCAGCAGCCGAGCTCGGCGAGCTGGTCGATGCGGAGCATTTGGACGTCTGTGCGGGGCCGGTTCTGCGTGGCCAGCCATTCGGAGAGTTCCACCATTTGCACGTTTTCGAGGCCGATGCCGGCGTCGATTGTGCCGGAGGTTATGGCGCGGGTTATGTTCATGCCGCAGCGGACGGCGGTATAGTCGGATGTGGTCATGTTGTAGTATTTGGTGAGTTCGTCGATTTGGATCTGTTACTCTTTAGATTGTTTCTTCATTTTGTCTGGTCATACCAGATGAAGGAGACTGACCTTGCCGAACTCGCCTACATAGCCGATTCTCTTTCCCTTCAGGGAGCGAAAATCCTCGGTGATTCCGCTGCCCTTGAGATACACGAGGCCGGTGAAGGGCTCGTCGAGGAGAGAGCCGATGGACGTCACGGGGAAGTTGCGCGCTTTGGCCTGTATCTCATTAGTACCAGAGCCGGCAGACTGGTGGTGGGTCTGCCTACCGCAAGGGTATGGATCATAGCTTTGAAGCCCATGTCGACCTTGCCGCTGCCGATGATCTCCGTCACGTCGGACGGGTCATTGGGCTCGAGCAAGGCGACCTTGATGCCTTCTTCTTTGAAGAATCCCTTGGCTTGCGCGAGGTACAGGGGGGCGTGGTACGGCGTCGCGTGCCTGAATATCTTAGTACCTGTCTTTGTAGGATTTACGATGGCAACAAAGTTGCCAATTGAACAAGGCAAACGAGGAAGTAGTGCCCTTTTGCATATGCATACCAGTTGGTCAAGAAAGTGATCTTATCAGTCGACATCTTGGTATTGGCACAAGGTCACACTTCACTTCAAAACAGTCAGCATGAGAGACGGGCCCCTCTCGACACCAAAAGGGGCAAAGGGGAACAATCAGAGCGACGCATGTCCTTTCGCTAGTATTATCTAGATCAAGTTGTGACAGTATAATCTCAGAACGACCGGCCGGACTCGCCCGCCCCATTCTATCCGTAGCAGGATACTAGATAGAATGGTCGATGGACGAGTCCAACGCGAGACGAACACCTGTCATGCGCGAGCAGTGACTGACTGTATTATACTAGATACGATACCTTGACCCGTGAATTCGTAGCGAAAAGACCCCAGGTCTGGGACCTTGTCTGCGCGGCCTCTTTGAGAGCCATACCGATGGTGAGCTGGGTTAATCGAAGACGAAGGAGTAAATATCGAGCAAAGAATGTTCGATGAGAGACGATAGGTAAGAGATGGGAAGATAGAAGAGGGAAATAATGAACGAGGGGAAACTTTTATAGAAGAAGAGGGGCAGGCAGCCTGAGGCCAAAGTCACATGCGGGGCACGTCTCTACAAGCACAATGACAACAATCGTGAAAATACCGCAACATCATTCTAATTAAACTCTGCTGGTCTCACCGGATACCCTGAATAGTACCCCGCAGGCCAGCCACGCGCTGCTCTCATTGGAGTGTGGACGTGACAGACAGGAAGTCGCTGGAACTCTATCCTGAAATAGCTGCATCATCGTCATCTAAAACGCTGACTGACCCACTGAGAACTCGGAGCGTTCTCCTCCACTGTCCCACACCCCCCCTCGGCTTGATTCGCTTCACCCCCGGTCGATGATCGACTTCTTGTGCAGGCCAACTGGTGGCGGTTGTTGGTTTCGCACGGGTGCGACAAACCCCTCTTTCACGAGGTCGGACACCCAAGGATGGCAAGCTGTATTTTCGGAAGGACTGGCAGAAAGGGATCTTCTCAATGTTGAATCCACCTGGAAGGGACCAAGCGGGAAAATAAAACGCTGCATGGATGATAGAGTCAACGGACGAAAGAAGAAAGTGGGACAGCGGACTGATCGACACAGCAATGCCAACAGTGAGTCATTCGCGCAACAAGAAAAGACATCACGCCAGGTTGAAGAATATGATCGTATGTATTTAGGAACTATGTTGGTAATATGTAATTTCTCCAAAAAAAAGCAACAAAGGAAACATTAGAAGAACATGGCAATGCAAAGGATGCAGAAAGAACATGGTAAAGTAAAACACAACAGTCAGCAGCAACTGGATAGAATCAATCCTCAAGTCGGATGGCTTCGGTAGATTACGCCACAAAAGCCAGGCAATCACTGGCTTCCGTTCACCGATATCCGGTCTAGCGGCGACGAGGGTCGGTCCGATGCCTTCTTGGTGCGCAGGGTGAGGGGGAAGAAGCTCTCCTCCGGGTCTTCTTCCTCGCTATTCCTGCATATGGGTTAGCACCGGGTTTTCCTAACACATCACCTCGTCGGAAGGGAACGTACGGCAATCGCCAGGCAATATAGTCCTCCGTGCTCAGGCCTTCTTTGACCTCCTGCAGCGATGCAAAATCTCCGGGGGTCATCATGCCGGAGCGGTCCCGAGGAGATCCGGGCACCGACAGAGGCCGCGAGATCTTCTGCTCGGTCCCACCGATGACATTGAAGTAGTCTTCTTCGCTGCCAAACGACGACGGGTAGGCTAGAAACGCGTTAGTCAACGAGGAGGGCACAACGTGAGGAGGGCAAGGGCATACCCCTGCGAAGAGCCAGCTGTCGGGCTTTGACGTATTCCAGCCCCATCCGCTTCCAGTCCAACAGATCACTCAACCGCTCGGTGCGGTTCCGCTGGTTGATGCGCTGGCGTCGGCTCTTCTGCGCAAAGTTGAACATGAAATCCGTCAGTTGGTTGACGGAGTCGTCCACGCCCTTGAGTCGGCGGTCGACGATGTAGATGCCGTAGTCGGAGGAGTTCTCGATCAGCTCCTCCATGTAGCACCCGAACCCGGACAGATTCGTGGTGATGCTGGGGACGCCCATGACGGTGCACTCGGCCGGGGTGTACCCCCACGGCTCGTAGTAGGACGGGAACACGCCCAGGTGCGTCCCGCGGACAAAGTCGTCGTAATCCAGCGGCAGCACGGGGTTGGAAGAATTGAGAAATTCTGGGTGGAAGACGATCTTGACGCGGTCGGACGGGTGGTTGAAGAGCTGCACCCGACGGATCTGGTTCAGGATCGGGTCCTCGGAGTCGTTGAGCATGTTGTGCGTGACGATCGGGGGCAGGCCATGTCGCTTCATGGCGAATAATCGCCGCCGCAGCAGGACGCGGTCCTGGCTGGCCATCAGGTCCTTCTCGTCGGGCATGTTGTCGCCTTCCTTCCACGCCAGACACCGCTCGTAGACACGCCGCCCAATGCCCTTCTCGATCATCTCGATCGTGTCGCGCAGCGACTTCACCACGGCCTGGCCCTTGAGCGCCTCGACCGTCAGAGAAGTCGTCTGGGCGGGCATGATAATAAAGGCCACGACGGTCGTCTTGGATCCGCTGGTCTTCAAGCGGTGGTTCAGCCGCGCCATGCCCTCAATGAACATGTCCACACCTTTGTTGCGGAACTCGTACCGGCCGGACGTGAACACGTAGAGGGTGTTCTCGAGATCAAAGTCATTATGCCCGTAGAAGTGACCGCGGACGAAATCATTGATCTTCTCCTTGGACTCCAGATGCAGGTTCTGGAACTCGTGGACCGCGGAGAATTTCTTGACATTCAGCCCGTTGGGCAGGACGCCGTCCGGCTTGCGCTTGAGCAGGTGCTCACTCTCGAACGCCGTGATGTGCGACACGGTCGTGAAGACGTCAGCGGAATGCGCTGCGGCTCGCTCAATGCAGTACCGGTGGTAGATGCCTCGTTTGCCGGCCTCGGCATCCACGTCGAAGTTCTGGAGGTTATTGTAGAAGTCAACCGACCCCGCACAGAGATAGCGCCCGAGCAGGGTCGCATGGGTGGTGAAGATGGTGGTCAGATCCATGTGTCGCCTTTTGGTCAGTGGTAGAGCCACCCCCGCCAGCCACTCGTGGAAATGAGCCACCACCGCCAGGCGGCGTTCGTGGGCGATAAACTGGAAGAAGACCCGTTAGCATGTTTCCACCCTTACTGTCCGGGGGATTGGCGCCCACATACTTCACCCAAGAACCACGCGACCAGATAGCCAAAAACGATCGCTTCATTCGTTTCTGTGTCAGCCGCCGGCGATGGAATGGCCGAGATGTTCCACAGGTCGCCCTTCCACTCGTCCAGGTATCCGTACCCCGTGCCCGTGTCGATCAGGAGCACCCGAGGCGCACCCTCAATCAGCCAGCGCCCATAGACGATGTCAATGCCGCGCTCCTTCATGGATCGGATGGTCTCCGTGATAGCGGGATTGGAGGGAGTCAGCTCCTCCACCTCCACGGCAGCCGACGCTCGGTTCAAGGGGCCGATCAGAGTGTATCTCTCGCCATACTCCGCGGTGGTGACGGGCGCCTTGGATTTGAGAACGGAATAGATGCCCCCCACGCGATTGGCTACCTCCGTCGCGATCTCGAACAGCATATGATTGCGTACATCGCGCTTGATCGGCTCGGAGCCAGACTCGTCGCTGGCCATGACGGATGGCCTGATGTGTAGGACGGGATCTGAGAGAGAGGGAGCTAGCCAGGGAGAAGGGAGAGAAGACACAACTCCAAAGAGGGGATCGGTGGAGCTATATGGATAACCAGGGAAGTGGAGAGAACGAGGAGAATAAGAAGAGAGAGAGAGGGAAAAAAAAAGAGGAGGGGGAAGAAGGAAGAAATTCCCAGAGCAAACCAGGATGCCTTGAAATTTTTCCTGCTGCGGGGATGGAGGGAGAGCAGCGGGTGGCGGAGACTAAAGCCCGGTCAATGCGGTGGTTGGTTTGGATAATCAAGAAACCGTTGAGTTCAAGACATTTTCCCCCTAGTAATATGTCGCTAATTAACTACATATCTATCTCTACAGATTATGCTCCTCTTCCTAACCTCTATCTTCCTGGCTTCTTATTCAATTGACCCAGTCCCAATGCATGGCACGGACGCCAATACGCATAGAAACATGAAAGGAAAAACAGCTAGGGAAGAAAGACTCGATCATCCTGCATTTAACCGACAAATGACAACCCTGGTCTTTGCAACATCATGCGACTAGCTGCGTATCATCTGCACGTCCATTTGCCTTTGTGCTCTCACCACGCACGTCCTCCGGTGAGATCGACCGCGGCAGACTCGCCTGTCGTATCACGCCAATTTCGACAGAAAAAAACAGATCCGGCGCAATTCAATGACCATCGACTCAAATCATAACTTGAGAAGGACACGATCAACTCCGAGATCTCCGAATTACTGTCCATGATTCGATTCCCAGCGTGGAGAACGATCTGGGGAAAGCTGTTGGACCATTACGTCATGACCCACTGCGGTGCCAATCATTTCCAGCTTCATCGTTCGGCGCGAAAAGGACCAGTGAGCTCGTACCGGTTCCTTTGACAATAGGCCGTTGGGACAAGTTGGAAGTGGGCACGAGCCTCGGTTTCTGGGTATAGCTTGACAGGGGAGCAGCAGACGCAGTCGACGACGATTTCAAGATCAGATAGTGCAGTTTCTGTCGTCCAGAGTAACGGTATCCACTTTATCAACCTTCTCACCGGTTCCGCCCGCCCATCGTCCGTCAATCCTACCCTGTCTATCCTCTTCTCTGGTAGGTTTTCCTCGTGCTCCTGCGAGGTCGTTGCCGCCACGAACATTCCCTGCCTCTTGCGACCGGTGCCATCCCGAATACCCTACCGATGAACCGAAAGTATCTGCGACGTCGAAGGTTTGAAGATCTGCATAGTAGAGCATGCGAGAAGGGTGCACGGACTGTCTCAGTGGATAGACGTTTCACAGCGATGAGCGAAAGCGAAGTAGCCTAGATGGTGAAGAGTAGAGATAGAAGGTGACAGCGTTCAAGGATATGGCGTATGCAGTATCTAAGGCGTAGTCGTCAATTAGCTATCTGGAGAGAATGAGATCCAATAGAAGAGATCAATCCCAACTACACCAGGATCACCGCCAGCCTGACAGTAGAAGGAGTACAGTTTGTGCAGAAAGGAAAGCAAACAATGGGTGAAGGATGGCATGCATATTGAATTCTGATCTCAACGAGGGACGAGAATTTTTTCCAGTCAACTGCCAACCGCAGAGAATTCTCATCCACACCTGGTGCGCAGTGAAAATGCCAGTTTATCCGATGGAGCTATACGACACCTCTGGAATAAAATGCCACTTTTCGCCCATATTCAGGTGCTAAATCTCGGATCCTTGCGACTATGGGGTCAATTTCACACTCCATGGCCAAAGGCTGGATAACCATCTTGTCGCATCAATCTCTCGTCTTCTCGACTCGGCTCATGTCCGCAACCTCCTATGGGGCAACTAGTTACTGACCATCTGTCGGAATCCCATCATTGTCGATGTCACTATTCCAGTCGGTCTATTATTCGACACAACACTGATCTTTTGCACCAAGAGCACGGAATGTCCATATCAGAGCTCACCTCATATCCCACTTCCAGTTACACATCTGCATATCAAAGAAGAAATTAGGATATTGATATATCGAAACTATGATGTCCTTCCAGACCTACCATATTTCGCGGACAATTCCGAAGATAGAGAGTCCGGTACGATATCAGCACCAGACAATCTGCTTCCACCCGCAAAATTGGGTTACGGCCAAGGTCTCCTGGAGCCTCAAATTCCTTCTATTCGAATCCCTACTGCCCGAACGTACTGCGAAGCCCTGATATTTTTGCTTTGCCGAGATCGCGGACGAACTACTTACGGAATATATTGGATGACAATGGTACATACTCGAATACGTTGAGAGAACGGATATTTTTCACGGAGAAGATTTGAGTGAGGTGTATAGACCATTCTACCAAGATTCGAAAGAAGGCAAGCCTAGAGATATGTACTCAATATTGGATGGGCTTTGCTGTGGACTTTTCCGACGTAGCTATCCCGAGGGATAGAGATCTAAAAGGGTGACTATACTGGCATGGCTGAGTAATTTGATCTAAAATTCACACTTCTTTTGTGACTGCTTGTATTTATTTGCATTGGCCAGGATCGCGGTGGCAATCAAAAAAAGCAAGTGATTATACAAAGATAAGATGTGTACGTTGCTGTGACTGGTAGCCTTCTCTTTCCGCCTTCTCTTCACCCCTCCCCCCAACTCTCTTGACTTATTGTGCCATCGGCGTTATGCGTATGAGTTGTGTTTGAATCAGTAGCGGACGAACCCGGCTTATTCTCAGGATGTTGACTCCCTCTTCACAATTCAAGGAGCCCCAAAGCAGTTAACGACAAGCCGCCATGCCATCGAGAACTTTCACCAGTGGGTCCAGCTTTTTTACAGGAGTCCAAGCCGCAAGTCTATTCATATTGATATGACTCCCTACTGGCAGGTATGAACTGTCATAATGTCTAGATACCCCCACACCAGGTACCAATGTGATATGGTAGTCGGCAATCTCCTCACGTCCCTTCTGCAGCAGCGTTCATCGCGTCTATCCAGGCAGTGTCTCTCCCATACAGTTCATAAATTGATACTGGCTCCAGGATCAGGGTGAACACTGTTAGGGATATCAGTCAGTTCAAGCCTTCCCGAAGTGCCGGTCCGCATTTTGGTGCAGTGGCTGTTGAATTTAGCTGCGGTTTGCGACCAACTCAAGCCAAAAGGACGCGTGACGCAACTGAGGCCGTACATGCAGCACACGATCTCACCTCTCAAGGGCTATTATCCAGGTTTTGGACGAAGTGGTGCAGTTTTCCGGAAAGGATCAGACTCGATGGAAGACAAAATTGGGACTTGGTTGATCTACTGTTGTTAAGGGAAATGAATTGGTAGCATTGACGGTTGCGTGTCAACAGCTAAGAGCGTGTGGAAAAGGATACCCCTCGGCTACAAAAGATATCTCGATACTTCTGAGCTCTGTGGGTACCTTTTTATACCATCTTGTATTGCGACGGAAAATACTCGGCACACAAAAGGTCTAAGCATTTTTCTATCCAGGAAATAATGATCTGTAGTATTGGCTATTACATATTAATAGCTGGGGGTCAGAACGCATTACTTTGTCTGAGGTTGTATAGAGGTGCGTCATCATCTGGTGGTGAAGATAGATCAAGATGCCCGTTCAACATATTTCCCTGCCCACTATTCTACCAACTCCACCCACGAACTTCAGTCAACTTCTTTTATCAAACTACATCATTTTTTATACTCGTAATCAAAAGCTGCTAGGGGAAACCCCACCCAACCAAGTTCAATCCCATCCTTCCATGTCAACAACCAAGGTGAGATCATGGGTCCCCACTCTGACTTCATAGTGCGGTCATTACCACCAGGATTCCAAGTCGACCGAATCATCGAACATCAACCATATAAAGCTGGATCGTTGGCCTTCACGAACTCAGATGTAAAACTCATTCTAACTAATTAACTTTCCATATTATACCCTTCCTTGACAGTGAGTGTTCAACTCTCCCCCACTTCCAAAATCCACGACAAAAAACACCACTAACACAACCGCCATCGCCAGCACACTACATACCTACATCCACCTCATCACCTCAAAACACCCTTTAAATCACTCACAATGGTCCGCGGCGCCGAATACGACAACAACGTCCCCTCAAGCGACAACCCCATCGAGAACGGCCCTAACAAGGTCCACGGCGCAGGCTCAACCGTACGTCCCCATCCAACCCCCCAAACACTCTCTCACAATCCACATACTGACTCAATTCAAAAGGACGCTGACATCAACCGCGTCCACCGCACCGCCGAACTCCCCGAAGCAGCCAAAAGCTCAGGCGGCCTACACAGCGGCGGCGGCAGCTCGGGCCCCACGCAATCAGGCAGCGGCAAGGGCGGCCACGAGCCCAAGACGCTGGGCGAGAATAAGGGGTTGGGAGCGCATAAGGCTTGATTTCTCAGTGTAAAAAGTACTATGGTTGGGTTTGTGGATTTGTCGGTGCTTTTTCTTATGATTTTTATTGTGGTTGTGAGGGGGGAGGAAGATACGGTCTGGGACTGGATAGATTAATTCGTTGATGGGTTGTATGATAGCATCATGGTTTTATGAGTTTGTATATTTCTTTTTTTACCCCTGTGAATGGAATGAAAGATGATTGTCATGTCAACGTGAACTTCAAGTTATACAATTGCCGTATTTACAAGGTTTGTGGATAGTTCTGCACCAATGGACGAATGGTTAATAGTCAAGGTAGGAGATAATTATATAGCTGTAAAGTGTCTCGGTTGAATATATAGCGCAAGCTAAATAAAACGCCGGTTTTCTATGTAATTCGATCGAAAATGTGCAAAGCCAAATCCAAAGGTCAATTATCGCTTGCCAAGCTTGCCCTTCAGCACGAGCGGTAAGTGATGGATCAGATATTATTATGTATACAATGTTTTGCGTGTCCTGTGTCTTCCCTTACGCCTTCGAGTCCTCGTTGGTCGTCTCGGTGCCGTTTTTGGTACCGTCTGGAGATGATGGGGTTGCTTCGATGGTCTTTTTCTGGACCAGTTCCAGGAGACGCTCGCCGAGATCGCCAAAGCCTTCGATGCGGTTGAGTTTCGATTGGAAGAATTCTGCGTCGTGTTGGAGTCTGTTGCCTGGTTAGTATGTCCATATAATTAGGGCTATGTTGAGCATACCGTTGCTTGCCCTTCTCCGTGTGGACGTCCGCCTCCTCGTACGCCTTGGTCCACTGGTCGCGATACGTGTTGAACACAGGGTCCATAATCATCGACACCGTCATGTCGGGAAGGTGCTTGCTGAGAACGCGGTGCAGCGTGCCCGTCTCCTTTGCTAGCGTCTCCATGTATGGACTGACGTTCGTCGACTGCGTCGCGTCCCAGTCGATCTTCCTCATCGCGTTGACGTGCACCGATGATCGCGAGCTCATGATATCTACCAGCTTCTCGTGGATCCCGGACTGGTGTTCCTGGCACAGCCGCTTGACTTTGTCGAATTCACCTAGCAAGGAGGTGGACGGCGCTTGTCGGCGGACGAACTCCCGGATGTACGGTACTAGGGCGATGACGAAGCTGAGGGACTGGGAGGATAGGGCAAGATGCTTCGTTGTGATGTTCTTGAGGCCTGCGCTTCGGGTGGCTCCGGCCCCAAGGATCAGCTGCGAGGACCGCGAGTTGAACAGTTTGAGAGACTCCAGGAGGCCGGGGGCGATGTCCTGGATCATGGTGGGGATGTTGGACATGAGGAATTGGAAATTTTCGATGCTCCTCATCATCGCCACGGCCGATTCGGTCAGGATGTACTTCTGCTCGTCGATTTCCGCGCTCCGCACCTTGTCCTTCCCGTTCACAGCCGTAACCGCTTCAACCTGATCTTTGTCCTCGGACAGCCAGATCTTCGAAATAGTACCCCAGGCTTCAATGTCCTTGGTGCTCGAGTCCAGGATGCGCCGTAAGGTGGTGTTCTCGGCTTCTCCAAAGTCTCTCGCGTCCCATCGGTCGGAATCCATCACCTGGACAAGGTGGTGCCGCTGGGACTCTCCGAAACGGTTGATGTACTCTCGAATATGGTTGCCGACCACTGTCTTCAACACCGTGCCGCTGCGCCCGGAGATCGCTTCGCATTCGTCGGCAAAGAGCCGGTTGAGGGTTAAGTATTTCAGGAAATCCTCCTTCGCTAGAGAGGCGGTCTGGTCCGACCGCACTTTCAGCACCTTGGTGATTTGTGACTGGGCAATATCGACAGCTTGACCCAGGAGACTGGACATATCCAAGACCTGCAGAATTTCATCTTGGGCAACGATGTTCGCATTGTCCGGGGTTGTCGACATAGGATCTTGGGTGGGAGACCTGACGCTCGGGGTCGATGGCCCTCCTAGCCCGCTGGCAATGTCGAGTAGGACCTTCACTTGGACACTAAGTCTCCGTAGTGACTCGCTAATCGCGGCGTACACTCGAGAGAACATTTGATACGCGTCTTCAGCATCCATTGCGCGCAGGTTGCGGGCAAGGATCGACGATTTCTCCTGCTGGTTGCGCTGCTGGGATCGTACCGTGGATACAGACACCATTGACTCGTTGTCATCGTCACTAGAGCTCGGCATCTGCTTGCGGATCAGTCCCTTCATCTCTCGCAGAACAGCACTCTTGAAGGCGGTAGCGGCTGGGGTTGTGTGGCGGGCCCGGGCCAGCCCTGTCAGAAGCATGTGGAGTCGTGATCTCAGTTGATCGTCGAATGTGATATATGCAGGCACGACGCTGACGCGTTGTACTCCACGCTGTCGCTGGAACGAGGCGCCCCAACGCTGCAGTGTTGCATTCAGGGGGACACTTGCAACGTGCCGTCGCAAATCTCCGAGAAGATCATCCAGGAAGCGGCTCTCGTATCCCGAACCGATCCGGAACCGAAGTAGCGACAGATCGTTGGATGCACCCTCCAGGGCTTTCAGTTTTCTCAAGTCGATGGCCTTCCGAGGGGTCCCCGGCGACTCGTCGCCTTCACGGGGCCGATCGGATGTAGTTTCCCCTGCCATGAGCCTTTCGACCTCCTCCAGACCATCGGCCGCTTCCTCGATCTCCCCGTTATCGACCAATTCCTCACAACGAGCCACCGACTCTACCACGTCGCGCAGCTGGGAGACCGCATTGGCGAGCAATCGCACGTTTTCCCTCCGACGGCGCAAGTTGACAATCTTCAACCCCCCGAGTGCCATCTCCCGGTCAATCTTCTGGAGGTCCTTGCGCAACATCTGGATCCGCTGAACCGAATCCGCCGCTTCCCGATGTAGCGCCTGAAGCGACCCTAATGCAGTAAAAAACGATTTGGAGGCGGTTGATATAGAAGAGATAAGGTGGATCTCCACCGTGTCCATGTACCACGAGAGTTTCTCCTGCAAGATCGCGTTTGTGGCAAGAGCTTTCCTTCCCCGGGTGACAGGTTCCACCGCAACTCCGTTTGCCGGTAGCCCATCCTTGTTTGGAGTTCTGGGAGGCGTCACGACCTCCGACTTCTCCGACATGACATCGAATGTCCTAGGGTTCTCGAGATGGAAGTCATCGTTGAAGTAAACGTTGGGAATTGTTGATAACGGCGTGACGGCGTGGGGACGGCCTCGTCCGCCGAAGGACCGTTGCCGACCCCGTACGTCGAACGGCGAGCTTGCACGGGAGTCGAGGGAAATTCCTGAAGGTCGCCGTTCCCGTGATCCAGAGATGAACGATTCGTAATCCTCAGGCTTCGGGGATGAAGCCACGCTTGCGCCTCTAGCCAGCTGCGACTCCTCGGAGCTCTCCTTGGCATGCTGGAAGACATCGTACAGCGATCCGACCTGCGACAGATACGGCTCGAACGCCTTGGAGTCCACGCGAGGAATATTCGTCAAGGTCACAGGAGGGATGTCGCGGGTACTCGGAGGTTTGTACCCGGTCGAGGGAACTGCGGTGTGGGGAACTAGGCCCGTCCGAACGATCGGAGGTTGAAGGAGGGTAGAAATGGCTATTCGCATATCAGTATACCGGGAAACCAGCGCTCGCCTTGTCCGTTGCCACAACACCTACCATTCTGACCCGACTCTGCTATCGAACCATTCCGGGTGGATGTAATATCGAGGACACCGCCAATGCTCGCGAGGGAGGCCGTTGACCCCCGTCTCAGGGGAAATCGCTGGGACGGCCGGCGTGGGGATTCAGTTTGATTGAGCGAGTGATGAGAGAACGAAGGAACGGACGCGCCCGAAGCCAGACTGTCAACAGACTTCCGGGGACTCGCAGAGGACATCACGCTTTTGCCTAATTGGCAGCTCCGACAGCCACCGTACAAGGATTTGGAGACGTTATCTCAACATGACAAGAGGACAGCTGTAGAGGATCCAATCCGGGTGGGTCGGGAGAAGAGGGGAACAGTAACCAGCCAATGGATTCCCACTACCACGAGTCTAACGGCGGGGTATTCGAACAGGAAACAAGGAAACAATAAAGAACGACAGAAAGAAGAAGCCGACAGAGGTGTTGAGAGACAGAAAGAACTGCAACGTCACCCAGAGCCAATGCGATACGGGGGGAGGAGTGAGATGTGGATTTGTCCCAATGACAGCTTGTCCCCGATCGGGTAAAGCCTCAGGCCCCAGGGCTGTCGCCTACTAGTCCCGATTGGGAAAGGTCCCTCGGGTTCTGTTTTCTTCCGATCCCGGCGGTCGCTGCTGCCTTGTCTGTGCCTGGTGTTCGCCTTGATGCCTCAGTGTTATGCCTGAGGCATAGAGAAAATCAATTAACGCGCTGCCAGACGCGTCGCGTTCGGTTCGTGTTCCCGCAAAAGTTGAATTGGGTCGAGTCTCCCTTAGTGACCACATTCAAGTCTCACTTCACCCTCCTCTCCTCCCCTCCCTCCCCGCTTCTTGCCCTCAAACCTGGTTACGTTCGTCATCATGGATAGACGTACTCCTTACTCACTCAGTGTCCTTGCACCGACCGTTGATGGGGCAGAGGACTCTCGCACACAGATTCAGGCCCGACTACGGGAGTTTGTCCTGGAATTCCAGCTGGACAATGCTTTCATCTACCGGTATGTCATGGATATGGATATGGATATATAGATATACACGAGATAGAGAGGGGGATTGAGCTAATATTTGCGCTCAGAGATCAACTCCGGCAAAATGTACTCGTCAAACAGTACTATTGCGATATCGATATCGCACATTTGATTTCTTACAATGAGGAGCTCGCCCACAAGCTCACGACAGAGCCTGCAGATATCATCCCTCTCGTAAGTAAACAGATTGCCGGGATCAGGAGGCCGATCTGACAGTGGTTATTAGTTCGAGGCGGCCCTCCAGCAATGTACCCAGCGAATCGTCTATCCCTCGCAGCGGGACATTTCCCTCCCCACCCATCAGCTCCTGCTACACTCCTCCGCCACGCATATCTCCATCCGGGACCTGAATGCGACAAATATCTCTCATCTGGTGCGCATCCCGGGTATCGTCATTGGCGCTTCGACCATCTCGTCCAAGGCGACGCTTGTCCACATCCGATGCAAGGGCTGTGACCACACCGACAACATACGAGTCGATGGGGGGTTTTCGGGGCTGACCCTCCCCCGGAGGTGCGGTCGCAACAGGGATCCCGGCGACCAGAACGAAGCGTGCCCCTTGGATCCTTATGTGATCTCTCACGAGAGGTGTCAGTTTGTCGATCAACAGGTTCTCAAGCTGCAGGAAGCTCCAGACCAGGTCCCGGTTGGTGAACTTCCTCGACATGTCCTGATCTCGGCCGACCGGTATCTGGCCAACAGGGTAGTCCCTGGGTCGCGGTGCACGGTCATGGGTATCTTCTCTATCTACCAGAAGGGCGGCAAGTCGGATAATGCCGTGGCTATTCGCAATCCGTACTTGCGGGCAGTCGGCCTAATGACGGATCTGGACCAGACCGCCAAGGGAGCCGCAATCTTTTCGGAAGAGGAAGAGCAGGAATTCTTGGAGATCAGTCGACGCCCCGATTTGTACGACGCCCTTGCTCGCAGCATCGCCCCCTCGATTTACGGGAACCTGGACATCAAGAAATCGATCGTCTGTCTGCTGATGGGCGGTTCCAAGAAGATTCTGCCGGATGGGATGAAGCTGCGTGGAGATATCAACGTGTTGCTTCTGGGTGACCCCGGTACTGCCAAGTCCCAACTGTTGAAGTTCACGGAGAAGGTTTCCCCGATCGCCATCTACACTTCGGGTAAGGGTTCGTCCGCGGCCGGTTTGACTGCATCAGTCCAGCGGGATCACACCACCCGGGAGTTCTACCTGGAAGGCGGCGCCATGGTCCTTGCGGACGGCGGTGTCGTCTGTATCGACGAGTTCGACAAGATGAGAGACGAGGACCGGGTGGCCATCCACGAAGCCATGGAACAGCAGACCATTTCCATTGCCAAGGCCGGTATCACGACCATCCTGAACTCGCGGACGTCGGTGCTGGCCGCGGCGAATCCGGTCTTTGGCCGATACGACGACCTCAAGTCGCCCGGCGAGAATATCGATTTCCAGACCACCATCCTTTCCCGTTTCGATATGATCTTCATCGTCCGCGATGACCACGAGCGTGGCCGCGACGAGCGCATCGCCCGCCACGTCATGGGCGTACATATGGGAGGCCGTGGTATGGAAGAGCAGGTTGAGGCTGAGGTCCCGGTGGATACGATGAAACGGTACATCAGCTACTGCCGAAGGTAAGACTGACTCCCTTGACAAAGCTACACCCAGAAAACTCTAACTTATCAATCCAGTCGCTGCGCCCCCCGTCTCTCTCCCGAAGCCGCCGAGAAGCTCTCGTCGCATTTCGTCTCCATCCGCAAGCAGGTCCACCGCGCGGAGCTCGACTCCAACACGCGGTCGTCGATCCCCATCACGGTGCGTCAGTTGGAAGCCATCGTCCGTATCACCGAGTCCCTGGCGAAGCTGAGCCTGTCGCCAATTGCCACGGAAGCACACGTCGACGAGGCTATCCGTCTCTTCCTGGCCTCGACCATGGATGCCGTTACGCAAGGCGAGGGTCAGGGCACCAAGGAAATGATGGAGGAGGTGAGCAAGATTGAGGACGAGCTGAAGCGCCGGCTGCCCCTCGGCTGGAGCACGAGCCTGGCGACGCTGCGGCGCGAGTTCTGCGACGGCCGCGGTTACACGGAACAGGCTCTCAATCGCTCGTTGTTGGTGCTGCAGCGCCGGGATACCGTCCGCATTCGGTCTGGTGGTTCGCAGGTGTACCGGAACGCTCCTTAAACTTTTGATTTCTTTTGTTTATCTCTTTTCCTTAAGCTTTGATGACGAAGTGATGGAACTATGCAAAATGGGACAGTCTGTCAGGGAGAATGCATCGGGGATGTTTTGTCTGTTGTTTATTGTCTACCGTCTATTATGTGGGATTTATATGGGATACATTACAGCGAGGGAATCTGGCGTTAGATGGGGGTACATTATACAAGTCGAGGTACGGATCTCTTTTCTTGAGAAGTACGACAGAGTTCTGAATAATACAGGCCATGCATTCTATGATAATACAAATTCTTCATGCGTGCGACATGCTTTCCTTCTCTGTACAGAGCCAAATGAAGTGCAAAACATGCCAACCAACATGGGTATCAAAATCCCACCATAAACACCAATAACACCCACACTCCCAACCCCAAAAACAACCCAAGAAATACCTTTTCACCCACTCCCATCCCCCAACCACGCCAACCTCACATTGACGACCTCAAACTCGCCAATATTATACGGGACTCCCTCTCCGTGCTGAAGTCCCATAATAGACACCCAGCGCGTCACAGTAGCAGCCACCTGGTCCGCGAGTTTATTGCCCGCACTCGTCCCATGCCCCTTAACCCAGTGCATTTCAACCGCGACATCCATCGCCTGGAGCTTCCGCGCCCAGCCAACAGCAAACCCCGCGACATCATGCACCGGGCCCGGTAGGGTATCCGGCCAGCGGCACAACTCCGCGAGCGCCGACTGCGAATCGCTAAACAGCAAAATCCGCTCCGGTCTGCCCGCCGCATCCATCTTCCCAATCTGCAGAGCAGCGGCCTTCAGTCCGGCGCCGACGGCAAACATCTCCGCGTCGTTGTTCTCCTTCCCGTCCACAAGCGCATACCCTTTGTATGAGTGGCCCGCTTCATGTTGGAAGTGAACGCCCGCCGCGCAGAATGTTTCGTCGCTTTTGCACCGCTGGGATCCGTCTGTCCAGTAGGCGAATGGGGAGGCGCGGTGGCTGGAGGCGAAGTCGAGACTTTCTTTTTCGGACCGGATGGTCATGGTGCCGCTGAAGCTGGTGGTGGCTTCTGTGTGAGTTGGGCGCTGGTCGCCGCTTGGTGAGCTGGCTCGCCCCTGTGTGGGGTAGTTGGGTGCTTGCTCGCTGGCTGATCGCTTGCGGCCTATGTGTTGCTGCATTCTGAGAGGGTGTGAGTGGACATTTTGGCATCGGATGTTCGGTATGATCTTTGGAGGGGGTGGAGGTAGAGGTGGAGGGTATGTAGGAGGAAATATGAATTCGATGAGGAGTGGAGGACTTGAAAGAAGTGCAGGAGGGAATGTACTTATGCACGGTGGGTGTGGGAAGAGGATATGAAACAGTGAGTACTTACTTGGTGACTGGAGTATGGCTAGGTGACTCTTTTGATATAGCTTCTCAGTGTGACAGTGTTCTCAACAGGATGGAGATTTTTTGAAGCAATGATATTGATACTCAACAGACTATGCAACACTAAAGGCTTGAGAAGATATCGATGGAGAAAAAGAAGCAGGAAATATGAAAGAGAAGGAGAGAAATAGAAAGCGAGTCTTTTATACAGCCAACTCCAGCGACGTCAATACCATTGACATGGTATAACATGGTGTATTTTCTATCATTCATCTACCATCGACTCGACTCTACTACGGCGGGAATGTATTCACTACCCCGGAGATAGCAAAAATTCCGTGTCCGAACTGATGGTAGGTCTAGCCGGGCTACAAGGCTCTTCTGCTGGATGGAGATCCGTCAGAAAAGGTCATTATGATACAAGTTTTGATGGCTTGGACAGAGTCTTTGTCTGGGGGTACTTCCTCTGAGGTATACTAAATCCTGACATCCTTTGAAAAGCGTCTACGTGATATGTTTGATATATAGGATTTTCAGATCTGCAGCTATCCGTCTACAGCAGTAGCCCTACGTAGGGGCTTCTTGGTTGCTGTATATCAGGATAGAAACCATACTTCCTTTCTCCTAATACTCATCCGTAGATGATAATATGTGCTAGAGATACTAGGTTGTTCGTGACTCATACTGTCCATGGACAATTGTATTCTTATGCATAGCCCACCTGCATTATTTATTGGGCATCTGCATGGTTCTTTATCGAGCGATTGGGATGATATTCTATCACGAACTCTTCTTACATCTGGATTATATCAATTGTCATTGTTACAGTCCCTCTATCACTCTTCTTCTTGTTATCAGTGTAGCTAATAGAGTGATATATATATTGATCTTGTTGACAGTAACGCCTTTGATAAAGTGTGGCCAGAACATGGGCGGGTGAATAACCCGAGAGCTCACTGAGTACTCACTCAGTAATCCCGAGTGAAAAATAGGTAGGGAGGAGCTACTGACTGCATTTTATGAGGACTTTCAACAAAATTATAAGTATTATATTCAGTATATATCTGACAATGACGTGTGGAATTACAATCAGTTAACATGTCAGCTAACTTGCAGGACATCTCCCACATTATCTGTATCTTAATATTTCTTGCATTCATGTAATCTTTAACAACATCTTTTATAGCTTCAGGATGATCAATTTTATCATCCTGAAGCTATTGTTCATCGGCCCTTCTATCTAAATACAAGCTGAATCGTTATTGGGACAATATCATGCTAAAGTTAGCAGGATCTAAGGTAGTATGATTCCACTACCCATGCCGCATGCATATGCTTTAAGTAGAAGGATAGAAATGATGGGCGAAAGTTTGGAAACCTGACAGAATCTCAAGGACAAACCAGAGAATTGCTCGTGGTGGCCATCGAGAACCCAACGGCGGACAACCTGCTCAAGCAGTATGGCACCTCAATCTCTAAGCACCTGCAGAATCGCAAGAATCCTGCACCAATCTCGTGGAGACAGATGATGAGATACTCAAGCAACCAGATCATGAGATGTTTAGGAACGCCATATCATTTATTGTGGTCTATGACTGGCTTAGGCTATTTACCACAATTACCAAAACAGGGAGATTGTCCGTTATCCTGGTACTTGACTATCACGAAGTACAAATACAGTCCAATTTCGCTTCATACCAAATAACCATGGGTTCACCATGGCACTTAGCCACATTGACTGGGCTATGAGATTAGTGAGTGGCATATAACAGATTACATAGACCAGCACTGTGTAAAAATTTTCGATAACTTTTTGACAGCAACAAATGAAAATATATAAGAAATACAGGTAAATTATCAACTGATTCAACCGATCTGACTTGTTTTCCTATCAAATAACCAGTATGCTGATAAATTAACCACCGATCTGGCTAGTATAGATCCAGACCCCAAGCCCTAACTCCCAACAGAGTACTACCTACCACTCATACCCTAACGCCACTACAAGAATAGATCCAGATTGTCTCACCTGTTGATATTTCTACAAATACTTGCACTTCAATCTCTGTCGCAGTCTTCTACAACTACACAAATCGACTGCAACCATTTGCGAGTTCAGCGACGATAACCGGGGTAATCCGCACCGAGTGACGTTAGTTCCCCCCCGCATCCCGTCTCATCATCCCACTTTTCTTCCTCTTCCCTCGCTTTTCTCCCTTTTCCCCACGCTCAACAACCCCTACTCATACCCAATTCAGGGTTCTCCATAAGAAAGAAAAAAGAATAAAAACCACAGCCTACAAACTTCAACCAACCTATAACCCACCATGGCCACCATCCGCGTCATCGGCTCCCTCAACGCCGACATGGTCTCCGTAACCCCGCGCTTCCCCGACCCCGGCGAAACAATCACCTCCACCTCCTACTTCACCAGCGCCGGCGGCAAAGGCGCCAACCAAGCCGTCGCCTGCGGCCGCGTCTCCCGCCCCCAATCCTCCACCTCCACCTCGTCCAAAATTCCCGTCAAAGTGGAAATGGTCGGCGCGGTAGGCGGCCTCGACGGCCACTTCAACAGCCTGCTCAAGCCCACTCTCGAGAAATCCGGCATCGACACGTCCCGCGTGCGCGTCATCCCAGACGCCTACACCGGCGTGGCCGTCATCGTCGTCGACAGCTCCGCCCACGGCGAAAACCGCATCCTGTTCTCCCCCGGCGCGAACTACACGGGGATGCAGCCGGTGCCGGACGTGTTGGGGTCGGCGCTCGCGGCGCCTGTTCCGGACGTGATCGTCATGCAGGGCGAGATCCCCGTCGACACGGTGGTGGGGATCTTGCGCGATCTGGCGGCTTATAAGAATGCGCGACGCGCGGAGGGGAAGCAGGGCGTGGAGGTCGGGCCTGACGTCATGTTTAACCCTGCTCCGGCGCCGCCGGGCGGGTTGCCGGAGGATGCATGGAAGGCGGTGGATCACCTGGTGATGAACGAGACGGAGGCGGAGCTGATGACGCCTGCGGAGGAGACGCTGGCTGCGGCTGTGCCGGGGGCGGCGGCGCTCGAGGGCAAGGAGAAGGTGGCGCGGTATTTCCACCAGTTGGGCGTGCGCTATGTGCTTGTTACGCTGGGCGCGCAGGGCGTGTGGTACAGTGCGGCGGATGCGGGGTTTGCTGGGGAGGCGGATGCGGCGGGTCGGTTCGTGAAGCAGTTGCCCGCGGCGCCGGTGAGTCGCGTGCTGGATACGACGGCGGCGGGAGATACGTTTGTGGGTGCGTATGCGGCGGAGGTGGCGAGGTGGCGTGAGGAGAGGCGTCTGGCCGGGTTGGGCGGACGGGAGCTCACGGCGGAGGAGAAGAGCGATCGGTATGGACGGTTTATGGAGATGGCGATGGGGGTGTCGGCGCGGGCGGCGGCGCGGTGCGTGGAGCGACAGGGGGCGATGGATAGCATTCCGTGGGAGGATGAAATTTGAGAAGGGGGAATATAAAAGGGAAGACGCGTTGTATAATAGATATAGATGGATTGAATGATGATTCAGTTATGGGATATCACGTACGGACATACATTGCAGGCACGAGAAACGAGGAAGTCATGTAGGGCCCATTCATGGGAAGCTGGACCATTCATGCAGAGACGCGAGGAATGAATCGGAAAGGAATGGACCAACGACCGAGTAACGGGAGCATTCCTCAACACCATCCTGGACGTTCAGATCTCGATCTCGATCTCGAACCTCATCCCGTGAAGAATCAAACCAGCTCATCAGACTGAATACGAAATCCAACACCAACCTTACCACCAGTGTCTTAACCCGAGACTTAGTACTCCAACGACAGTAAGTCAACTCAAACCAATCCAACCAATCCCCCAGACGATCCCAATGCCAACTCACCACCACCTCGCATGTCACCTCGCATGGGGTTTCAGTTCCACCGGTGGAACAACCACGCGCGTCGGGGGATCAGATAGATTCCTCTGAACGTGATGACACCAGCAGTCATAGGTAGGCAGGGGTACGAAGTAGAATGGCCCATTTTAGTAAGTTTGATGAAGCGCCTCATGGAAAGTCAATCCGTGCATTCCTCCACGTATTCAGCAGACGCTCCCCCGTGGAGTGGTGTGAAGAATGAGTAGAATGGTTAGAAGGCGCCGGGGAATCTGGAATATGTACTGGAAATGAACGGGTTGGGATCCTTGCAGATCTTCTAGCCGCCCGAGGGGGAGGATTGTGAAACCGTCATCATCTGGGGAGCTGGGTCGTGTGGAAGGGGAAGATGATGGTGTGGGACGCGTTGAAGGGGTTTTATTCTCACTCTTACTTTTCTGGGGCTGTATTCATGGGGAACTCTATGTATTCTATCTAAAGTCTTGTATGATGGGCGTGATGAAGAAGAGGTGGAAGAGGATTAGGGTTGGAGAGTCACGGGGAACTATCGTCAATAATTGACTGGAGTAAGGACCGATAACCAGATTATTTGGAATAATTATAATTATATTTTTACTATAATAATGATAATTATGGTAAGATTACAAAGTTATAATAGGTATGATATTATAAAAGAGTAACGCGACACGCCCTTGCGTGGAGCAGCATAATTAGACCGACACGAACTCGACGCGCTCGTTGAGCCCCTCACGCTGCCTTGCTTGGTCCGTCTTTATAAACTTGACCCTCTCTGGACTTGTCGGTTGGATATCTTGTCTTTCTCTTCATCTGTCAGAATTGTCTATAATAATTGTCTACTTGATCGTCTACTCTACTGTCTACTCAATTCAACTCAATTGTCTACATCGACACCCTTGATCGATCTCTCGATATCAACCTATCCAATCACACTGATAGATCAGCCCCACCAAAACAAACTCATCATGGCGCTCACCATGACTCCCATCATGCGTCAACCTTTTGCCAATCTGGAGACTCCACGCGTGCGATCCCTCATGCGTTCTCATCTGAACCGTCAGCCTGGTACATACCCTTCCTCCTTCTTCTACAAACACCCTTTAACGTGTATCCCAGCCAAGAGAGCCCCCCTGGGTGACCTCGCCCTCGACGCCGAGAATGTCGACCCGACGCGTAACGCCATCAAGCGCAAGCGCGGCGCCGACGACGACGACGACGATGTCAAACCCTCCCTGAAACCCAGCAAAACATCTCGCATTGCTCTTTCGACCATCCCGAAAACCACCACCACCACACCGACCCCCACGCCCATCACCACCCCAATCAAACCCACCTCCAAACCCATCCTCAAACCCGCCGGCCGCTCCCCCGTCAAATCCACCCCGCGATCTTCTTCCCACCGCCGCTCCAACGTCTCCAAACGCCCCGACCAGCGTTCCCGCGTCACCCGTCCCTTCTCCCTCGCCGCTGCCCTGGCGGGGCCCCAAAAGCCCGCGTCTAAGAAATCCACGCCCCCGTCCTGGACCTTTGATATCCACGTCGACACTGAACAGGAGGAGATGACCAATTTGATGCAGCACTCTACTACCGTGCTGGATATTGGCTCCGACGATTCTACTGCATCGGCGACTACCTCTGCGACTATCTCGTCCGAAGCCCGCGGGAAGGAGAACATCCCCCCCGCCGAGCTGGAGGTGGAGTCCGCGTCCGCCCCAGCCCGGGAACCCGCTCCCTCGCGAAAGGACGCGATGGAGGACGCGCGCTCTCCGTTAGGCGATCTTCCTGCTGCGGATTACTACGGCGAGGACTGCCATGCGTTTTCGTATGCTGTGGTTTATGATGAGGAGGATGAGAATCTCCCGCGGGAGACTGCGGAGAAGGAGAAGAAGAAGCACACGCGGAGCAAGCTGTCGAGCGTTTCGTCTGTCGAGTCGATTTTGGAAACTGCTCCAGAGGAGACCCTCAACGCTGATGATGAGAAAAAGGCGGATACCGCCGCGACTGGTCCCGCCGAGGCTGACTCTTGATATACACACATACACATGTTGCGACACGTGTAGAGTCATGCTTATATCAATATACCACGGACGGCGTTACTTTGGTTGATTTGGTTTCTTTTCGGCGCGGGAATCTAGTTGCATACCCTGATTTATTTCATTTGTTTTGATTTTTTTGAGGTTTGGTTTCTTTTGTCGTGCTTGACTAGCCTGTTTTCCTTGTTCTCCCGCCTCTTCTATCTTACCTACCAGCTTGATGAAGCTCGCTCGCTTACCCCCTTCCTATCTGTCTACTTCCCTTCTATCTGTCTACACGACATACTGTCTCCTCCCTTCTATCCACCCACTTGGACAACCTGTCTATCTCTTTGCCTGCTTCCTTATTCTTGATGATCGACGGTTACGAGCTTAGAATGCCTTATGGTTATGTGTCATGATGTATATACTACCTTACTTTTAGCTAATACTGTTTTAGTCTAAGGCTTGTCTTCTTCCTTGTAATCGTAACCTTACATGGTCGTGTTGAACAATTCTGGGGATGAATTGTCTACACTAGTAAACTAGAGTAACTACATATCGCTCATCTCGCTATCCTCCTCGTTACCCTCCCCTCCCATCGTAGTATCACCCTCCTGGAACTGCACCCGTCGTCCCCCTCCCCCAGCAACTGTCCCCTCTCCCTCTCCCCCTTCCGCTTCTTCCACCGCTTCCTCCTCAGCCTCCTCTTCCTCAACATACTCCCCCTCATCCTCATCTTCACCCTCATCCTCACCCCCTCTAACACCCCCACCCCTCTCCCCCCTCCCCCTAACCATCGCCCTCCAAGCCGCAGAAGACTTAATCGTACTCCTCACCTCAGTAGCAAGCATCAGATCCCTCGCACTCGCCACCCGCGGATCAAGCGAGAACCCCTCCGCCAACGCCTCCGGCGAAGCCGCATGATCCGGCAGTGTCAAGAGCTGCGCAAAGTCCGCATCGTCCGCCTCCCGCTCACCCAACAGCGCCAGGATCTTCGCCCGCATCACCATCTTCGCCTTCGCCAGCGTCCCGTTCCCGTACCACCCGTCGCTGAGAATGTCGCATTTCTCGCGGAGAAATCCGGCGCGGATCTGGTGAGATGGTGACTGCTGTTCTTCTGGAAATAGGATCCGGCGTAGGAGGGGGTCTTCGATGTCGCAGAACATCCACATTCGGCCGTCGCGTGGGAGGGGCGGCTTCGAGCGGAAGATGTGTGTGTCGGTTGGGAGGACCTCGCTGCCGGATTGCATGTCGTGGGCTGCTTCGTTCATCCGTGTTAGGGCGTGGCGGCGCCCGCCGCCTGTTGGGCCTGGTGTTGCTGCTGCTGCGGCGGCGGCGGTGGCGGCGGCGCTCGGGGTTGGGGTGGGTGTTGAGTGCGCGGCGCTGCCGCCGCCGTCGCGGGCGACGTCTGGTTCGCGGGGCAGGATGCGGAACATGAGGGTTTGGTATTTGCGGTATTCTGGGTCCGTGCGGGGGTCGTGGCCGAAGCGGACGATGGCGTCGCGCCAGGGGCCGGAGCGGAAGACGTAGCCGACGTAGGGGATTGCGTGGCGGAGGGCGTAGCGTTGCTCGACTTTGGGGAGGGCGTTGCGGAGCCCGCGTCGTGTCCAGGCGGGTCGTTGGGCGAAGAGGTCTGCGATTATTGTGATGGTTTCGCGCATCGTCGAGTCGAGCTTTTCCATTGGGGGGCAGCTGTCGCGGGGTTGGCTGGGGACAGGGTCGATGTCGTAGGGGACGAGGTGGGTGAGGACTTTTGCGGCGCGTTGCGTGTTGATTGTTGTGATGTTGCCGGATGTGTCCATGGTTTGGCGGACCGTGGGGTTTTGGCGGTATCTGTATGGTTTAGTTGGGTGTCTGGCTTTGGTGTCTGGAAAGAGATACGCACATGTACGGGAATTGAATGTCGCCGTGGCTGAACGACGGCGGGGGAATGAGGTCTGCGTTCCGACCAGCCCCTTTAGACATGTCCAGGTCGAAGTGTTTCATTTTCTCGACTGGTGAGGTTAGTATCCATCTCGATAGCAGGGGAACACCACTCACCATCAAACGAGAGGATCTCCTCGCGGAAACGGTTACTGAACGCGCTCCCGGCCGTCGAGTACACGAAATCAGGCATTCCTACTGTAGTCAGCGCGCCCGTCCCTCTAAATCCGGATACCTCTAAAACTCACCCCGAAAGACATGCGTCCGGTTCACCATCCCCACCGGCTCAACCTGATACCGGCCCACATTATCCTGCAGACTGCGCAGGAGCTGCTGCGCGGTACGCCTCTGCTGCGGCTCCGAGGGGTCATGCGTAAACGGCTCGTCAGATCCCCGCTTGCGCTTGCGGCCTGTTCGCTTTGGAACGGTCACTTTGAGGACGACGTTGTTGGAGACCGTGTTGGTTGACCTCAGCGGTCTGCACATGGCGTCCTCGGGCCGCAGGCGCAAGTATGCTGCCGTGTTGGTGTCGGAGGAGCGGAGGACCTGGGCTTTTAGTTGGGGTTCTACCTTCTGTTTGGGGATAGAGCTTACTCGTCGGATGCCGCCATTGCCTTGGAGGGTGTCGATTGCTTTGTCGATGTTTTGGACGATGGCTGGGTGTTCAATGCTGATGATAGATCGTTGGGGGATGTGGTAGAATGGAGCTGTTCTGGGTTGTTGGTCTGTCATGGTGAGATGCAGCAGTGTCACTTTTAATTATATGTTGATGCAATAGATTAAGGTGTAGTAGTGTTGTAGCACGAGCCAGTTATATATATCGGTTTGCGATGCTCGAATTGTTGATCACCATTGGAATGGTAGTAGTTGTAATTCCAAGAGTGTGCTCACTCTTTTCCATGCATAATTTGTCCTAATCAACTATCTCACCAGTGTCCTGAGTCGAAGCTTTCTTCAAGACATGCGATGAAGCAATACTGATCATGAACCGCACTCAAAAGCGCCTTCACGCGGAGTCTTGGCAACACGTGACATCCATCCCTTTCAGTCCACCCGCCAGTCCGTCGGATTACCGAATTCGGTATAGTGTTGCTGATCTATATGCGCGTCCGACTATCTCCAGCTAACACTTACTTCACTTAGTATATATCTTCGTGTTTGGGTTATCATGTGGGGCAAGCTGAATGAATCCTGCATATAGATCACAGCGAAGAACCCCTTCTCTACATCTAATGCGTGCTGACTGGCTGTATCGCGCAAGCTCGATGGAGGTGAGATTGCTCGGTATTTACTGATCTACAAGCTTACTATAGACTGTCTGGCCATCTTTACATCTCCTTAAATATGGACGGCTCCGCACTGGGATTATCGCTCAGGCTCTCCGAACTTTACCACTTCGCCATCGAGCATGGGGTCAACAGCGACAGTCGAGGAAACCTTGGCATTCCGTCCGAAGAATGACGGTCCTATTGATCAGCATCCCCCTAAAGAGAACCCTCCCAAGCAACTATGCGGTCGCTGCGCAAAACTAGACTTGGTGACGCTGCTGTCTCAGGAAACGAAGGACGTCTTCATTGGCTGTCTAGCGGAATACGACAACGCGAACTGCCCGTTTTGCGCGATTGTTTCCCAGTCAGTCGGCTTAACGTGGGGCCCTGATTGGAATATTAAAGAAGTCTGCTCAAGAGCGAATACAGCAGTCCGGCTATACATGCGCAGTAAAAGCCCTTTCTCTACCAAAACCAACGGCCGCACCCAACATCCACACCCTCGGCTCTTGCTTGCGATTGATTGGCAGCCCCCAAACATACAACGCAACAGGGCCCCGATCAAGGAGGTCGACCGGGTTAAGAATCGTTTCGTCATAGCAGAGATTGAGTCCCTGCCAGATCCGTCCAGTTGCTCTTCCCTGGGAGGGACACTTCTGCCTCGTCGAGGGATCGGGGAGCATATCGATGTCGACCTCATCAAACGATGGCTTGAGGAGTGCAAAAGGCATAAACATTCGACAAAGTCTTTCCATCAAAAATGTGACTTGATTCAATCAGAACACCTATTCCGACTTATCGATGTGGTAGAGAGTTGTTTAGTCTTGAAGGACGAGAGATGCGACTATGTCGCGCTGTCCTATGTATGGGGCCCGGTAAAGACTATCCTTGACAGCGAGCCTGGCACAGCACCCATCCTCCTCAGTACCAAAAACAATGTCAATGAGCTTGGTGTGCCCCAATCCCTGCCCCAAACGCAGGAAGCGTTACACCGAGGCGGCAGAATCCCCCGTACCGTCCGTGACGCCATGGAATTGACCCGTCAGATTGGCATGCGCTATCTCTGGGTTGACACGCTGTGTATTGTGCAGGATGATCCACAGGATGTAGATCGATTGATCGGCCGTATGGATGATATATATGACCATGCAGCCGTGACTGCCATCGCTGCAGCGGGCGCAGACGCAGACGCAGGGCTATGGGGCATAAGTCCCCGTTCAGGATACCCCATCCAGCCGGAGAGGATTGCTGTCCCTGAAGGGGGAAGCATCAGCCTCTCACTATGTCCGCCCTCACTCTGTGATGAAGTGCGGAGGTTGAAGTGGAATACTCGGGGCTGGACCTTCCAGGAACAGTGCCTATCGCAGCGTGTGCTATATTTCGCAACCAACGAGGTTTACTTTAATTGCTCAGATGTGCAGTGGAGGGAGGCTTACGACCATGGCGAGAGGGAGAGTCATTTCCGCAAAGTGGACGTTAGGACGGGGCCTCCTATATGGAACGGCCATATCAGGAACGACCCGGATCCCTCCCCGTACCGGTACCTTGGAGACGTGAATGCACGAAATCGTGTCCAGAGCTACCAGGCGGCGGTGCAGGACTATACGCGCAAGGAACTCACTAAGCCACACGATATATTAAATGCTTTTGAGGGCATCTTCAATCGCTTCAGAGAGTCTACAGACAGTTCATGCCCCACTATCTGCCAGTCCCAGGGGATCCCGTCCCGGATTCTCTACCAAAGCATCCTCTGGTTCCCATCCAACAATGCCACGAGACGTCCACATAGTAGCCCCGACAATCGTCTTTCTTCATGGTCGTGGTAAGTCATCCTAACAGACCCACTTGGGGTAGTACTAACCCGGGAAATCAGGGCCTGTTGGACCGGTCCTGTTGACTTCGTCTACGCCGAGAGCTACTGGATTTCCAGATACATATCTCACGCCATCAAAAAGAAAGCACCCCTCCACGCAGTCATCACAAGTTGGATTTTCGGGGAACCAAAGAAGGAGAGTTGGTGTTGGTCCTCTCCCGTATGGGAGGCTGCAAACCAGGGTAGCGTGCCCGGCCAGCGCATTAAGCCTGATGAAGTAGCCCGCGCCAAAGAGTATCTGAAGACTGTTCTCGGGATAGACGCTAATGCGCTTCTCTCGATCTCACGGGTAGTGGCTCCGCCTGTAACGAAACTGTCTTGTGGTACACTGGGCTTTGTTGGGGCCTGTCTGTTACCAAATGAGTTTTGCTTTGTGGATATGACGAAAGACCACAAGGTCCGACGGTTGGAATTGGGTAAACATGAAGGGGAGTTTAGATTTGACGAAGAGGTCGGAGTTGTTGATGAGCTTGTCCCGGTTGTTGCTGGTGACACTATCACTCGGTCCGGCACGTATTCAATTGTGCTGGGCCTTGCTACGAAATATGGGGTTTCGAGAAGAGTGGGTATTGGGTTCGTCTATTTTTCAAAAGACCCTGAAGTGGCTAGGCCTGCGTGGAGATACAAATTCTTCTGTCTGAGATAATCGGATCAGAGAGTGTTTATTGATATTTTTTCATATGTATATAGCTATATCGATTACTATATGATTCTAAATGCTAATAATTTTTCGGATGTTTCTACTATGTCATGGGGGCGATTCCAGTGTGAATTGACTTCAAAAGAAAGCATATCCCTAGCCAGGGTTTCAAATATGTAAGCACGACAGTAAGTTCAGGTCAGGCTTGGCTTGGAGTTTCCTATCTATACACATAATCCAGAGACTGTGACTGAGAGAACTTAATCCTCAATATATAGTGCATTGGAACTATGATCTTACCATCGTCCGTACAATTACATGTAGTATCTGTCGTAGACCGGATTACTTTCTAGACTAAAAGGTGCCGTGGGATCTTCCGTAGTCTCACGAGAACTGTCTCGAGAGTTTATACACCTAGTTGTCCCTTTTGACTATGAAGCATGGTGTTGAGTGTGTAAGTCAAAGCAACGGTCAAAGCATGATCCGTCACCTGATCAATTATATTGATCGTTCTATCCTCTGCTGAACACCTGCCTCCTCCTGAGCCTCCCCAATTTATCAATTGGCCCATCAACTTCATCGCCGGGCGATCTCTCGCAATAGCCAGTCCCAGTACCTTATCTAGCCATGGCCTCACCGGTTCCAACCGACGAAGAGTCTCCTCTTCCCTGCCCCGCCTGGATATTCTCCACCAATTCGGACATCCAGTGAGTCTTCCGCGCTCGCAAGACCCAGCCCTAGCAACGAATCACTTACAAGCCGTACTAGCATTGCCAAAGACCGCTGCTGGTTCACCGACGACTACACCCCATTCGTATCATACATCGAAGACGGAATGCTCCAAAACCTCACATCCATCGGTTTTGGATCAGTCGACATCCCCACCAAGACCGCACCAACGCGGCGGGGTCCCAACTCGCACGGCACCCTCCATCTAGACGATGTGCTGCACGTCCCAGCAGCATTCTGCAACATAATCGGAGAGCCCATTGTCGGAAGGTACATTATCGGAATGGAGTTCTCGAAGAACCGAGCTGGTTCTATCACCAGCCACCCTGATGGCCGCGCCGTTGCCTACTTCAAGCCCCTTACCCCCCACACCCCGCTGCCTGAGCTCCGGCTCACCGGACCCCCCATCGGGCCGGTTGTTGGGCGTTCGCCGTTTGATCCGTCTGAAAGACCCAACGTTCTCGCCCGTTGGCCGGAGAGTGAGCGGCAGAGGTTTGCGGTTTGGTATACCTCTGGGAAGCAGGCCGCTGGTCAGAAGGGTCCTAGAGTGAGGTTTTCTAGTCAGATAGCTTCTAGTGAGAAGACCTACAGCCAGAAGACCACTAGTGAGAAGGCTCCTCGTCGGCAGGCCTCTCCTCAGGAAGCTTCTCGTCAGGTTCAGGGCGCCGCAGTCGGGCCTCTTACAGAAGAGGAGACAGCGTGGATGAAGACACACTTTGGTAGCGAGTTCAGGTTTCTCATACTCTGCCACCTGAAGGTCTACAATGAAGAGGACCGCCAAGAAGGCCGTGTCATTCTGCGCGCCCTGATGGCCGAGGATGAACCTGAGATCAAGCCGCAGGACCCGAGCGAGCGTCGAGACCAAGTTTGAGATTAACGATTGTGGTAGAGGGAAGGGGTAAAACGGATAGGACGGTGTATTTGTTTCTGAGTTGATTTGTTCTACTTATCCTTAAGATATGCACAATGCCCGCCAGCATCGACTTCATGGTGTTATTCCAATGTGACCAATTGTGGCCAAGGCGTGACGTGCCTCGTGACCTTGTACTAATCAGTACCGCTGTTTCGTCCTCTTTACCCTTCTGATAGGATCAATAATAAGTTTTTTACAGGTATCAGCATATAAGTCTCTTCTTTCTTGTACGGAACATAGCAGCACTGTGGAAACAGATCTGGAACCAGTGGCAGTTGACGTCGCCAAGAGAACACTAACCATATAACGTTAGCTCAAACAAAAGGAGGCTTATTCATACGATGAGGTAAGCAGTTTCAGTCCGATACAGCACGTGACCTCATCGCGGATAGAAAACAAGGGAAAAGAGAAACAGGACGGAAAGGGAGAAAGGAGGATATCTGGCAGTATGGCCATTAAACAATGACTGGGAATGGGATGGTCTCGACTCCAGTTCAAACACGACGGTCCGGGAGGATGGGTAAAGATGAAGGGCCCCTTACAGGAAGTAGGAGGGTCCTGACTTTAATCAGAGCCAGGCGAATAAAAACCCCCATTTGAACACCTGGAATAATACCACGTACCCAGTAATCCACGATATAAGAAATCATCCTTCTCCCTTCCCATTTGTCTGGGCTGTCTATAGATCGGATATTTTTCGTTGATCCTAGTATGGACTTATTATGATTAACATAATTATCTGACCACGACCACTCAAAACCTTCGAATCCATCTCTCTAAACCACACGTCCGAGCGCCTTTCAGCCACACTCCAATACTAGTTGACGGTCTCTCTCTCTCTCTCCTTTCCCCCTCCTTTCTCAATCACCACTTCTTTTTTATCTCCACGGTATTAACCCCACCGAGTGGACAAACCAACCTCATCTTTCTATCCTGTCTTAAGTGATCTCTCCCCCCCTTTCTCCGGTGGATATAAATCTGGCTGGAACAATCCCCCGGAGGCTTGACCAGGAAAACCCCCCGCTTCGTCCAAGCCAACCCAGCCGCTAAGCGACACGGAAGACGATCGCCTACCGCCGACCTAGATTGAACCAACTAAATACTACTAAGGTATCGACGACCTGACCTACACTCCACTCCCCGACCACTCAGTGCACTCACGGTGTTTTCGATTGACTACTCGGGTACGAGGTACACCAACGCTCCGGTGCTTAGTACTACTAGCTGCGACTTGCTTGCTGCCACTCCCTGGACCGTCTTGGCTCAACTGCTCCTCGCGCCTAAACATCCTCCCTCAAAAGTTGACCTCCCTCCCTCCCTCTTTGTCTCCTGATCCTTTCCAGCTGGTTTTCATCCTGAGGTAAGTCTGAATACTTGTGATTAATCTCTGGTTCCCTTTCGTCGCGTTTGGTCGTCCGTTTGAACTCCACCCGTCCTCCCCCGTCGTCGGTGCCTGCGTGGTTGTTGTCGACAGCCCAAGTCCGCAGAGTCTCGCTCGCTCTCCCGCCCTCCTGCTGGTGTTGGTGCTGGCCTGCCACCCGCCTCTTTACCTACTGCTTTCCTCCCTCCTTGATACTGCCTTTCCCACCCATCAGTCTCTTTCTCCCCCCCCCTTTCTCCGATCGGTTCGGTGCTTATTCATCGGATAATCCCTCTTCAACCGATCCGATTTGACCGGAATCTGCGTCGGTGCTATTGTGGTGGAAATACTTATGTGGTCATGCCCCAGGCCCCGACATAAACAAATCGACCCGCCGTGGCTCTCCTGAACGACTCTCCGCACTTCCCAACCCCCCCAATTCCGCCGGCTCGCGTGTGGCTCCCGGCTGCACTGGCATCGAGATTCTCGTTTGAGTACATGTGACGGTCCTATTTGCCGTGACAATGAAGGGTTTTAGACAGAGAGTGGTGAGTTTGTCTGGGTTGTCCCATCCATTCCGCCTCCCCTCCCCACCACCCACCGGGCCAAAAGACCCCATGGGCCACATCTCCTCAATTATATGATCCCGCCTTTTCCCAACTAACACCGTTCCAGCATGAGCAGTTGTCGAGGGCAAAGGATGCGAATAAATCCTCGAAGAAGAAGGACGCCAACTCCCAGAACCAAGCCTCCATCGGAATTCACCATGCTCAGCAGTCCTCCTCTCCCAACCAAGGCACCCCAACCTCCTCCTCCACATCCGTGAACGATACCAGAGGGAAGTCGCCGGATAATGCTCCGCAGGCAGGGACCTTTCCAGCAGGTCAGTATTCCACCCCGCAGGGCGCCGGTGTGGCTGGCCAACCTGTGAATAATGGAGGTCCAGGCACTCCCACCAAGCAAGGTCAGCAAGTGGCCCCGAGCTTGGTCATTAGCCCCAGCGGTCCGGTGAGTTTTCTTTCCAACCCCCCTGATCCCCGTCTATCCGACGTCTGGAGGATGTGCGACCGGGTTGAATGTCGTGGTGCTCATTGCCGGTCGCTCCCGCACAGCATGCCCCTCCCCCCGGCGCCGCAGAGACGATGCCCGGTGATCTCGCTCCGCCCCGGAAGTCTCATGTCTTCGATCGCTTGCAAACGACCCCCAAAGATTTGTCGGAAGGGATCCGGACGCCCAAGCGCCAGCACTCGTCGCGTTTCGACATCTCTGACCAGCGTCAGCGGGAGCTGGAGAAACTCCCGGGGTTCCACGAGGTGCCCCCCAATCGTCGTCAGGACCTGTTCATGCAGAAGATCGATCAGTGCAATATCATCTTCGACTTCAATGACCCCACCGCGGATATGAAATCGAAGGAGATCAAGCGGCTGGCGCTCCATGAGCTCTTGGACTACGTCGCCAACAACCGTTCCGTCATCACGGAGCCCATGTACCCGCGCGTCGTCGAGATGTTCGCCAAGAACCTCTTCCGACCGATCCCCCCGCCCGTGACGCCCCAAGGCGAGGCGTTCGACCCGGAGGAGGACGAGCCGGTCTTGGAGGTCGCCTGGCCGCACATCCAGGTGGTCTACGAATTTTTCCTGCGGTTCATCGAGAGTCAGGACTTTAACACGAACATCGCGAAAGCGTACATCGATCATCACTTTGTTCTTCAGGTAGGCTTTCGGGTGGCGATGGACCGCCATAGGCTGTATCGTTAACCGTGTTGCAGTTATTGGAGCTCTTTGACTCGGAAGATCCCCGGGAACGGGATTTCCTCAAGACCACCTTGCATCGGATTTACGGAAAATTCTTAAACTTGCGCTCGTATATTCGTCGATCCATCAACAATGTCTTCTTCCAATTCACGTACGAGACCGAGCGCTTCAACGGGATTGCTGAGTTACTCGAGATTCTCGGGTCGATCATCAATGGCTTCGCCCTGCCGCTCAAGGAGGAGCACAAGCTCTTCTTGACGCGGGTATTGATTCCCCTGCACAAGGTCAAGAGTCTGAGCATGTATCATCCGCAGCTTGCCTACTGTATTGTTCAGTTCCTGGAGAAGGACTCTTCCCTAACAGAAGAGGTGAGGCTTCCGTCGTCGGAACACGCACTCTAATCCCCGCACATGTGCTGACTAGTACTAGGTGGTCATGGGCCTTCTCCGCTACTGGCCAAAGACGAACAGTACCAAGGAAGTGATGTTCTTGAATGAGGTCGAGGACATCTTCGAAGTGATGGATCCGGCAGAGTTTGCCAAGGTCCAAGAGCCCTTGTTCCAGCAACTGGCCAAATCGGTGGCCAGCCCGCACTTCCAGGTCCGTATCCGTCACCGTGACCCCTTGATATGAATCTTTTGCTGATTTTGTTAGGTCGCCGAACGTGGGCTCTACTTCTGGAACAACGAATATTTCTGCAACCTTGTTAGCGACAATGTCGAGACCATCCTGCCGATCATGTTCGCCCCGCTGTACGAGAACTCGAAGGGTCACTGGAATAGGTATGTTTCGATCCGCCCGGACTGGCTGTCCGCCACTAACAACCCCCAGAACCATCCACAGCATGGTGTTCAATGCGATGAAGATGTTCATGGAGATCAACCCCCGCCTGTTCGATGAATGTTCCCACGAATACAACGAGCGGCAAAACAGCGCCGAACATCGCGAGCGAGAGAGACAGAGCCGGTGGGAGAAGCTCGCCGCACAGGCCCAGGACAGGAAGAATGGCATTCCTGCGCCGGCCCCGGCTCCCAGCGCCTCTAGCGCGGAAATTTCGGTCCACTTGGATGATGTCGATGCCCTCACTCAAGACAGCCAGAAACGCCTTAATGCTCTGAAGCTGGACGAGCCGAGCTCCAGCAAGGATCGACGGGGGGTGCCAGCCACGGTTAGTTCCATTGCTCTCTAGTCATGCCCCGCCCGCGACCGTTCTCTTTTGCCTACAGTCTTGCTACCTCCTGTCCAAGGAGCGTGCCTTTCGTGTCTCGTTATTGTCTTTTGCTAAGATCGTGTTATTTCGGGTTGACAGCAAGCGTGATTCTAACGTTGGAACGTCCGTTTAATCCAGAGACCGCGCCGGGGCTCCGTTGATGGTGCTAGAAGGCGACGAAGTGGTAGCGGCAGCGAGATTCGAACCCGACGACGATCGGGCTCTGGATCTGCTGTGATGCTGTCACGAAGCAACTCGACTAAATAATGACGGGGTGGCAAAGCACTAGCCCAATGCATTCCCCACGGTGATGGAACATCGATTATACTGCGATGGAAGCGTCCTTGTTTTCGTGGATTGACTGACTATACGATCCGACCCCCGGTTTCATCCTGTGTTGCCTTCATCTCTCCTCCTTACACCTCTTCTTCTCCTTCCAGCCCCCCATCTTTTTTAAACTTCTCTTATTTCCCCCCCCCTTTATTATCATTTCTTTTCTGATGTGTTCATTTCATTTATGTGTACATGGCTTTTGATATTCTTCTCTCCGCGCGCGGCGCTGTTTTTCAGTCCGCAATTTTTTTGAGCGGACGCTTGAGTTTGGACTATTAGAACTGTGTTCGGGTCTGGAAAACGGGTGCGAATGGCGTTTCCCTTCATCGACATTGATGTCGATACTTTTTTCTCTGTCTCCATTTTCTTGTCCTTCTAATTTTTTTTCTTTTTTTTTTTTTTTTCTTCTGAGACCATGGCATACCCGTGTCTTCTTCCACCCTTCCACATAGACAATGACATGATTTAATGCCTCGGCTTTTTGGCACCTATTTTTTTTCTGGAAGGGGAGAGGGGAACCACGTGCCCTCAAGCGACCGAACCCCTGTCGATGACCCCAGGTCCGGAAATCCAGACCCCGCATAGGTCGAGTAGACGCGGTGTAGGGTTATAGACGCGCGCCAGTCGGTCAGGATCAATTAAAGACCGCACCTTCCTAATACGGCCTAGTGTAATGTTCGGGGTCTCTGCGATACCCGCGTTTCTGCCCTGTTGCTTTTGCTCGGGTTCGATTTGTAGGCGTTCAATTTGCGCGCAGTCAGTCCCATCTCCGTCCTTGACTTGCTCCCTCTCCACTCATCTCGAAGGCAGCTTCTCTTCTCTTCGCTCCTTACCCGTTGTCCTTCGACTTTTACATCTTCTCTTCTTTTCCTATACCCATTCCGTTCCAGCGAGGGAGTTTAATGTCTTGAAAACAACCCCGGCTTTAACATATCCTTTCCCTGCCTGATGCAGTATCCTCCGCTCGCCGGGTGAATAAAGAATCATTGCCTCCCCCCTTCCCTCCGCCGTTACCTGTCCCGCATGCGCACGCTATTTACGGAACATACTGTGCTGGCTTTCGACCTCGGCCGGCCGTGTGGCCTGGCAGTTTAATTGAATCTACAATAGCGGGTTGAGGAGCTCCCCCCGGAGGGGTTTCTTAACTATGGAGCGCAATATCGATATCTATGCTAGCAAGCTGGGGGACGAGCAGCTTGGTATGTTGGTCGCTGCGCCCTGCGCTCGATTGGTTCCTAGAGAGCTTCTGCTTTCCAGCTGATGTTGCGCTGCTGGTGTGATGTGGTCCTTGCTGACTTTGTGACTCAGATATCAAGATTAGGGCCAATGTCGCTGTCGAATTACGGGATAATATCGAGCCTTTATGCTCTGGTGCGAGCTATCCGATATTCCTCTCGAAGTTATGGCCGGTTTTCAAGAACATCTTGCGGGGTGAGCCCGTGTTCATCACGATGTCTGTTGAGCAGGTGCGTATTGTGTTGGGATCCGATCCGTTGATCGGTGATGGTGATGGGTTGGTTGGTTCAATGAATGGCAGCTGATACCTTCGTCTCGCCGGCAGAAATTCCGCAACTGCATTCTCGAGACACTGCACCGATTGCCCGTTGCTTCTCCCGATGTGGAGCCCTACGCCGCGGATATGGTTGATTTGTTGATGGATCTGGTCCGCATTGAGAACGAAGAGAATGCTGTTCTCTGTATGAAGACCATCATGGATGTGGAGCGCAACCAACCCAAGGCGACTGGTCATCAAGTGCAACCTTTCCTAGAGCTCATCCAGGAGATGTTCCAGACCATGGAGCAGGTTGTCCGCGATACCTTTGATACCCCCACCCAGTCCACGCCCGCTGGAATGCCGTCCACCCCGAGCGCCATAGCACAGACCTTCCAGTCCCCGCGACCCAGCTCCCCCGCCACGTCTGTATCGGACTTGGGACCGGACCAGCATGCCAGCAATGTCCTGCTCAAGGGCATGCAGTCGTTCAAGGTGTTGGCAGAATGCCCGATCATCGTCGTGTCCATCTTCCAAACGCACCGCAACTCTGTTTCTGCCAATGTCAAGCTTTTCGTGCCTCTTATTAAGAGTATATTGCTTCTCCAAGCCAAGCCACAGGAGAAAGCGCATGCTGAAGCCGCCGCCCAGGGGAAGATCTTTACGGGTGTGTGTCGGGAAATCAAGAACCGTCCCGCGTTTGGGGAGTTCATCACAGCGCAAGTGAAGACCATGAGCTTTCTGGCCTACCTGTTGCGGGTGTATGCGCAGCAGCTGCAGGATTTCCTTCCTACGCTGCCTTCGGTCGTGGTTCGTCTTCTCCAAGACTGCCCCCGGGAGAAGTCCAGCGCCCGCAAGGAACTCCTCGTTGCCATTCGTCATATTATCAACTTTAACTACCGAAAGATCTTCCTGGAGAAGATCGACGAGCTTCTTGACGAGCGGACCTTAATTGGCGACGGCCTCACAGTCTACGAAACGATGAGGCCTCTAGCATATAGCATGCTGGCGGATCTCATCCACCATGTCCGAGACCACTTGACGCGCGACCAGATCCGGCGGACGGTCGAGGTGTATACGAAGAACCTACATGATGATTTCCCCGGCACGAGCTTCCAAACAATGAGCGCGAAGCTACTGTTGAACATGGCCGAGAAGATTTCCAGGCTGGACGATAAGCGCGAGGCTCGCTACTTCTTGATCATGATCCTGGATGCCATCGGTGACAAGTTTGCATCTATGAACCACCAATTCAACAACGCTGTAAAGGTTTCAAAGATGTACAAAGAGACGAAGAAGGATATCGAGCCTTGTCCGGAGAGATATCTGGCCGACAAGGACCATCCCCCGGATTGGGATGAGATTGATATTTTCTCCGCCTCACCCATCAAGACATCGAACCCTCGTGATCGTGGCGGCGATCCGGTATCCGACAACATCTTCTTGTTCAGGAACCTCATCAATGGCCTGAAGAACATCTTCCACCAGCTCAAGAACTGCAACCCCGATAATATCCAGATCGACCCGAATAGTGTCCCGATCAACTGGGCGGAGGTTTCCTACGGCTACAACGCCGAGGAAGTGCGTGTCATCAAGAAGCTATTCCATGAAGGTGCCCGCGTGTTCAAGTACTACGGCGTGGACCAATCGCCGCCAGACGTGAATTACTCTTCTCCTTTTGATTTCCTTGCCAGCCAATACACGGCTCCAATGTCACGGGAGGAGAAAGAGCTTCTGGAAAGCTTTGGAACTGTCTTCCACTGCATTGACACCGCGACCTTTTACGAGGTCTTCCATTCGGAGATCCCGTATCTGCATGAGCTCATGTTCGATCACGGGGCGTTGCTCCATCTACCGCAGTTCTTCCTCGCCAGCGAAGCTACATCCCCGGCATTTTCTGGAATGGTGCTCCAGTACCTGATGGAACGTATCCATGAAGTCGGAACCGCGGACATGACAAGGGCGAAGATTTTGCTGAGGATGTTCAAGCTGTCGTTCATGGCCGTGACACTCTTCTCCGCACAGAATGAACAAGTTCTGCATCCTCATGTCACCAAGATCGTCACCAAGTGTATTGAGCTTTCGGTGACCGCCGAGGAACCTATGAATTACTTCCTGCTTCTGCGCTCGCTCTTCCGCAGCATTGGCGGCGGCCGCTTTGAGCTCCTGTACAAGGAGATCTTGCCGCTGCTGGAGATGCTCCTTGAGACATTCAATAACCTTCTTCTTGCTGCTCGGAAACCTCAAGAGCGGGATCTCTACGTCGAGCTTACCCTTACTGTGCCTGCCCGCCTCAGCCATCTGCTACCTCACCTGAGCTATCTTATGCGTCCAATTGTCGTGGCGCTACGGGCAGATTCAGACCTCGTCGGACAAGGTCTGAGAACTCTTGAGCTCTGTGTGGACAATCTCACGGCCGACTATCTCGACCCAATTATGGCGCCTATAATGGATGAATTAATGACAGCGCTTTGGGATCACTTGCGGCCCCACCCTTATAATCATTTCCATGCGCACACGACGATGAGGATCTTGGGTAAACTTGGCGGGCGCAACAGGAAATTCCTCAATCACCCTCCTGAGTTATCCTTTGAGCAATACACGGATGATGCTCCAAGCTTTGACATGAAGCTTATTGGTCCCAGTGAAAAGCGGCCTTTCCCTATTGCAGTTGGCATTGATCTTGCTATTGCCAAGTTGATGGAGAATCCCAGGACTGCTTCAACAAAGGCGCCCCAAGATCCGGACAAGCCGTCCAACTTGTACTACAAACAGCAGGCCTTCCGCATGGTTTCCTCGCAGCTGAAGCTCTACATTGGCTATGAAACCATTCCTGAGGATCTGGCTTCGCTCATTCGTCTCGGCGCCAATGATTTGTTCGAGAACAAAACCACCGGCATGCCCGACATCATGGAAAGGTCCGAGAGGTCCAGTTCGATTCCGAAGAAGCTGGCGCAGGAAGGCTCCCTGAAGAAGCTCCTAAAGGCTTGCATATTTGCCACCACTGTCCCTGAACTCGAGCAGACCGCGACAGCTTTTGTGGCTGATGTTTGCAAGCATTTTGCTATCGTTGAAGTTGGACGGGCCTTGGCTCAAGTCCGACACAGCCGAAAACCTTTCGATGTGTCTAGCGGCGAGGGTCCTGTGTACCTCGACTCCCGACTGCTTGCTGATGCGCTGGTCGAGTCGCTGTCTTCTGACTCCCCCTGCGTCCGTGAGAGTGGTCAAGCGGCCATGCAGGTCATGAAGGATGCCGCTGTCGTCATTTTCGGGTCGTCAGATCGCGCGTCAAAGCTTCCCTTCTTCCAGCATCTTGGTCGCATTTTCTGCCACAGTTGCTATAGCGAAGAGTGGTTCACCAAGGCAGGAGGTAGTCTCGGTATCCATCTGTTCGCGACCGACCTTGACCTCGGCGATACCTGGATCTTTGAGAAGCAGCTCGAGTTCGTTCGCGCGCTGATGCACGTCATCAAGGATACCCCACCCGACCTTCCAGCCAGCACGAGGATCAGGGCCCAAGAGACCCTGGAACTGATCTTGAAGCGGTGCTGCAAGAACGCCTCCAAAGATGACCTCAAGAATGAGAAGGGTCGTCTCTACTCCCTTTGCGGCTCCTTCGTATTTGATCTAAGTCACATGAACAAGTATGTTAGGGAGGCCTCTCGCCTGAGCTTTTCGACTATGGCAGAAGTCCTCGGATGCCAAGTCCACGAGCTTATCTTCCCTGTTAAAGATCGTCTGCTGCAATCCATCTTCAACAAACCCCTTCGAGCTCTGCCGTTTGCCACGCAAATCGGCTTCATCGATGCCATTACATTCTGCCTGAGTCTCCATAATAATATCTTGACCTTTAACGACCCCCTTAACCGCCTAATGCTGGAGTCCCTGGCACTTGCCGATGCGGACGATGAGTCCCTTGCGCCAAAGCCGAATGAGTTTAAGAACGCCGAGATGATCGTGAACTTGCGTGTTGCTTGTCTCCGCCTTCTGTCGATGGCAATGAGCTTCCAGGAGTTCGCCAACCCCGCGCAGAACAGCAGTCGTGCTCGGATCATATCTGTCTTCTTCAAATCTCTCTATTCGCGATCGCCGGAGGTGATTGAAGCTGCCAATGCTGGTCTACGGGATGTCTTGACGCAGACGAACAAACTCCCGAAGGATCTGCTGCAGAATGGTCTACGTCCTATCCTTATGAACCTTCAAGATCCGAAGCGGCTGAGCGTTGCAGGCCTTGATGGTCTTGCCCGGCTTTTGACGCTTTTGACGAATTATTTCAAGGTTGAAATTGGTGCGCGTCTTCTGGACCACATGAAGGTTATCGCGGATGATTCGATTCTGCAAAAGGTGTCATTCAGTCTAGTTGAGCAGAGCCCGCCCATGAAGATTGTTGCGGCCATCTTCAACATTTTCCATCTTCTCCCGCCAGCTGCGACGTCTTTCATGGAACATCTTGTCAACAAAGTTTTGGAATTGGAAGAAACACTTCGGAGAACGTCCCACAGTCCTTTCCGAAAGCCGCTTGTCAAGTATCTGAACCGTTACCCGAAGGAAAGCCTGGCGTTCTTCCTGGCTCGCTTCAAAGAGGAGCGTTTCGGCCGCTTCTTTGGGCAGATTCTGGACGACCCGGAAAGCGAAGGTCTCCGTGCGGCGGTTGTTGCAGACACGGATGCATTGACATCAGCTGCTTTTGGACAGGACGTTGGTGAGGCCAAGAACACCGCAGCCATCAATGGGATCTATGTGGTTCACTCCATATGCTCACATCAGCACACGAAACGCTGGCTGGTGTCGCATGCCGACCTGAGAGCGAAACTTCTCACCTTCGGACGTGATCTGGAGAGAAAACTGCGCAACGACAAGCTTCCCGCTAGCGAACGCTTGAGGGTCGAACAAGCAGAGGACAAGTTGATGGAAATCTTCACGACCTACCTATCGGAGTCGGTACAGGATCTCGATTTCCTTTTCGAGGTCATGGATGGTCTTTCTGCAGATGAACTGAAAAACACCCTTGCCTTCCCACGATTTATCTACAGCCATATCATCACCAACGAGTCCATCGACTACCGGCGTTCGGTGATCATGAGATGCCTTGATCTCTACGGCCAACGCTCGTGTTCGCAGAAGATGAAGACATTCGCCTTCCGGAACCTTGTCAATCCCATTTTCGCCATGGATGTGCAGGCAAATTGGAACAGTCCCGCAAACAGCCCCAAGTTGATGGACAAGAGCATGACCGAGTTCATCCAGAGCCGTCTGTGGAAGCCTCAGCTGTCGGATCTGAGCGAGGAGTCTAGCCAGGCTGGTGTTGACCATTCTCGGATGGAGCTGCTTCAATTGTCGGCCTTATTGATAAAGTACCACTCTCAAACAGTACAGGACTCGCGCAAAGACATCATCAAGTTTGCCTGGAACTACATCCGTCTGGAGGACATCATTAATAAATACGGCGCCTACGTTCTCATCAGCTACTTTATCGCGCACTACGAGACTCCTTTCAAGATCGTGGTTCAGGTCTATGTTGCTCTTTTGAAAGCCCACCAAAATGAAGGCAAAGCCCTTGTTACCCAGGCTTTGGATGTGCTCGCCCCTGTTCTCCCTAATAGGATTGTGTCTTTGAACACCCAGGCACCGGATGTACGATATCCATTGTGGGCCAAGTGGCCGCGTCGCATCCTGGCGGAGGAGACCGCCAACCTGCAGCAAGTCATGAGCATTTTCCAGTTCCTTGTGCGACAACCCGACCTGTTTTACGAGTCCCGCGAGCATTTTGTGCCGCTCATTGTGCCGTCTCTGATCAAGATTGCCTCTCCGCCCAATTCGTCCAACGATAGCAAGAAGCTTGCGCTGAACCTTATCAACCTCATCTGGCACTGGGAAGAGAAACGAGTGCTGCAGAGCCAGCCACCGGTATCCAATGGCGTGCTTGACTCGCCGAATGCCAAGAAGCGCAAAATTGACGAGCAAGGCACTGCCTCTGCCTCTCCCATGGGAGCTACGACACCCCATTCTGCTCGCGACCGGGGTGACTATGTGGTTCCTGCTGACCTCCGGGCCGCATTGACTAAATATCTCATTACCTTCATCACGACCATCCAGGAGCGGTTCATTGTTCCCGCGGCCCGATATAGAGAAATGTCCTCGGGCAAGACTCAGCCGTTGGTACAAACAGGTGATATGATCAAGAAGGCGGTTTATCTACTCAGAAACCTCCTTTCTCCGGAGTACTGGGGTGATCTTGATATCGATCTGTATCAGAAGGTCATGGAGCCTATCCTTGCTGGTGAGAAGGCGGATAAGCCGGACGATAAGCATACCACGAGTATGATCAATGCGCTGCAAGTTCTGCGAGTTTTGTTAGCAGACAAGCCGGATGACTGGATCGTGGCACGTGTGCCTGTTATTCAGAAGCTTTTCGAGAAGCCGTTACGATCTGATAACCCGGAGATCCAGGATTCGCTGCATGGACTAGAGGAAGAGATGGATATTACTCCGAAGTTAATTCCGCCAATCAAGCGTGTTCTGAATGCACTTCCGGACGATCAACCGGAAGATGAAGACGCAATGGACATTGAGCACTCTCCGTCGGAATTTGTTGCTTACCTGTCCGCCATTGCGACTGAGACTCTCTCTGCCAACAACTATATCTCGAGCTTGAACATTCTCTGGTCACTATCTAAGAGCAAGCCGGCTGAAATGGATGGTCACATCCCTCAGGTCATGAAGGCTTTCTCCCAGAAACTGGCGAAGGAGCATGTGGCTGCGTCCACCCAGAATGGGGGTCAATTGACTCCCGGGGGCAGACCCGCAGAAGGTGTCCCCGACCAACAAGAGTTCGAGTTGGGTGTCGACCTAATCTTCAAGACCATCGAGTTGATTTCTGTCCGCATGTCTCACCTCGGCGAGCAACGACGTCCATTCCTCAGTGTCCTTGCTCAGCTGGTGGAGCGTTCGCAGAACATCAAGCTTTGCAGCAAGATCTTGGGCATGGTTGAAGAGTGGATTTTCCATTCTACCGAGTCCTGGCCCACTTTGAAAGAGAAGACGGCAGTCTTGCACAAGATGCTGCTTTTCGAGACACGCACCGATAAGACTATGTTGAAGAAGTTCCTCAACCTGGTTATCCGAATCTACGAGGACTCGAAGATTACGAGGACGGAGCTCACTGTACGACTGGAGCACGCGTTCTTGATCGGTACAAGGGCACAGGATGTCGAAATGCGCAACCGCTTCATGAATATTTTCGACCGGAGCTTGACCCGTCTCGCCAGCTCTCGGCTAAGCTATGTGTTGACCTGTCAGAACTGGGACACTCTTGCAGACTCTTTTTGGCTGGCGCAGGCGTCGCATCTGCTTCTGGGGTGCGTTGACATGACTGGATCGGCCAGGCTGCATCCTGACGACTTCACTCTGTCTCCGCTCTCGTTCCTCTACAGTAATGCGGAGAAGGACTCGAGAAAGGCAGATGTCATGGTCGATACGCAGCTGGAAACCTTCATCACTGATCGCAAGCGGTTCGTCGCGGACATTGGTGATGTTAAGGTTCGCGATCTCATGGAGCCACTGTGCCAGTTGCAGCATACCGATCCCAACGTCAGTTATGCCTTGTGGACGAGTCTATTCCCCATGTTCTGGTCGATTTTATCCCGGGAAGATCGTATCGATCTGGAGAAGGGGATGGTCACACTTCTCACGCGCGAGTATCATCAACGACAGCTGGACAAGCGACCGAATGTTATCCAAGCTCTACTCGAAGGCGTTGTGCGCTCCAAGCCACGTTTCAAGGTCCCTCCGCATGTCATGAAGTATCTCACCCGCACCTACGATGCGTGGTACACGGCCGCCATTTACTTGGAGGACTCCGCCATCAGCCCATTGATCGACACGCCCACAGTCCGCGAGAGCAACCTTGACGCATTAGTTGAGATTTACGCAGGATTACAAGAAGAAGATTTCTTTTACGGCACTTGGCGGCGTCGGTGCAAGTTCGTTGAGACCAACGCCGCACTTTCCTATGAACAGCAGGGAATGTGGGACAAGGGACAACAGCTGTACGAAAATGCCCAGATAAAAGCTCGCTCTGGGGCGATGCCGTTCTCGCAAGGCGAATACTTCTTGTGGGAGGACCACTGGCTTATCTGCGGGCAGAAGCTTCAGCAGTGGGAGATTCTCAGCGATTTCGCCAAGCATGAAAACTTGAATGATCTACTTCTGGAGGCTGCGTGGAGGAACATTGAGAATTGGCAGAGTGAGGGCAACCGGGAGCAGCTCGAGTCTCTGATCAAGTCCGTGTCCGATGCGCCTACCCCCCGACGGACTTTCTTCCAGGCGTTCATGGCCCTTCTTCAGTGCCATATGAAGAAGGAAAACAGCACCCAAGAATTCAACGGCGTCTGCGATGAGTCGATTCAGTTGTCCATTAGAAAGTGGCTGCAGCTGCCTAAGAGGATCACGAATGCGCACATCCCCATCTTGGAGCACTTCCAGCTTCTGGTGGAGCTTCATGATGCCAGCCACATCTGCGTCAGTCTGTCGCAGACCAACGAACGCAATCTGGATACGAAATCTGCTGAGCTGAAGCTGCTACTGGGCACGTGGCGAGATCGTCTCCCCAACCTGTGGGACGACATCAATGCCTGGCAGGACCTTGTCACTTGGCGCCAGCACATTTTCCAGCTTATCAACGCGACCTATCTGGGCTTGTTACCTCCCCAGACCAACAACGTGGCCAGCAATTCCTATGCCTACCGGGGTTACCATGAGACGGCGTGGATTATCAACCGCTTTGCCCACGTCGCACGGAAGCACCAGATGCCCGAAGTGTGCATCAATCAGCTGAGCCGCATTTATACGCTGCCGAATATCGAAATTCAGGAAGCTTTCCTGAAGTTGCGGGAGCAGGCCAAGTGCCACTACCAGAATCCCAAGGAACTCAATAGCGGGCTGGACGTGATCAACAACACGAACCTCAACTACTTCGGTGCCCAGCAGAAGGCGGAGTTCTACACGTTGAAGGGCATGTTCCTTGCCAAGCTCAACCATGTCAATGAGGCGAACGAAGCGTTCGGTGTCGCGTTGTACTATGACTTGAGGCTCGGCAAGGCCTGGTATGAGTGGGGACAGTACAGCGATCAGCGGTTCAAGGCTGACCCAAGTGACCTGGAACTCGCCAGCAATGCCGTGAGCTGCTACCTGGAAGCTGCCCCGCTGTACAAGGGAGCAAAGACAAGGAAGCTGCTCAGTCGGATCCTGTGGCTCCTTAGCTTGGACAACGAAGAAGGACAGATTGCTGCTGCCTTTGAGAAGTTCAAGGGTGACACCCCGGTGTGGTATTGGATTACGTTCATCCCACAATTGTTGACGAGTTTGTCGCATCGGGAGGCCCGCCTTTGCAAGGCCATCTTGGTGAAGATCGCCAAGTTATACCCACAAGCGCTCTTCTTTTTACTCCGCACCAACAGGGAGGACATGTTGAACATCAAGAAACAGCATGATCAGAAGCAGGAGAAGCTGAACCGTGCTAGGCAACAGCAGCAGTTGGCGTCACCGCATACCAAGTCTTCGCCCTCTGTCACGGATGGGTCTCCTCAGCAGCCTGCTGCAGTCAAGAATCCCAATACTTCTACTCCCGTGCCGGGCCAGAGCGGTCTGGTCAACGGCCAGCAGAATCCAACTCCGCAGCCTCAGGGGTTGCCACAGGGTCAGAGTCCACAGCTCAACATGCCCGGACAGGCGCAGTCCTCTCCTGCCCAGGGTCAATCCCAACCGCCGGGTTCTACGCCCATCCAAGGCCAGACTCCCACCCTTGGCCAGGGGCAAATTCCGCCACCTCAAGGTCAGCAACCAGGCAACCTCCAGGTACCCGGGCAGGTTCCCGTCCCCAATGGCACCCCCCAGACACAGAATGCTGGAGCCGAGCCGGAACGGGAGCCACTCAAGAAACCCTGGGAATACTCGGACGAGATCATGTCTGGACTCAAAACAGCCTTCCCGCTGCTCGCGCTTTCAATGGAGACTATGGTCGATCAAATCCACAAGAACTTCAAGTGCCCACCGGACGAGGACGCCTACCGCCTTATCGTCGCTCTGCTGAACGACGGTCTGGCGTATGTTGGTCGCATGCCAGGGTCGTATGCACAGGACTTCAAGCTACCAGCTGCCACGGAGGCGAACATCACGCGCTTCGCTGAGACCATCCTCCCTGCGCACATTCGCAAGTCCTTCGAAGCGGACTTCGTCGTCAAGAAACCCACCATGCACGAGTACATCCAGAAGCTGCGCCGCTGGCGTGACAAGTTCGAGGAGAAACTCGACCGCCGGCCCCAGACTCAGTTCCTTGAAACATACTCTCCTCATCTCACTGAGTTCCGATTCCTGAAGTTCGAGGAGGTGGAGGTCCCCGGACAGTATCTCCTGCACAAGGACAAGAACCAGGACTTTGTCCGTATTGATCGGTTCCTGCCTGATATCGATCTGGTGCGTGGGATCGGCGTGTGTCACCGTCGCTTGAAGATCCGTGGCCACGATGGTAGTGTGCATCCGTTTGCCGTCCAACACCCGGCGGCTCGACACTGCCGACGCGAAGAGCGGATTCTGCAGTTGTTCCGTATCTTCAACGGTCTTCTGGCCAAGCGCAAGGAGAGCCGCCGTCGCAATCTGTACTTCCATCTACCTCTCATGGTGCCGCTGGCTCCCCATATTCGCTTGGTGCGCGACGACCCGTCCTACATTTCCATGCAGGGTATCTTTGAAGACTACTGCAGACGGGTTGGCATGAACAAGGACGAGCCTGTGCTCTTCACTATGGACAAGATGCGGTCGTTGGCCGAGACGAAACACAATGTAAGCCGACCCTACCCTGCCACTTCCCGAATCATTACTGACCCTTCCCAGCGGTCTCCGGAGCAGCAGCAGGTCCTCCGCACCGAAATTCTCACTGCCATCCAGGAGAAGTGGGTGCCGAGCACAGTTGTGCTGGACTACTTCCAGAAGACGTACCCCAACTTCTCGGACTTCTGGCTGTTCCGCCGGCAGTTTGCCTACCAGTATGCCGCCATCGCGTTTATGACGTACGTGATGCACATGGGCAACCGGTATCCGAACAAGATCATGGTGTCGCGATCGACGGGCGATATCTGGGGCACCGAACTGATCCCGGCCATCAACCCGGCCAAGGCCTTCTTCTACAACCCCGAGCAGGTGCCCTTCCGCTTCACGCCCAACATTCAGACGTTGATGGGACCAATCGCCACAGAGGGTCTCTTCGCGTGCGCCCTGATGGCTATCGCGCGGTGCCTCACCGAACCGCGCCAAGAGCTCGAGCAACAACTGAGCATCTTCGTTCGGGACGAAATGATGTTCTGGGCGACGGCCCAACACCGCGGTACCCTTCCAGTGGCACAGCTGCGCGACCTGGTCTACAGCAACAGCGACGTCATCGTCAACCGCGCCGTCAGCCTGGCTAGCCCCCCCGAGGGCAACCTGCCAGCCAACCAGACCACCATCGATCTCATTTCCAAGGCCGTCAACCCGCAGTATCTGGCCTCGTGCGATGCCTTGTGGATGCCGTATCTGTGAAGACCGCGTTTCGTTTGCTGGGGAGGTGGGGTTTGGGTTATGTGATTGACGTTACCATTTGATATATTAATGTTGTCGTTTGCTTTTTTATTTTGTATTTCCCCCCCGTCTTATGTGTCTTGTTATCTGCGTTTCTTGTTTCCATTTCCCCCTGGGGAGAGGTTGGCGGTTGTCGAGTGGATTCGGATGGAGTAATTCTTTAGCGTGGCGTTTGGGGCAAATTCTTAGTTGTGGAAGATCCGAAGCTTATGAAATGAATTGTTGAATCCGAAGTATTTCTCAATCGTGTGTGTAAATGTAGACACTAGTATACAACGTTTTCCTACTTGAGGCCACTGAGTCCAATGATAGCTGCCCGATCGGGTAAGGTGTGGCACGGGATCGGCTTGGTTGGAATCCCCGACTGAGCTTGAATGATGTTGCGTCTTTCATTTCTAGCGCTCACAGCCTCGTTCCTGATACCTCTCTCTATGTTCTGTCTCTGATATCTGTTCGTGACGCTGATTCAATTTGCGGTCGCAAAGCTATTCGATCCCCTACCCCACTACTCCGGTGCGACACCAAAGTGGGACGCGTCTGTTTACCTCCGTCTCCGCCCTCCGTCCTCCGCACCTGGCGCCCCTCCACCCTTTTCTATTATATGATCCCATGCGTCACGACCGTACTTTGACGAGAAACGATCCGATACTGTGACACTACCCCTCTGATCAGTCGCCATGGAGAAATTCTTGCGCTCCTGGCGACAGGATGCGCTGAACCGCGGCCAGCATGACTCGGCCATCTACATTGGTGACAAGGTCCTAGCCTTGACGAGTGAGTGCAGCGCCTCCGCCCAGGAGCGACCAGAGATCTAGCTAACGGACCATATCATTAGATAGTGATTCCGACGCCTTCTGGCTCGCCCAAGTCCATTTTTCCAACAACAATTACACGCGCGCGTTGGCCCTACTGTCGCGAAAAGACTTGATCTCGAGAAGCACCGCATGTCGCTACCTCGCCGCCCACTGCTACATCAAACAGAACCAGTTCGAACAGGCCCTTTCCATCCTCGGCGACCATAACCCCACGCATCTCATCCGCACCAGCAATAACGGGCACAGTCGGCGCAAGCTGCAGCACCTGAACGGACAGAGCCACGTTACGCTCCGCAACGGGAAGACGGCTACTTCGCGAATGGATCGAGCGGAGGCTGAACGCGAGGACGCGAGCCAGATTCGCTTCGAGGCGGCTATGTGTTACCTGCGGGGCCTGTGTTTCGCGAAGCAGAATGCGTTTGATCGCGCGCGCGATTGCTACAAGGATGCGGTGCGCATCGACGTGCAGTGCTTTGAGGCGTTTGACCAGCTGATGAAGAACTCGCTTATGTCTCCGGCGGAGGAGCTGGAGTTCTTGGAGTCGTTGGATTTCGATGCCATTACTGCATCGGATCCGTCCGTGGCGCAGGAGGCGGCTCACTTTACGAAGATGCTGTACACTACGCGGCTGTCGAAGTATTCTTCCCCGGCGATTCTATCCGACGCTACTGAGACGCTGTCGACACATTATAATTTGGCGGAGAATCCGGATATTCTGCTGTCGCGGGCTGAGGCTATGTACACACAGTGTCGGTTTGCGGAGGCGCTGGAACTGACCTCGTCTATTCTGTCGGCGGCGCAGCCGTCGTCGACTTCCCTTTCGGCTGCTACTACGCCGTATAACCCGGCTCAGAATCATCTGGGACACCCGCCGGCTGTGTATCCGTTACACCTCGCTTGTTTGTATGAGACAGGTGCTACGAATGCGCTCTTCCTGCTCTCTCACACCCTGGCCGATCACGCGCCGGAGGAACCGTATACATATCTCGCAATTGGAGTCTACTACCTGTCTGTGTCCAAGATCGCCGAAGCACGGCGGTTCTTTTCCAAAGCGTCTCTGTTAGACCCACACTCGGCCGCGGCGTGGATTGGATTCGCGCACACGTTCGCCGCCGAGGGGGAGCACGATCAAGCCATTGCGGCGTACAGTACTGCCGCTCGGCTATTTCAGGGTAGTCATCTGCCGCAGCTCTTCCTCGGGATGCAGCACCTCGCGTTGAACAACATGTCCCTGGCTCATGAGTATCTCTGCGCGGCTTATTCCATGTCGACCGGCGCCACATCTGGGGCGGTGCTCTCCATCCCCACGAACCCTTCAGGCGAGCTGTCCCAACTGGGCGGGGATCCCCTCGTCCTTAACGAATTCGGCGTGGTCCTGTACCACCAGAACCATCTTGAGGATGCCGTAGTGCTGTTCCGCCAAGCACTCTCACTGGCGGGCTCCCTGAACTGCGAGCCCGGCGCCTGGGTCGCGACACGGGCGAACATGGGACACGCGCTGCGCCGAATCGGCCGACTGACAGAGGCCTTGGTAGAATTCGACGAGTGCCTTCGCGTCGGCGCCGCCGGGGCCAGCTTCGGGTATAGCCCATTCCTCGGCGGCAGCGGCGGCAACGCAGCAGGGATGGCATCCACCGGCGTAGGCGGCTACGAAGACCGCGGTCTGATCGGGTCTCTGCACAGCGCGCGCGGTATCATTCTCCTCGAGCTCAACCGCACCATGGAAGCCGTCACGGCGCTACACGAGGCTGTGCGCGTGCTGGGCGCCAGCGGTGGCGGCGACGCCGCCGGCGGAGCCGGAATCGCCGGCACGCTGCTGACCCGAGCGCTAGAGATCTGGTCGGACGAGGGGCACGACGCGGACGAAGCCCAGGCCGAGGAATCCGCCGCCCGCAGCTCCAATCGGTCCTCCCGCGACAAGGGCAAGAGCAAGGTATCGTCCCGTCGACGGGTCCCCGCGGAGGAGTCCTACCCCGACGAGTGGACAGACGAAGTCTCGCATGTCGACTCCCAGCAAGGCGGCACTATCGGCGCGGGGCCCTTCGACGAAAAGGTCGAGATGGAGCTAGACGAGGACGCAGACGTCATGATTCATCAGGCGATGAGGCGTGTGAAGGGTACGAAGACACGTCGTCGGCTGGAATTCAGCCCGGATGTAGTCGATGTTTCTTCTTCTGTGCATGAGACGCCTGTTGCTGATGATAATTACAATGGCGGTGGTGGTGGGCATAGGCGTCGGGGATCGCGGAATATTCGGAGCGCGAGACAGTAATACCTTGCGCTTTTTTTTTTCCCCCTTTCCATTTCTCACTCTTTTTGTTTCTGTTTTTGTTTTGTTTTGTTTCCCCTTGTGACTGGCTGCGTTATAGCTGGCGTTGGGTATGCCTGATTTGGCTCTATCTCTGGTTTATGCTCTCTCTCTATCTCTCTCCTGTTTGGAGTCACGTCATGGCATGGCCTGGCATCGCATGGCATTGGTATTGATATCGTCTACGAGCAGATGGAGTGGTGTTTCTTTTCTTGCATAACGAATGGTGATTGGCGTCGCGTCTTTGGTCCGGTAGGTCTATCCGGTCATGCATGGCATTTGGTTGCGTGGGATAGATAGGTCGTTTGATTGTTTCTGGGGTAGGCTGATATGGTTAGTTAGGAGGATAGTTCTAATCCAGTGGATTTTTTTGAAGCGTATAGATTTGTTTTCTGTATAGTAGTGCTGGGTGGTAGGGCGCTGTGGTTGTACGGTGAGTAGATTGTTCGATTCTGAGGTGAGGATAGCTCGCTGTGGGCTGATTTGTGTTTTCGTCTAGATATGTGAGAATGCTTGTAGACCCTTCTTGCTCGAGGCAGAGTCGCACGTTTTCCTCCTGGCTTATCCCTCGGTTGGCCCGTCGCAGCGTGGATTGGAGTCAAGCACCCCCAACTCGCTCCTATTTGTCGTGATATACAGGAGTGAACATGTACTACAATGACTGTACACTGGAACCAAGCGCGTGCGAGGTGATATCAACAACCAATCCATTAATTGCCTCTCCGGGAACCAGGACTAGACCTGCTGTATGACAATAAGCAATACATGAAACCTCAATAGGAGTCATAGTGTTTATAGAGTTTGAATGTGTTTCAAATACGGACCCAAAGACGCCTAGATTACGGCCATGACACCTTCCTGGCGTAGCAGTAACTTGTCCGTCAGAGTGACGTTACGCCAGAGCTTGAATCCGGTACAAATATGGGTTTTGTATCGCCCGGTCGGTGGGAGTCAACAAAGCCAGTGTAGAGGAGAGCCAAGTCTTTGAATCAGATTCATACCTTATACTGCATACCACAAATCACACACAGCTTCCGTCACTACCTCCACCATGTCAGCTTTTGAAAACATCCCCCCTTTATACGTCCCAAAGAAGCGCCCAGCCAAGGACATGGAAAGGCTGGGGGATGAGATGGAAAAGGTTAGTAAGGAACAGACACAGGCCCGGAAGAAACTAAAGGCACATGGAAGTTGTGATCCCGAGTTCTGGAGTGCTGCTGTGAATGTGGAGTCAGCTTGTCTAAGAAAGTCAAGGATCGCATCTGATATCTCATTATCAAAATTCAAAGGGAGACAGGCGGACTGGGAGAGGACGGAAGAAGCAAGGAGGCTGTTTGCACAAATACGGGCACAGATACACCGGGTAGCTTCGTTTTCTCACCAGAGAGATTCTCTCTCTCTCTGCAAGTCTAGAGGAGGACTGATAACATCCTTCATGAAACTCTTCACCTCGAGCCCGTTAGGATTGAGTATCAAGACAGGGGCCGGCTCCCGTGACTTCAAAGTGCAGTCGGGCTTCAGAGAACAGCTGCTCAAGGACTATGACGGTCTGGATGAGCATGGAAATGCCTGGTGCCCCATTCTGGGGTGTTATCTGGGCCCGGAAAATGTCACCGCATCGCACCTCTTTGCGTATAAACATGGACAAGCCTCCATGGATGCCATCTTTGGCAAAATCCGTCCGTCTGAACTCTTTTCCTCGCGCAATGGGCTCATAATGTCGGCTGTTGTCGAAAAGTCTTTTGATACCGGGGTGATTGTGATCGTCCCTGATATTCCTGACCATCCGACAAGACAGGTGCCTTGCGGTTGGGTAAATAATGAAGTGCGGGAGTTCAAGGTCCGCATCATTGACACCAAATGGTCAAAGCTTGACCACTTCGTTGCAGGGAAAACAAGGTGGAGAGACATGGATGGAAAGAAGCTGGAGTTCAGAGGAAACTGCCGCCCAGCAGCCCGATACCTGTACTTCCATTACTGCATTCAAGTACTGCGAAGGGCCTGGAGGGCCGGACCTGGTCAGCAAGCGGTGTTTTCTCTCCAGGATGAGCTAGGAAAACTATTCTGGGGCACCCCTAGAAAGTATGTGGCAAGAAATATGCTCAAAGCATTTATTCAAGAGCTTGGGCATGAAGCCGATGATCTTCTTATTGGGGCGAGGGGCAGTGGGGGGAATGACAAGGTCCTTTTGAACATAGCAGCAACTCAGATTGCAGAGCAGAGTGTTGAAGAGGAGGACGACGAAGATGAATATGACGAGGATGAGGATGAGTATTGATCATTCAGGCGGTGAAACCTTGTATGCTTGTTCTCTATTCTTAGGCAGCATTTGCTCAACAGGATGAATTGATTTGATTTCTACGAATTGGACTGGTCCGCAATTTTGTATCTTGTTGCTTTATCAGAAATATAATTCTTTTTGAGAGTCAAGTGTTTTTACAACGCTCCGTCCACTAATTGCTCATAGCCTTCGAGCTCAAATTGGCTAGCTATCTGTTCCTCACCCCCATGATTCCCCTTGATACTCCACTGTAAGATAGATCCAACGAAGCCTTACTCAAGCCCATATTGCTCCTTCGCATCCACAAAAGCCAAGTCCCCAAAGATGAAACTCGACAACAGCAACGGAGCATCGTCCATGCTAAAGAAGAACTTATCCATCCGACGGACCTCCGGATCCTCCTTATTCCCCTCATCATCATCGGTATCATCCATGAACACAAACAGCAGGCCCTTGTCAGCCCAGTCCCGCGTCGTCACGACGATAAACGCCGGCGGATACCAGCCAGCATTGCCTTCTGCCTCGCCACCGGCGATGGGAGTGATTTCCTTGTCCAGGTCGACCTGGGCCTGGACAATGTCCTTGAGCGACCTCCCGGCGAAATTGTGCACTTTCGGGGTGCGCACGATGGGTTTCGGGTTCTCGTTTTCGAACCATTCTTTGTTTAGGGTGGTGAGAAGACTGTCCAGGTCTTCTGCCGGAAGATCAACGAGGGTGTATAGAGCGAAGGAGGCTTCATCCCAGCTGTACTCGCCGTAACGGCAGAGAGCGGGGCAGGTGGGGGGCAGAGAAAGGTCTGGAGCCATGGTCTGTCTTGGTTTGGCGTCTGTCGGGTGAGTTGGATGGTGGTTGATGATTACGGGTTTCGACCCGATGTATGGGGGAAATTATAATATGTGATCAGGGTCAAGAGGATGGGGAGGACGCGTCTGTACATGGTGATTCGAGAGGGGCTGAGACTAGGCGGCAACGAGGGAGGCCAATGAGGCCAGAGCGGGAACTGCTCAGCCAAATCCAGCCGTTTGATATGATCGTGTTCTCTCGATCCCCGCCGTGAGACTACGTAGGTAAGGGGATCACTGCTTCACTCGAAGCCAATAATCTGCACGGTTCAGACAGAGGGATCACCAGGTGGCTCAGAGCTTTGTCATCTCCATTCTAAATTATCTCGTAAGCATGCAGTCCTCAGCCTTCAAGGTCGGTTGCTTGCATATACGAACACCTAGCCTCGCGGACTGGCCTAGTAGGGAACATTCTTGCCGATCAATATCACTTCCATGGCTGGGTTGAGTTTGTGTCCCTCCTGAAGCTGGCTTGGAGACTCCCACCCTTGAATTAGAACTTCATCAGGGTACTCCAGCTACTTGGCACAGACAAGGATACCCCTGCATTGGTCGTCATACAACCAGGGCATATAAGCATATCGGGGAAAATGACGCTGCCTTGTATTGAGAAACCATGGAATTATATCCACTGAAAGGAACAGACTGCGGCAGTCACTCCATCTGTCGACGGACATGAAATCACAGAAGTTAAGTGTAAAGGAACTTCATGCGATTGAAATGTAGGAATAGGAACAAACATGGGCAACAATATTGCCATTGCGAGCACGAACATGATTGAAGCACCTCATCGCCTCAAAATATGCGAGGCCATTCATAGTTCTAGGCGTCCCGCAGCCTTACTGCTGCAAGGTCATCACACCACATTCCTGTAATCCTGTTCCCCTTGTCGCATATGAATGGAGAGGCTTCAGAGGCAGGGCTTCCCCTGATTCTCTTGAGATCTATGTGAACTATGAAGATATAAATAGGAACTTACTCCCAGTGGAAATAGAAGTAACAACACACGATCCATATCTTTGATCTTTATATCTCCCCAACTTTTTGAAAAAGCAGTTACAACGAAGAAGACAACATCATGAAGTCTTCCCTCTTGTGTTTAGGGCTTTGCATCCTCTCCCTGGGATCCGCGCTCCCCGAGCCAGCTTCGAACGGCCAGGCGTCGGCAAATGCTGTAAAGCGGCTAGTGTTTGACTGCTCTGATGGACAGGTCGGCGGTATGTGACCTACCTCCCTCGCAAGCTGTGGAGACAGAGAACTGACAGCTATGTTGTGCAGATACTTGCCTGAACATGTGCTATGGTATGCGCGCGCTCTTCCGTCCGGCTCCAATCAGACTGAATAATAACCCCCCTACGTTTAGGCTCAAAATGCAAGAATCTGGGCAGTACATTCACCTGGGATCACCCGAACTCTTCCACCCAGGGCAAACGCAGCCGTCTTGCCGGCTGTGGCTCTGGGAACCGATGCAGCAAAGCCCCCTACGGCAAAGGATACCAGTGCGACGAGTATCCGTTCAAGTCCGTCAAGGAGGCAGACAAGGGCAAACAAGTAAACCGATGCGTCAGGAGCCGCTACAACAGCCGTGAGTCAAGTCATCCCTGCACCTGCTGAGACGTAGCTAACAGATGTTTAGGCCAGGGAAATGTTCTGCGGCAATTCTACTACTCCAATGGCAAGTTCAAGGGCAAAGGCTGCGATGGGAAGTCTCCCTGTAAATTCAGCCTGTCCTTCGCGAAAGCCAGTAAGTATGGTTACTGCAAAAAGGGGGGCGGAGGCTGCAAGAACGACGGAAATGAACATACCAAGGCCGGGCCGGCGAAGCGCGAAGAAGAGGTCGACGCCAGTGGCTATTACCGCCTTGGTAGCGGCGAAGTTATCTATGTTCCTGACGGTGCAGCAGTGGGTGATGTGGTCTATAAGGCTACATTCACCAACTCCAATGGGACCATGATTGCCGATGTTGCGACTCTGACTGATGACGATGATGAAGACGATGACGATGACGAATTCGACGTTGAAGAAGACACCATTGTTGAAGAGGTGGAGGACTATGAATAGTTACTCAGTTGCTCCATGACTTTTCACAGTCATATAGCTTCCCCATGTGTTGTATTAGAGACTTTGTCAAAGTTGAGCTGGCAGGGTGGAGTTTCTGAATTATATTTCCTATATATAAAGCATATGTTTCTATGATAACTCAAAGGTATTCTTCCTATAGATATCCGTATTATGCTTGCTAAATAAAAATGGGTTTACTCACCCTTCTCGAATGGCTCCGCTCGCGGGTGACTTTTCATGGTATTGCATTTTTTTTGCGCTCTTCTAAAAATAGGAATACCCCCGACCTAGACTCTAACAAAGGGCTTCATCATCGAGTCACACCGTTAGACATATCCGTAGACGTGTTCACTCAAGGTAGTCTACTGCGTGTATATGTGATGTTAGGAGGAAAGATCAACTGGCAACTTGACCAAGACTGATGAAGATGATCAAGAAATGATGATTTTGACAATATCATATGCTGAGTTTTGCTCTTGCCTTGTCTCTCATCTCATTCTCGTATATTTAGCTGGCTAGTGATGACCAGTGAAAATAAAGCAAGTTTTTTTCCACTTCTTTGTCGGCGTATAGGAATACGTAGCCTTCCTACTATATTAGGCCCACTTAGGGTCACCATATAGGGCAGCAGCTTGAGTGGGGAAGATAGATACGTTTCCATACCTCTTCCTCCGCCCCATGACAGCCTCTCATAACCTCAACCTGCTGTGGCTATTACAAGACCTGATGGTTGGCTTTCGTTTTCCCCATATGATTCTTCTCCACTGCGAACTTTATATCCCGTTCTGGTGTCCGGAATGGACTGGAAGCAAGTCCGAGTTCCGTGCACGACCAGATGAACCACTTGCTCGGATCAAACGCATACCAATGGACACCGCTTCGATAGTCTGCCGGAAACGTATGGTGAAAGTTGTGGTAGCCCTCCCCAGACGTGACCAGTGCCAACAGAAGATTGTCCCTGGGGGTGTGTTCGGTCGAGTAAGGTTGATCGCCGGCGTAGTGGGCCAGGGAATTGAGTAGGAAAGTGAAGTGTAGGTAGATATATAGCCGAAAGCCTCCGGCGTAGAAGAATCCTCCCCACCAGTCGTTCCAGCCAACATGGGCGATCGTAGCCGGCACCAGAAGACCCGCAATCACCGCGATGAGGACATAGTAGCGTTGCTGCCAGACCACTACGGGGTCTTTCTCCAGGTCCGACACATCGGCCTTGCCCCACGCATCCGGGTTGTACCCGATTAACCAGCCAATGTGGGAATAAAGTAATCCCCTGCGAGCGTTGTATGGGTCCTTTTCGGAATCCAGGTAGCGATGATGCGCGCGGTGATGTCTAGCCCACCAGAGTATGGACCATTGGAATTGCCCAGCACCAGCGCTGGCTAGGAAATATCGGAGGGCTAGACAGGCCCGGTAGGATCTATGCGACCACAGCCGGTGGTAACCTATGACAATTCCTGGTCAATGCCGACTGTGCGCGAGCGGTTCGGTAGATACATGTTTTTACTTACCAGCTGCAATCGCTATACCGTATATTGGGAATAGGACCAATGATAAGACGACAGTTTTGGGCTGAAGCTCCACGTTCCTGAATCCGTGCCAAAGCACAAGTGGCGTGCCAAAGATTAGAGCAAAATGTAGAAAGAAGAAGTGTTTATAGTAGTAATTGAAATCCTCCCGAAGAGACTTCATCACCGCAGAATTGATCATGCTGGGCTCGGAATATACAGAACCTTCGGAACACTATGTATTTCCTGTCAGTGACCCAATTGATAGTTGAAGATGTTCAAATTGGGAATGGTTGCTCACAACATTCATCTCCCATGGAAATCGAGCCACGCGCCGCGAGAAAATATGACAAAAGGGGTGGATTCGTAGACTTGCCCCACTCCTTCCAGCAAGGGATGCGGTGCCATGCTGACCAATGTCCATCTGTAAACTGTTCAATCCGAGCTAGTGCTTGCTCTTCGTGCGAGGAAAAAAGATTTCGAGACCTCCTCCCTAGATCACGGACGTGTTTCAATGGTTGTTGGAGCTTAGAAGGGAAGCAGTGACCTGAGGCGAGTTTCCAGTGAAGATAAGGTCAAATTAGCATGCAGCATGCACATATTATCACTGAGACTTTGTCTGACCATGGTGAACTGACCATCGTAGCTGACTCGTTCGAGTCAAGAGTTCATAACCGAGGGTCTGTCTCATTGTGCCTAATGTACCTCCACGATTGCCCGATCTATAGAGTACAGTTCCCAGTATTGCCTCCGAAGAAAGTCATTTCCTTGCCGGTGTTGTGGGGTATATCGAGGTGTTCAATAGCGGCTTTTTATATATAACGTGAGAGAGCATTACGCCAGTATCGACGGCACTGTCACCCGTGGCTCTTTCCTGGCTTCTTGCCCTCCTCCCTGGCGGTCCTTCTACACTGCCCGAGTCATACGCTACATTGTACCTTGTACTTTGGATGAAGATAGTGAACACCATTGTGCAAATATGAAAGTTGGCGTGCTCACCCGAACCCTCGCCAATAGGTGAATCTCCGACCCCTCCTCAATCAATTGTGGTGGTGGACATGGCGATGAGGCTTCCGTTATGGCTAACAGGAAGGACGGTCATAGCCGGGTTCCTAAGCCCAGATACGGAGTAGACTCGTTTCTCATCCACAGTGAAATAGTGGCCTAAAAACGAAACAAGGCTACTTCATGTCCGAAGACCCTGCTGGCTTTGACGCGGGGCATTCTGTCATGATAGCCTACTATTTGCCCAGCTTGGATCCACAGCAGCAACTGCTTCTGTAATTTATGGAATGCCTTTAGAGCGCAGGTGGGGTGGATTGGGAAGGCAAGAATATCGGGTGCGGTGTTGGTGTTTTTGGCTGAGCCTTTCGCACAGGGACCCAGCGTATGCGGATAGACGCATGCTCTAAGCACTGGAGCCTTTAGTCTGGGTAGCATGGTGTTGCATAAGTTTGATTTGCGGAGCCCAGGTGAGTTGCTTATCTGACATGCATCTCTTAAGAGCCCTGTGCAAATAAGATTTGAAGCATGACCATCCAGACTGGATGCTCATCGTCTCCGGTGGATTTCCATGAAACATGCCAATCTGTAACGACTCGCAACTAGTACATGCTCTTTCGCCGTTGTTGGCGACATTGAATCAATTCTGAATCCAAGTATTACGGCAAGTATGTGCGATAATATGGTGTAAACGCCTGGCGGCTTCTGTCATACTTTTGATGCGAGGGCTAGTGACTACTGGCGTGGAGAAGCTGTCAACGCTCTCTATATGAAACGCCTCGACTATGCGATTTGCCCCAATGACCCGAAACGGGTCTTGATTAGACGAGTCTAGCGGTGGAGGTGGGCGTGACCTGAGAGATCTGAGGTCCACGCCGTCGGGGGTAGCTATCGAGCGTCTGAGGGCCAAATTCAATGTACCTGCAGGGGATGAGGGTGATGCTGCTGCTGCTCCTTCTAATGGGATAACTAGATAACCCCTAGGAAGGGCCATGTCATTAAATGTCCTTCTTTATTCCAATATTATTTGATCTCCTCACCCCTCTCTTCTTATTAGCCGATCAATCATCTGGTGGGATAGGAATACGGTCACCCACCTCACATGGTGTACAGAACGGCCGTTACTGAATGCAGATACTCAGCATGTTTCGTTGGTTTATTACTTGGTACTTTTTGAAATAATAAAGGGATGAATAATTCCGGGTCAATATTCGTAAACGGGGTGAGGTGGTTACTTGTGGCTGAGATTGTATTTCCGGTAAGACTCAAACCACTGTACAAGTTATTTGTAGTATAACCTCTCGGCTTAGTATAGTCGGACTAGCCCATTGGCTTGATGAGTGGGATCTATAATGGGATATGGAGGGGGCATCCCAAACGACAGCCATTTCAAAAACGGACATGAACAGACACATTCGCCGGGGCGCAGTGAAGAGCGGGGGCAACTGCAGTCTCGGGGGCAAAAAATGACATATCTAATGTTGAGGAAAATATGTAAGACCCTACATGCAAAACCGTCCCCATCATGTCTCACCTACGGCAAACGAAAACCTCGTAATCCGATGAGAAAAGCCGGTCTGAGCTTGTTTCCAGGATGAGCCGGTGCAGCAGACCACCCGAGAGTCTTGCAAGCAAATTGAGGGAGAGCTTGTCAGAAAGGAGAATTCCGTCAACCGTTGCCAAAATTATGCATCCTGTCTCTGCAGGTAGCCATTAGTTCAGCCACTCGCCGCATTGGGCGAGCGATATACGCCCATGCGTTGGAAGCGCGGGACGGAAGAAGATCGAGGCAATCAATCGGCTCAACCGTAGCCACTGAGGAGAGAAAAGCAGCATATGGGCTGCGTAATGGCATGCAACATATAGCGGTCAATGTAGGGGCTTCTGTGACTGTTTTCTCCCAGGGATGTAGATAACAAGCTTCTTTCCCCGTTTCCCAAAGAGATGCGTACTCTCTATTTTGTCAAGACGGCACAATGAAGATCGCTCATATCTCAGGTGCCTTCAATGGCCGGCTTCTTGTTGCTTGCGGCATCACCGCGTTGTCGCAGGTGAATCTGGGACTGGAGCAGGCTGCCTTCACCTCCACACAGGAAATGCCCGCATTCACTCACACGTTTGGCGCGTACTCTGCCGAGGGGGAGGCCCATCGTCTTGGGTCGGACTTCATGGACCTTCTCAACGGGCTTCCCTATGTTGGCCTCGCTTTTGGTCTGATGCAGGGAAGCTTACTCAGTAGACGGTTTGGACGTCGCGCAAGCTTGTTCGTCATGTGTCTTTGGGCATTTTTTGGAGTGTCTCTTCTCGTGACTGCTCAGAGCCAACTTCAGATTTTGTTCGGCCGTATGATTATCTATATCTCCGTGGGGATTGAACTCGCAGTTGTGCCCGTGCTTCATGCGGAGTTGGTGCCGGCCCAGGTGCGTGGGTTCGTCGTTGGAACATATCATACGGGATTGCTGGTAGGTTTTCGCTGAATATTGCTGGCTGTGGAGGGTTAAATCAGCTAAATATGACAGGTGGGACAACTTACCATGTCTCTCATCTGCCGTGCGAGTCGTGAGATTGAAGGCAATCCCTCGTGGAGAGTCCCGCTAGGATTGCTCTACGTGATTCCGGGTCTCGTTTTCTGCCTAGGTTGGCTCATTCCAGAGGTGTGTTCCGGAAAGCGAGGTCTGCGAATTCCATGCTAACACTAGCCAGTCTCCTCGACTCCTCCTAATAAATGCCCGTCCTGAGGAAGCCCGCCAGTCCCTGCAGAAACTGCGTCAAGGCCGTTTCACCGACGATGAAATAGAACAGGAGTTTCAACAGCTGTGTGATACCATCGACATTACGACTGACCAGGGCAGTTTCCGCGAGATCTTCCGAGGCAGTCACATGCAGCGCACGCTCATCACTATCGGAGTCAACATCTTCATGCAGGTCACAGGAGACAGCTTCGTGTCACAGTACGGGACGGCCTTTGTACGGACCATAGATACTGTGAACCCGTTTTCGATGACGTGTATCTACTCCGCGATCAACATTTTTGTCAGCCTCGTTGCGATGTTGCTGTCAGATACCGTCGGTCGAGTGTATGCCTTCATATCCCGTCGCTATTCGAGTCCAAGCAACTGATCATGGTACTTTAGGCCCCTAATGTTTGTCAGTGCCATCATCCAAGCCGGCTCTCTCTTCACCCTGGGCGGCCTTGGTACAACCGACACCTCTCCCGCCGTCTCATCCGCCACGATGGCCATGGTGGCTGTTTTTGGGGTTGGGTACCAGATCGGCTGGGGGCCGTTGTCCCACGTTGTGGCAGCGGAGGTGCCTACCACGCGGCTGCGCGACGTCACGTACGCGGTTGGAGCCATCTTCAGCATTCTCATCCAATGTGCCATCTCGCTCAGCGTGCCACGTGCTTTGGACGGGCGGACGCAACCTGGGTCACAAGTGGGGTTTTTGTTCGGCATTTTCGCGATCTGTGCGGCCATGTTTACTTGGTTCTGCGTGCCGGAGTGTAAGGGCAAGTCGCTGGAGGAGATGGACCACTTGTTCTTGCATGGTATGCCGATTCGGGAGTTTGCTCGGGTGGGTCAGGTGAATGTACATGTGTCCAAGGAGGTGGAGAAAGATGGAGTGTAGAGCATTTTGTCAGTAGTGGGAATACAGAGAGAGAAGAAGTGACCGGTTTTATACCTGGAGTATAAGGCACGGGTCTCAGGAAGAAATCCCAGGCACCAACTCAATTCTAAATTGAATAATGAATAATTCTACAAATCACCACCCAATAATCCCAGATCAAGAACTGCAAGCGTATATGCATCACATCACATCATACATATCAAGCTGACTTCTCCACCTCCTCCAACACGACCTTACATCCCAAGGGTGCCATGATCCCGCCCTATAGTGGAATTAGCAAACACACTAAGTATCAAATTGAGAAAGAAGAACACTCACTGGCGTCATCTTCAACTGATATCCCTCTTCAACTCGCCATTTGACCCGTCCGACCAACTCCGCTAGAAGAACCCTCATTTGCAACAGGACGAACCCCTGCCCCAGACATTTTCTCGAATGCGCGTTGAATGGGATATACGTGCCTCGCACAGTATCCCGCCTAAACCGAGCATGCATCTCGTTAACGGTGGTTCCCCATCGCTCGGGTCGAAACTCCATCGCATCGGGACCCCAGATGGCTGGGTTGATGTGCACGCCGTAGGCGTTCCATCCGACAAATGTGCCCTTTGGAATCGCAACCTTGCCTCCTAGCTGGGCATCGCGGAGGGTGACACGGTTGATAAGCTGCGACACGGGAGGGTAGAGGCGTAGGAGCTCGTAGATGGTGGCCGTCAGATAGGGGAGGTCGGTAAGGGCTTCGTGGGTGCAGTTTGCGGACCGAATTTCGTCACGAAGTTTCTGCTGGGCGTCCTTTTCCACCGTTAGTTACTCCTCATTATCATTCATCGCAGCCCTGAATCGAATATACACACAGGTAAGGTCCCCAGTTGCCAAAACATCGAATTCACTAACTGCTGTGCGTTCTCATGCGCTGTCAAGAACACGATCTTCAGGTTATCGCGGTATTGCTTCTCCGTCAGGCGGCCCTCACGACGGGCCCGCATCAGCATATGAACGACCATTTCGTCGTCACCAGGTGGTTTATAATCTTTGGAGTCAATTTTGTTGTGCACGGCATCTACTAGGCGGTCCCCAAACTCATGCATGATGTGAAAGGCGAATTTGCGAGAGTTGAACAGCCATGGGAAGCGGTCGAGGTCGGGGAAGTTGAAGAACAGCGGACGAAAGAGGATGCCTTTTATGACGGATTGAATGGATTCAAGGCGGACTGCATTCAGAGGTTTCTCTAAGGCCTATAAAATCAGTACTTTATCGTGGAGAAGGGAACAGCAATAACGAGTAAAATAAAGGGGCAAAAGGATACGATACCTGCAAATCCAAATCCAGAAAGCTGACCCCCATCACATCAACCGCCCACTGTTGCACGTAATGATTCGCGACAATCCCTTTCCCGCTACACCCATCAGCAGAGCATATTCTCTGCTCCTCCACCAGCTTATCCACGAACCGCTTCGACTTTCTTACCAAGGGCTGCACATCAAACTGCCTCTTCTGCAGCCCGGGCTTCATAATCGCCGTGTACAACTTCCAATCCTCCCCATGCGCATTGATAATGTTATCCCCCACGAGGGTGGCAATCACACTCCACGGGATCTTCTTCTGCGAGCCCGCTTTTGCGTAGAGATCCTCGTTGCGGAACATGTCGGTGAGCCACTCAGGCTTGGTGACCAGGATACTCCAGCGTCCAGCAAACCAGATAAGGACGGCACCGTGGGATTCAAGGGGTTTGCGTAGCCAGCGCTCGTAGATCTCGTCTTGGCCCATTGACGACCATAGGCCGATTATGGAGACGTAGAAGGGGATTCTGGGGAGGTTAGGCAGGTTCCAGGGGACGTGGAGGTAGTACCATAGGAGGAAGATCACGGCGCAAGGAATCAGGAGGAGTGGGTTTGGGAGGTTCATTGTCCGTGTTATCTCTTCAATGTTTGCCAACATTTCGTTTGTGTTGCAAAGGCTGCTGTGTACAGCCGTGTAATGGGTGATGCCGATAGCAGTATATATAGAGGTCGAGTACGCGAACCATGATTCGAAGTAATAGCACCGAGTTTTCACAGAAATCCGATAAACTCAAACATCCACTCAAGAGTGTCCAATAGATCGAGCCATTGACTGATAATAATTAGCACCGACCAACGCGTGGGGCTTGCAGTCGTCTGAAGCTGACTATGGTGACGCAGACCGAGTCAGCTTTGTCAACCCGCAGGAGGCTAAAGTGGTCAAGTACACTTGTTTGTCAGTCATGAATAAGACACTCTATTCGACGATCCTTGAGTATTCATTTCAATGATGGCAATATATAACAGAAGCCATATCTTCTTGTAATCCTGTTGAATCAGCAGAAACCAAGCAACCATGGCTCTCAATCTCCACAAAGACCGTCTCTCCGCGGACGAACTCGACCTCAAGGACCCTTATAGTGAGTACCAGTAGAAGACATATTCTTCTTCCTCGTCTATCTGCCCGGACATTAACTCAATCTACTCACAGTCACCGGGTCCCTTGGTTTTTTCGTCATCCACAACGTGATACGCCGTAATCTCATCACCTGTGCCGAACACATGCGGAATCTCTCCGTGGCCGAGATCGAACCCTATATCACATACGCCAAATATACGCTCCACGTTACGCTCGACCAGATCATTTCGTCCGACGAACTCTGGTTCCCCATGTTCGCCGATCATGATAACCGGTTTACGCCCTACATCGTCGCGCATGAGCAGCCTAGGGCGCAGATCGTCGGTCTACGTGAACTCCTGTCCAGTTTTGACCCATCCAGCGGGTCCATCGACGACAGCATCAGAGCGCAGGTAGCGGACGGATTTACAGACTTGTATAATACTCTCAATAAGCAGTTCGGCGAGGAGGAAGTTTTGGTCAACGAGCTTGGACGCCAGGTCCCGCTGGAGAAGATTCAAGCTCTGCAGAAGAAGCAGGAGGAGCGGCGCAAGGCAGACGTCAAGACATACGGACATCTATGGACTGCGGTGTATTTACTGCGAAGCTTGGAGCCTAAGGAGAGAGCGATCTTCCCGCCGGGAGTTCCCAAGTTTATTGCGACTGGGATGTTGACTGCCGGGGGGATGCAGCACAAACGGTATGTTCTTCCTTGGATTTGTTGTTTTGGTCTCTTGTTTTGTTATTGTGTATCATAATGGCTTGTACTGATTCGTTTCTATAGAGAACTGCAGTTTGCACCCAAGGTTTGAAATCATGCCGGTCGGTTTGAGGCGTCAATTGTAGCTACCCGGATGAAACTTGATAGTTTGTCTATTGATTTATATATCACCCCGTTTTATGATAGTATATCTGTCACCGAATGAACAAGGATTACAACCTCTATTACAACTTCTTCCAATCATCTGGACAAGGTCGTTGGGCAACAATCTCATTGTTCTTCCCACTCGTCAACCGGCCTGGAAAACAGCCCGGCTTGTGCGACTCTTGAGCTGCCATCACGTAATTCCGGCAGTAGATCCCGAAAGCAGAACGAATCGTCTATCAGAAGAAGTCTTCAGTCAGCTTATTCAAAGAGTCAATCCCGGTACATCGGAGTGGCCGGATCTGATCAGCAGCATATACCTAAGGTATCTTATGGTGCTCTTCTGGATAATGACCTGCTGCCTGCAGAAATGAAAGATTCGGATTTTAGTTTCTATCTTTCCTTGTATAGTGTCTGATGAGCACACTATGTTCGTATTCCAGCAGGTGTCGTCCACCCTGGTCCACATGAAGCATCGCAGGCATCCAAAAACATCCCATGATTTTCAGACTCATACTCCGATGGAAGAAAAACAAATCCACTAAGCACAGAACTACTCAATGCCTATTTTTTCCTAGAGTTACCTACATGATGGACAGCCGACATCCGTATTGTTGTTACTGACCCAGTGCAAGACACTAATTTGGAAGGATATTCCTCAGTCAAATGATACTACTTGATCGCAGCCGTTTTGATATATTGTACATATTCCATTGGATTCTCAATTGGCAATTACTAAATATCTCAGGGTACCTCTCTCACAGTATTCAATTTGGATCCCCAGAAACTATGGCAAGACACACCATCCTGTCTCTTCTTCCCCAAATCTTGATTCACTAGATGGTATTTCAAATCCCAACCCCGGTGTCATCCTTCCCCCATTGATACCCGGACCACAGGTCGGGATTAAGCCCATAATTCCCCATTGCTTCCATCTAAGCTCAGAAGAATCTGAAATCCATAATTTGAATCACCTACAATACCCGACGCGGATAATCTCCCCCAACATACCAGTAATAGTTCCTGAGACGAGCACCCGCTGACAGGGGAAGCCAACACACACCATCTTGTCTCAGGATACGATGGCTCGTGTCACTGTAACAGCGTAGTGGTCTCTTGGAATACGATGCGGGTCATCTATTGACGTCAGTAGGGATGGCATCGGATCCGGAGATTCACCCGGGGTCTCCCTGTTGCTCGGCTCTCGGAAGTCCTGGAGACAATGGTCGTGGGGGATATACAATGGGCTGTATCACGGCATTATCAGCGGGGTAGAACAATTTGTGCATGATGCTTTGTGTGGGATTATATGACTTTGTATTGCTCGCCTTTGAGCATGTTCCCCTGTTGGCTGTGGTCTGGGCCTAGATTTGGGCTGGGGGGAGTGTCGTAGATGATTTGTTATTGATGTATATTCCTGAAAGTTTTCAAATTCCGTGTTATTCTATAGCTTAAACTATCTAAAGAAACAGAATCACGTAGTGTATTTAGAAGAAAAAGTACCTACTCCCTCGAAGCATCCATGTCTATTATCGCGACAAGAATTGATCATAATCCAAGCCGTTGTAGATACTTGTAGGTACTCACATATCATATAACCTGCAACAGCTTCGCATGATAATGCATAACCTAATATCTACCTACCGTACGCAATAATAGCCAAGACTGCGATATTCTCCGCAAATTTCGAAACCCAGAAACCCATCATCGCAGGAAGTAATGGAAGCGCGAATTCCGAAGTTAATAGAAATCTATACCTCTCTACCAGGTTAACCCCTCACGGGTCTTCGGACTCGTTAAACAGGCGCGGTGAGACATGCCATTACCTACCTACCTCTGTACTCCGTCGTTATCAGGTCATCCTGGCGAGGCAAGCTCACACCGGTCTCCGACAGTTTCTTACTTACTTCCTTCCATCCTTTGTTTCCTTCTTTTCTTTTCCTAAAAAATCTCGGTATATTCTGTCCGGCAGTCCAGGATATCCTAGATTGATCTGCTTGTGGGGAAATCATAGTGATTCGGCCGGAGGTTACCGTGTATGCTTGATTTTGAGGGATTGTTCCGAGGGTACTTTTGAACTGTCTGATTTCCCTTGGTCTTGATGGATATGTGCGGGGAGGGGTACGCCCCTGTGCTGAATGTCTAGACGGTCTTGCCATATTGATAGCAGTGCATGTCTCAGTATGGAGTAGTTCCAAGGGACGGATGGCGTGCCCCTCCTGCCTCCACTAGAGCCTGAAGGCAGATTGGGCAATAAAGCTGGGGGTAGTCGTGTTGGCACCGTAGAGGCTGTTGTTTCCCTGCAGTCTGTGCTCTGTGTTGCACGGTTACGAAAGTATATCGGGTTTCGGTTCTTCTGGATTCTCGCTCTGTAGGAGTGGGCTAGGTAGGCGAGGGGTTTCAATATGGTAAGACTTGGTTTGAGTGGCCTCGTTCTAGAACCTTTGGTGCTACAAGAGACACGATGCGAGGACCTAAAACGTTTGCAGCGTGAGGCGCTACAATGGGTCATGATGGAGGAGGCTTACGCAGTCTGACCCTTGTATACGGATATGGTATTGACGGATATGTAGATCCGGTCTACTATCGACAGGTCAAGCTGATCATCTGGTCTGTAGTGATATTCAAGAGGAGATAAATACCGATAACCAAAGTTAATCCCCCCATGGGTGAGTAGATCATGGTTGTGATCCCAACCGGCAGATTCCATTTGAAACACCACGACCCTGCCACGTATCTGTGGTACCTAGTCCAAGCCATAGCACCCTTTCCCTAATCATCTGCCCAATACATCATAGACTAATACACCATAGACTCAGGCAAAGATAGGCCTTCTGATAACAGTCTGGGCCTCCACAACCTCATCCCTTACATCCTCGCCAAGATGCTCGATGCCAACGAGAACCCGTACCACACTGTCGCAACCATGGAGATGGCATTCAGATGGATGGCCATGGCGTGGTTGCGCCCAAAATTTCGATTGGCCCGGTGCATCTTCGCCGGGTCTGTCGGCGCAGGGTTATCCTCATTGCTGGCTTGCTCTACACCGGGTCAGTCTGGTTTTGATCGAAACAGATCCCTTTTCCCATCAACCTCCGACGAACAGAACAGTTGTCGCTGTCGCACTAAAAAGAGAGGTAAAGGGGGGAAGGTGACGAGAAAAGACATCGTAGCTCACCCTGCATGCTTCTCCGCACGACCGCGGCCGTCGTGGTCTTCGGCCCGAAGACGAACCAGTTCAGAGCCCCTGTCACGCCCACAATGGCCAGCGGTACTGTATCCCAACCTAGCGACAGAATGCTCCGCGGTGGCCGGGTTACCGCGGTAAGAATCACGAGGCCCACCTGACATTTGAAATATGCGGGGAAGATTTGTTTCTGGAGGGCGAGGAACTCGCACATTGGGAGGGCGCGATAGCAGACTTTGGTATTGACGAAGCTCTGGGAAGATTTGAGTTTCAGGGTGGTCTATGGTGGGTGATATTGGGGTTGTACCTGGAAGAGCTCAGTGCCCAGGAGAGCGCCATAGGAGAGGAGATGGTAGGGGAGAAGATTGGTGACAGTTGAGAGCACAGAGTCCATTTTTTATCTTGTCTTTTCTTTCAATTTTTCCTTTGGATTTCTCTTTTCTCGATAGGAGCCGATGTAGATGAAGAAATAGGGGTAGAGAGATAGAACAGAGGGGAGGAGAAGAACGATGAGGACGAGGTCAATTCTGGTCCAACACGAGGACAAAGAAATTCAGTCTGCCTGACTGACATCAGCGGGTTAAATCCGATACACCTAGACGCCTCTGGTTACATATTCCGAACCTGGTAATCCCACTATGCTTTCTGAGGGGTTCAATGGTTTTCGGTTTGACTGGTAGTCTGTCAGCCCTGATAAACACGCTGTATAGAGTCGAATGGAATGCAATGCAACGGTTCTATCTAACCCTTGGGTATATTTGGAACGTACTTTGTCAATTCTGCACAGCATGTATCCCCGAATGGCTTGGAGAGAGTGAAGTAGATTGAAGATGAAGAGTAAACAGTAAACAAACTTCAACCGACCTACCCTTGTCACGGGATCGCCGCCTTTCTTTCTCTTCTTCTTCATTGTTTGTCAATTATTTCTCTTCGTTTCTTCATCTCTCTCTCCTCCAATCTCGAACTCTCCCATCCTCCCATGGATTCTTCATTTTTTTTCCACTTCTCTTCAGTAAATGCATTTTCTTTTTCAGAGTAACACATCCACTTTTCAGCACGCCACTTCGCTTTTTGCTCCTGTCAATAACGAATCATGACCATCGGAGACAATCCTGGTCAACTACCGACCAGGGGAAACGCCATCTTTCTCCAAATGGATCTGACCACCCAAGTTGTCCCAGCTAACGAATTCGTCACTGGAGGTCAAAACACGTCCTCACCTTCTCCCGCGCCACAATGATTGACTGGTCAATTGTCATCCAGGCCACCGACTCAACCACGTTCCAATGCTGACGGCAGATCAGCACGGCCCTTGGGTAAATCTTCACCAATATCGGCTGATCCTCAACGCTGGGAGTCATAGGGAGCCCGGAGTCCTCCATAAGGCTATTCAGCCGGAGCTGGATCGGGCATCCCATATCCAATACTGCACGGTCCAGGCGTCTAGGGTTGACCACGGTTTTCGCGCTTGCTAATTTTATTGATGAACGTGGACCGAAATTTTTCAACCTCTATTAAGTAACCGTTGCTATTATAGTCTTACCATGACAGTCGCCCCCTACCCACCCCCGCCATTTCTGTGTAGGATTCGTCAGTCTTGTGTTTTGGCGCCCCATAGTGTCATCTGGCTCTGTCACTTCCTCATCGGACGCCGAACGCTTTAGGTTTACTCGAGACATGTTCGCGTCCTTGGTTTGACCTGATCGGTCGAGCCCGACTCCGTCGCCGGCTTACCTGTAGTCTCCCACCGTCGGAACAAGTGAGCCTTCCTCGTCGAATAGCTTGCCCCTAGCCAGCATAGTGTGTCAGTCCTCGTGAACAAACAATCTCTTGAAATTTGGTTCTCTACCAGGGACGCCGGAAGTGTTATTGCCACGAGAATTACATCCATGGTGGTCTAGCAGGGATAAGCTGTTTTCACATTTGGGCAACATGGGAGTCTTCAGCGACCATGGTACAGGTGTCACTGTCCCTAACGCTCGGGCCAGAGTACTGTCTCATCATTTCCACTGCCTCCCGAGGCTTGGCCCAGACAACTGATCTTTTTGTGCCACAGCCTGCTTGGCTGAGGGGAAGTGTCCCACGGGAGGTCGTCCATGTTAGACCCTGAAGAGCGAGATGGAGCGAATCAGTGAGGTGGCATCCGTGGGCATTATCCCTCTTCGGCATGGCACGATGGTCGCTGCGGGTCCGAGATGAAAACCATTAATCTATTAGTCTATTGATTGAGTTTGATGTGCTTTCTTTGTTATTTTGATTTTGATCCTTGTTCTTCTGGCGTTACTTTTATTTTTGTTATGTTTTATTTTATTTTTCCCTTCTATCGTTGGCCCTGGCTACAATTCCCGGGTGGTGCGAAACGCCGCCTACGTGCCCATCTTTGTTCACGCCTGTTGCGGCAGCTGCAAACCAAGCTCAACAGGCACCAGGAGCTGCAGGTCGGTGGAGTATCGCAGCCCAGATGATCAGCCACGAATAATGCCCTAGTTGACACGCTTTACAATCTACAGTCGGAATGCACAGCTGTCGTGGAGGCCATCCGAGGATGCGCCAACCGTGGGCATTGGAATATGGTTCGATGCCCCGCAATACAGCCGTTCCCCATCAAGCCCGACCGGGATCCCTCCGAAGCCATTGCACTACCTCGTAAGTCTACAGGCTCTGGCGATTCTGACCGAGGGCCAATGAGATGCCAGTGGCCGGGATCCGGGTCCTCCCAGCGTGCCAGAATCTTAGAGCTGAGAGCCCGAGATCATCTATAAAGCTATCGACAGATAAGGTTGACGTTGTCTAGCCTGGTCGTATTCGATTCTTCCTCACTGGTTCCCTCAACTCGGTGGCCAACGGCTCTTCACATTAAGATCGAACCATGATGCACTGCCCGCTCACTGTCTTGCCTTGGCTGTAAGCACGTCTGCTGGCCTTGGAGCTTTGGGCAGATATTCGCTGTAGACTTAAAGGCGGCGGCGATCGAGTCTCTCCTCTACCATCAATCCCTTTGTTCTCTCTCGTCACTCTATAGCCACCACGATGCGAGCCCATGCTCCCAAAGAAGAACGGACTTCCGCAGAACCTGCCACGCAGAAGCAAGAAGATCCCATCGAACGGAGAAGACTTCAGAACCGCCTGTCGCAACGAAATCATCGTTCGTGCCGCCCATCCACCGTGTGAAATCTTTACTGACTGGTTGATATCTTAGGTCGCAAGATCCGGGATCGCATTGCAAAGCTTCAAGAGCGAGTCATTGCCACTGAACTACGAGCGGCTGCCAGCCTGAATGGCTGGAACAACCCGAACCCATCTGCCCCGCCGATGGGGCATGCATTGTCTCCGTATGAAGTCGACGGAGGCATCACGTCACTGTCCCCTGAAACTGCCACATCTCTCAGTCCATCGTACCTCTTGTCTTCCGCCGCTTGCTCATCATGTGGGCCCAACGTGGGATCCATGCCTGTCCTCTCGTCACAGTCATCGTCGTCCTCGCTCTTCGACTTCACCGGAAGTGAGATTGACTCCAGTGCATCCTCCTCTATGGGAAGTAGTTTCTTCTCGCCCCGTTTCAGTCCAATGACCCCGGACTTGTCGGTGAGCATGCCGGCGAGTTATCCTCCAGCCGACCTCAGTTCTCCGATGTACCCTGAGCCGTGGGCTTCTCAAGCATCGTACCCACCATCAAATATGTACTACGTCGGTGGGCTACTCTATCCCAGTGCTACGGTTCGTCATACGATACAAGCAGCGCTAATCACGATCTAGAAACCACTCTCCCCCAGATTATCCAAGCCCTCGGCCCAGGCGCCTCGCGCACCAAAGCCATCATCCTTCTCCCTCAATCTAACGGCCATCATCCACCCGCCGGCATGGGCCCTCCCCCACCACCAACAGGGCCCTCCCCGTCCTCGGCAATAACAGCAACGGGGGCCAGCGCGATCGACCCCGTCATTGCCTCCTTGAACCCGATAAGCTCGCACCCGTTGGCCTGTCAGTGTGGATCCGGATCAATGCCGGGGTCCCCGGGGTCAGTTGGGGGCATGGATTGGATGGGCGCCGGGACATCCCCGATGTGTCCAGTCCACGGTGGACAGGGCGGTGGCGGGATGGAGAGTCATCAACTGACGATGCTATGACTACTATATATACTACTTTTGGTGGGAACTTTGGAGTTTGAAACAGCTATACGGTTAATATAATAAATTGGCTATACTATTTCTCTTTTTATTGAGCGTTGGTCGATATGGTATAGATGCCTGACAAAAAGGGAGGTGAGGTTAACCTTCGGCACTAGTATCCTTCAAATCTAGCGTGGACAACAATTTGTCGGGAAACAAGTACCTCTGGCAGTAGAATCAGTCCGGATGCCTTGGTCACAAAGCGCCATCCCTATTCCATAAACAGCACTCCTATACTTCATAGAAGCACTCCACTAATGCAAGCATCCGTGGCTTAACACGCTGCAAGAAAAAGATAAAAACTAGAAGAAAAAAAAAAGCAAGCGAGGCTTCAGAGAAGTCGTAGACCACGGTGCAGATCTTACCGGGGAGGGTTAGGCTTCCCCCTAGTTAGCCCTAACTGTTTATCTGTAGGACTCAGCTCCCTACATGAATTAGATTTGGCGTCGCTGTTGCTTTCTGGTGTGGGTTTTTTGTAGGGTATTAAAATATATTTGGATCTTTCTGCTTGCGTTGGATATATCGCATAGTTTATTGCATTGACGTTGGTCGGTGGGGAGTAGTTAGTAGGTGTCGAGGCATCAATATTATAAACCTAGCTGATACCCTACATTTTCAGCGAGGAGCCTTGGCTGAATGCCAATAAAGCTGCAAGAGAAATGCCTTAGGGGTTCTAGGCATCCCCTACGTTTTGTGGCGAACTTTTTGAAATATTCTACATTCGGTGTAGTACCTAACGACAGTAATGTCTATACCTTGTCCAATAAATAACGGTAGGTTAGTACTCGTCAGGGTTAATAGAAAGCAACCGAGTATAGCTCAGATACCATACCACTGGACACGGCGTCCTCCACAGCATGCATCGCATCGTTCTATCAGTTTATTAAGTATGTATCATGTAGTTTTGATCAACTCAACATACTAATAAGTTGCAATTGTATTCGGCTTATTGTTGGACTAGCACTATATAAACATGAATAGCACGGACACACCCACGAGGCATACACCTTCCTTGCTCGAGTCCCGAGACCATACTTTCATATCGTAGGTTTGAGGGGGGTTGCCGGAGAGGATAAGTAGACTCGGGCTGTCCATAGGGTGAGACACACTATGTACTGGCCTAGTAGCATAGCATGTATCTTGGATTCGGTCAGCTCAGAAATCATATCTACAGCTGCAGGGATTCCCATGAGTGTGTTATTTTAATTTCATCATGCTCTAGATGTCACGTTCATGAATAATTATACGCTGAGTCCTGTGGGATATGCCTGCTATAATGCTTTCGGGCTGGATAAGTTTAGGTCGAGTGCCAAGAATATCTGACTCTAATCATACAGCGAACAAGGTTGTCTGACGTCATGGTTGGAATCAGGCTTGCAGGATTCGTCCCTGTTAGGATATTGGTGTGCTCGAGGTCAGGGGTATGGTGGAGGGCTGTGAGAAAGGCTATGCATGATAATATCATCGTTATCTATCTAATTGGAGGGTGATTGATATGAGGATAATAATATATGGATATTAGATCGGTTCTCATGACCTGTTAGCCTGAGGATAGAAAATGGCCCCCAACCTGAACGAGGCATCGCCTCCACCATGGCAAGGCTAGGTGGGGTCGAACAACCCCCGGAAAAAAGAAGGAAAAAAAGAAAAAAGACACTTTGATTGACACAATCTGATCAGATATCTTCAGGAATAATTGTAATATTATGTTCCATCGAGTGATAGAGAGAATTAGATAGACTGTAGATGGACACCTGAGGTACGACCTTCAGATGGCCAAGTGGAGGCGACTCTGAGTCAGCCGCCCCGTGTCCAATCACACGGCCACCTCGGCTCCACGACTTTCAACCGTCTGGGAAAGAATCGACAATCGATGGCGTTTCATCAGGCCAAAAGGCCAAAGGGCCAAAAAAGGGACTCTTCCCTCGATCCTTCTCGATCTTTTCTCTCCATCCGCTTAATCCGTCCTCCTTTTTATCTTCTTCCTCTTCTTCTCCCTCCCCACCTCCTCTTCTTCCTTCCTCCCATTCTTTTGACACCCCTCTAAGAATCAGACATCTTCACCCCTTCGCCGCCCGCCGCTCCCTCCTCTCCCCCCCCCCTTTTCTGGCTCCGCTCTACGATGCCATCGATCCTTCCCCGGATTGATCTGTTCTTGTCCTCCCCCCCGCAATGACTCTCCCCGGTTGCTCGCGATGGCGCCTGAGACAAAATCTCCTGCTCTACCTTTTCTACTGCACCGGCTTCTTCTGTCTCTTCGGCATCATCTCCATCTGGTTTGGCATGAACACGGACCGCGACTATGTTCATCCGTTATTGACCCAATTGATCCCTGCTGGCCACTGCGCCTGCCAGACATCCACCACATTCCAATGCTCCACCTGTCTCTCCTGCTCCGAGCAGTCCCCCGCGCATCTCCCGCCCCCCGGCGCGCCCCCTCCATGGCAGTTCCAGTCGACGCGTGACGCCAACAACGAAAGCCTCGATGCCGACCAGTGCCAGACCGCCTTCCCCGGTCTCTTCGAGGATGTGTCCCGCGCAGGTGTCTACTGGCGGGCCCACGGATATTTGGGGACGGAGGACTTGGACCGCATCCCGCTGGAATTGGGCATGGCCCGAGCCTTCATCCACCGCGGCGAACTTCACGTGGTCGCCGTACACTCCAAGGGAGAGGACCACCGTCGCAAGATCCTGGCAGTGTTGAGCTCCATCCATCGCGCGCTGGTCGCCGATGCTCGTCGGGCCGCCCGGCGCGATATTGAGTTTGTCTTCTCCGTCGAAGACAAGGTGGAGGACGTCACCAGTTCGGACAACCCCGTCTGGGTGCTGGCGCGGTCCGCGACCGAAGAGGCCGTCTGGCTGATGCCGGACTTTGGCTTCTGGGCCTGGGATAACACCCAGAATTCGATCGGGCCGTTCGACCAGGTGGTGGAGCGTGTGAAGCGTGCTGATATCCCTTGGTCGGAGAAGAAGCAGCAGCTGGTCTGGCGGGGCAAACCGAGTTTCGCCCCCAAGTTACGGCGTGCCCTGATGGATGCCACGCGGGGGAAGTCGTGGGGCGACGTCAAACAGGTCGACTGGACAGACGGCACGAATATCATGCGCATGGAGGACCACTGCCAGTATATGTTCATTGCCCATGTAGAAGGTATGCCTTTGTCCCTCTCGTTCACCTCCTTTTCTTAGTTGTCCTATTCCTCTGCCGTTCGACTTCTCTTGTGTCGGGAGTTGTTGTTAACTCTCTTTTTCAGGTCGCTCCTATTCAGCATCCCTCAAGTACCGCCAAGCGTGCAACTCCGTCATCGTGGCCCACAAACTGCAGTACATCCAGCACCACCACTACCTTCTCGTACCGGACGGTCCCCATCAAAATTATATCGAAGTAGAACGCGATTTCAACGACCTGTCGGAGAAGATGGAACCGCTACTGCGCGACACCAAGGCGGCGCAACGCATCGCAGACAACAGCGTGCGGACATTCCGCGAGCGGTACCTGACCAAGGCAGCCGAGGCATGCTACTGGCGATCTCTCTTCGACGGATACGAACAGGTGTGGAATAGCAGTGTGACAGTATGGTCGGAACAACAACAACGGGAGCGGGGTCTGCGATACGAATCCTTCATTCTGTTGGATAGCCAGTCAATGTTGGATTTTGAAGCGATGTGACGAAACTGACTCGATCAGTGCTCATGGCGGACAGACGGATTAACGGACTGATTTGCGATTATTGGCTTGCATCCCGGAGTTGACGGTGTCGGGACCCCCGGGATCCTATCCTTGTACAGGTTTTTGCCAGGTCCCGGGGAACCTCCCTTTCCTTTGGACCGGTTCATCGATACCACAGGAGCGTGTGTTTTCTTTCCTTGCCGTTTTTCCCTGCCTTTTTGGGGGGGGGGGTTTGTATAGCATAGAGACTCTGATTACTAGAGTGGCCGTCCCTTTATTAGCACATATACCGGCCCATCATACATAATTTAACCATAATCCCGCTTAGATTGCGGACTGCAAAGATTAAACATGTCGGTGATTTCTTGTTTGAAGTTGGGCTTCATTATAACCCCTGTCTTGTACATGTCTTGTGCGACCTCTCTCGATTACCATTGTTATTGGAGTTTGAGATTTGTGGTGGCTTTCAAGACCTCCCCTCGGTAGTCCAGACCTAATCCAATTTGTTGAATCGTATCCTCCTATACTCCGTACTACCTGGTACTATAGCAGGTACTAAGTACCTTAGTGTCTCGGAGAGCGAATACTGGCGAGGTAATAGATATCATGTGATTCGTGGTCGAGTCAAATGGGCTTTCGATGATCAAATAGTCGGTGGAGTCATTCTCAGCCTTCTCCACATTTCATCGACTAGTCTGCGGATAGTCTGGTATCTGTATCGCACGGGTGAGATTGGATTTCAGATCGAGTGAGACGAGCGTGTCTGATCAGTGATCGCTGGCAAGTTTCCAGTGTACTTACCCCTTTCTGGCTGCTGAATACTATACTACAGTAATACTTACTGTACTCTGAAGACGCTTTGCACGAAGTCCAGATATGACCTGATGGACTCGACACCGTCAATTATCCCTTCAAACGGGGACATCCTGCACGGGGTTGTCAAACAAAACAAGGCAGACAGACAGACAAAAAAGCGCCACGACATGATTCATTCCCCCCCATCCACAGGCTGTCCGTCTGCCATTGTGGAGTCCACCAGGTGACACCCATCAACAAATCAGGCCCATCCACAACAGAAACCAAAAGAAAAAAGACTCGTTCCAGTGTCCACCCTTTTCCTTTTCGCCCGCCCCTCCAAATGACAATTCCCCCACGGTGGATTGGCTGGCTGCATGACGCAAGGCCTAAAGCGAAGGCATGTCCGTCTGTCTACCAGCCTGCTCCCTCGACGAACCATGATCTGTGCGACGATCAGCCCATCAACCACTCACAAGCATCCAGTGGATCCCTAAGGGTGCCAATCCCCTCCCGCTATCGAAAAGATCGGCGCGGGCGAGATTTCAGCTCAGATCTGCATCACATCGAGGGATGGGCTTGACTTGAGTGGTGTCGCTGCTGCAGCTGGTCTCCATAGGTAATAAGCGCGGCGTGGTCCGGTAGGGAGTTTGAGTCAAACAATAACAATAACAATTCTAATCCTAATTATAATACTAATAATATCGGTGCCATCCTCCCTCGTTCCCGTCTGATTCTGATTTCTCTCCGTTGTTTACTGGACTACTCCCAAGGAGACGGTGCAACATGTCTACCCCCATTCCCAAGCCTAAAGGGCTCCCGATTTTGGGAAATTTGTTTAACCTCGATGGGAATAATCCTTGGGCTTCGTTTAATAAGCTGGCTTTGACTAATAAGGATTTCCGTGTGTACCCCCAGGCATGATACAGTTGCAAGCAGACTGCAATTGCTCTTCACGGAGTATCTAGATCAACTCAACTAACTGGCCAGGTCCCATCTTCAAAATCAGCATCCTCGGACACGACATCGTCTTCGTCACAGGCGCCGCCCTTCTAGAAGAAATCTGCGACGAGAAGCGATTCCGCAAATGCGTCGCAGGCCCCATCATCGAGATCCGCGCCGCAGTGCACGACAGCCTCTTCACGGCAAAACATGACGAAATGGAGATGTGGGGGATCGCCCACCGCATCATGGCACCACTGGCAACCCCCGAAGCAACCGCCCTCCTATACAGCGGCATCCGCGAAACATCCGCCGACCTGATCAAAAAATGGACAGCAGGCCCGCGCCAACGCGTCCACATCACCAACGACCTCGACCGACTCAACCACGAAGCCAACACGCTCTGCTTCTTCGACAAACGCGTCCACTGCATGGAAGGGCCAGAACCAGCCCTCGTCGCAGCCATGGCCGATTCAACTGGCGAATCACTCAAGCGCCCAACCCGCCCCCGCCTCCTCACCTGGCTCCTGCACGAGCGCAAATGGAAACGCGACATCAAAACCATGCGCGACTTCGGCGCCTCCCTCGTCCAACACCGCCGCGACAACCCCTCCGACAAAAAGGACATGCTGCACGCCCTCATGCACGGCACAGACCCCGAAACAGGCCGCTCCCTCACCGAAAGCCAGGTTCTCGACGAGATCATCAACGTCTACATCGGCAGCGCCACAGCCCCCAACCTCGTCGCCTTCGCCCTCTACTACCTCATGAAGAACCCAGACGAGATCCGCAAGGCCCAAGACGAGCTCGACACCGTCGTCGGCCCCACAGCTGACCTCGAACACACCCACCTCACCAACCTCCCCTACGTCGAGGCCATCCTCCGCGAAGCTTTCCGCCTATCTGGCGTCGCGCCGGGATTCAACATCGAGCCCATCCCCGAAGAGGGGAACGACGCGCCCGTCATGCTCGCCGGCGGCGAGTACCAAGTCCCGCGCAACCAGCCCCTCATCGCCATTCTGGCAGCCGTGAACCGCGACCCGGCTGTCTTCGACGACCCGGACGCGTTCAAGCCTGAGCGCATGGTCGGCGAGAAGTTCGATGCGCTCCCTGCGGGGGTCAAGAAGGGCTTTGGAAATGGCCAGCGGAGGTGCTTTGGGTCTCGCTATGCGTGGGAGTGGTCGTTTTTTACGCTCGCTGCTATTCTCAAGGACGTGGACTTTCAGCAGGCGGACCCGTCGTATGTTATGCATAATGAGGGCGTGAATTATAGTGGGGCGTTTACTGTCAAGCCTGTTGGTTTCTTTGGGATTACGGGGCCGAGGGTGAGGCAGTAGTGATGGATTGGACTTTGCGAGGAGTGTGGTAGCTGTTCTAGACTGATCAGGCTCTACCCTGTGGCTGTATGACAGATTCAAGGAGAAATTCGATGGTTATATTTGATACCAATTGGGGGGAATGACAGGTTGATATACTGTATGGCATGGAGGCAATAATCAGCAAATATATAATGGAGATGTGTAACGCGATTTATTCTATTCAATCGACCCCGCAATTACAGCTGGAGACTCTGCCATGGATTTTGATTCTCTAGATTGTTTTTGCACCGTTCTATGTAAAAGCTACTCCCCCCCCCCACCTGTACATGTGCCACATTCATACACAGACAACTTACCCAGTCTATTTTCCAAATGCTACCAATTATCCCGTACCATAAAAAACAAAATTAAGCTACCAGTCTCCAGTCCATGTCTATACTACGCCGTGGTAAAACACGTGATAGGGCACCATTGACCCCGGTCACGTGGGGCTTAAATCACCTACAATTGACCTGACTCGGTCAGCGGTCTTTGTCTTCCGCAGACAACAGCTCAATACCTTGAGAATTATCCTTGAAGCTCACCAGCCATGGTATTTGCTATCTGCTTGCGCATTGAGATGTTGATACTCGGTCATGATCTACAATTGCCCTTAGCCGGGCTGTTATAATATCCAACAGCCTGTGAGAGAATAATGTGGCTATATAGGTGAGTTGTTTGGACAGCTGGCCATCTATAACACAAGAAATTGCAGAATGAGGTCGATTGCACTGAGAAGCAGAACAGAAGGAAATGAAAGGAAAGGAAGTAATGGAAAGAGAACCCATTCTGAAGCTGGACAAACATCGATCAAAACAATGACACGCAGAATGTACTTTGAATGAGACAGCAAAGAAGACTTGGCAAAAGACGCAACCACACTTCGACAAGGAAAATACAAGACTATACTAATCAAAATGAATCCTCCACAACTCCCGATCACAGCGACTCTTATACCCCGTCCGCGTGTGCAGCATGCTCGTATTGTCGCTGACTAGCATGTCGCCCCTCTCCCACTCAAACCGCAAACAGACCCGATAGTCATAAGTCATGCGATCAATGACGTCCACCAGCGCCTGGTCCTCGTTCTCGACATGCACCGCACAGGTCGAGAATTTGGTCTTCGTCTTGTCCCATGGCTGGTGCCAGCGCACGCAGGGCAAGCCCGTGACCTTGTGCGTCACGACAAGTGGTAGGCTCTTGAGCTTGGCATCCCAGAAGCCGTCATTGTCCATAGCCCACGTAACAGGCTGGAGACGCTCTGCAGTCCACGGGAGTGGCAGATAGCGGAATAGGAGGCGCGAGCTGGCAAACAGCGTGTACCCGCTGCCTTTCGGGGCGGTCGCTGGACAGGTGAAGTACTGATACCCTGGGGGCCTCTGGACGCGGACGGTCTCGCCCGTAGCAGGGTCAGTCTGGTCTTCGAACTTGAACATGCCGTCGAAGTGCATGGGCATGGCTTCGTTTGAAGTGACGTTGTTGCCTAGCTTGTCGGTCCGCCCCGCGTCCCGCACTTTCTGGATCACTCCGAAGCTCCAGGGGAGGATGGTGCCTAGCTCGGAGGCGGTTGCCAGGTACTCTTCCTCGTTGAGGGAGTCGGAAAAGCCGCGGAGTACGACCGGTGAGAAGGTGTTGGACAACTGTCGGACTTTGCGCATGGGGATGGTCCGGATGGAGGGCGGGGCACGGCTGTCGTCGATGTCGACGGGGCGGATGATCAGCCCGCAGGGGTAGAGGTGCTCGAATTTGACGGTGAGCCCGTCGGCACGCAAGTCGAAGAGGTCCGATCGCTCACGGAAGTAATACGGGCGGCCGTTCTTGTAGATCAGGTCGTGCGTCTCGCGCACGTCTTCGGCATGCACCGTGCGGAACGTGCCGTCGGCGTTGACAGCGATGGACGAGTGCCAGGGCGTGTACCCGAGGGCACCGCGGATCTGGGGAACCAGAGAGATGGAGAGCTTACGCTCGCCATTGGACTCATGGATCGAGAGGCGCACGTAGTCGCCGCGGTTGGCCTTGATCGCAGCGGCGAACGCCTTACCGCGGACGATCATACTGCGCGCGATATCAGCGATGCGTGCCTGGCGGGCCTTCTTCGTCGTAAACTGCTTGTCTTCCTGGTGCGCCAGGTCCTTGGTCAGGAACTTGATGTACCCGCGGTACGTCAGGCAGGTGTCGTTGTCATTGCGGATGGCCTCGGCGGCATCGAAGGTCGGGTCACCGAATCGGTACACGAGCTCCCGGCGCAGACAGTTGGCGTGCGCCAGGTAGTGCACCTTGGCTTCTTCGGGGCTGCTTGTCTTGATCCAGGGGTGTTCGAGGAGCTCGAACAGCCGGATGAACTTGACGTGGTGCAGTTCCTGCTCGACGGCCATCTTCCGCAGGGTCTCGCCGTAGTCCCACACCGTCTCGTCGGTTACACCCAGGATGTCTGCGATGGTTTGGTCAAGTCAAATCACGTATGTGGAAGGTGTCTTACTTACCGTTGTATACCAAACCGTCCGAGCTGATATACGCGTCTGCGCCGGGTTCGTATACTTGGGCGATATTCTGGCACAGTCCGTTGAGGTGGTGCAGGGCCAGCTCCTCGCCCATATCCGGGAGCACACCGAGGACCTTGTCTCGCGCGTTGGGGGATTTGAAAGGAAAGGCGGGGAGGACCATGCGGACCGGCTCGCCTTTCTTGACTTGTTCGAGAACAGTAGGGATGAAAGATGAAAGACCCTTCCAAGATTCGCCTGTCTTCTCATAGTTCACCCCGTAGCTCTCGATGACCTTTAGGATTGCAATAGCTGTCTGCTTCTCTTTGAAAATCTCCGGCTCATCTCCGTTGACGGACGGCTCGGGGGTCAGGATGTCTACGTCGGATGCCGGCCCTTGGGACTGGGCCGTGTCTTCCTCTTCCAGGATATGTGGTCCAGCCCCGTTGACATCCCCGTTCACTTCACGGGGTGTCTCGAGCATTGCAGTCATTTCTGTCTCCTCTCGATCTGGCTCTAAACATGAGTCAACATCAATATCTCCAATACGATCAGTCAGCGAGCTTCCTCACCTGTCCAACGACGCGGTCCATCCACTGCGAGCGAGACGGTATCTGCATCCGGCGCGGAGCCCACCTCGGAAGAATCGACAACAGCGGACACCTTGAGTGCCGACTTGGCGCTGTACGACTCGTGTGCCTCGACCTGGGACTCCTCAAGGCAATCAGTACTAGGTAGGACAGCAATCATGGCGTCTGTTTCTTGTTTCACGTATGGGAAATCAATCAAGAGCCAACTGAAACTTGCTCGAACGTGCTCAGTAGTGCAGTTGAAAACTGGATGTGTGTTGGAATTCAGGGTCTGTGTCTCCATCCCCTTGAACAACAGCATGGATTTTCCCTCCTTATATAGCCCAGTTCCCAAGGTTTCTTTTCCCTCCACCAGACCAAAATCAATAAAAAAAGGATCAGAGTGTGCCATCGGGGATTATGGTTAACGCTCCTGTCAGCAGAATACGAAGAGAGCCAAAAGTCATCTCAGCCTGAGCACACCACGACGAACAGCCGCCTGTCCACGAGCACAACTCGCGCTGAATTGAGTATTCGGTCCGTTCAGCTTGCCCGACACCAGGTCTTCAGTCCCCTGTTGAACTGAGTAAGGCATGAGCCTTGGAAAACTCAGAACCCGAATCGACGAACCAACCAGTTTGTCGTCCGCTGCTGAAGTTCGCGCTGTAGTCATGTCTTCCGGAGATGCCCTGACGAAAATGTCGGAGGTGATGACTAGAGCTGCATGCGCTCCGGAGGCATTTATTGGCTAGCTGGGACGTCCGTCGAACTGCTCCTGCCTATCCTTAGGTAGGTACCATCGCCACAATGGCCATTTTTAGATGTCTCAGGGACGAGGGTTTGGAAAGCTGTCTGTACGGCTGGCTGGATGCTGGCTGCTGGCTAGATGGCTCTGGTTTGGGCATATCAGCTTGTCCGTGTCAACGCGTGGCTCGAACGCCTGATCCCTGACTACACCTAACACTAAAGCTAGACCCAGATCCGCATATATGAATCTGTCTATGACAAACGGACCCAGTGGCTGGCGTCGAGGGCGAGTGTCACTAGTACTTGGTTTAGACTATGGAAACAGCAGCGTCAACCCCAGGAGACTCGTGGTTTGTCCCTGCAGGGATTCCCTCCCCGGACGTCCGGTATATAGGCGTACATAAGATGGGCCATTGTGACTGTTGATGACAGCTTTTCGGCACCCAAGGGGCAATTCGTCATGAACCCCTGTGGCGTTCTCGTTTCTCTTTTTCATTTTTTCATTTCTTGTTTTTCTTTTAGGTTTTTGCTTCCAAAGCCCTCGTACGGGGTTGGTGACACCAATGTTGACACCACAGACAACATGCTTTTGTGTTGCTCTATCCCGAAGAACGCCCACCCAATAGAATATTCGCCTTTTGAACTTTTGTCCTATTCCCGCTTCTACACAGGCACCTACGCCGAACGGTACTAACGGGGATGACGGAAGTCAAAATCTTTGGCTCAACAAATCAAATGTATTGAACTAGCTCTACGGTGGATGAACGCCCATCCGCGTGGCCTCGTCACTCGCTTAACTTCACATCATACTCCATCACGCGCGCGACGAACTGGGCCATATCGGGAGAGATCAACCGAGAGACCAGATGAAGCGAGGCATCCAGCCCACTGCTGATTCCCCCGGCCGTCAGCAGACGAACGCCCAGCGAGCTAACCTCCTGGTCGACATAGCGGCGGTGGATAATAGTAGGCGGCGCGGCAGCGGGGTTGTTTACCTCTGCGCAGAGCCGGCCCAGGGACTCCACCGCGCGGTGGTGGGTAGTGGCCACCACACCATCGGTGAGCAGCCCCGCCTTGGCAACCAGAAAGGCCCCCGTGCAGACGGAGAAGACCACGCGAGGGACACCCTCCTCCTTACGGGGTAGGGCAGCGAACCTGCGAATGAGGTCCACTTCGGGAGTTTCGCGATGGTCGTGGGAAGGAGCGAGCAGACCGTCTATGACGGACGGCGGGGCGCCGGGGCAAACCAGGATGTCGTACTCGGGGAGTTTGCGCGAGGTGGTGGGGTCTGCGATGACGAGGTCGGCGTTGATGGAGAGGGCGTTTTTGGCGCGCACGATGGAGTCGCGGGCGATGATGTCGATGGTGAAGGCGAGGTCTGGGTCGTCGGGGTTGTGGTTGTGGGAGACGTGGGAGAGGATCTCGAGGGGGCCGGTGAAGTCGAGGAGGTCGACGCCGTTGAAGATTAGGACGGCGACTTTGTAGTATTTCTGGGGGGGAGACATTGTGTAGGAAATTAGTGCTGGATATCGATCTTTGGTGGTGGTGATGCTCGTCGTCGTCGTCGTGCGGTAGACACTGCGTTATGTGTTTGGGTTCAAATACCGGTAACAAAGTGCAAACCACCATCGGAGGATGCACTACATTCCATCCCTTCTCCCCTTTCATACATCGGTAGATTTCTACCTGGCTACAGAGCCCACCTCAGCTGAAGTGAGAGTTCTCAAACCCGTGTCCACCATGCTGACTCTGCTGACTCCTCTTGACGCCCAGGGGGAAAACATCAACTCGCCACATGTAGATGTCTCAGCCCCAGAAATAGATATAATGATTACTCAGTTTGATCTCGGCGTGTCCGGCTTGATTTCTTTGCATGTCTAATGGAGGGAGGACCGTAATCATCAGACCTTGGGCTGGATGTGGATGGGATGCATGTATGTTGGGTCTGCAGGATATGTACAGTCGTCCAGAATTTGCAAGACACAAGAATATTATGCCATACAGCAAAGAGTCAAGAAGAAAAAGAGGAAGGCAGACTAAATCCAATGGTATACATCATATTCATCACTTCTACCCCATAATGAAAAATCTCTACAATTTCCATCTACTAGATCATAATAAGCGGCCTCCTAGTCCACCCAAAAAACACATCTACGGGGTATATTTATAGTATCTTCAGATGCCGTCATATCCTCTATGCATCGTAGCAAGCACTAGCGTGAGCGATCTGCAGATCTCTCGTCTCCACTTCAGCTAGCCTACTTGCACTTCCACCGCCACTCTTCATGTACGTACTTGGGTGTTTGTGTAAATTATACATATATCTATTAATTTATCTTAATTATGATGATGTATTGGATGCCCTACTTCTGATACATTAGTCCCTACCCAGTACTTTGTTGTTGAATCTGCGGTGGTTGCGCTTGTATATCCGTATCTAGAGAACCTGATACACCTAACATGCATAGAGAACACCGGTGCTCCAATGAATAAATCAAACAATTCAATATGTCCGAATTAGTAGAAAAGAGAAATACATTCGTACTTACTGCATATGCCCATCCTTCAAAGAACATCGGGAGAAATGTATAAATCGGGCAGATTATTGACTTACATAAAATCCTCTACCAACCTACAGACGTAGGCCAACCATAGATGAACAAGCGAACAACGGGTTAAATTAAGCATATGGCGCCCAATAACGCCAAATACCTCACGATAATATCCTAATGTATACAACAAAGATATCTCCAAAAAGCCAATCAATCAAAGAACCAACCCGTGTATTTTTCCTCGCCAGCCCATCCATCCATCCAACCAACCAATCAACTAAACACCCATCGTACAATCATGCAAAACCGGGAAAAAATGCAACCAGTGCTAAAACAAAAGAAAATCAACCATCACAAGTGGACCGAATCAACTCCACAATGGCGGGTGGATGTACTCCGACGCCCGGTCGAGGATATTCGGGAACGTCCACTCGCTGCTGGTAGAGCTTTCCGGAGTCGGCGGCGGGAGCGATCCCATGTTGGGCGTCAAGCTGGCAGAGACGGGCGCCGCGAAGGGGCCCATTGTGGCGCTGCCGGGGGCTGCCACTGGGTGCATGTAGGCCGGAGACCCGGCGGGCCCGGAGCCCGTCGACGGGGCCATGCCGTGCGATGCGAATGCGGCTTCGAGTTTCTCCAGTGCGCTGAGAGTCTTTGTGAGGGGCTTGGCCCACTGTGTTTGAGTGTCGATTGCGACGGCTGCTGATGCGGGGGAGGCGGAACTGAGGGCTGCGGGGCTGGTTGCGGATGGGGCGGCGGGTTCGCCGGCGGGGAAGCCTTCGGAGTTGGCGCGCTCGGAGATGATTAGCTTTAGTTGCTGGAGGAGGGACCAGAACCGAGGGTCGGTCTTGGACTCCTCTGTGACGGCTAGGAGGAAGATGGAGCTGATGGCTCGCTGGAGGGTGATCCATGAGCGGGAGGCGTGCGAGCTGACTGAGTGCATTTCGATGTAGGCTTCCACTGTTGTCATGAGGCTGCTTACGCAGTCTGCGCGCATGCTGGCGATGGCTGGGTCTTTGGGGTGGGCGGCGTATTTGAGAGCTGGCCGACACAGCTCGGAGGAGAAGTAGGATGAGTGCAATTTCAGGACGAGCCGCTCTAGGTGTTGTGTGGGCGTCATGCAGTACTCGCGGTCCCGCAGGTACGGTTGGGCCTCGGCGATGACCTGCTGGATTCTCTCTTTGTACGATTGGATGGATTTGGAACTCATTTGGTTATGAGGGCTGAGCATTCGGCCACGGACGACCTCCAACGCCAGTGAGATGACCCGGCAGAGAGATTCGAAGTATGGTCGATCGTTTGGAACGGAGTCGTCGCGGTATGCGATATCAGGTTGGCTCACGGCTGTCGTCGAGGGCCGATCGTAGGATAGAGAGAAGTGACTATCTTGCCACGCCATCGACCACCTGCCCACTATTAGACCACCAGCTAGGGATAAAAGGGTGGGGTGAACAATTGACTTACCAAACATGTCGTCTCCGGTATCTCTCTGCCGGTGAGAAGTGACTTGATTCAACATGCAATCCAAGAGCCAGCCCCATTCGGAGAGTCATGCCTAGTCTGGTCAGCGGTGAAATACAACGAGCGAGGAACAGGACTAACCGAGAAGCACGTAGGAAATTCCCGGGTTCATATTATAAGACAGAACATTGCCAATGACCAGGAGAGTCTCAATGGCCTCGATTGTCGGCTGCGACATGAAATTGGTCATCCGCAAACATTGGTAGGAGCAACAAACTAAACAGATCAGCACAGTGACACAGCCGAGCATTCGGAGACAAAGCGTACCGTAAACCTGAGAGGTCAACTCTCGTTCTTTACCAGGGATGTCAGAAGATTGGCAGCCGGACGCCAACACAGCAAACAGCAAACCCAAAAAGGCAATGCTGACGCCGAACGGCTTCTGCGTCTGATTCGCATCTACTTGGTACGCTCCGCCCATCGCCGCTCGGTTTTGTAGAACAAGATCGAGATACATTTCGAACTGCGGGATATCTCCAAGCACGGGGTAGATAGCGCCCGCAATATCACGATAGTAGATGAAGAATCTGCCAACCGTCTATCAATATCATGCGCGAAGGGAGGGAAGAAAAAGAAACTCACTCTTTACACTGTCGATCGCTGGGAAGTGCGCCACAAACGGCGCTCACATCAAAGGTCGACATATCCGAGGACCACAGATCAACGAACGGATACGTCGCGGACTCGTTGTCAAGACCCAGCTTGGGTAAGATCCCTCCCTCCAAGAGGGCTTGCAACTGGTCCGACCCAGACTTATTGTTGAGTATATATGCCAACACAGATCTCGACCCCAGATGGACGGTGCCCTCGCCCAAGGTGTTTGGCGCGTGGATGCCCTCGCGCTCAGGAGACGGAGGTTTAGACCGGTTGCTAGCCTCCGCGCTCTGGACGCTTCCCGTTTCCGTCAACGCCGGCCCTTCTTCCGCCCTCTCCAGTCCGGTCCGCATATTCGAGATAGTCTGCTCCATATCCCTAAGTCGACTGCGAATGTTGTCCCACTCCTCGCGCGCAATCGACACGCGAGCTCCAGGGGCCGGTCCGCTCGGCCGGCGCAAGCCGGCCTCCGTTAATCCGGGCTCCTGCTTCAAGCGCATATTGGCATCCGCGGGGCCCGGGAGGCCGACACTTTCTGGTACACTGGCCTGCGAGCCTCCGACTGGACTATCGCGGTAGGGCTGCGCGAGAGGCCCCGCCATGACGCGTTTTTTCGAGGGTCGTTCGTACGAGCACAGATCGGCGTGGTCTCGCTTCACGCACCCGTCGCAAGGGAGGTTCCGATCGCACTTGACCTTCCGGGCATGACACGGGTAGCAGGCTTTGGGCTCTCGCGCTTTCCGCTTGGTGCGAATGATCGCATCGACTTGGGAGCGGGGGAGGTCGGTGACGGACCGAGAGGCAGTCGCCATGTCGGAGCCGGGTAGAGGCGACGGGAACGACATGGACGACTGATATGGCGAAGTCATTGTGGTACAGTTAGCGTCGTCAGAGGAATCAGTGCCTGGTGGTCTATTCGGCTCTGTCGGGGAGCCTGTCGGAAACCTGTCCGGGCGATCGCGGGTCGTTCTGCCAACCGGTGTCGTCGCAGACGGAGAAGAACGGGCACAGAAAGAGGATCGGATGGGCGGCTAGCGTCACGCTGAGGGTAACCGAATGTACATTGCTGGATCGAGTCGAGAGCAGTCGTTTAGTAGAGATTCGAACGGGGGGGAACGGGTCACCGAAGCTTTCCAATGGAGGAATCAATGCGGGATGGAGGAGGCGAAAGACGGGGAGAGCAAGACAGTGGCACGTGACCAGGATGCCCGGAATGCTGACTCAGCCAGGGTCTGCACGTGACGGGGCGGGGAATCCCCATGCCCTAATTTTCAGTGACGTCGAACGGCTGTGGCGAGCAAACGGATGGAGTTCTCCAGACTAACGAGGTGATGGTGCCTTGGATTGTGTGTCTATCTCGCTAGAGTCGATATTGTATATCGACTGACGAGTCTTAAGTTGGAATTTCGGTCAATATTACTCAATCTATTTTTGACGAGACTTATGATGGTCATACAGGAGATACTTGGACACAGTGCTAACAACTTATCTATGGATTTATAGACAACTATATATACACACGTCTTGCAACATATTAAGGTATTCTTTAATTAGAAAAAGGGAAAAGATAGAAATCAAAAACGCTAGTGGAAACTCCCAAACTTTTTCAAATGCCGCGTAAATGCATCAACCAATCTCAAAGCAAACCACGCCGAGCGGGAGGATGGGGATATCAAGACAATGCATGGGGGTATTTCAATAATTAGGTCCGTAAAAGGGTCAGACGGGAATGTGAAGATGGATCAAACACAAGTGATCCAGATCCGAGCAACCCGTGATAATTTTTGTTTTGTTTCAAGTTTAGAACTTGCCATGCTCTTCGTCGGGGACGAAGGCGTATTTGGAATAGCGGCGGATAGACTCTCCCTTAAAGTAGAAGACGAAGGGAATCAAGCAGCAAGCCAGACCCAGGAAGGCCAGCAGCGTGCTCGCCCACTCGTAACCCAGACGATGATACATCTGTTCGGTGAACAGCACCGTGCTGGCACCCCACATCGAACGCAGGAAGGTCTTGGCTGCCAAGGCGGAGGCGGCTTGGTGCTGGTAGGTGTCGACCAGGTAGTTATTGGCCGAGTTGTACAGGAAGATGAAGCCAAAGCCGACGGGGAAACCACCGATGGCGGGGCCGAACCAGTGGATACGGGGGTACGAGGTCCAGGCGAAGATGAACAGACCGATCGGGATCAGCCAGCACGAGAGCATCATGGGAATCAGACGGCTCTCGGCGGGGGGTTGCCGGCCACCGTTCTTCGCATAGAGAGACAGGTAATGCTTGTTCACCAGGGGGGCGCAAGCCGCACTGAGCAGGACACCGATAGCGAGAGGAATGAACATCAGACCAGTAGATCCAGCGCTCCATCCCTTGCCTTCTTCAAAAACGATAGGGTAACTAGACGGACGATTGTTAGGAGGACGATCCCAATTACGTCATAGGGGATTATGGACTTACGCAACGAAGAACATGTACAGCAGACCGTACAGGACCGACATGTAGATGGCGATGAACAGCACAATGGGCTCCAGGAAGAGAAGCTGGAAGGGGCGGAAGAGGAAGATGCGCAGCTTCTCGCCCATCGGACGGGGATCCAGCTCGGTCTCGGTCACGTACTTCTCGTCGTTCTCGGTCTTGCGCAACTTCTGGGCTCTCTTCTTCAGAAGGGTAGGGGCATAGGTTTCCGGCACGGTGAAAGTGATCAGAACCCAGGCGCAGAATCCGAGGATCAGCTGGATCCAGTACAGCCACCTCCAGTCACCCGTGCCATCCGCGAGGTAGCCACCGACAAGGGGACCAATGGCGGGACCAATGAAAGGACTGGCGGAGAAAGCAGCCATGGGAACACCACGTTCCTCGTTCTTCCACAGATCGGCAAGCGTGCCACCGACCAGCGTCATGGGCGCACTAAAGGCGATACCGTCGATCGCACGGCAGACGATCAGAGTTCCGATGTTCTTGGCGACGGCGCAGGGGATGATGAAGACAACGGCCAGTAAAAGAGTGAGAGCGTAAACGGGTCGGCGACCAAACATTTCTGATGCGGGGGCGAATGCCATGGGGCCTGGACAAGTCAGCTTTTGACGATCTCAAATGATTAAAGGAACTGGGTTTGTGGACCACTTACCAACACCGAAACCAATGACGAACACGGTGACCACGACCAGACTCACTTCACGCGACACGCCAAATTCCTTGGCGGGGCCTTCGATATCGGCCGTGATCACACTGCTGGTAAAGGCGACAACGAAACAGGTAAAGGACACGATCATGGTGCAGTACCATTTGAACGCTTTGGACCAGTTCTTCGGGTTCTCGGGGTCGTCGATCTTGAAGGTGACCAGCTTCCAATCCTCCATCTGCCCCGTGACGGTAGACTTGACGGGCTTGATGATCTCACCCGCCGCGGTCTCCGTCACGTACTCTTCCAGGTTGGCATTGTCGGTAACTTGGCGCAACGGAAGATCAGTTGGGTCGACCTGGTCGTTGGCAATGGAGCCCATGGTCATGGTCCGGGTGACCTCCGAAGAGAGGTCGTAATTTTGATTTTGTGGTTCGTGCATCTTGGACAAGGTGGATACAGATAGATGCTAAAGGGATGGGGAGGTAAAGGAAAACATTTGAAGGCCGGTGGGCAGGGGAGACGGGGTACTTATAGATTGACATCTTTGAATGTTCCCAGAATTAGAACGGGAAGAGTGGACCGATCAAAATAAATTTTTAACCTTTAGGATGATGCTTACAGGGTTCAATCTTCAAAGTTACCGTTTATCGAGATACCCAACTCGGCAATCGGCCGGGCGGTTTTGGGTCGGATACGATTCGGTTTCCCGATCGGGATGGTCTCTCTAACTGGATCTGGCGATATCTCCCGAGCGCCCGGGCCCGGGATCCTTACCCATTCCATCCCTCGTTGGTCCACCATTCTCCTTCTTCAATGTTTTGTGTAGTACTCTCGAATCTGGTTTCTGGAACAACCCAGATTGAAAGCCTTTACATTCGAGGTGGCATATCTTGGTTCGGTGCTGGATTAGGTGCTCGAAGATTCTGTTCCGTACCTGCTCTAACCCTCTACACCGGGTCTGAGGGAGAAGAAGGCGAATAGGCGTCTCAATGGCAAACCCCCCCACCCCTTTTTTTGTTGCTTTGCTTGTGATCATGGTGGGGGGGGGAAAGAAAAAAACGCAATAGTATTCTATTAAAGAGGGTTCCATTTTCTGGACCCTTACCAATTGGAAGAAATTTCCCTCATCAACTGTGGATCTCTGGTCTATATAATTTCATATTTGAAGGGAAAACAGGACTGTCACCATTGCTCTTTGTAGTAATCCACTCCTCAATTGTGGTCCCCATGGACCCTTGTCTTGCTTATCATTCGTGAATATCTACCCATCATTATCAATTAGTCCTCCGAACTACATGGACTCGCCCCTAGGTAGCAACCCGTTTGGGTCTACAAGTCCTAGGGCACATTCCAGATCCTGCCTGGCTTAGGCTGCCGTTGTGGATCCATTATAGCTGCCATGGTGGAGTGGCCGTGTGGTTTTTTTTTCGGGTAGTGGGTACGACATGCAGGAATACTAGTCTATCAACTAGGGTCGAGGTTGACTACATCTTTCGAGGTCGGTCTACTTTTTGCCGCGCCTGCCACCTATCCACCCGTGGCACCCAGTAGCCACCGATCTCAGTGATGTGTCTAACCTCACCATCACGGGGGGTTGCGTTCTGGTTTGCAATGTCCGTGCCATGGGAAATGGAACCAAGATCAGCAACTGTTGGTCTGTCACGCCATAAACTATAGAATGGCCAATGCCATATGCTCCGTATACTACGAGTTACTAGGACCTCAGGCCCTACAAACTAGTAGATGTTATCAGGCACCTGATATCATCTGTGATATCAGCAGGGCCACCACATCCTGTGTGAATACTGACTATCCTGTTGCCTAGTGGTGGACAACCATCACAATTGCCAGAAACTGGCTGTGGCGACCACGGGGAGTGACTCCAGACCGGTATCGCCCACATAAGGGAAATATGGCCCTTGGAGGGTTCCGTTGGCAACCGAGATGATGGCAATCGTGCATTCCATAGATACCACCGGAGCATTCCGTACTTATGAAACCGACTAGGTTATTGTTCTCCGATCTCTGGCGATGGCAAATATCGGAGCATATTACCTTCTCGGGTAATCCCTCAGCCACCCGTTCCGTTGGTCGATAATGTTCACCGTTGGATACACCTAGGACTTTTGATATACCACCTCCTTGCTCTCATAACAAATACTTTCGACCCGCACAGTTCGTGCCCGGGTCACGACGATGCAGAGAAAACGGTTTCATCTTGGATCTTCAGACCCACTTTGGGACTGTCATTGCTGGCTTGTCGGTCGAATGAGATCTAGACCGTGAATTCGTAGCATTGGATGCCAAACACTACCGTACGTAGAGAGGTATACATACATGGTTTTTACAGGTTGTCGACACTATGTACACCAGTGCAGTCGAGAAACTACCGCTGAATCCTGAGGCATCAGAATGGCGGAACTTCAGTTCTTCCGTTTTTTCTCGCACGTGACAGATAAGATGAACCGATAAGCCGGAAGAGGACTAGCGCGGGGTTAGAATGACTCAGGTATCCAAAAAAACGTCCCGGATTTTCATCTCACATCGTCACCGGACGAGCAAGCTCATCGTCTTGTCCGCCGTGCTCCATTCCAACTGCTGAGCGTACGGCTTTGTTGGAGGTCTACATCCCCTCCAATCGGTTATTCCTCAAGTGTCCAGGATTTAGCTATCCTTGATCTGAAACTCATACCCGTCCCCTCCCCTCCTCCAACGGGTCGAGTCGTGCCTTCGTCATGGCATCATCCTCCAACTACGTGACCATCCCCGGATCGGTCGCCTTCTCTCATTCTCGTGGACACGCAATTGCCGCCAGTGTTGGGGCACAGGATGTGCGCGCCCAGTGGGTCCACTATGTGCATGCCGCCCAGCCCTTAGAAGCTGCTCAACAGGGCGTCTTGGAGCAGCTCCTGCACTATGGTGATATCACCGACATCCCCGCGTCGTTCAGCGACGCCGATGGTCCGCACGATGATTTCTATGTTTTCCCTCGCACCGGTACCATCTCCCCGTGGAGCTCCCAAGCGACCGCCATCTCCCATGTGTGCGGGCTCCGCAAAGATGTGAAACGCATCGAGCGGGGTATCAAGATCTCCATTCTCCGCACCGACGCCGAATCATACAAGCCCGGATACCAGGATGTCCTGCATGATCGCATGACGCAGATCATCAGCCAGGAGGAGCCGGATTTGCATTTGATGTTTTCCGAGCATAGCCCTCTCCCTCTCGAGACGATCCCCATCTCTGGCTCCGACAAGTCCCCGAAGGAGGTCCTGCAGGAAGCGAACAAACGGCTTGGTTTGGCCTTGGAGGAGTCGGAGATCGACTACCTGGCCGAGGCTTATGGTCCCAACGGTCCGCTCGCTCGCGACCCGACCGACGTCGAGCTGTTCATGTTTGCCCAGGTGAACTCGGAACACTGCCGTCACAAGCAGTTCAACGCTTCGTGGGTCATTGATGGCAAGCAAATGCCCAACAGCCTGTTTGCCATGATCCGCAACACCCACAAGAAACATCCCGAACACACCGTTAGCGCCTACAGTGACAACGCTGCGGTCCTGGAGGGCGCTCCGGCCGCCTTCTGGTCCCCCCACCCCTTCACCGGCGAGTGGAACCACGTCAAGGAGATCGTTCACTTCTTGGCCAAGGTCGAAACCCACAACCATCCGACCGCCGTTTCGCCGTATCCTGGTGCTGCTACCGGCTCGGGTGGTGAGATTCGTGATGAAGGAGCCGTGGGTCGGGGCTCCAGGCCCAAAGCCGGCCTGTCGGGCTACTGTGTCTCCGATCTTCTGATCCCGGGCTTGAGACAGCCCTGGGAGTTGGATGTCGGCCGCCCCAGTCACATTGCGAGCGCTCTGGACATCATGTTGGAGGCCCCCATCGGCAGTGCCGCCTATAACAACGAGTTTGGGCGCCCTTGCATTTCGGGATACTTCCGTACGTTGCTGACTGAGATCGATGTCGGTAAAGGCGAGAAGGAGCTCCGCGGATACCACAAGCCCATCATGATCGCAGGTGGTGTCGGGACGGTTCGTCCCCAGCATGCCATCAAGACGCCGGAGACGGTCAAGCCTGGTGCCTTCCTTGTTGTCCTGGGTGGTCCGGCCATGCTGATTGGGTTGGGCGGTGGTGCCGCATCCAGTATTACCTCCGGAGAGGGCTCCGCCGATCTGGACTTTGCCAGTGTGCAGAGAGGCAACGCTGAGGTCCAGCGCCGAGCTCAGGAAGTCATCAACGCATGTGTCGCCATGGGGGATAACAACCCGATCAAGTTTATCCACGACGTTGGCGCTGGTGGCCTTTCGAACGCCCTTCCCGAATTGATCCACGACTCGGGTCTCGGTGCCACTTTCGAGCTCCGGGAAATTGACAGCGCCGACCGTAGCATGAGCCCCATGCAAATATGGTGCTGCGAGGCGCAAGAGCGTTATGTCATGGCCGTCGGAGAGGACAGCATGAACAAGTTCACCGCCATTGCCCACCGTGAGCGCTGCGGCTTCTCGGTCGTTGGCCGCGGTGGCGGCACGTCCGAGGAAGACAAGAAGCTGATCCTTATGGATCGGGAATCCAGCGAGTACCCCAAGCCCATCGACCTGCCTTTGTCGGTTCTCTTCGGCAAGCCGCCCAAGATGACCAGGGTTGTGGACTCCCGCAAATTGAAGTTGCCCGCTGTCGACGCGAGTCTCACTACCTACCTGCCCTCTGTGGCCCCCAACCACCTGGAGCTCCTCGGCGAGGCCGCCAAGAGAGTCCTGTCGCTCCCCGCCGTGGGCTCCAAGTCCTTCCTCATCACCATTGGAGACCGGACGGTCGGTGGTCTCACCGCGCGTGACCAAATGGTTGGCCGCTGGCAGACTCCGGTGGCAGATGTCGCCGTCACGGCCACTGCACTGCTTCAGGGCGTGAAGACGGGCGAGGCTATGGCGATGGGTGAGAAGCCCACCCTTGCGCTGATCTCTCCAGGTGCTTCCGCGCGGATGGCTGTTGCGGAGTCGCTCATGAACCTCGCCGCCGCGGACCTGGTTGACCGCCTGGAGCATGTGAAACTGTCGGCGAACTGGATGTCCGCCAGCAGCCACCCCGGAGAGGGCGCTGCCATCTACGAGGCTGCGGAGGCTATCGGTATGGACCTGTGCCCCAAGTTGGGTATCAGTATCCCGGTTGGGAAGGACTCCATGTCGATGAAGATGAAGTGGACGGACGAAGCCAAGCAGGCCAAGGAGGTCACCGCGCCCATGTCGCTGGTCATCACTTCGTTTGCCCCCGTCGGCAACTACCGCAAGACCTGGACCCCGGCGCTCCGCCGCCCGGAGGAAGTGGGCGACACCGTTCTCATGTTCGTTGATCTCTCGTTCGGCCGAAAGACCCTTGGTGGCTCTGCACTCGCGCAGGTCTTCAACCAGGTGGGCGACGAGTGCCCCGACGTCCGCGATGTTGACATCTTCCGTGATTACTTCGACGCCACTCAGCAGCTGCAAGACGCGGGCATCGTTCTGGCCTACCACGACCGATCGGACGGTGGTCTCTTCACCACCCTCGCCGAGATGATGTTTGCCGGTCGCTGCGGCGTCGAGGTCATGCTCGACAACATCTGTGGCAGCACTGACACCAAGAGCCTTGTCGAGACGCTCTTTAACGAGGAACTGGGCGCCGTGTTCCAGGTCCGTAAGGAGCACGAGATCCAGTTCCGCTCTTGCTTCGCTACCTGCGGTCCCCCCGCCGGCCTCATCCACAAGATCGGTCGCGTCTCGGAGAAACACAAGCAGAATCTCGCCATCTACCAGGGCCACACCCTGGTGTACCGCAACGGCCGCGCCAACCTGCAACAGACCTGGGCCACCACGTCGCACCAAATGCAAAAGATGCGCGACAACGCCGCCTGCGCCGACCAGGAGTTCGCCAGCATCCTCGACGACGCCGACCCCGGTCTGTCCTGGAACCCGACGTTCGACCCCAAGGACCGGGCCCTTCCCATCATGACCAGCCTGAGCCAGTACTCGCCCTTCAGCAACAAGCCCCGCGTAGCCATCCTGCGCGAGCAAGGCGTGAACAGCCAAGCCGAGATGGCCTTCGCCTTCAACACAGCCGGCTTCTCCGCCGTCGACGTCCACATGACAGACATCATCGCCGGCCGCGTCTCCCTCTCCAGCTTCGTCGGCCTGGCCGCCTGCGGCGGTTTCTCCTACGGCGACGTCCTCGGCGCCGGCCAAGGCTGGGCCAAGTCCGTCCTGCTGCACGAGAACACGCGCACCGAATTCAAGACCTTCTTCGAGCGCGCAGACACCTTCGCCCTCGGCGTCTGCAACGGCTGCCAGTTCCTCTCGCGCCTGAAGGCCCTCATCCCCGGCGCGCAGCACTGGCCCAGCTTCGAGCGCAACGCGAGCGAGCAATACGAAGGCCGAGTCGCTCTTGTCCGCATCACCGATCCGGACCCGTCGCGTCCCAGCGTCTTCCTGCACGGCATGCACGGGTCTTCTCTCCCGATCGCCGTCGCCCACGGCGAAGGCCGCGCCTCGTTCGCGCCTAGCTCCGACGTGACGCCCCAGTCGTTCGTCCGCCAGGGCCTCGCCCCCGTTCAGTACGTCGACAACGCCTCCCTCAAGCCCACCGTCAAGTACCCCTTCAACCCCAACGGTAGCCCCGAGGGTATCGCCGGTATCCGCAACGAGGACGGCCGCGTCCTGGCCATCATGCCCCACCCTGAGCGTACCGTCATGAACGGCATCGCCAGCTGGCTGCCTGCCAAGGCTGAAGAGTGGGGAGATATCGGACCTTGGGGCCGTGTGTTCTTCAGCGCGAGAAGATGGGTTGGTTAGGAAGTTTTTCCCACAAAAGAAACAAGAAACACAAAAAAAAAAAAAAAAAATTAGGTCTTCAAAAGCTCAAAAAAAAAAATCAATGGCTGTCCTCACTACCTATGTTAGAATGGCACCTCGCAGAATATCTTCATATCTTCATATGTTTATTTATTTATTTTATTTTATTTGTTCATCAAATTTAATAGTATCTGTTGTCTCTTTATGTATATGCTTTTTTCCTTGGGGGAAACAGAGGGTGGAAGACGTGTGATACATGGTTTTTGTTTCTTTACTTTTCTTTACTCTTTTTACTCTTATTTCTAGCTTTTTTTTCGCTCACGACTCAGGATGATATGGTTGGCATGATGATTGATTGATTGATTGATTGATATCTTTACTTTACATAGCTTAGGCTACAAAATGGAATAGTGCATGTTTATCTCTTTCTCTCTTTGTCTCTTTCTCTACTGATGCGTGTTCAAATTTTCCTTAGAGAGATACAGGAACATAAGTGTCTCGGTGTAGGTATTAAACAAGGATAACTTTTAAGGGTCTACATACAAGATATACTTGACGCAAGTCAATCAAACCCAATATGGTATTGTACTAATAATACATTGGAAAAACAGCCTGCACTATCAATTCATTCATTAATCTTCGTTAATCAATTATCAATATCATTATCACCATACATATCACAGACCAAATCCAGAAAGATAGGTAGGTATCTTATACCACCGCAGACCGCGCCTCCCGCCTCCAATCCAACTTTTCAGCCAACATCTCCCAAGAAAGCTGGCCGTCGACGCGGCCGATGCCCTTCAGTCCGGCAGCGAGGAAGCCGACGAGACGGTGGAATTGGTCCTTTGTGTCTCTGAGACGCTGGTCGTAGAGTGTGTCGTGGAGGGCGGTTCGGCGGTTGTTTGCGATTTCGGCGTCGTCGTCGGATTCGTCCTCGTCGGATTCGGATTCGAATTCGTCTGAAGTGTCGTCATCTTCGGTGCTGTGTGGCTTTGTTTGGCGGGCTGGTTTGCTGGATGAGCTGTGGCGGGTGGATTGGAGGTTTGCGAAGCTGATGGAGAGGTCGAGGAGGGAGGTTGTAGCCTGGAGTAGTGGGGCGAGGTTCGTGGAGAGGAGAAGCTGGGCTTCGAGGGAGGAGAGGTAGGCGTTGTGGGCGTCGATCATGGCGGTGACGTCTTCGGCGGCGGAGAGGGATTTCTGGAGGGCAAGAGTGGAGGTGGAGATGACGAAGTCGGTGAAGTGGCTGTAGAGGGTGTTGAGGAACCAGAGCATGTTGTGGTGGAGTGCGTAGCTCAGGGAGTGGGCGTTGTCCTGGACGGTCCTGTCGGCTGCGTGCTGGGAGTATTGTTGGACGATGGTGTGTTTTGCACGACGGATCTGCATTAGGAAGATGGCGATCCGCTGGTAGCGCAGGATGGCTGGTTTTGTGATGATGTTTGCGATGGGCCAGGGGAGGACGTAGTCGAAAGCTATCATGTCGAGCATACTGACGGATCGGCTGCTGCTGGCTTGGTTTCCGCGGGGAGAGTGGACTTCGTTGGTGCGGACGATGAGTCGTGAAGGTTCGATGAATGGCAATGCGCTGAGGGCGCTCTGAGCCACATCTGTGAGGAGATATCGGTCCCTCCAGGCGCCTTTGCCGCGGTCGATCAGGTCGAAGATTTTGTTATCGATCGGACTGAATACGCTCATGTCGCGGCCGAAGTAGATACATTCCAGCGCCCGAAGAGACACCCACAATCCGCATCGTTGGTCGAGCTCCTGGCGCAGTAACGCCGACGTCAGGGAGTGGTTCTGGTCAACTATCTTCCCAAATGCAGACTCAAACAGCATGTAGAATGGGAGGTAGCGAGCTGATTGACTATCAGAAAAGACGTCTTCGAGAGCGAGCGATGTCTTTCTCGGGGTTCCCTGGTCGCCGTCGTATACGTTGAGGTGACGCAGGAAGACCACGCTTTTCCCTGTGATGAATATCTTGTGAACGAGCGGGTGGATGAATTTCGGTGCATTTACTAGTCCTGATGCATCGTCCAGCGTGTACCAGTCTTGCCACAGCGTGCGTAGGTCGCGATCGGAATGACTTCTGTGTATAAAAAACGACTTGTCCGCTGAGTCTTCTAAGAGGCCCGCCTCCATCCATAAACGGACGGGGCGTGCATAAGTTTCAAAGCATGCAAAGAAAAGCTCTGCTAGAGACAAGAATTCGACATCATCACCAGCGGCCTGCAGCCCACAGACCTTGTCATACAGTAGATCGAGACATTTTATGGGCTCGTTAGATCCGCTTCGGCATTGAGAAACAACCTCTGCCAGCAGGAGAAGAAGCTTGGATTCCTGACGGACGTCTTGGCACAGTTGCAACAAACTAACGGTGACTTCGAGGTTTCGCGACAAGTACCGTGATTCGATGCGCGAGAGGTAAGCATCGAACTCACGCAAAATAGTGTCAATACGCCGATGAAACGTCTGCATGTACGCGATGCTCTGCGGCGTTTGAGAAAACCGCCTGAGGATGTCGATCTTGGCACCAATCGAGCACAGCTCCCGCAACAACGCCACCAGGACACCGTTGGACAGATGAGCCAATGTGTACCTGCGATCCACCTCAATGCTATCGTCCAAGCGCCAAAACAGGGACGTAGGTAGCCCTTGCAGCATTGAAATGGTCTCTCGTACCATTTGAAGCTCTGTGATCACACGCGACGAGATTCCATCCTGCTGGAGACCGTCGGTGTGCTTCTCTTCTCTCCAAAATTGCGCACTCTTGATAGAAGCAACAAGATCTTCGTCCTCCCCGGACGAGAAAACATCCTCAGAGATCACATAGTCCTCGTCAGGAGCCACCGAACTTTGGGGTCGAGTGCGCGGTTCGTCGCTGTCGCTAGATAAGGACGTTAGATCATCCTCGGACGAGCCCGCGCCGTAATCTACGCTTTCCCATATATCGTCGTCGCAGTATGCAGTGCCGGCGGGATCTATATCAGACCAGGAGAGACCCTTAGCTTCCGGTTTCGGCGCGACTTTCTCCAGGCGATCGACACTCGAGTACTGCGCAGGACGATCCGCAAGCTGCAAGAGTAAAGAGAGGATTTCCGGAAACCACGAGCTGCGGTGCTCCTCCAGCTCTACCAGGCGCAATCGTAGAGCATCCGCCAAGTCATCCTTGTCGAGAACCTGAAACTTTTCCTGCAGACCCTCGAGTTGTTTTGCGACAGCGAATTGGTCGGTGCGGGGATAGGCGTTGGACCTAAGGGTAGCCTCTGCCCGACGTTTGAGGGACTTGAAACGAGGGTCATTCTTCCACCTATTAGCCAGGATCGTTTCAAGAAATAGGTCGATACCAATTGTCTGAGAGGGAAAGTCAAAATACATACAATTCGATCAGGTTTCGCGACAGTGGTGATTAGCTCCTCCGTTAGCGTGCCCACACTGGCAACTACGGCCATTCTGGGGGCAACTGTAAGAAGTCTGAGCCAACGAAAACGAAGAAGAGGCGATCCGTGTAACGAGGCCCCATATCAAGGACTTCTTCCCTTTTCCTCTTCTTTTTTTTCCCCTTTTTCTGTTTCTTTTCCGACGGGATGACGCGGCCGTGACGGAGCAAGGAGGAGAGACAAGACAAGCGTGGGAATCATAAGGGAGAGATCCGTCACTAGTCCGGATTTGGGCGGTCTGGACTGCCTGATAACAATCGGCCTCATTGATTATTATTATTATTGCCTTCTGTCTCTTTCCCTTCTTCCCCACTCACAACCTCCCCTTTATTTCGCCGTTCTCTTTGCTCTGGCAAGCCATCATGGCCGTCGCTAGACCCATTCGCATGCTGGGTGCAGCATGCATCGTTCTCGTTCTGTTTATGATCTTCCAACTCAACAAGGAACCGGAGTTGTCCAAGGGGGACAATGTCGGAGGCTTGAAGTCCGATCCACTGTTAGCCCGTGAGTATCGACTGGATTCCTACTGCTTGCGATGACTTCACTGCTGTCGAGGTCTTTCGTTGGAGTCTTTTACTGATACACTTTTTATTTAGGGACCGGAGAACCTGAAGGTGAACTGTGGCGAGCCGAAGACCACGACTATGCCCCCGACAGCCCCAACTCCGCGCGCACCAACGCAGCGCTGATCATGCTCGTCCGAAACGAGGAGATTGATGAGCTGATCCCGACGATGGAAGATCTCGAGCGGACGTGGAATTCCAAGTTCAACTACCCCTGGATCTTTTTCAACGACAAGCCGTTTACGGAGGACTTCAAGAAGCGCACGCAGGCTGTCACCAAGGCCAAGTGCCAATACGGTACGTCGTCATTCGAATCATGATATGGGTTTTTGGATTCGATCTGACACAATGCAGAGGAGGTTCCCAAGGAGCACTGGGACGTCCCCAGTTGGATCAACATGGATCTCTTTCACGAATCAGCCGAGATGCTGAAGGAGAAGAACATCCAGTACAGCGGCAAGGTTTCGTATCACCAGATGTGCCGGTGGAACAGCGGCATGTTCTACAAGCACCCCGCTCTCGAGAAATACCGTTACTACTGGCGCGTTGAGCCCAACGTCAAGTTCTTCTGCGACGTCGATTACGATGTGTTCCGCTTCGTGGAGGATCGCAACATCACCTACGGATTCACCATCAACCTGTTCGACGCTCCCCAGAGTATGCCGTCGCTGTGGCCCGAAACCAAGAAATTCATCGCCGCGAACCCCTCCTACGTCTCCGATAACAACATGATGGCGTGGTTGACGGACGACCAGCTCCGTCCCGACCACACCAAAGATGCCAATGGGTATTCCACCTGCCACTTCTGGTCCAACTTCGAAATCGGAGACATGGACTTCTTCCGCGGCGATCAGTACACCGCCTACTTCGATCATCTCGACCGTTCCGGTGGCTTCTTCTACGAGCGGTGGGGCGACGCTCCCGTGCATTCGATCGGTATAGGGCTGTTTGCCGATGCGGCCAAGGTCCACTGGTAGGTAGATCGTTCCTCGAGATGTAGTTCCCTTGCTCACTGGTTTTTGCACAGGTTCCGGGACATTGGTTATAACCACATTCCCTACTACAACTGCCCCAACTCGCCCAAGTGCTCTGGCTGCACCGCGGGCCAGTTCTACGCCGGCGAGCCCTTCCTGGCCAAGGAGGACTGCCGTCCTAGCTACTTCAAGCATGTCGGGACGCACTAGACCTGTTGATCAAGAAGTCGCCAAATTTCACTTCCTTGCAAAAGCATCGTTATCCTCGTCCCTATCATTGCATACCGAAAGCCTAGTGATAAATCACCCTCAAAAAGCGACAGGAAATGCCTTGCCTTCTTCTTTTCCTTTCCATTTTTTCCATTCTGGTTTACGGCAAAATTCTACCTATCTGTTCATACAATATCCAACCTTGTTCGGCGGCGTTATGGGATGTGGCTTTCTTCTTTTCCCTTCACCCCATCCATTCTATTCTCTTTCTTTGTTTTATTATCTTCAGCTAGGTATGTGTCGGCCGTTTGATGCTCCTTGAAGGAATCCCAGCCGGCCGTTTCTTACTGTATCTATATTTTATATTTTTTGGGTTCTGTTCTTTTGTCTTTGATATGTCTAATTTACTCTTCGGTTTTGTTATTGGGGTACTACAACTACTGAACAGAAACAATTGTAATAAAGAATAGGTAGGCAAAGCAACAAAGCTAACAACACACCTGCATTCTAACAAATCGATATAATAATGATAAAAAAAAATAATAAAAAAAATAGAGAGTATGTATACAGCTATTCTTCTTTCCTATCTCTTTTTTTTTTCTCAAAATCGACGGGAAAAACAGACAACGGACCGATACAAAAAACACAACCACCTAGGGATCAAGTAACAGAGCGTTGTACATGCTTGTTATTCTTGTTCCCCCTCCAAAAAAAATCACAGGCTACTATGATGGCAGTGGAATGAGCGCATTTACTGCTCATCGGGGTAGAGCTCCTCGCGGAGAGCAACGCCCAGCTCCTGGCGGAGACCTTCCAGGCTCTCGAGGTATTGCTTGTACTGTTCGGGGGTCTCGACCTTGGCTTTGATACCTATTATTTGGTGGTCAACGGTTAGTGAAACAGCTTCGATCAAGCAGAGATCAAAGAGACTGGGGAATGCGCACCCTCGAAGACGCGGACGGCGGTAGGGTAGTCGTTGACCCGGCGGGCGGCCTTGAGGGCAGCGGTGAGGACCTCCACGGAGGGGACGAGATCGTAAGCGAAGCAGTTGTTCAGGTTACGCTGTTAGAAGAGGAGACGTATTAGCGGGATGACATATTCCGAGGTGGGGATATATATATATATCAAATTGTCTCGTCGCGTTTGCCGATTGCGGTGCTAGGCACGATCGGAGAACCAATTGTGCGCAACTTACCTGGAGCTCGAAGACATCCTGGACGGTGTCGAATTCCTTCTCGAACCTAGTGACCATTGGGATCAGCGGATTAATCCCCCGGGCGAATTTATCGGGGAGAAAGGATACGGCAATCTAATCCGATCCCGACCCCTAGGTCATATAGCCTCGGAAGAGGAGGGTGTTCGGCGATGATCGATCGAACCCAATGGCAAGCGAAAATGGGGGAGACCTACCGGGAAGAGAACTCCTCGAAGGTCTCGTCCTCGTGGTGGCCGGAGCGGAGCTTGCTGGAGGTGCTGAAGCAGGGCCGGCTGATGGGCAGAGCGATGGGAGCCTGCAACCGGGACCGGGGCACTTGGGGAGCTTTGAAAAAGCCGGCAGGGCGGACGGCGCGGGAAGCGACACGGAAGATGGAAAGAGACGACATGGTTGTCGAGAATTGAGAGTGTGGAGGGGGAGGGAGGGAGAGAGGGGGGGGGAGAAAAGAGGGACTCAGGACTTGGAGATGTGGATGAGGTTTGAAGTCAGAGAAGGGCAAGTTGACCAAGCCGGGCTTTGGCACTAAGACAGAGTAGGATTTTGCGGGTGGTGTGAGGTCGGTGGTTTGATGCCTCAGGCGGGTACCCGGTCAGCCCGTCATCGAGATTCGATGCCTCAGTGCCTGTTTTCGCTGGCCGCTCCCGTGCTTGCCCGAGGCCGCTAGTTATGTATGCCTGAGGCATGAGTGGTGATTGCTATCTGCCGCTGCTGATTGGTCCATGCGGTGTCAGACTGACCCGGCTGCTGATTGGCTGGGGAGTCTCTCGGGCCGTCTATCATGCCGGTCATGGAATTATGCCTCAGGCCGCTGCATCCTGAATCCTCATGGGGGGGATCTACACCAGTACGGAGTACAGAGTACATACTCATCACCAGGTACGGAGTATCAGGACCCCTCGATCCTCGGTATTCGGGATAATACCCTTGTTTTGCAGCTGTGACACAGGAACCCTGCACCTGATTTGAGACGTGGTGTGAGTGAACTTAATAACTTCCATGATTTCCCAGTACAGCCAATAATCGCCATCGGTATGATTGGAGTTCTTAGGATGTGGTGGCGTTGGGAATATCCAGTCAATGTTAAGTTTAGCTTGTCTGCTTGGGACAGTGTTCGAATTTACGTCTGTATCTTGTACGATGAACGTTGTACTCAATTGGTGGTTTATCGTCCTACGTGTGGCCCGTAGAGACCTTCGATATATATTTGTAACCACCCAAAATGCTTAAACAGCGGGAGTATGAAACACCAAACTGAAAGCCGTGTTTGGGCTCCATCGTCCGAGGATCGAGGTTTTAAAGTACCACCTTGGAAACACCGGAGTGTGTCATCAGGTACGTCATTCAAGTCACCTATTGCGAAGATACTGGATTCTCTCTCTGTACTCTATCCATATCGGTAGTCTAGATGGATCTGGAGTCAGTCGCCATTGTCTTCCCCGCTTCTTCGATCCGGGGTAGTCCGTGCATGTGAAGATAATCCAGTCGAAAGGAACTCATCCTGGCAGATCTTCGAGGTTGGTGTTGATGTCCCGAGCATCAATCCACCCATGTCCTTGATTGTACCTGCAGGTCGAGGAGGGATGCATGTGACGAGGGATATACTTCTGTTTCATGGGTAAAAGTGTAGGGTCGACCCCTCACGTCGGAAGTAGGAATTGAACAACTTGCATATAAAGTCTCTGAGACTGGAGATGATGGATCAAAAGATCCTGACCAGAGTTGACATCTACAGTTTGTACAGGTAGTATCTTGAGGTACCTTCCCACTCCCAGGCTACCCAGGCTACTTAGTGTTGCGGATCGACTGCTTACTAAGGGATTTTCAGATTTTCCCCCTTTTTCTGCAGGCCGAGGCGTTACTTTTCTCTCCTGAACTTGACGGAACGGAACCGGTGGAACGCTGAACTCCATTTTAAACTGTTTTCTTCTCTTCTTTCTCCCTTCTGTCCTTTTCTCACGTCTCTCACTCTCTCCACTGTTCGCAGTTTCCTTTCCCTTTTCTCTCCCTTTCCTTTCTCCTTCTCTTTCTTTTCCTTTCATTCTCTTTCGCCCTTTCTACTTTTTTCTTTGGGGTCTCTTCTCTTTGGAATTGGCTTCTTCTCCACGTCACTCCTTCTCTTGCGACCCGCGATCCAAAAAAAAGTCCCCCCCCTCACCGGTCAACCGCACCAACATCGCTCGTTCGTTGAGCGTTGTATATTGGATCTGAGTGATTTTGGGTTGGCGATTCGTCATGGATTTGGAATTCCTCAAGAATGTGCCGCGGCCGACAATTGATCGGCCGTTTGGCATTCACCTATGGCCTATCTTCGACAAGGCGTTCGAGATGGTCGTCGGTTATCCCGCCAGCGAGTTCGATTTCAAGGCCGGTGTGACTCCCATGTCAACCATCAAGGAGACGGTGATCGGGCTGGTGGCCTACTATGTCATCATCTTCGGTGGTCGCGCGCTCATGAAGAACCGCGAGCCCTTCAAGCTGAACCTGCTGTTCATGATCCACAACTTCTACCTGACCGCCATCAGCGCAACGCTTCTGGCTCTGTTCATCGAGCAGTTGGTCCCCACCATCTGGAACCATGGCATTTTCTTCGCCATCTGTGACCACAACGGTGGTTGGACTCAGCCCCTGATCGTTCTCTACTATGTAAGTCCGCCGCTCTGAAACCGACGGGCAAACCGACCGGGAAACGAGACTAACGCAGAACAGCTGAACTACCTGACCAAATACCTCGAATTGCTCGATACCGTCTTCCTGTTCCTCAAGAAGAAGCCCTTGACCTTCCTCCACACCTACCACCACGGTGCCACCGCTCTTCTGTGCTATACCCAGCTGATCGGCTTGACCGCGGTGCAGTGGGTGGTGATCGACATCAACCTGCTGGTTCACGTCGTCATGTACTGGTACTACTTCCAGAGTGCCCGCGGCATCCGTATCACCTGGAAGGAATGGATCACCCGTCTCCAGATCATCCAGTTCGTCATCGATCTTGGTAGGTAAACCCCTGGCGCGCCACCACCACCGTCACATGCTGATTCGTGCAGGCTTCGTGTACTTTGCGTCCTACACCTACTTCACCTCGTCCTACTTCCCCGAGCTGCCCAACATGGGTGTTTGCGCCGGAGAGGAGTTCGCCGCCTTCGCCGGCATGGGCATCCTTAGCTCCTACCTGTTCCTGTTCATCTCGTTCTACATCGCCACCTACAACAAGACCAAGTCCAAGGCTGGCCGTCCCCGTCGCAACACTGGCCGCCAGGCTGTCATCGACATGGCCAAGTTCGAGGTCGCCACGGCTCCGGGCGCGCAGGCTGCTTCCGCCAACGGCACTGTCCCGTCCAACGGATCCGCCGTGTCGACCGGACGGTCCAACGGGCCCGTCACTCGCTCGCGCAAGGCTTAAATGCTGTGCGCGTGGCCTACCCACGGATGGATCTCGCGAGAGGGCCATCCGACCGATCTGCAACAGCAGTTCAACCACCTTCCCTATTCCACACATTCCGTTCGACCACCGGCGTTTGGCTTTGTCCCGGGTGTGATGAACCATTAGACAATTTTTTTGCATCTGGCCATTTTGGGTTCAAGTATTATATTATCATTTAATGAATGACCATTATGATACTGGTCGCGTTTGTGGCCAGCCGATGCATGCCGTCCGCATACGAGGGCTCTACGGGAGATTTGCTTCTGAGGCGTCCTCGCCTCCAATGTATTCTAGATTTGGTTTTCCCCGAGTATGCGGTGGCGGCTGCGGGCTTTTCCTTCTTGTTTCCTTTTTCTATTCATTTTTTTTTTTTTTTTTTCTTTATTCTTATACTTTATTGATCTTTATGGCGGAGTTTATCGCTATGGCAGGTAAATGTTAAATAATTACGGGGGGTGTATCGGTATCACCTGTTGATGTATATAGAAGTGATTACATGGATTTTGCAGTTGTTTTGGTTGCTTGATAGATGTAGTAGAACATAGTGTATTGTATGGCTTACTACCTCCTATATACCTCGTCTATTTTATCTTGCAGAAGTGCACTCGACCAGGTACAGGTAGGTATATCCTGGGGATTCGCATCACTTACAAGCCAACTCCCTCTGCATTATCCTGACAATGAGTCTACATGTTTCTAATAGTCATGATAACCAACCTAGTAGAGTGATCAAAGCGGAAAGAGAAGGAAGAGAGAATTAGGTCCATATGTTCATGATCAATTATGGATCTCCTAGGACTCACTCACTGTCTCCGACTATGGTAAAAGAGATAGCACGCAGCAAGAGAGTACATTTTAGCTTGGTGGTTTAGTTTTAATGTTAGACACTGTCTATATATGTCATTCTTCAATCTAGAGGAACCATGAACAAACGGAAAAAAAAACAAAGAAGGAAAAAGAAAGAGAACCCTGAAAGAGACCAGCCATTCCATTCAAATCCATCCAAACCACCACCCCGCACCACATTCATCCTTCCCTCGCTCTAGCTGAACTATTCACGTTTCATACTGTACTTTCTAAATTCCTGCGGAGCTGTGGAGGAAATAGAACTCATCATAGCAAAAGAAAAGAAAAGAAAAAAAAAAAAAAAAAAAGAAGTGGACCGCAAAGCCCAGACAACCATGTGGCACCTACAGTATTCCCACAACCCATCCACCCACCCACCACGATGGAAGCTAACACTGACGATGATACATTGCACACAGACCCAGGTACCTAACTAATTAATGACTACTGGTAAAAAAGAGAAACAGAGTAGCTCAATTAGGCCGATAATCCAAATCCACCCCCCAATCGAGCAAGCCGTGACCGGATAGGTAGGCGACTAATAGCGATCGACGGGTGGACGAAACACCCGGTGCTGCGGGGGATTGTTTCGGCCGGGGGTTGGGGAGGGACTTTCGGAGATTTTGTTCTTAGTTTCCTCTCGTTTCTTCGAGTTTTGTGTGGTAGCTTCTTTTGTAGGATGCTTGGGTGTTTGATGTGGTGGGGTTGAGGAGGGGATTGTCTTGATTACGGGGCCGATTGATTAGTGGCTAGGACTTACTTGGCTGAGGTTATCGTTGTTGATTGTTTGGTTCTTTGAGAACTGTAGTGATTACTCCGTACTTACCTACTTAGTACCTACCAGGAGCTGGAAGATAGTGGGGAGGGGGATTGAAGTGTTGTTTCATGAGGATAGTGTATATACTTGACATGTGAGTTCTTGATGTCAATGAATGCTTTAGTCCTTGTCATTAGACTGGGATTGTCATGGTGATAGCCTTGATAGCCATGATAGTCATGATGATTGTCATAATGGGTGTTTTGAGTGATATAGTGCAGACTCTTATTGTCTGTATAACATGTGAATCTTGATATCAGTGTATACACTATCTTTCTACTCTCATTGAATTATCTGCTATCTACCA